AACTGTGTGATGCCATCATGTCAATATGGACCAAGCTCTCTGAGGAATGCTTCCAGCACCTTGTTGAATCTATGCCACGAAGAATTGAGGCAGTTCTGAAGGCAAAAGGGGGTCCAACCCGTTACTAGCATGGTGTACCTAATAAAGTGGCCGGTGAGTGTATATAATTATTATTGCAATCACATGCCATCTATTTCTTTTCAGCCTCGGGAAAGAGGGCCATATTACCAGCTGAGGTGCGCAATGCATTGTGGGGCAGAAGCAGTACGTGAAGCAAGCTCCGTTCCACACTCAGAAATCGAAGCCGATTGAGTATACATCCGGGCATTTCTCGCATACACAAAATTCGCATACTGTACAGTGTGAACGCACTGCCTACTCAATTCAGAGGCGGGGTTAGTAGGAGTAGTAGGCCATTTCGGACATAGCCACAGTCTTTGTGTCCGACAGGTGGCAGTAGATTCTCCGGGTGTTGATCTAAACTAGAAGAAGAAGAAGAGGAGGAGGCGGGAGTTAGTATCGATCCACCAGCTCTGGACGCTGGAGAGAGGATCACGAGAAACGAAGACACGGATGAGCAAGGTTGGCGGCTGGCACAGCCGGACTGTGAATGGACAGGAGATGGAAGAGGGAAGTGACGGGTCAGGAAATGATGGGATGGAGTTAGGTGGCGGGAGAAATGAAAATTGGAATGTTGTGAAAGGGGGAAAAGCTAAGCGCAAACGCAAAAATAATAGGGGACAGAGAGGAGTGGGCACAGCGTCTGAGGAAACGGATAGCGAGCAAGCAAGAGAGGACGAGGAAGAACACAAAGTAATCATTAGATTGGAGCAAGAAGGCGCCTCGTTTGGGGAGTGGAATCCTGTAAACCTTACAAAAGCAATAAATAAACAAGTAGGAGATGTGAAAAGTGCGAGAGTGTTGCGCAATGGAGCACTGCTGATTTTTTGTCGAGACAGCGCACAGTTGGGGAGAGCCATCAGAGTGGATAAAATTGAGGGGAAGAAGGTGGTAGCAACGCTAGCTAGGAAGGGAGGAGGGATCACCCGAGGAGTAATCTTTGGGGTGCCGATAAGTGTATCTATTGATCAAATAAAAGAAAATATAAAGGGAGCGAAAGTGAGGGAAGCAAAGCGCCTGAAAACAACACGTGAGGGGGAAAAATGTGACAGTCTGTCGGTTTTGGTTACGTTTGAGGAAGAGAGAATCCCAGAAAGAGTGCATATAGGATACATGAGCTACGGTGTGAGGCTCTATGTGCCTCCGCCATTAAGGTGCTTTAAATGCCAGAGATATGGGCATGTTGCAGCAGTATGTAAGGGGAAACAAAGATGTGGGAAATGTGCTGGGGAACATGAATATGGGAAATGTGAAATTGGAGCAAAAATTAAGTGCTGCAACTGTGGAGGGGAACATACCTCTGCATACAGGGGATGTGAAGTCAGTAAGAGAGCAGCGGAAGTGCAGCAAATGAAAACATCGAATGGAATCACATATGCTGAGGCAGCCAGAAGGGTGAGGGTGCAGGCAACTGAAAGTAATGCCAGTACAACCGAAAGGCAAGAAATAAGAACACATGAAGGATGCAAAAGAATTGAGGAAGACACAATGGTTGTGGGGAAGAAAGATTTCATACTATTCATGGTTGAGGTGGTTAACTGTACAGCGCAAACAGACAAGAAAACGGAAAAAATCAAAATAATAGTGAGAGCAGCAGAGAAATATCTGGGACTGGAGGCAGTTGGGTGGGAGGAAGTGGAGGACCTGTTGAAAGGAGGGGGGTCCAGCTCACAGAATCCATCACAGCAGTCATCAGTATGGGATGGAGGATCATCATGGTCCTAAGTATACTGCAATGGAATGCAAGAAGTCTCATAACCAATGGGCAGGAATTTAAGAAGTTTATATCTGGGTTACAGGACAAGCCTACTATTATATGTATTCAAGAAACATGGATGAGGGAGCAGTGGGATTTTGTAATACATGGGTACACGGCTGTAAGAAATGACAGGAAAAATGGGATAGGTGGTGGGGTAGCTACCTTTATAAAGGATGGGATAGGGTTTAATACAGGTCAAATAGGGACGGATCATGAGTCCATAACAGTAAAAATCTGGACAGGAAGATATGAGCTAGCAATTATTAATTACTATAACCCATGCAAGAGATTGAGTATGGATACACTGAATAAGGTACTGGGGGAGGTGCAAGGGAAAATATTGTGGTGTGGGGATTTCAATGCACATAGCACTTTATGGGGGAGTGAGAGAACAGACTCAAATGGTTCAATAGTGGAAGAATTTATAGAAGATAAAGGGTTAGTGTGTTTAAATGATGGGAGGGGCACTAGGTATGATTGTGTACGAAATAAGGAGAGTGCAATTGACTTAATTTTAATGTCCAATGAGATGGCAGGTATCACAAATTGGGAAGTGCTAGATGAAATATTAATGGGGAGTGATCACTATCCTGTGATTAGTAAGGTGGGTGTAGAAATGCAGCGAGAGGAGGAAAGGAGGGTGCCAAGGTGGAAAATTCAGAATGCTAAGTGGGATGCTTATCAGGCAGTGAGTAGAAATATATTTGAGGAGTTACATGAGGAGCAATGGACAGGTGTGGATGAATGGAATGAGAGAGTGGTAGCAGCTATAATACAGTCGGCTGATGGGACAATTCCAAAAGTGTCTGGGGGCAGAAGTGTAAAAAGTGTACCATGGTGGGATAATAACTGCAGACAGGCTATAAGAGCACGTAACAGGGCATTCAGATTGTTAAAGAAGCAACATACAATGAAGACATTAATCCAATACAGAAGATCACAGGCAGTAGTGAAAAGGACAATCAGAGCAGCTAAGCGGGCGTGTTGGAGGAAGTACTGTAGTGAAATAGGGCAGGAGGTACAGCTGTCAGAAGTTTGGGGAATGATTAGGAAAATGAGTGGAATAAAAAGAAATATAACAATCCCGATTCTGAAGAAGGACGATAGAACAGCAGTTAGTAATTTAGAGAAGGCGACACTACTGGCAGAAACATTAATTCAAGTTCATAGCTCAGAAAATATCTCAACAGAAGCAAAGCAGCATAGGCAGAATGTACTGACACAAAACACATGGATTAGAGAGAAAAAGCAGGCAAGAGGGGATGATCTAGATCTGCCCTTTAATTTGTATGAATTAAGAAGAGCAGTAGCCAAAACGCGGCAGTCGTCACCAGGAAAAGATGATGTGTGCTACTGCATGTTAGATCACATGGATGACAGGTCGCTGGGGGTAATATTAAAGTTATTTAATAAAGTATGGGAGTCAGGGGAGGTTCCACAGGCATGGAAACACTCAGTAATAGTGCCAATTTTGAAACCAGGTAAAGGAGCATCAGATCCATCAAATTATAGGCCAATTGCCCTTACATCTCAATTAGGGAAAACAATGGAGAAGATGGTAACAGAAAGGCTGATGTTTTTTTTAGAGAGTCATGACCTGTTTTCTTCATATCAAAGTGGATTTCGCAAAGGAAGGAACACGATGGATTCAGTGCTCAGTTTGGAGTCAGATATCAGAAAAGCACAGACAAATAAAGAAATAGTGATGGCTGTGTTCTTCGACGTAGAGAAGGCATATGATATGTTATGGAAAGAAGGGCTGCTCATTAAATTAGATAAGATGGGAGTGGGAGGGAAATTATATAACTGGGTACTAAGTTTTTTATTTAGAAGAACAATAGAGGTGAGAGTAGGGCAGGAATTCTCTCCAATATATGAGGTTGAAAATGGAACCCCGCAAGGGAGTGTGTGTAGTCCAGTAATTTTTAATTGTATGATCAATGATATATTTGAGGAGGTGGGGGGAGGAATAAGTAAATCATTATTTGCTGATGATGGGGCCTTATGGGTAAGAGGGAGAAATCAAGACTATCTGCAGAAAAAGCTGCAGGCAGCGGTTGATAAAGTGGAGCAGTGGGCAAATAGATGGGGATTCAAACTGTCAGTGGCGAAAACCCAAGTAATATGCTTTGCTAAGCGACATAAAGAGGTGTCAATAAAACTATATGATCAAACGTTAGAACAAGCTAAAGTAGTACGGTTTTTGGGTGTCTTATTTGATGAAAAACTTACCTGTGTAGCAATCAAGACAACCCTGGATGTGAAACCCACACATTCCTTACAGGAAAGTTTCCTTATCTGGTCCCAGGAAACAGGATATAAATCTTTCCAGACGTGTTTGCCCTTTCAGGTTAAATAAGTGACCCAACCGGAGGTTGACTAAACCTCTGACTCTTCAGGATTGGTCAGTTCGGCGAACAGAGACAGAGTTTTTATTACCTTTCAAACTGACTCCATTTGCTGACCATCTAAATAAACATTAACCTTAACCCAGATCTCCCATTTGAGATTAAGCGTCTTAAAGTGTGTGAACATACGGACCCCAGGATAAGGGGGGACACTGACCTCCAGACCTCGGTCGTAAAACCCTGCTCGACCATACACTGATAAAGACTGCATTCCTTTGGTGAAAGAATACAAATGACTGATCATGACATCTTATGCATTCAGCAATGTACTAATCTGTCTAATCATGAAATTTGTGTTAAAATGAGATGTTTCCCGTTTTTCTATGTGCTTCAGAAGCCAAGTTATCTTATCTGACAGAATAAATCCTTATTCTTTAGTTCTTTAGACCAACAGCTTTTCAGACTGTTTCATGAACTTTTAAGAGTTAAATTTATTGACTATGAATCCTAAGTTTACTCTAAGTAACAGAAATAGTTTAGAAATGTTTGGTTTATATTTTAGTTATTTATTTAGTATCTTAACCATTAGGTGGTTATAATGTCACTGAATAATCTGAATGTGAGTATTTAGAATCCATTATTAATCATGATGACGTTCATTCACATGTGTTTACTCTTTTGTTGTTCACAGTTTCTATGTGTTACTATCTGTTTCATTTCAGAGTAATTTAGCATGTTCAATGTGATACTTAAAACATAATGAGAATGTTTGATGTGATCCTACACTTCATTCATATGTGTTTAGTATCAAATTATTTATCATGAAACCAAGCATTCAATGATATTAATCATAGTGAGTGAGTATCAGATCTGACTCTTTTACCAGCCAAAAGAATAAGTTAGATCAAATAATCAAAGACCACACGACCCCTCCTCTGTCTCCTCACACACACGCCGGAGCCACTCCCAGTGTGAAGAAGATAAAACCAGTGAAGTCGGGTTGCTCACTCTCTCTTATTTCTCTCTTATTTCGCTCTTACTCTCTTATTCCTCTTATGCTTCTGCTCTTCTGCTGACTCTCTTGTCCCCGGCTCTTATGCCCCTTCTCTTCTGCCCACACCCTTCTGTGGTGCGTTTCTTTGTTTTCTCTTAGAACTTTTTCTTAGTCTTCTAAGTTTTACGCCACGTGTTGATTCACGTTGATTTTTCTTTAACATCGTCTTAGTTCAAGTTTTGAAACTTCAACTTTTTGTGCGCATAGCAATTCAAGATTAAGCCTTTGATTGATTTTTCTTTAATTTCGCGAAGCCATTTTTGAAAGTTTTCTCTGCTCGAGTCTCGTTTTTCTGAGTTTTCTGCGTGATTCAAAGTCACCTCTGAACGCAACCCAGCAGGCCCAGGTCATCCTCTGTACCAGAGTTTTAAGTGAGACCAAAGAAGTACCCAAACGAGCATCCACAGGATCCACAGGCGCTGGCTTTGCTTCGGGCCCGAGTGCTGCAACTCCTGGCTCATCCTTCGGCTGACTTCAGTCGTCTTCTGAGCTGAACCGCTCGAACCGCCAGTAGCCCGGACCTTCGGAACCTGCTCCATCTTCTCCAAGGACCAGTCTCACTTAAGTATGCAAACCTCCAGAGCTCTAAAGAGGGCTGGTGCTGTCTCCTGCGTTCAACTCAGATATCCTCTTATTTCTGGTGATCTTAGATTCCTCCAAATCCACATCCGAGTTTATCTCGACACCAAAGTTAGTGTAGGTTAATATGTTAGCGCATATTCACTCACTATCATTAACTTTAGTGCTCCTAGCCTGACTCAGAATCTTTATTTATTCACCTATTATTATTTATCTTCATCATCTTATCATTTATTGCATGTGTGTTGTACCATCATTTATCCTGTAATAAACAGATCATTATTTTTCTAAGTTCCTGTCTGTTAGTGTTCTTCCAGAAGTGGAGTCCCTGAAATTAGAATTTCGACTTAAGATATGAGACTGATTAATTAAGACTGATTAATTAAAACTGACTTGATGTTTGATTTCTGAATTAAACTTTTGTTTTCTTTATTTTCCCACCATTAAGGGTGGGTGGTGCCCCTTTCAACGAGTGCATAAATGTCATAATTTGAGATTATTAATCTTCAGACATTTATTATGAATTGCAATCGCCAAGTATTATTTTGGTGCGGCCTTGTGAGGCTCATTTCAAATCGCTACATATATTTTGGTGCGACCGTATGAGGCTCATTTCAAATCACTACATATATTTTGGAGCCCCTGCGTGAGGCGTTTCAAACAAAACTTCTGGATACTAACAGACAACCTAAAACTTAGCCTTCCAAATTGATGAGAGAAACTTATTCCCAGGCTGTTTTAGACTTAATCACTATCAATGCTATGCTTGCTGAAGTTGCTTGACTAAGTTCTGATGTTTTCCTGATCTATGCATAAAAGCTTTATGCCCTGTGTTTCACACACTTTTGTACTACATGCCTGTAGTCTGTGTTTGAGCTGGACAGCGTGAAATGTTGTTCTGAGTAGCAGTGAGACTGCTTCTTCTGCTCTGTCTAGACTGTCCAATATTTAAGTGCACGATTGTTGCGTCGCCGTACGCTTGTATTTAAGGCCTTTGGCTGAACCCAGTGTTCGCGATGCTCCGAGCTGTGGTTTCAAGCCCCTGAAGTCTCTGTAGTCTGCTACGAGGTTCTAGTAACTATATGGGATTCAGATTTCCTCCTTTCCCCTGACAGATTAGCTACCTGTCACAGGAAACCACTGTAACAGTGGGAGGTTGTTGTTTGATTGAATTCAGACAAAATTTGTGTTCACAAATCGCCGCATTTGTGATTTTAAAGTCTGCAGTTGAATCTGCTGTTGAGGGATTTGTCACTTCGATTCTTGTCTATATAGTCGGCTACGAGGTTCTAGTAACTATATGGGATTCAGATTTCCTCCTTTCCCCTGACAGATTAGCTACCTGTCACAGGAAACCACTGTAACAGTGGGAGGCTGTTGTTTGTTTGAATTCAGACAAAATTTGTGTTCACAAATCGCCGCATTTGTGATTTTAAAGTCTGCAGTTGAATCTGCTGTTGAGGGATTTGTCACTTTGATTCTTGTCTCTATAGTCTGCTACGAAGTTCTAGTAACTATATGGGATTCAGATTTTCCTCCTTTCCCCTGACAGATTAGCTACCTGTCACAGGAAACCACTGTAACAGTGGGAGGTTGTTGTTTGATTGAATTCAGACAAAATTTGTGTTCACAAATCGCCGCATTTGTGATTTTAAAGTCTGCAGTTGAATCTGCTGTTGAGGGATTTGTCACTTTGATTCTTGTCTCTATAGTCTGCTACGAAGTTCTAGTAACTATATGGGATTCAGATTTCCTCCTTTCCCCTGACAGATTAACTACCTGTCACAGGAAACCACTGTAACAGTGGGAGGTTGTTGTTTGAATGAATTCAGACAAAATTTGTGATCACAAATCGCTGCATTTGTGATTTTAAAGTCTGCAGTTGAATCTGCTGTTTAAGAATTTGTCACTTTGATTCTTGTTCCTGTAAATGATTCTATTGAACCAATCTGCCTGAGCAGATGGTGTAAAGTTCTATGTTTGAGGGTGCAGACGCAGCCTGCTGTGAAATGTTAACCCTTTGTTGTCAGTGGAGAGACTGACCCTTTGGCCTTAAGCAGATAAGGCCCTTCAAGGAGGCAGAGCCTAAAGGCCCCTTCCTGCACACTTCCCAACTCCATACTGCCCCACATGGTTGTTTTTGGTATTGAGCTAACACTGCTATTATCTGCCTGCAGTATCAGCCAGCTGTACTGCCTCTCTGTAGTCAGTGTGTAACACTCTACAGACATAACTCAAGTGATTGACTTGGTTGATGAAGTTTGATGTGCTTATTCTAAATCATTGATCATTGATTTTTGATTTTTATCTTTGTTATAAGAGCCTACATAATGTATTGATAAAGTAACTCCTTGAATCAATCACCTGATCTGTTGTTACTTATCACACCATTGAGCAGTTTTACTGTTCCCTATAATACATGAATGTATTAACCCTCCTCATAAGATTAATTAATTAATGAACAAATTAATTAATATTTGAAATCTATTTTACCATTTCAGATGAATTGGGTAGTTGAATCTTTGGCTTTATTGCGATCTGTGAATTAACTTCAGAGTTAATTCCTTAAATTGACAATTTCATTGGTTTCAGATTCATCCAACTGCATCAGGCAGTTTATTTAAGCTTTGCTGATCTCTGCAACACGGAGACAATTTGAACCCTTTATTCAATGGTTCTGTATCTGATGTTAAATTTAATTTAACATTATTTCACCTTGTTTTATTTCAATTTTCATTGAAATGAATTTAACTTTATGTTATTTTTCTCTTCATTAGAGATCTACTCAGATAGGCTCTTCCTCTTTATCAAGCACTGATAAATTAAGTCGATTAACTCACTTAATTTGATATTTTGCTTCTTCTTTTCATTTTAAGCCAACTCAAACTCATCAACCAACCACCTGCTCCTCTTTACCAAAACCAAACATGCCTAACACAAAAGAGTCCAGCCAGGGAGACCCCCTGAGGGACATACACACAGTGTTAGCAAACTTAACTAGTCAGCTGATACCTCAGTACATGACTAAGATTCATAAGGCCAAACCCTCCAATCCGGAGGATGAAATGGCTGACTTACTGGAAACAGCCTTAACCACGACACTTCGTGACAAAGAGCTCACTAGATGCATGTCTGTCATGATGTCTTCTCAGCTTGAGTATAAAGACTACTTGCTGGAATGCGCTTTAGCAAAGATAAAGGCGCAAAAAGATGAAAACAGCGCTCTGAAAAAGACGCTAGAGGAGACTAAGAAGTCTTTAAGTGTTTTAGAAAAACACAGTGCCAGATGTGAAGCGTCAAAGCTTCCCTCACTGATAAGTCATGAAGAAAATCTTGATCTCAAAGACAAGATTGAAAGACTTAGTGAAAACCTTTACAAAAAGGAGAAAGAACTTGATGACACGAATAAGCAGCTTGCTAAGACCACAGAGGATCTGATACAGTCAGAATCCCTACTAGAGCAAGCAACAGAAGATGTAAAAGCTTTGAAAGCACTGGTCAAAGTGCGTGCTGAAGCTCTTGAAGTTAAGGAGAAGCAAACTTCTACCTTACAGCACCAGCTCCAGATAGCTCAAAGACAGTTAATTCTTTGTCAAGAACGGCAAGAAAAGACAGACAAAGAACTTGAAGATGCCCAAAGAGAGTTACAATGCTCCCTCCAGTCAGGTCGAGCCCAAAGAGAACGCATGGAGCAAACGTTTCTTGAAGAAATGATAGGTGATCAGCCTCCTGAGAGAGCGCCATCACTTCCTTCCAAACCAACTCTTAAGTATCTCTCTCAGCATCATGACAGGACCCTGCTTGACCCTGAGAGGTCATCCTTAAACCAAGAGTCCTACTCTCCTCCTCATGATGGCTTCTTACCATTTCCCTCAGACAGGGATCTTGACAAAATTGCTCGCAACATAGCACGCTTTGAACCTGAGCACCAAGCTGCTACTGACACCTGCACCTACTTGAAAGACATTGACTTTTACCTGAGGAAATTTCCAGGTGCAACCATTGATGACAAAATCTACCTTATTAAGGCGACGTCAAGTCGAGAGGTTAGCAGTTTCCTTGAACGACAGCCTTATTATGTCAGAAATAATTATGACTTGCTCTGCCAAGCATTAATCGAAGAGTTTTCTGATCATTTGACCCAGACAGGCCTTTCTGCTGCTCTGTCTATTAAACAAGGGAGATCAGAATCTCCCCAACAGTATTACAACCGCTTACGCGAAGCTTACTTTGGTTTCCGAAATGAACCAGAAATGGAGGAGGACTTGAACTTCAAAACGCTGTTCGTCCAGAACCTCCACCCTACCACCAGTCATCACCTTGGCGTCTTAGCTTGTCCAAACACTTCGACTAGCCGACAGCTTCGTGAACTTGCTGTAAAAGGTTTTGCCAAACAACGACAAACTTTGGCTAAGAAAGCAGAGCCCGTTACTCTCTTGGCTATGGAGACAAAATCACTGCCCATGGAGCTGAACGAAGCTTCAGACTGTGTATTTTCAGGCTCCGATAAGCCTCCAAATGAGTGGTTAACCAGGCCTCCAAAACCTTTTCGACCTCAACACATTCACAAAGGTCAAAGTTACACACCAAGGCCCGGGTCTGACACAGGCCAATGCCAGGTAAACTTTGAGACCAACTGTTGTTATTCAGACTCCCGTCACGGTGGGTTTTGTCCCAGACAAAGGAAAAACCATCAACACCGCCAAAGGGGGGTGAATGACTGGCAGAATCAGAGTAAATTACACTCTCAGAAACGACGATCTTATTATCCACCTCAATCGGTTTCATCCACTTCGAAGGTGAATAAACATGACAACTCAGCTAACCACTGAGATTAACACTGCGGAGTCATGAAGGTGTGAGTCCTGCGAAAGCAGAAGTCACCTAGCCAAAGCTAAATGACTCCAATAAGATATCCAAATGCTGTGGTGATACATTGATGACTGCAATACCAGTTGCTGCTTTCTTTGTTAGCATTTGTCTCTCCTCTGTCAATATGGTCAGCTTGTCAGCTGTCAAATATCTCATCAATAGATTAAAAGCTGAAATTTCTGTCATTAAGACTCAGATTGACAAATTTCAGACTCAACAGCAGATAATTAGTCAAACCGGTAAGAGCATCATCCCCAAGTTTAACAGATAAAGTTTAAGAGAAACTCTGTGCAGTAAACTTTTGATGTTTGTGATTCAGGTTGACTATGCTCATACACAGATGATTAAACATGTCTATAGCAGACATTTCTTTTCCACCTAAGTCTTAACCATTTTTGAAACTGAAATTGAACTTTCAGACTTCTCCAGCAAGCATGGAAAACAGCTATATCTTTAGATCCAGTTAGCATTCAGACTAAATAGTGCTTTCCTAAATCTCATTAATACTGAAAATTAGGAGATTTTCTTTCACATTAGTCTACCAATAGTTAACTGAGAAAAGTCTAACAACAAGACTATTTTATTTGATAGCTTAATGCATGCTTAATTTTATCTCAAAGCAGTACTAGTGATTCACATAGTGATGACGAGACGCATCAGTCCTATTTGCATACACCTGCTGCTGCTTCATGGTTGTCTACTCGTCGTCCCGATGCTCCATGGACAGGACCACCGTGACGAAGGGGGGACTGTAGCAATCAAGACAACCCTGGATGTGAAACCCACACATTCCTTACAGGAAAGTTTCCTTATCTGGTCCCAGGAAACAGGATATAAATCTTTCCAGACGTGTTTGCCCTTTCAGGTTAAATAAGTGACCCAACCGGAGGTTGACTAAACCTCTGACTCTTCAGGATTGGTCAGTTCGGCGAACAGAGACAGAGTTTTTATTACCTTTCAAACTGACTCCATTTGCTGACCATCTAAATAAACATTAACCTTAACCCAGATCTCCCATTTGAGATTAAGCGTCTTAAAGTGTGTGAACATACGGACCCCAGGATAAGGGGGGACACTGACCTCCAGACCTCGGTCGTAAAACCCTGCTCGACCATACACTGATAAAGACTGCATTCCTTTGGTGAAAGAATACAAATGACTGATCATGACATCTTATGCATTCAGCAATGTACTAATCTGTCTAATCATGAAATTTGTGTTAAAATGAGATGTTTCCCGTTTTTCTATGTGCTTCAGAAGCCAAGTTATCTTATCTGACAGAATAAATCCTTATTCTTTAGTTCTTTAGACCAACAGCTTTTCAGACTGTTTCATGAACTTTTAAGAGTTAAATTTATTGACTATGAATCCTAAGTTTACTCTAAGTAACAGAAATAGTTTAGAAATGTTTGGTTTATATTTTAGTTATTTATTTAGTATCTTAACCATTAGGTGGTTATAATGTCACTGAATAATCTGAATGTGAGTATTTAGAATCCATTATTAATCATGATGACGTTCATTCACATGTGTTTACTCTTTTGTTGTTCACAGTTTCTATGTGTTACTATCTGTTTCATTTCAGAGTAATTTAGCATGTTCAATGTGATACTTAAAACATAATGAGAATGTTTGATGTGATCCTACACTTCATTCATATGTGTTTAGTATCAAATTATTTATCATGAAACCAAGCATTCAATGATATTAATCATAGTGAGTGAGTATCAGATCTGACTCTTTTACCAGCCAAAAGAATAAGTTAGATCAAATAATCAAAGACCACACGACCCCTCCTCTGTCTCCTCACACACACGCCGGAGCCACTCCCAGTGTGAAGAAGATAAAACCAGTGAAGTCGGGTTGCTCACTCTCTCTTATTTCTCTCTTATTTCGCTCTTACTCTCTTATTCCTCTTATGCTTCTGCTCTTCTGCTGACTCTCTTGTCCCCGGCTCTTATGCCCCTTCTCTTCTGCCCACACCCTTCTGTGGTGCGTTTCTTTGTTTTCTCTTAGAACTTTTTCTTAGTCTTCTAAGTTTTACGCCACGTGTTGATTCACGTTGATTTTTCTTTAACATCGTCTTAGTTCAAGTTTTGAAACTTCAACTTTTTGTGCGCATAGCAATTCAAGATTAAGCCTTTGATTGATTTTTCTTTAATTTCGCGAAGCCATTTTTGAAAGTTTTCTCTGCTCGAGTCTCGTTTTTCTGAGTTTTCTGCGTGATTCAAAGTCACCTCTGAACGCAACCCAGCAGGCCCAGGTCATCCTCTGTACCAGAGTTTTAAGTGAGACCAAAGAAGTACCCAAACGAGCATCCACAGGATCCACAGGCGCTGGCTTTGCTTCGGGCCCGAGTGCTGCAACTCCTGGCTCATCCTTCGGCTGACTTCAGTCGTCTTCTGAGCTGAACCGCTCGAACCGCCAGTAGCCCGGACCTTCGGAACCTGCTCCATCTTCTCCAAGGACCAGTCTCACTTAAGTATGCAAACCTCCAGAGCTCTAAAGAGGGCTGGTGCTGTCTCCTGCGTTCAACTCAGATATCCTCTTATTTCTGGTGATCTTAGATTCCTCCAAATCCACATCCGAGTTTATCTCGACACCAAAGTTAGTGTAGGTTAATATGTTAGCGCATATTCACTCACTATCATTAACTTTAGTGCTCCTAGCCTGACTCAGAATCTTTATTTATTCACCTATTATTATTTATCTTCATCATCTTATCATTTATTGCATGTGTGTTGTACCATCATTTATCCTGTAATAAACAGATCATTATTTTTCTAAGTTCCTGTCTGTTAGTGTTCTTCCAGAAGTGGAGTCCCTGAAATTAGAATTTCGACTTAAGATATGAGACTGATTAATTAAGACTGATTAATTAAAACTGACTTGATGTTTGATTTCTGAATTAAACTTTTGTTTTCTTTATTTTCCCACCATTAAGGGTGGGTGGTGCCCCTTTCAACGAGTGCATAAATGTCATAATTTGAGATTATTAATCTTCAGACATTTATTATGAATTGCAATCGCCAAGTATTATTTTGGTGCGGCCTTGTGAGGCTCATTTCAAATCGCTACATATATTTTGGTGCGACCGTATGAGGCTCATTTCAAATCACTACACCTGGAAGCAGCATATAGAAAAACTGAGAGATAAATGTAAAAATGTTAATAACCTTATGAGGTGCATGGCAGGACGAGATTGGGGTGCAACTAGGAAGTCTCTGTTAAACATATACCAAGCAATGATGAGGTCCAGAATTGATTATGGGAGAGTGGCTTATATGTCAGCAGCAGAGAGTCACCTGAAGAAGCTGGACGTGGAACAGGCTAAGGGGCTGAGGATATGCAGTGGGGCGTTTAAAACCTCTCCAGTGGCTGCTCTTCAAGTTGAGGTAGGGGAAGAGCCTCTAAGGATAAGAAGGGTAAAGCACATGCTGGCATACTGGGTATATCTGCAGGGGCACAAAAGGTCACATCCAGCAAAAGCAATATTAGAGGAATGCTCAGACCACGACAAGACCAATTTTTTGAGTTTGGGCTGGGTAGGGAATGTAAAAGCCGAAAGTGTTGGTTTATGCAACATGCAATTTGTATCAAGTCATTCTTTACCAGAAATCCCTCCATGGGTATTTCAGGAGCCAACAGTGGACTTTGGTATTCAGGATAAAGTAAAGAAGAAATCAGGGAATACAGGAGATATTGTGCAAAGATACATTGAACAGAACTATGCAAATAAACTGTTGATATTTACGGATGGATCAAAAGATCCAAAGACAGGGTGCACCGGGGCAGCAGTCTTCATCCCAGAACAAAGACTGGCAATTAGAGAAAGGGCTACTGATCATGCCTCAGTATACTCAGTGGAGCTTTTAGCAATAATACTTGCATTAAAGTGGATGAAGGGAGGGAATGTTGTACATGCAGTAATAGCATCAGATAGTTATGCAGCACTGGAAAGTATCAAAACAATGAAATCATGTAGGCAAGATCTTGTTATGGAGATTCAGCAACTGCTACACCAGATACAGAACAGGGGGGGGACAACCAGATTTGTATGGGTTCCAGCACATGCAGGTGTTGAGGGTAATGAGGAAGTAGACACACTTGCAAAACAAGCTGTCAGAGCACAAACAATAAAAAACAGCATTCCACTGGGTAGAGCTGAAGGGAAGTCAATAATCAAAACACAGATGCAGAGAGTTTGGCAGGAATATTGGGACATCAATGACACTGGGAGACATTTCTACAGGATACAGAGTCAGGTGGGTGGAGGACGGGTATTTGGCAGGAGCAGGAAGGAGGAGGTGGCCATCACCCGTCTTAGGCTTGGGCACACAGGGTTAAACAGCACACTAAAAATAATAAGTAAACACCCCACAGGAAAGTGTCAAAGCTGCAATGTACAGGAAACAGTCGAACATGTCCTAATGGAATGTAGGGAGTATGAAAGAGAGAGGGAAGTATTAAAAAATGGTTAAAAAAAGGAAAACATTGGATTTACATTAAGGAGTGTGTTACAGAGAACAAAAGAGAGCAATAAACATGTACAAAGATATTTGAGAAGAACTGGCCTAGTTAAAAGGATCTAGTAGGGTTTGGAGGGGGTTCCTTTTTTTTTTTTTTTTTTGTAAATTACCAATCTAATGTTCCACACTCCAGTTCGGTAGGTGGCGGCAATGCGCCAAATTGTTGGATGCCAGCCGCCAATCAAATCCAAGAAGAAGAAGAAGAAGAGGAGGAGGCGGAGGAAGAAGAAGAAGAAGAAGAAGAAGAAGAAGAAGCCTAGCCGACTATCCTCCATCTTCTCTGTTTCTCCCCACTGTCTGCTCCTCTCACAGTCTGTTTTTAGATTCACCTGAGGACAAGTTTACACCTGTAGCCTCACCTTAGCCCGAGCCAGGAGCAGGTGAAAGTGGCTGGGATGGCGGCTGACCGGCGCGAGGACAAAGGTGAGGCACGCATTGGCTGTTTCGTGAGCTGTAGCTAGCTGTTGGCGTTAGCATGCGTGCTATCTTTGTTCTGAGCAGCAGGTCCGAATACTAGAATTTACGGTCCGGTTTGGACCATCATGTCGGTTAGTTGGTTCGCGGGTCAGTTAGCGGTCGTTGTGTTGTCTGTGGTGGTCTGTGTCTCAGTGTGGTTACCAAAATAGAGCTAAAATCTAAGGAAGCACCAAACCTTGTTTAAAAACCCACTAACTCACTTGAGCGGTCCGAGACAAACAGAAAAAAACAGAGAACATGAACCGAACTGAGTCTGGGGAGTCCGACCAGGATTCGGATCAGATCGGCTCTGCGTTACCTGTCTAAGCTCACCTGGGCACGTGTCCTTGGGTCTGATTACCTGCGACAGAAACTAGAACTCTGAAACTTTCCCCACGAATGTAACATGTCCTCCATCCAACCAGGAGAGCCTGAGATCTCAGCTCTCTATCATCAGTGTGTCCTCACAGAGACTCAGTTTCTCTGTGTCTCCTGTTCACCTGCCTGACTTTAGAGAGTCCTGATCGTAAAGGTTCCTAGTCCTTACCCAAAGAATTCTGGTTCTGATTCCAAAGGTTCTGGGTCCTGGCTTAAAGGTTCCTGGTTCTGTCTTTTTTTCCAGATGGAGAGCTGAATGTTCTAGAAGATATTCTGACTGAAGCTCCTGATCAGGACGACGAGCTCTACAATCCTGAGACTGAACGTGACATCAGCGACAAGAAAGGTTCGAAACATAGTACCGCTACCAGAACTACACACACTACTACAACGAGAACTACACACACTATTACAACCAGAACTACACACACTACTACAATTAGAACTACACACACAACTGCAACCAGAACTACACACTACTACAACGAGAACTACACTCACTACTAGAACTAGAACTACACACACTACTACAACCAGAACTACACTCACTACTACAACTAGAACTACAAACACGACTGCTATTACTTGAGAGTGAAGTTTTGCAAACAGCTGATCAGGACAAAGTTGCTTGTTTGACCTCTAATCCCTGAGTTTTGTCTGTCAGGAACTAAAAGAAAGAGTGAGCGCTCTGACAGCCAGGATCTGAAAAGGCTGCGCTCCTCTTCAGGCCATGCCTCCTCCCGGTCCTCTTCTTCCAATAAGAGAGCTCCTGGTCCTTCTCTGTCCTCCTCCTCCTCCAAGAAGGCAGTGACCAGTCCACGTAGACGTAATGCTGTGGCTGCTACCGGTTATCGCCACGAATACTATGAGGAGCGGAAGGGGCGGCGAGGAGCTCGAGAGGTGACGCGGAGCCGTGGAGGGGAAGATCCACGCCGCCGAGAGCCTCCAAGGAGTCTGGAATCTCTGAGTCAGGTACTTCAACTCCTACTTAGTCCACTAGTACTAATACTATAAATACCAGGGTGTAAGACTTCACTAGTATTGATCATATTGAAATGACCAAATTGACTGAAGCTGCTCTAACTGTAATCTAATCTACTATCATTTAATCTACTATCATTTAATCTAATCCTACTTCTTTTTAATCTTCTGTTTTAACCTCCAAAAGTACGATCATCACTGCTGGTACTTTTAAGAGTACTGATACTCTCATCCAGCGACACTCGTCTGACTTTTGAGGGACTCAGAAGCTCTGCTGAGCTGACTGACAGACAGGTGTGTTGAAGCGAGGAGGCTTAAGGCCCGCCTCTCATAGGCTGTCAGCTCGGTTGAGTCAACATTTCAGATATGGCGATTTCAGCCAATAGGCTTCAAAACTTCGCCTCAAAAACGATGAATGTCGTCACCCACCCCTTGTCCAACTTCACAGTCCATTGTTAAAGGTGGTGTAGTCAGGATCTGAGGAAGTCCCAGTTTTTAGGAGAAATCTTGAATGTAAACTCTACCCCTCCCAACCAATTTTCCCCTCAGCTCCTCCTCTCCCCTCCCTCTCTGTTCCATTAAGCCCCGCCCACAAACAGATGCACCTGCTCACTCGTATCGTTCCAATTAAATTCAGAAAAAATGCAGATAAATACTTCAGATAATTACAAATGGGGCCCAGTCAACGTGAAAGTAAAAAGCATTTGTGCTACTGTAGATGCCAACAGACTACCAGCAAACACAATGTTTGCAGGACTTCTACAAATAGGATAAAGTGACAGAGTCCAGGACCCGAGGTCAACAGTTTAGCTGAGCTACAACACGCTACAGATGGTCCTGTTTGACAAGAAACACTTCTGTTACAGACACTTGGCTTACTTTGTTTAAGCGGTTTCCAGTCCAGCAGAAAGGTTACAGGGTCACCAAGATCCCGATGCGTCCCCCATCGTTTATGTTGACCCAGCTTTTTACCTCTTGTCCGGTCTACCTCCTTTTTTAAGTGCCCGTTATTTCGCCAGAGTCTCCGGTATCTACTTCGTTTCCTTGCTTGTGTCAGCAGCCGTGGTCAAAGGAGGATTCAGACAATTTTCTGAACTTTCTGGTTGGTTTCTACTGTCCGATATTGTAGCACGCTAACTGTTTGGGCTCGTGAACGACACGGGGAGCAGCATCTGCCTCACAACCAACAGGTCGGAGAGGTGGAGAACAGCTTTGTTTACAGTGAGAAATGTTGACTACACAGACGTAAGAGAACACAGAGATATGGTGATATTCCCAAATGTTGTCAGTAACTAATAACTATTGACTAATATTTAAAAAAATTTTGCATGAAAACCACAAAATAAAAAGACGCTTCTTTAACAGATTCCTGCCTACCCCACCTTTAACCCTTTCCACACACACAGAAACCACTCCCCTCCAGCCAGTCAGAGCCCAGTTTGAAAGCCAATTAAAACTGTTTCCTGTCTGTTTGTAGAAAATGAGGCATGATGAGCGCCGGGTAAGCCCCTCCCCCCATGAGGAAGAAAACCAGTCAGAGGAAGAGGAAGCAGTGGGAGAGTATGGCTCAGATGGCAGATCAGGAAGCTCCTCTCCTGCTGCGTCTCATGTAGAGGAGGAAGAGGAGGATCCTGATGAAGAAGAGGAGGAGGAGGAGGGTATGGAAGAAGAAGAGGAGGAGGAGGAGGAGGAGGAGGAGGGAGAAAAGGAAGACGAAGAGGAGGAGGAGGAGTACGAGCGTCGCGGTGGTGGTGAGGGAAACGACTACGACACCCGCAGTGAGGCGGGTGACTCTCGCTCCGCCTCCTCCGTTAGTTTCACAGATGATGGCGAGTCTGTGCACTCAGGCTCTGCCTCTGAAGCCTCAGGTAACCGTAACGACAAGAATTTCAATCAATAATGACTATAATAATAATGACTCTGCTTCAAAATAAAATCTGTTGCTTCAGAAACAATGCAGCGTTTAGAGGAACGTGTTAACTTACTCGCAGTAATCTCACTGAGCTGAAGAACACTGCTTCCTCTACCAATTAATTAAATTAGGCTTTTATTTTGAAAGGTTCGGTGAAAAAAAGGGAGAAGCTGTCTTCATCTGTCAGAGCTGTTCGCAAAGGAATGGAGAGTAAGGCCGCCATTTTCTATCTCTGCTTTTTATAACGTAAAGAAGTAAACAGAGGAAGTCCAAGAAATCTGAGGAAGAAGAGCAGGGAGACCATCTGAAAAATAAACTATAGGAAACTACAGTCAACTACAGAAAACTACAATCAACCAGAATAAACTACAAAAAACTACAATCAACCACAGGAAACTACGGACAACAAGTTTAAACTAGAGAAAACTACAATAAACCACAGCAAAATACAGACAACCAGATAAAACTAGACAACCAGATAAAACTGGACAACCAGATTAAACTACAGACAGCCAGATTAAACTACAGACAACCAGATTAAACTACAGGAAACTACAATCAACCAGAATAAACTACAGAAAACTGCAGTCAACCAGTATTAACTACAGAAAAACTGCAGGCAACCAGAAAAAACTGCAGAAAATCAGAAAAAACTACATTCAACCAGAATAAACTACAGAAAACCAGAATAAACTACAAACAACCAGATTAAAGTACAGAAAACTACAGTCAACCAGAATAAACTACAGAAAACCAGAATAAATTTCAGACAACCAAATTAAAATACAGAAAACTACAGTCAACCAGAAAAAACTGCAGAAAAAAACAGAATAAACTACATTCAACCAGAATAAAATACAGAAAACCAGAATAAACTACAAATAACCAGATTAAAGTACAGAAAACTAGTCAACCAGTATAAACTACAAGAAACTCTAGTCAACCAGATTAAACTGTAGAAAACTGCAGCCAACCGCAGCAAAATACAGCCAACCAGATCAAACTACAGACAACCAGATTAAACTACAGATAAACAGAATAAACTACAGAAAATAATATTTAACTACAGTGTACCAGATCAAACTACAGTGAACCACAGTAAACTACAGCAGACTTGAGTAAAGTACAGCACACTGCAGTTACCCACAGCAGACTAGTCATTTACAGTAAGCTTCAGTTAGCCACAATCAACTACGGTAAACTGCAGTCAACCACAGTAAGCTACAGATACTGACAGTAAACCACAGACAAACACTATCAACCAGAGGAAAATACAGAGTAATTTACAGTTAACCAGAATAAACTACAGATAACCAGATTAAACTACAGACAGCCGGATTAAACTATAGAAAACCAAATTAAATTAAAGTCAACCCTGGTGAACTACAGCAATGAACAGCCCACCACATTAAACTACAGACAAACACTATGAACCAGAGGAAACTACAGACACTCAGAGTAATTTACAGTCACCCAGAATAGACTACAAATAACCAGATTGAAATACAGTAAACCAGAATAAACTACAAATAACCACAGCAGATCAAAGTCAACCCGCGAACTAGAGCAAGTAAAAGCCCACCACAGTAAACTACAGTCAACCAGAATAAACTACAGCTGACTACAGTAATATCCAGTAAACTTAACTGTAACAGTTTTTATTCCTTACTGAACTACAGTTAACTACAGAAACCTGCAGTACACTGAAGCGCCAACATATTGCAGACGACAGTAAACTACAGATAACTACCAAAAGGTTACAGTAACTACAGCAAACAACTTTTTTTGGGCTGCTGTTAAATGGACATGATTGGTTAATGTTGCTCAGGGGGAGGAGCTTTGATGGACAGGTGTGTTTTACTTTCCGTTTTGTTTCAGCTCCAACCAGCAGGCTGCGCTACATCCTGCGAGACGCTCGATTCTTCCTCATCAAGAGCAACAACCACGAGAACGTGTCTCTTGCCAAAGCTAAGGTCTGAGACGTTTACCTGGGATTGATTAATTTGGGGGGGGGTTACCTGTGATTGATTAATAAGGGGGGGGTTACCTGTGATTGATAAATGAAGGTGTGTGTTGTTTGTTGCGTTGTCAGGGGGTGTGGTCAACCTTGCCTGTTAATGAGAAGAAGCTAAATGCAGCGTTTCGTTCTGCTCGCAGCGTCGTTCTCATCTTCTCTGTGAGGGAGAGCGGAAAGTTTCAAGGTCAGACAGGTCACATGACCACCTCTTAGAGACCCTTCTTCTTCTTTACTCTCCCAACCCTCCATGAAATGTTCTGATTTCTCCTCTTCTTTTTCTTCTTCTTCTTCCTCCTGACTTCCTCTTTCTTCACTTCCTCCTCCTTCCTCTTCCTCCTGACTTCCCCTTCCTCCTCTTCTTCCTCTTCCTCCTCTCTCTCCTCCTCCTTCCTCTTCTTCCTCCTGACCTTCCCCTACCTTCCCTTCTTCTTCCTCTTCCTCCTTACTCCTCGTCTTCCCTCTCCTCTTCCTCTTCCTCCTGACCTTCCTCTTTCTCTGTCGGTTGCAGGTTTTGCCCGCTTGGCGTCAGAGTCTCATCATGGCGGTTCCCCAATCCACTGGGTTCTTCCTGCGGGGATGAACGCTAAAATGTTGGGCGGAGTCTTTAAGATCGACTGGCTCTGCAGGTGAGCTCACCTGGTTCTGACGCTTCATTTATTTCCGATGTTTGTTCTTCAGGATTAAACGCTGCTTGATTTTTTCCAGGAGGGACCTACCTTTCACGAAGACGGCTCACCTGTCCAACCCCTGGAACGAACACAAGCCGGTGAAGATCGGACGTGACGGACAGGTGAGTGACGCCTGCAGTTCGTGTTTAGGCGAAGTTTGGATCAGAGCAGCAGCAGGGTTGCGTCACTCAGTACGTTTCCATGACACTCGAGAAAACCAAATAATCGCCTTATTCCAATCAAGACCAAACAACTGAAGTGCATGTAAACACCTTAGTTCTCCGACTATAATCGGAGTTTTAGAACTCTGATTATAGTCGGAGAACTCCAACTAAGACACCCAGATAATGCCATTAGAATTGGATTTTCTCTACCATGTAACCAGCGTATTCGGAGTATGATCGGACAATGCCTGTGCGCCACACCCCCGTAACCCCGGAACAAAAACAACAGAGAAGAGGAGTAGTGTGCGTCTCATCTGCAGAAAAAGTAGCACGTCCATCATGTAGGACAAAAACAACGCTGTACGATGCTCCATCTTCTTGCTCCAAAATGCCCAGCAGCAGTGGTAGACACTTCTGACGTCTGGCATGGACATGCTGTTGTTCTTTACGGTTGTATGGGGTCGGAAACAGCACCACTGAAATGACCCATATCGCCCCCTAGCTTTGGGGAGGAGGACACGTTCAAGTCATTTATTCGATTTTCTCAGCTGCATGTATACGCCGACAAGGAGAGAAGTCCGATTAGGAAAAAAATATATATATATAAATTTAGTCCGAATAAACTGTGCATGTAAACGCACTGAGTGATACTAGCGGCGTTTAACCCTTGTGTAACGGTTAGATTTACATCCGTTGTTTACGCTCAGTGGCTAAAAAAAGCCACTGACATTGAGTGCTGTAAAAACATATTGGATTCAGATTTTTTTCAGATTTTTTTTCACACATCTCTTAATTGACTTCTGCTGTATTCAAAACTAGTAAATGTGTCATAAAAAAAATTCTAAATTTTAACCCTTTAAGGGCCAATTTTAAACATAAAGTCACTAATATTGGGAAAAAATGGGAGGAAAATGACTGATTTTTATAAGAAAACATAATCTGAAACTGGATATCTCTTGCAGGGTATTAAAGTCTTGAATATGTAAAGGATTAGTAATATCATTGACTTTGATGCCTTTTAAGTTTTTTTGTAGGATCAGATTTCCAAAAAACATCCTTTGTTAACGCTCAGTGGCTAGAAAAAGCCACTGACATTGACTGCTGTAAAAACATATTGGATTCATATTTTTTCCAGATTTCTTTTCACACATCTATCAGTTAACTTCTGCCCTGATCAAAAATAGTACATTTTTTATCTAAAAACATTTTTTTAACCCTTTGAGAGTCCATTCAAAACATAACACCACTGATATGGTACAAAAATACACAAAAATGACCTATTTTCATAATCAGAAATAGGCAATTTTTAATGTGTTGCATAATCTTGGCCTTGTTAAGGATTAGGAACCTCAGAAACCTTGATACATTTTTGTGTAAAATCTGACTGTCATAAAAAAATTACACTTACACTATTCATGTCTTTTATATACTCGCATTTTCTTTGCGTACCAGCAGGTGGAAGTAATGAAAAAATGTAACCAATTTTAACATTAGAACCAAACCATATTTTATCACTCAAAATGCAATAAAACAAAAGCCACAAATATACAACAACAGAGTATCAAACCAGAACAAACGACTAACTTTTGAGGGTGAAGCGGTGGAGAGGATTGAAAGAAACCTGGGAAGCCTTAGAGAGTGAATGTGTGAGAAATTGAGTGAGCAAAGAGAGATAAAATTTAAAAGTGTGTGTGTGTGTGTGTGTGTGTGTGTGTGTGTGTGTGTGTGTGTGTGTGTGTGTGTGTGTGTGTGTGTGTGTGTGTGTGTGTGTGTGTGTGTTTTCAGCGTTTGAAGCAAGACCTGCAGGAGATCACTCTGTGTTCATGCCAGATGTGTTTCCAAACAGGCCAGACAAAATCGGAAGCCCCAAAAAATGTGTGTTTGTGTGTGTGTGTGTGCATGTGAGAGAGAGAGAGAGGGGAGGAGCCTGCAGGTCATGACCCAGCACTGACCTGGCCACAAAAGTAAACTATGTTCTTCAGCTCTCAGAAGTACAGAGAGGTGGAAAAAAATGAACAAAAACAAAAGTGAGCTGTTATGTCTGGAGGTGTTTATAAACCTGCTATCTGGCCTTTTGATCTCCGGGGGCCCCAACCCTGGCTTCACCCCTGCAGTCTACAACTTGCAGATTCTAATGACCATTTTCTCATGAGAAGAGCAAGAGAAAGCATGAAGAGAAGCTTCAGCACCACGGAGGCCCTTGCAATGGTCATTGATTCTGATGGGATGGAATGTGACCCCCCACAGGATCCATCATCATTGTCTGGCCTGTTTTGTTCGAGGGGTGAATCTACTGCCTCGCTGTGGGATGTGGATCTCTCCTGGAACCGGAGAAAGTGATTCAGGAGGAGGCTTTTCCTGGAGGACCTGGGAACGGCTTTGGTGTCAAAAAGAACTAACAAAACCTTAGAGTTATGTGTGAAACACATCTGGCATGAACACAGAGTGATCTTCTGCAGGTCTTGCTTCAAACACTGAACACACACACACACACACACGCACAGAGCTGAGTTCTGGCTCAGCACATTACGACCAAGCTGGTAACGAAAGAGAATGCGAGTATAGAAAAGACATGAATAGTGCAAGTGTTTTTATGAGTGTTTTATGAAAGTTTCTATGAAAATCAGATATTACACAAAAATGCATCATAATTCCTGAGGTTCCTAATCCTTCACAAGGCCGACTATTTTGAAGTCATATTTTCAAAGTGTTCATCAATATAGGCATCTGCACAAAAAATCATCCCATTTGCTGCAGTAAAAAAAAAGTTACATGGAAATTAGTGGCTAAATTTTGCCCCAAGTGGCTTTTTTTAGCGAGACCGTTACATAAGGGTTAAAAAAGGGGGCAGTAGTGGACCTTCAAGCTGACTTGAAACAGGAAGAAGAAGACAGATTTTTGTGATTTATTTACAGGAAGTATTTTCTTATTTCAAAATAAAAGCACAGTTGTTATATCTGAAATATCTGTATAGCACAAGAAAAAAAAATTTGTCATAATAAGAAATGCAGTCTCACCTTTGACCCTGAGTCATGACATCATCAGAGATGGACGATGACTTCAGTTCACAAATATTCAAGGTCGTATCATAGACTGTCTCATTTCAGAGACCGCATCGGGCTAAGTGCACTTCTGCACCGTCGAACGGTGCATTTGAAGCGTGCATGACGTCATGACGGCGCGGACGGTGTCCCATTTGGTACGAGATGCTGAAAAAATGCTAAGCGCGCTTAGCATTTCTTAAGCGTGCATTTATGCAAGCTTGAAAAAGAGGCGGGGGCAGTGTGGTTTTGAGACCGAATTTGAAGCGCGCTTAGCATTTTGTGCCAAACGGGACACCGTTCGTGCCGCGTGATGACCTCACACACGCTTCAAATGCGCCGTTCGACGGTTGCGGTATCTGAAGTGGGACACAGGAAGGGTACATAACGGCACAAAACGGCAGTGCACTCAGCTAAGCACGCTCTGAAATGAGACACAGCCGGAGTTGTTCTTTCCTGACCCCGACGATGGCGAGAATGTGGCGCGATGATGTGTCGTCCGTTTGGATGAATGTGTTTGAGTTTGTTTTTCTCTTCGTTCATCTTTAGGAGATCCAGCCGGATATCGGCGCTCAGCTGTGTGCCCTGTTCCCATTGGATGAAAATGTTGACGTCCATCAGGTCGCTCGCCGAGTTCGTCACAAGCGTCGGACGCCGTCTGAACCCCGTCCCCGAGGCCGACCACCTCAGCGTGAACCGGGAAGGTTAGCCATTCATCAAGCTCCTCCTCCTGCTGCCCGTTCTCCTTCTTCTACTGCCGCGACCACGGCGCCACCTGCTGCCGGACAACGGAGACGGTTGCTACCTGTAGCCAGCGGCTAGCTCACCTGTGGCAAGCTTTGCTGGTTCTCTGGTTGTTGTCAGTTTTCCAGTTTGGATTTTTCTGCAGGAGCGACGCCACACGATGTGTTTTAGTTTAAAATCCTCAAAGTTCAGACAGGAAGTCTTAATCCAGAGTCAAGAGGTTTTGGTTTTACTTTACGGTACCAGAAAGAAAACATCCTTAACCTTTAGTCTGATTTTCAGGTTAAAGAAGTTTCAGAATAATGTTTTTATTTAAGATTTTGTCAGTTCCACAAACTCGCAGTTTGAATCTAAAGTTTTAGAATAATGTGCTTTCATCTTAAAGTTCAGTTTGAAGGTTTAAATCTAAAGTCTGAATCTAAATGTCTGTTTCTGAGCTCTCTCCCTGCAGGAAGTTCGGTCTGAGGAGGTTAAAAAAAGGGTTTTAGCTGGACTGTGGATCACCCTTTCAAAACAAAATCAGAGAGGACTCTGGACTGATGGAAGAGAGGCTGGGTGAGGGATGGGCGAGCGAGGTAGCAGTGAAAGAGAGAGAGAGAGAGAGAGGACCTCAGAGCGAACTGTTCTGGTTTTGAGGAGGAGGTCAGTTTGGTTGGGCAGGAGGCGGGGCCTCTGGACTACATCCAATCAGTGTAAGGTGTGATGGAGGGGCGGGGCCTCTGGACTCTTAAAGGTCAGGTGTAACGGAACGGTGGTGGGGGGGCAGAGTTGTCAAGGTAAACCTGAAAACATAAAAAGGACTGAAAGGACTTTGACCCCCACCCCCACCCCCCCACCCCCTTCCCCGCTTTCCCCCGCCACACACACACACGTACACACACAGAATCAGGACTCAGAGCGGTGTGTGTATTTTTCAGTGTGTCTGTGTGTCACCCTCTAATGAACTGAGTATAAAGGGCGTGGTGACGAGGAGGCAGGAAGCAGATTTTCAGAATAAAAGAATCGAGGATGGAGCGACAGGCCAGAGAAAGTTTCTGGTGTCTGTTAAAGACTTGTTCTGGTTCTGGAAGGGATGGGTCTGGGCTCAGAGAGAGTGGGAGGCTAGTTAACAGGACTGCATCATGTTCATCATCATCACTTCCCTCCACCTTTTCAAAATAAGAGGGTCTGTAAAATAAGAAGGACTGATGAGAAAAAAACTGTTTTTAGGAGGAAAAGTATTGTTGCCCCGCCCACATTTGCAGCTGAAGCGGTATGTTGTCCCTCAACAGGCTTTCTCTCTCTCTTTTGGTTTGTTTTTCTGTTTTCTTTCCTCTTTTTTCTGTTTTTTTTTGTGTGTGAAAAAGAAAACGTGTTGAAATTCTGTTTCTATGAGAATCTAAAACAAAAACATTTACCCTGGAAAAACTAAACCAACAAACTGAAAACCTGAAACGACAAAGAACAGAGAGTGTGTGTGTATCAGGAAAACAGACAAAACTTTAGCAATTAAATGATAAATGTTCAAGCAAAACAGGAAAATACCTCCCTAACCTTTCATAAAACAAAACTTCACAAGGAAAAAGTTCATGTAGGAAGATTTTCTAAGGAAAACTTGACAAACTGTATGAGGGAAAACTTAACAGTGAAAAAAAACATCAGAAAAACTAACAGATAAACAGTGTAAAACTTAACGTGAAAACTTTTACTGTGGAATAACAGGAAGTACTTAAGTACATAATTTACAGAGTAAACGTTTTTTTTTTAAAACTTGACTGTAAAAAATCTGAAACAGTAAAGAATCCGTCTGTAAAATCTCTGAAAGGTAAAGTTTAAAGACAGAGAGGCGGTGAGACTCGGGTCAGAATTTTAAAGGTGTTCAGGTTTCCAGCAGGTGTGTCCGATCTTACCTGTCCTTAACTGTAAACAGTAAGTGGGGCTGAGAGCAGCAGCTGGACCAACATCTGGGTTTAACAAAGACTCCCAGTTCAGACTCATTGAAGTCTTTAAGTTCAGAACAGCAGTCAGACTGAAGCCCAGTTTGGGTCACACCTGTTAGTGATTCTGGTTCTGCGGGTGTCAGACCATGTGAACACGTTTCCGTTTCAGCCGTTTACGGACCTTTAGAGCCAACCATCAAGAATGTCCAGATTGAACCCTGATCATACCAGAGACAGGACGGACCTGGTTCTGGTCCAGCTGGTTCACTCACCCCCTGATTCAGGGGTTTATCAGAGTGTGGGTCTGAGCTTTGACCTGCAGACTCCAGACTGGAGCTGAAGACTGCAGCCAAACGAGTTGAATTATTGTTTGTGAGTGAGTGAGTGAGAAAATTATATGCGTGTGTGAGAGTGAGTGAAAAATTTTCTGCGTGTGTGTGTCTTATTCTTTAACTTGTCTATGTAGGCGTCGTCCTGAGGAGTATGACCTCCATGGCAGGAAGCGACTACGAGCTGACGGTCCACCTGACTTCAACCAGCGAGCAGGTGGTCAATCTGAAAAACTGGAACCGAAGTTTCTTTTTCAAATTATCCTCTAAAATATCTGAAACACGCTGAACCTGGAAAGGAGACCTGAAGTTCTGATCTTCACCTGTGGAGAAACGAATGACATGAAAATCTCTGACATAGTTTGGACAAGTGTCTTTTTACACAGACTAAAAGTTGGAGGGTTACATTTTACACAGCTCTGGACTGTAATTCTTCAAGAGAAGAATGAAGGACACATGATTATCTTTGTTGCTATTTTAACATCAGTTCAGTCTAAAAATTGGTGAAATATTTTATTTACCAATTTGGCGAAGAGTTTGTGTAACACAGTGTGTGTGTGTGTGTGTATATATATGTATATATATGTATATATGAATATATATGTATATATGAATATATTATATATATGTACATACATATTTATACATATATGTACATACATATATATGTATATATATATAAATATATGTATATGTGTGTATATATATGTATGTATGTATGTATATACATATGTATGTATATATGTGTGTAGATCTATCCAGCAGGTCTCCTTTTTCAGTGTCTCAGAGTCTGATTGCTGCTAACAGTTTTTCATGCATTAATTATTCATGACTAAATATATTTTGGAGTGTTTTGATAGGAAATGATCTTGACCGTTTCTAGTTGAATTTCAGTTTAATTTTTTGTTTTTCTGCAAAGTTTCAAAAACTTAAATGATTTTGTGATTTTGCTGCTCACACATCTGAAAGTCCAAACTAATGAGAGTTATTTTAATTTCAGGGTTCATCCAAGACCTTCGTAACCAACCAGTAGACAGGTGAGGCCTCTTACCTCACCTTACACCAGGCATGTCCAAACTATTCCACAAAGGGCCTGTGTGGATGCAGGTTTTTCTTCCAACCAATCAAGAGCACCCAGTCTGACAAATCAGCTGTCTGCAGACTGAGATCAGCTGATGAAATGAATCAAGTCTGGTGTGCTGCTGCTTGGTTGGAAGAAAAACCTGCAGTCACACTGGCCCTTTATGGAATAGTTTTGACATACCTGTCTTACACAGATGACAGGAAGTAGGTGGAGCTACAGCAGCATTCTTGGACCAAATGACCTTGAATTCTGTCTTAATTTGATATGTAATAGTTTTGTTACAAAGTTGAGTTTTTTCACAGAAAGGTCAAAATATTCTCTTTATCAAGGGTTTAACTGAAAAGTCTGTTTACTCGAAGGGCTTTTATTTTGAAAAGATTGAAGTGTAAACAATCTTAAAAATACTGAATGAGCTTTAATGTTCATTTGTTTGTTTTAGGCGTTTCTCTGGAGTAAGACGAGACGTTTTCCTGAACGGGGTAAGTCCAAACCAGTTACCATGTTAGCTTAGTGTCTCATTAGCCTGTCGTCTGTGTCGTGAGCCCGTTCGCCGCGGCGTGCTAACCTGTGTCTCTGCCGCAGTCCTACGACTACATGAGGGACTATCACCACAGCGTGGGCCCCCCCACCCCGTGGCAGACCATGGTGAGTCATCACTCCGTAACAGCAGCTGACCTTTATTTGAATGTTTGACATGATTGGTTGTGATGATGATGTCATCACTGTGTCATCAGGCAGCCTATCCTGGCGTAGAGCAGCCCCCACCCCACCACCCCCCCTACTACCATCACAGCCACCCCCCTCCCCCCCCTCACCAAGCCTACCATCACCACCACCACCCGCCCATGCCGCCTCATGAGGCTCCGCCCCCTCGCTTCAGAGACAAGCAGCGGGCGCCGCAGCACCGCGCCTTCACCTCCAGCCCGGTGAGACTAACTGTTTCTTTCTTTGATCCAATCAGCTCTTTATCTTTTGTGTCTCACCTCTTTCTTTCCCATCATGCAGCATGACTATGACATGCGGGTGGACGACTTCCTGCGGAGGACGCAGGCGGTGGTGAGCAGCCGGCGAGAAAGGGAGCGACAGCGTGAACGGGAGCGTGGAGGCCCCCGCCGTGAACGAGAGCGAGTGAGGGAGAGAGACAGAGAGAGGGAGAGGGACAAGGAGAGGGGGCGGTACCGCAGGTGATCTGACGATGTCACATCCTGTCTGCCTGCCTGCAGGGCTTTTATTTTGACAATGTTTTCTCAGCTGTTTTCTGTTTGTTAAACATGAATAAAAAAAAAAATAATGGAATGATGATGTCTTAAGTTTAATTTTCGTCACAGGAAGTGACATCACTGCTCAGCACCACGGCTCTGTCATACGTGCTCCTGTGATTGTGTACATGTGGAAACATGGTTTCCCAGAATCCTCTGTCAGCAGCAAGAAGTAGTTTTATTTTAATGATTTTCTGCTTTAGTGGCTCCAGACATTTTATTTTGAAAGTCAAAGTGAATGTATCCTGTTTCTTTTATTGTGAAAGGCTAAAATGTTTTTTAACTCAAACCTTTTTTATTGTCTTTGTTTTGTTTATTCCTTTTAGGTTCTTTTATTTTGTAGTTCATGCATAACTTCCTGCATAAAGAGAATATATTAGCATGAGAAGTTTAGGCTCTTTGGTAGCGGCCAACTGGTGACCAGTGAATTCTGCTCCTTCATGATTGGTCGTTCCCAGGGTGACCAGTTGATGATGTGATTGGAGGGGCGGAGTTTGTTCTTTTATTTATATATATATTTATATATATATTAAAATCTGAAACTTTGTTTCTGTTTCTGTCAGTAGAGTTGAAATAAAATGAATAAAAATCTTTGTTTTTTCCACGGTAACCAGGTCGGCATGTTGACAGAAAACTTCTGAGTCGTTCAAATTTTCACTTTAATTTCAAAGGTTTCAAACCCGTCTGCCGTTGTCTCAGTCAGTTTTTTCTCGTGTTCGCCATCTGCAGCAGCGCCACAGGAAACGGTGAATACCCCACCACAAAAAAGCCAAAACTATTGTCATGGCAACCAGCAGGGCAGCACCAGTATCCATGCTATGGTACTGGAACCAGTTCAGATTGTGGGACGCCAACCGCAGATGTTTGGCTCCACCGTGTCGCATCACAAACTCCACCCAGAACACGGCTGTGTCTAGTGGCGCCACCGGCTGGTCACGCTGTAGAGCCGATAGGTGCTGAATGCTGGACTTGTAGCTGAGGATCATGGGAAAATAAGTCACTAATGTTTGCTTACATATTTGGGTGTTTTCATTGTGAAGGGGCTTGGTGTAAAAACAGACTTTTATTTTGAGAGTCAGATACTCTTTTATCAACATATAACCATGTAACGTGAAATGACCCTCCTGTGATGTCACTAACCTGGGTAGGTAGATGACCTTGTGCAGAGCCTCCACCAGCTCCTCGGAGGTCATGCGGTTAAAGTTGAGGACAATAGCTGCGCCCCGGCGGCTCAGGCGAGCTAAGTTATCTGGTTGATCAGCAAACAGAGGGACGCCAACAAGCGGCACAGCGTGATACACCGCCTCGTACAAACCATTAGTGCCGCCGTGTGTCACAAACGCTTTTGTCTGCGGGTGACCTGAGGGGCAGAGCCACACACACAAACACACACACACACACACACACACACACAAAGGTCGTACATGAGCTGCATTTCAAAGCTCTGAACTTTCACACACCTGCATCCTATTGGTCCGTTCACCTGATCTTAGTTCCACCCACCAGAGATGATGGATGGATGTGTGTGTGTGTGTGTTTGTACCAAGAAGGTCATTCTGTGGTATCCAATCAGAAATCTTCGTGTTTGTTGCCAAAGTTTTTGGAGGTTCTCCCTTGAACTTCCAAATCACGTAAAACACATAAACCCACACACACAAACATACGTGTCAGAATATGATGTTACTGACTGAGGACAGCACATGGTGAGACACTCATACCTGCTCAGCTGCACACAGATGTACAAAGCCCCCCCCCCCCCCCCCGGTTGATGTGGTCAGGGTTAGCGCTGCATTTCCTCAGTTTGGTGTTTATCCATAAACTGTCTATAATCTGCTTTAACAACACTGTATATAAACGACCATATACTGTCTGTAATCTACTTTAACAACACTGTATATAGATGACCATGTACTGTCTATAATGTACTTTAACAACGCTGTATATAGACGACCATAAACTGTCTATAATGTACTTTAACAAGACTGTATGTCGACGACTGTATACTGTCTATAATTTACTTTAACAACACTGTACATAGATGACCATATACTGTCTATAATCTGCCTCTCACAGACTTTAATGAGGAGGCCATGGAACAAGATCCAGACTGTCAACATCTCCACTCTGCCCGTGTTTTGATACTGTTCTGGGATAATTGCCAAGAAATAGAGACCACTGACTTCCAGACAAGAAAGCTCCCCACAAAACATGGAGGACGTCGCCCTCAAACCAATACTAAGAGGAAGGAACAAGGCCAAGGACTCGTGAGCATAGTAGCCACAATCCTGGATAAACTGCCAACATCCTGGATCACATTTGACAGAGGACCCCTAATGAGGAACTTGAGGGGAGTCACGGAAGGATGAGCTTCTGTATCACCAGAAGACAGAGGAAGTGGCTGACGGCTGGACTGAGGCAGAGGGACTAAGCATGGCCAAGAACTCGAAAAAGGCCCAAGCACAAGATCAGCAGAGGACAGGGTCTACCACACCAGAGCGGACTCCGGGGGCAGCCTGAGCAAAGTTGACCACAAGACAGTGCAGCAAATCACAGCAGGGAAGGAGAACATGGAGCACCATGACCAAGAGGCCAGCATACCTAAGAATCTGTGCTGAGTATGGACTAGGGGTCCCAGGATCAAGATAGGAGACCACCCTTAAGGGGTTGGACCTCCAGATCCAGACTGACAACCCTAATCACCCCGACATGGTGGTGCAGAAGAGGAACAAATGTGGCAGAAGATCTAGGAGACAGCAAAATCAGGACAGAGATACAGAAGAAGCTCGAAATGAATCTGGGGCTGGAAGAAGAACTGTGGTACCAGTTCTGAGCTGTGACCCCTAAACTGGGAGAATGGCTCCAGCAGGATCAGGGACCACATTAGAGGTTTCTGACCAGGGGAGCACAGTCCCAAGAAGAGCTTAGGTACTGCAGTGGAATGATTCTTGTTTCTATTTGGGTTGTTTCTGGGGAAGGATTTCAGTGTGACACCTTCTCTGAGAATGTTAAACCATCCATTCTGTGGAGTCAAGAAAGACCAGCATGAAACATGGAAGCTCCCAGACCTCTGTGAGAGGACCTGGGTTCAGAGAAAACTGCTGAGTCAGGAATTTACATATTTATATACAGTTTCAAGTAAAAGTACGTGAACCTGTACTTGGATTTCTGCATAAATTATGTTCTACTCTTCCCTGAAGTCACGACACAAGACAAACACCGTCTGCTTAAACTCAGACTGCACCAAAAATGATCTGTTCTCATGTTTTTATAGAGAACAACACGGAAACATTGAGGGTGGAAGAAGAAGTCTGTGAATGTTTGGATTGAATGTGGTTGAGGTCAGAACTCTGACTGGGCTGCTCTAGAAGGTTCCGAAGGTCCAGAAGGTCTATGTTCCTCTGTTGCTGATTTACTTCTACACTTTGGGTCATTGTCCTGATGCAACATCCATTCTCTAATGGGCTTCAGGTGGAGGACAGATGGTCTGAATTTTTCCTTCTTGATATATTTAAGAAATCATTTTTCCATCGGTGACAGAAATCCATCGAGGTCCTGAACCATCCAAACCATGATGCCCCTCTCCCATATTTCACACTTGAATGAGGTTTAGATGTTGGTACACGGTGTTGTATGTTCCTTCAAAACAACTCAACCTTGGTTCCATCTGTGTCCACAGTCGTGCTGTAGAACATCCAGTTCCCCTTTTGCAAACTTTAAAGTGCAGTCATGTTTTTTTTGGACAGCAGTGGTTTCCTCCAGCGTGTCCTCCCATGAACTCCATTCTTGTTTAATTGTTGACTGATTGGAGATTGTGAACACTCTCTGAGTCTTCTTCAGCTCATGGAGCTTTCTGCACTACATCCTTACAAAACAAAATGACCACACCTGGGGAGAGCAGCAACAGTCCTGAACTTTCTCCATTTGTCTTTTTTACCGTAGACACGTGAACTTCAGGACTTTTGGAGAGATTTTTGAAACCCTTTCCAGCTTCAGCAAGTCTTGATCGTAGGTCTCGTACATGGAGTAGGAAATGATCTCCTCTGTGAGCCCATGAACGTCTGCCCTGCTAAACGGGACCTGGAGGGACCAGAACCAGAACCTGAGATTAGAACCTGAATTCAGAATCAGAGCCTGAGGCCAGAACAACAACCTGCAGAAACAAGAACCTCGGACCAGAACTGAAACCTGAGACCAGGGACTAAGACAAACACCTGAGATCAGAAGCACAACTGTAGAACCAGAACCTCAAACAAAAACCAGTTCTGAGACCAAAATTAAAACTAGTCCTCTTAACTAGAACCTGAACCTCAAACTGTCAAGAGCAGAACCAACCTAAGACCAGAACCTGCAGCCAGAATCAGAGCAAGGACCTATGATAAGATACAGAGACTTTTATCAGAGCCAGAACCAGAAACTGATCTCAGGACCAGAACCTGCCACAGCAACATGACCTGTGTCAAGAACCATAACCATAACCTAAAATCAGAACCATACCTAGGACCACACTCACATCAGAATCAGAACCACAAGGCTAGGACAGCTTCATGGGAACAGCACCAGAACCTGAGACTAAAAAAAGACCAGAACCTGAGACTAGAACAGCACCAGAACCTGAGACTAGAACAAGACCTGAACCTGAGATCAGAACAAGGGGGCTAAACCAGAACCATAATCTTAAACCTGGACCAGAACCAGAACCATAGGCTCTGGACACAAGTAGAAATATTTGATCCAATAGAAATCTGAAGAATGAGACGGGACCTTGTAAACCAGGAAGTTGAACTTGTGGTTGAGGGCAGGGTCGGTGAAGTCGACCGATGGCGAGGCGTCGGGGACCGCCACGGTCACGGAGTGGTTCCTCCTCAGCAGCTCCTCTATGATGCTCCTCATGTTCAGCCAATGACTGTGCTCGCCAGGAAAGACCAGAACATGACCCGCATCAGCCTGGGGGGGGGAATAGAGGAGCAGGAGGAGGAGGAGAGGAGCAGAAAGGAGGAGACGAAGACGAAAATGAAGCCCCTGAAGAAGAAGAGGAGGAAGAACCTTCATGATGAGTGGAAACAGAAAAGTGCAGCTGAGTTTGATTTGGTCTGAAAAACTGAAGCTCAAAGTCCAGAAGAGCGAGAAAGAGCAGCTGAGAGCTGATTAGACAAAAAGACACTATATCATCAATTACAGACACGCCCCCTTAATCTAATTGGATTACTTTGGTGTCAACCCCAAACCATGAATGATCATTTGCTGTTTGAGGACATTTGTCCCTTTAAATAACTGGACTTTAATTTGGAGGGATATTTTGTTCAGAGCAGGAAGTCATCGCTTCGCTGTTGTGACTGTCGGGAGCTTTTATTTTGAAACTTGAAGCGGAAGTTCCGTCACTGTGTGCAGCATTGATTTGACGCCGGTCTGAGGTAATAACAGAGGCATCGATTCCTCTTGATATTCTAAGCAGATTCGGGTTTTTCCGGCCCAGTACTGTCCTAAAATGACAGATAGGAGGATTTGACAGAGACTTACGGACTAACTCCGGGGCTGAAGAAGGTAAAATGATGTTAAAATCTCCCAGTTTGTCCTGCTTTAACACTCAGAGTCTGTTCACGGCAGCTAGCTGCTTTTAGCTCGATCATTCTCCCTTTCTTTTCCCCGAATTCCGTTTCATCCCCACTTCAACCCCCAAAATCTCCGCTTTCCCCAAGTTTCCCCGCGTGTAACGTGAAAAAAATCCCAGTGTGATCAAATAAAACCGTAAAAATAATCAGTGATCAGTTCACACAGAAGATGGGTTCGATTTACAGGAATATTTACGGGATTTAACCACACGTCATGAAATCTCGCGAGAGAAAATGAGAGGAGCTCCGTCGGACTGTTTGTCTTTTTACAACAAATTTAATTTATTTTCAGTTTTAACTATTATTTTAACTCAACTCAACTTTATTTGTAAAGCACTTTAAAACAACCACAGCTGAACAAAGTGCTGTACATAAATGGACAAAACAACGCAGCCGTAAAAAAACAATCAAAACAATGGATAAAATGAAAGCAGAATTAGAAACTAAAATGTAGTTTCAATGTTTTTAAAAACAAATTTAAAAACATAGAAACAAATAACTAAAAATAAACCATAAAACACTTAAACAGGAGCCTAGTGTCATGCAACGTTAAAAGCCAATGAATAAAAATGGGTTTTAAGACGAGTCTTAAAAATGGACAGTGTGGGGGGCTTGTCTAATTTGGAGGGGTAGCTCGTTCCATAATTTTGGGGCTGTAACAGAAAAAGATCTATCCCCTCTGAGCTTCAGTTTTGACCTCGGTACCTCCAGGAGCAGCTGATCAGCTGACCTGAGGCACCGAGCAGGGGTGTAGGGGTGGAGAAGCTCAGAGAGGTAAGATGGAGCCAGACCATTTAAAGATTTAAAAACAAATAAAAGAATCTTAAAATGGACTCTAAAATGCACAGGTAACCAGTGGAGGGAGGCCAGGATGGGAGTAATGTGCTCCCTCTTAGGTACTCCAGTTAAGAGTCTGGACTAACTGGAGACGTGAGAGGGAGGACTGGCTGACTCCAATATAAAGTGCATTACAGTAATCCAGCCGAGATGTAACAAAGGCATGGATTACTGTTTCAAAGTGCTTATGTGCAAGGAATGGCTTTGCCTTGGCAAGCTGCTTAATATGGTAAAAGCTAGATTTCACAACTGAGCTAATTTGCCTGTCAAATTTAAAATCACTGTCCATCTTCAAACCCAAATTTGAGACGGTTGGCTTTAAATAGTCTGCTAAAATACAGGAGGGGATTGACACGGGCCACTGGGACCAAAGACCATCACTTCTGTTTTTCTCTCATTGAAATTTAAAAATATAAAGCCATCCAGGCTTTGATGTCTTCAAGACATGCCAGAAGTGGAGTGAGGGAGAAAGCATTTTTCTTATTAAGTGGCACATATATCTGACTGTCATCAGCATAACAATGAAAAGAAATGCCATGCTTTCTTAAGATGGAGCCCAGGGGCAGCAAATACAAAGAAAAGAGCAGGGGCCCTAAAATCGACCCTTGTGGAACCCCATACGGCAGTGGAGCAGAGCTGGACTCTGTATCGCCAAGGCTCACACTCATTGTGCTGTCTGTCAAATAAGACTCGAACCACTCTAGTGCAGTACCACGGATACCTATAGGGTGGCGTAGTCGAGCCACCAGAGTATTGTGGTCCACTGTGTCGAAAGCTGCAGTTAGATCTAACAGAACAGGAATAACATAATCACCAGAGTCATTTGCCTGGAGGATGTCATTAAAGACTCTTAATAAAGCAGACTCTGTGCTGTGACGAGTTTTAAAACCAGACTGGAAGACCTCCAAGACCCCTTGCTCATCCAGAAAAGACTCTACCTGAACATGAACAACTTTCTCTAAATTTTTTTAAATAAAGGGAAGTTTGGAGATTTAACTTAGTTTGAATGATCTCTGTCTGAACTAAAACACCAAAGCTGTTCAATAAAAATAAACCAACAATTTAATCATCAGGAAGATCATAACTTTCAAAATAAGAGTCAATTAACTGTCATTACAAAGATGTGGGTGAAACAAGAATAATCAAAGTTAAAGTTAAAAACGGACATAGCAGAGGGGCTGGACTAGTTTGAGGTTCCTGAAGACGTTTCACCTCTCTTCTTTGATTTTTAATAATGACATAATGTAATAATGAAATATTGTAATAATAAACTCCCCTTCCTCTCTAAGATCGTGGAGAAAGTTGTTTTTAGTCAACTGCAATCATTTTTAGACAGAAACAGCATCCTCAAGGTGTTCCAATCTGGTTTTAAAGCACAGCACAGCACTGAAATAGCACATTTAAAGGTTTTTAATGATATTTTATTGCTCACTGATTCTGGAGATTCAGCTGCTCTTGTCCTTTTAGATCTGCAGCTTTTGTCGATCACAATATTTAATTTCTCGTCTTGAACATTGGGTGGGGATTAAAGATATTGCCCTGGAGTGGTTCAGGTCATACCTGGCTGACAGGAGCTTCTCTGTCAGCCTCCTCCTCAGCTCCTCTGATGCCACCTCCTCCTCAGCTCCTCTCCCATGTGGAGAACCCCAAGGTTCTATTCTTGGCCCAGTCCTTTCCTCCCTATTTATGCTCCCCCTGGGATCTATATCTGTAAAATATAACATTTCTTTTCATTTCTATGCTGATGATACGCAGCTGTGTTTACCCCTGAAATTAGGAGCTTCAAATTGCCTTGGGCCCACTGTTGGACTGTCTTAGGGACATTAAAACCTAGATGCCTCTTAATTTTCTTACATTAAATGAGAGTAAGACTGAAGTTGTTGTCTTTAGACCACATGGCAGCAGCCCCAGAGCAGGGGGGTATTCCATGAAGCTGGCTAAAGAAGGCTGGGCTATCACCGGTAAGCGTGGCTTGAATAAGCGGCCACTTTAATCTTAGCTGCGACTCGTTCCACTAACGAGGCTCAGCTGTTTCTCATCAACTCTTATTGTAGCCAGGCTGATCCAAGCCGCGGCTATGCGCGCCTCCGCGGTACATAAAAAGCCCCGTAAAAAGACGTATTGATTGTCAAAATGACGAGATCATGGGGAAAAAAAGGGCAGAGCGGAGTCTTTCTCAGCAGCGGAGCAAACACTCCTCATGGAGTTGTACAAAGAGTACAAGGGAAAAATTCAAAAGAAGGGCAACACTGTTGCGATTGTGAAAGCCAGGGAGATGGCGTGGTTAAGTATCGCAGACCGTTTAAATTCGTAAGTTATAGCCGACAAATATTTTACAACCGACACGTCTTGATGCAGTCAGCCTGCTTGGCTGTCTAATTTTATTCCTCACTTATGCATATGTACTGTAAACACTTTTTTTTTTTTTTTTAACTTTTCATCTCATGTATGTGCAGCTCACTCATACAGTCTGTCAGCCTCTGTGCAGCACCTTCTCAGCAAGCAGGGGCACCTACAGCAGCAGGGGGCGCCAATTTGACAAGAGTTAATACAAAACCACTTTGTGTTGCAGATTTATCATTATTATTATCTTTTTTTTTTCTTTTTTGGAAGTGCTCGTGCCGCCCCCCATGAATCATGACACAAATGCCTCCCCGGATGGCTGCCCGGTTCGCCCGTGCCTAGAACAGCTACTGTAATTTAGGCATAATTCATGTTCTTGATTTGACAAATAGTCAAATCAAGTCAAGTCAAGTTTATTTGTATAGCACATTTCTGCAGCAGGGCAATTCAAGGTGCTTTACATGAAACAAGCAGGCAAAACATTTAACATAATTTGAAAAGTATAAACAGCGTAAAAGACATTTAACAAATTAAAAGTTACATTCAAAGCTAAAATTAGGTTGGAGATAAAAGAAGACAAAGCTTAGATTGGAGAGAGAGAAAAAAAAAGGATCAAGACAGGCAAATGATGAAAATGTTGTTTAGAGGCCTCAGGTTTGATTTAATGATAGGCCACGGCAAACATATGGGTTTTCAGCTGTGATTTAAAAGAGCTGAGAGTTTCAGCAGACTTACAGTTTTCAGGGAGTTTGTTCCAGATATGAGGAGCATAAAAACTAAAAGCTGCTTCTCCACGTTTAGTTCTGACTCTGGGGACAGAGAGCAGACCTGCTCCTGATGATCTGAGCGGTCTGGATGGTTCGTAACGTACCAGCAGATCAGAAATGTATTTTGGTCCTGAACCATTCAGTGCTTTATAAACCAGTAATAGTATCTTAAAATCAATTCTTTGGCAGACAGGAAGCCAGTGTAAAGATCTGAGAACTGGGGTGATATGATGTACTTTCTTGGTCTTAGTGAGGACTCGAGCAGCAGCATTCCGAATCAGTTGGAGCTGTCTGATGGATTTTTTGGGGAGACCTGTGAAGACACTGTTACAGTAGTCGAGTCTGCTGAAGATAAATGCATCGACAAGCTTTTCCAAATCCTGCTGGGTCATCAGTCCTTTAACCCTTGATATATTCTTCAGGTGATAGTAGGCTGACTTTGTAATTGTCTTTATGTGGCTGTTAAGATTCAGGTCTGAGTCCATGACAACACCAAGGTTTCTGGCTTGGTTTGTGCTTTTTAACATTATCGATTGAAGCTGAGCGCAGAATTTTAATCGATCTTCTTCTGCTCCAAATACAATTACTTCAGTTTTATCTTTGTTTAGTTGAAGAAAATTCTGACACATCCAATCATTGATTTGTTCAATGCACTGACTCAGTGTTTGTATTGGATTGTAGTCGCCTGGCGATATGGTTATGTAAATCTGTGTGTCGTCTGCATAATTATGGTAAGATATTTTGTTGTTTGCTATGATTTGAGTTAGAGGGAGCATGTAGATGTTGAATAGGAGTGGCCCCAGAATGGAGCCTTGGGGAACCCCACATGTCATTTTTGTTAGCTCTGATGTGTAATTACCTAGAGACACAAAGTAGTCTATATCCTTTAGGTAGGATGCAAACCAGTTTAGTACTGTTCCAGAAAGTCCCACCCAATTTTCCAGTCGATCGAGTAGGATGCTGTGGTCAACCGTGTTGAAAGCGGCACTGAGATCGAGCAATACTAGGACTGAAATTTTGCCATTGTCTGAGTTTAAGTGGATGTCGTTAAAGACTTTGATAAGAGCAGTCTCAGTGCTGTGGTGTGGTCGAAACCCTGACTGGAAAACGTCAAAACAGTTGTTTAGGACTAAGAAGTTGTGAAGCTGTTGGAAGGCTGCTTTTTCAATGATTTTGCTTAAAAACGGGAGGTTCGATATAGGCCTATAATTGTTCATTACTAAGTTGTCTAGGTTGCTTTTTTTTAGGAGAGGCTCTATGACAGCAGTTTTCAGGACCTGTGGAAAGACACCTGACAGAAGTGACATGTTGACAATCTGTAAAAGATCTGATACCATGCAATTAGAAACTGTTTTAAAGAAATAGATATCCATAATGGATTAGTATAGCAGCTACAGGTAAGACCTAAAACCAAAGGAGGCAAACTTAGACAAAAAGTGAAGAAAAACATGTACCTGGAGATGTCTTTCTTTTTTTTCTTTTTTTTTATTAGGGATGATGGTGGCACAGCGCCCTTCATTTAATTAAGGGAGAAGACACAAATGAGCTTGTACACAGAATAGTCATGCCACCATTTGCCATCACCTTTACATTATCATCATCATAATCAGAATGGATGTCTGAATGTTGCAGCCTTCAGTGTTTTGGATGAGATCATTTGTGCCTTTATTCTGTTATGTGTTGACAGTACATTGAGAGTCACAGAATAAAAGATAGAAAGTCAGATATTTCCAGATAATTACCGCTGACGGGATCGAGCCCACAGAGCAGTGAAAAACACATTCTACCGACACTCCTCTTTACCCACTCAGCTACTGAATTTCTCTTTCTCTTTGAGGTTGGCGTAGTATTGGGTATGTCCAAATTGTCGTGGAAGTTTTTTCCGTTGCTGCTAGTGAAGAATGAAATAGAGACTTTTGGCAGCTGACAAGGTTTTATTTTCTTTGCAAAGAAAAGGTCAATCTGCATACGAGCAGTCAGAATCAAGAAAGACCCAGAACATGGGGAAACCTGAACATTTATGCTTGTTATGTTGGCATCTTTTGTTTTCTGAGGGGACCATCACTCCACCCCCCTGGGGTGGTGGTGGGGACGTTTCACACCTGGAGCATCCTGCAGGATGTTGTTTCTTGCTGGGAAAGTAAGAGGTCTAGACATCACAATTAACTGATATGTTGGTAGGAAAGTCTGTTGTGGGGGGCACCTCAAGCAGTTCTAACAAAATTACAATTACACCGGATTCCCGTATTCCTATGTTGTTTTAAAAAGTTCTCAATTTATTTTTCCGAACAAGAGCATCATTTATTACAGATAAAGATGAAATTACTGTGTGACATGCGGTTCACAAAGCGTCTTCTGGAAGCCCGTCGGACCTTCTCTGAGACGCAGCTAAGGTTAGCTTGACTGTAAGCCTGCCTGGGACCAGGGGCCTGTTCTACGAAGCAGGATTACTGCTTAGCGAGGTAACTTCGAGGATAAGTTCGGGGTTTCCTGTTCTACGACGCGGGTTCACTTCTTAGCGAGGCGAGTCTCCATGGCAACATACACTGAACGGCTAACCTGCTCCGGGGGTTAAGGTTAAGTTCCAGATTGAACTCACCGAGTATAAAAACCCCGCCCACTGACCAATGAGCTCTCTCGAAAAACGGCTTGTCCGTTCTTGGAGGATCCTATAGACCTCGGTGGTCGCATTGTCCGAGGAGGAGCACTCCGGCGCGCAAGAGTTTATAGGGACCGCACGGACCCACTGACTTTTCCGGATGACCACCTTTATGAAAGGCTCATATGGCCGACATATCACACAAAACATGTAAACACGATAGGAATGAACAAATGAGTGAATTTATCTTGGAAATGAATGGGCATGAGCTGCATGGGCTGTGTGATCACAGACAACATCTCGGTACTATTTGGTAGCAGCGCACGTCCCTTATAATAACCCCCGTAAATACTGTTCTTCAGGACTGCTTACTTGTGCTTCCTACCTACTGTAATAACCGTTGTTCTAGCCCACATGCAACATTTTTGTTCTCATTCATGAAACGCTTAAATCAGGGACATTTTCGGGGACAGCTTTAGCCGGGGACAGATCATCCAATTCGGGGACTGTCACCTTAGTTAAAAGCGCATGTTGAACAGTGCTATTTCAGGGTGAGAATGGCATCAAAGATGCATTTTCTGCCAGCATTCCCTCCGTGCTTTTGCGGCGGCGACGGTGTTGCTTTTGAGGTTTATGGTAGCTTTGAATTCTTCATACTTTCTCATGATCGTCTTCTGCTCCTCGTTTGTAAAGTACGCAGTCCTTCACTCTCCAGCCTGCTCTGACGCTCCAGACTGATCCATGTTCACGATTGGTCAGATGCGGCGGGCTCCGCCTTATATGTGTGCACGCGCTCATGGCAAAGCTGGATCCACTTATGAGGTTGATAACCAGCATCGTAAAACCGCTTAGCGAGACCGCTTTGCGAGACCGCTGGCTACCGCGCTAAGTTGAGCGAGGTAGCTCCAAGGCTACCTCGCTAGGTTGAACTTGCTTCGTAGAACAGGCCCCAGGCTTGTAGCGCTGGCTGAGTTACCATGGTTACCAAGCCATGCTAGACCTAATATAAGCCCGGCTTTGAGGTAAGCCAGCTTTGTGGAATACCCCCCAGATCTGTCCACCTTTGAGCCCTTCCTTAAAGACGTCAAAAATCTGAAGGGTTATCATGGACAGAGATTTGAAAATGGATCTGCAGATAAATGCAGTTGTAAAAGTTTTTATCATCTTTGTCTTTAAACAAGGTCAGGTTTTTTTTTTTATCTTTTAGTGATTTTGAGAAGGTTATGCATGCTTTTATCACAACTCGTCTTGATTATTGTAATGCACTTTATTTTGGTGTCAGCCAAACCTCTCTTAATGGTTTACAGTTTGTTCAAAATGCAGCAGCTCGTGTTTTATCTGGTCGCCGTAAACATGACCACATTTTCCCTACTTAAGCCTCTCTTCACTGGCTTCCTGTGCGTTTTAGGATTGATTTTAAAATTTTGTTATTAACTTATAAATCTTTAAAAGGGGCTTGCTCCTTTTTCTCTCTCAGACCTTTTAAAACCCTATATTTATCTGGGACTCTCAGATCCTCTGACCAGCGCCTTCTGACTTTCCCTAGGACAAGATTAAAGTTCAGGGGTGACCGGGCTTTTTCCATCGCTGCGCCTAAGCTCTGGAACGCTCTTCCTCTTCATGTCCGTCTGTCCCCCTCACTGCCTGTTTTTTAAATCACATTTGAAAACACACTTTAACTCCTGAGAACTTGGCCTTTTAATCCTGTTTTTACTGAACCATCCATGTCCCCCTGTTTTTAATGTCTTCCTGTGTTTTTGTTTTATTGTCTGTGTTAATTGTCTGTTTTTATTGTTTTAAATTTTTTACTGTACAGCACTTTGGTCAGTGTTTTGTTGTTTTTAAATGTGCTTTATAAATAAACTTGGATTGGATTGGATATTGCTTCAAAGTGAATTAGATTTACTCAGTTTAATTAAAAAGAGTTTTATTAGTCTGAAAACTGAATCAGGTGAAAAACAGAAAAATCAAACAGAATGAAGAGATTTCGAAAACAGGGATTAAACATGTCTTTATACACGAATTATTGGAGATAACTCTATCTCTTTTTCAGTCCTTGCCATGCTCACTCGACCACCGACATTGTCTGAGAGTGAGGACAGGGGGCGGGGCCTAGTCGAAGTAACTCCAGACCCTGCTGTCCCATTGGCTGATGAAGCTGATGACGTCATAAAAACACCGACAGGTTAGTCGTTAAATATGTGGATCTTGGTTTGTAGTTTGAACGGGATTAAACATCTTTATGAAAAAATTTCTCTGGTCTGTGTTTAAAACTCTGCAGCAGAAGTTTGTCAACGTTTAAACTTTAAAATCAAATCGAATCAAATCAAATCTAAAATATCTGATCATTTAAAAATTACAGAAACTTTAACATTTCCACGAAACCAAACATGTCCAAAGTTCTTACGTTAAATAAAAAAACATCTGGAGGAACATCTCCAACAGGTAAGTCACATGACTGGGTCACATGACCGGAGTCTCTCTGACGTTCTGGATTCTCAGTTCTGGACCATAGACTGTATATAGAATGGACGCCGTCTGCCTCCTCACGGGATGAAGCCACTCCGAGTACAGCACCCTCTGTTGATGGGCTGCAGTATAGGTCATAAATCCCGCCTCCGCCAGCAAAGCTTATGGGGCTGTGGACCAACTTTAGAAATTTATTACACAGAACATACATTTTTCTCCCCCCTGCTTGTGATGTTGACATGTAGTTATTGTAAGACTGGTTTGTGCTCAAGTCCTCTTTTTTTCTGTGAAGCTCCATTTTTAAAAGTTATTAGGAGGTTCATATTTTCTATGATTGACACCTGATACAGCCTATGGGCGTTCAGGGATTGAGTAGCTCTCCCGGGGGATACGCTGTTTGAGCGGAGCGTCATCACAGTGACTCTCTGCGACTGCGCGGCCGAATGCACACAACGCTACTGCACAGAGTTTTTTGGCTTCAAATCCGTATACAGGCGGTAGGCGGAACCAGGTTGTCCATAGTATATACAGTCTATGTTCTGGACTTTAAAGGTTCTAGTTTTACGGTGGAACGACCTTCAGTTTCCACAGAGAGAGAGAAGTTCTGACTCCTCATTTGTTTTTTCTCTTTCAGGAGGTTTTGGTCCTCCTCCTGCATCTCCTTTGACAGTCTCCCCCATCCACTCCCTATCACCATGTCCCCCTCCTCACCCTCCCCCCACTCCTCCTCCTCCTCCTCGCTGCACCTCCTCTGCTCCTTCTCTCATTCGTTTGACTTCCTTTCTCTTCTCTCCTGATTCTTTTGTTCCTCCTCTTTTTACTCCTTCTCCTCCTCCTCGCTGCACCTCCTCCAGGTCTCCATCTCTGCTCCGTCACTCCTCCTCTGCTCTTTCGTCTTTAAACCCTAATCCTCCATGCATCTCCTCTGCTCCCTCTGTTGCTCCTCTTTCCTCTTTTCTCTCTCCTTCTTTCCGTGCTTCACCTCCTCTCAGGGTCTCTCCTTTTTGTAATCCTTCACCACCTCGCACCTCCTTATCTCCTTGCCCTACTTCCAATTCTTCTCCCTCTGATCCTCCTCCTTCTCCATCATCCTTCAGTTCTCCTCCTCCTCCTCTTCCTTCTCCATCATCTGTCACTTCATCTCCTCCTCCATCATCCATCACTTATTCTTCTCCTCCTCCTCCTCTATCATCTGTCACTTATCCTCCTCCTCCATCATCTTCCACTTCTCCTCCTCCTCCTCCATCATCTGTCACTTCTCCTCCTCCTTTCCACATCCCCTCTGCTCCCTCTTCTTTCCATCCATCTCCTACCTGCACCTCCTCATCTCCCTCTTTAACTTCTACTCCCTCCTTTCTCTCCTGTCCTCCTTTTTCCACTCCCTCTCCTCCTCCTCCTCTTCCCCCATCATCATTCCTTGCTACTCCTCTTTCTTACTCCTCCTCTCAAAGATCAACTGCTCCCCCTGCTGTGTTTTTAAAGTGTCTTATTCCTCCTCCTCCCTCCTCTCCTCCTTCTGAGTCTATTACTTCCTTTGCTCCAGGTTATCCTCTCACCTCCTCTGCTCCTCTTTTCTCTCTTTCTTCCTCCTCCCCTCCTCCCCCTCTTTCTTCGTCCTCTGCTCCTCCGCCCCCTCTTTCTTTCTCCTCCTCTCCTCCTGTTTCCAGTGCTCCTGCTTCTCCTTTTTCTCCCCTGTCTGTCTCTTCTTCTGTCCCTCCCTCTCTCCATTTTTCACCTCCATCCTTGTCTTCAGATTCTGTCCATACCACTCCTCTTTCTCCTTCTCCTCCCGCCCCCCCCCCTCCTCATCCATGTTGTCCATGCTCCGTTCTCCTACCCCGCCTCCTCTCAGCTCACAGGTTAGAAGTGCGGCGTCTTCTGCAAGGAGCTCTGGCTTCTCTGGGTCGTCGTCTAGACTCTCTGGAGAGGAGGAGGGGGAGGAAGAGAAGGAGGAGGAGAAGGCATAGGGGAGAAGAGGAGGCAGGGAGTTCTCCAGGTGAGTTTGATACGTCTCCTCCTCCCGCTGTTAGCCAATCAGCTGTAAACTAACCTGACTTAAACTAACCTGGTTTAAACTAACCCTGACTTAAACTTACCTGGTTTAAACTAGCCTGATTTAAACTAACATGGATTAAAGTAACCGTGACTTAAACTAACCTAGTTTAAACTAGCCTGACTTAAACTAACCTGGCTTAAACTAGCCTGTCTTGAACAAACCTGGATTAAACTAGCCTGTCTCTGACTCACCTGGGGCCTGTTCTACGAAGCAAGTTCAACCTAGCGAGGTAGCCTTGGAGCTACCTCGCTCAACTTAGCGCGGTAGCCAGCGGTCTCGCTAAGCGGTTTTACGACGCTGGTTATCAACCTCATAAGTGGATCCAGCTTTGCCATGAGCGCGTGCACACATATAAGGCGGAGCCCGCCGCATCTGACCAATCGCGAACATGGATCAGTCTGGAGCGTCAGAGCAGGCTGGAGAGTGAAGGACCGCGGACTTTACAAACGAGGAACAGGAGACGATCATGAGAAAGTATGAAGAATTGAAAGCTATCACAAACCTCAGAAGCAACACCGTCACCGCTGCAAAAGCACGGAGGGAATGCTGGCAGAAAATGCATCTTTGATGCCATTATCACCCTGAAATAGCACTGTTCAACATGCGCTTTTAACTAAGGTGACAGTCCCCGAATTGGATGATCTGTCCCCGGCTAAAGCTGTCCCCGAAAATGTCCCCGATTTAAGCGTTTCATGAATGAGAACAAAAATGTTGCATGTGGGCATGAACAACGGTTGTTACAGTAGGTAGGAAGCACAAGTAAGCAGTCCTGAAGAACAGTATTTACGGGGTTATTATAAGGGGCGTGCGCTGCTACTAAATAGTACCGAGATGTTGTCTGTGATCGCGCAGCCCATGTCCATTCATTCCCAAGATGAATCATTCATTTGTTCATTCCTTTCGTGTTTACATGTTTTGTGTAATATGTCGGCCATATGAGCCTTTCATGAAGGTGGTCATCCGGAGAAAACATTCCCTGTAAACTCTCGCGCGCCGGAGTGCTCCTCCTCGGACAATGCGAGCACTGAGGTCTACAGGATCCTCCGAGAACGGACAAGCCATTTTTCGAGAGAGCTCATTGGTCAGTGGGCGGGGTTTTTATGCTCGGTGAGTTCAATCTGGAACTTAACCTGCCCCGGAGCAGGTTAGCCGTTCAGCGTATGTTGCTATGGAGACTCGCCTCGCTAAGAAGTGAACCCGCGTCGTAGAACAGGAAACCCCGAACTTATCCTCGAAGTTACCTCGCTAAGCAGTAATCCTGCTTCGTAAAACAGGCCCCTGGTTTAAACGAGCCTGACTTAATCTAACTTGGTTTAAACTAACCTGGTTTAAACAAACCTGGTTTAAACTAGCCAGACTCAGATAAACCTGGTTTAAACTAATCTGGTTTAAACTAGCCTGACTCATACTAACCTGGTTTAAAGTAGCCTGACTTAATCTAACCTGGTTTAAACTAGCCTGACTCAGACCCACCCATTTAAACTAGCCTGACCTAGTCTAACCAGGTTTAAACTAGCCTGACTTATACTTACCTGGTTTAAACTAGCCTGATTTTAAATAACCTGGTTTATACTAACCCTGATTTATACTAACCTGGTTTAAACTAGCCTGACTTAATCTAACCTGATTTAAACTAGCCTGACTCAGACCCACCCGTTTAAACTAGCCTGACCTAATCTAAACAGGTTTAAACTAGCCTGACTTATACTAACCTGGTTTAAACTAGCCTGATTTTAACTAACCCGGTTTAAACTAACCTGGTTTAAACTAGCCTGAATCAGACTAGCCTGGTTTAAACTAGCCTGACTGTGACTCACCTGGTTTAAACTAGCCTGGCCTAAACTAACCTGGATTAAACTAGCCTGACTTAAACTCACCTGATTAAAACTAGCCTGACTCAGACCTACTTGGTTTAAACTAGCCTGACTTAATCTAACCTGGTTTATACTAGCCTGACTCATACTTACCTGGTTTAAACTAGCCTGATTTTAATTAAAATGGTTTTAACCAGCCTGACCTAAACTAACCTGGTTTAAACTAGCCTGACTTAAACTAATTTGGTTTAAACTAGCCTGACTCATACTCACCTGACTCATACTCACCTGGTTTAAGCTAGCCTGACTTAAACTAGCCTGACTTAAACTAACCTGGTTTAAACTAGCCTTACGTGAACTGTCGTTTTGTTTTTGTTGTCGCTGGTCGGAGTAAACCGTCCTGACTGGAGCATCAAAAACATAAACATTTGATCCCGTTTTAACTTTCAGGTTTTGCGTCCCTTCACCATAGCTCCACCCACCCCCCACCTGTAACTACACGTTCATCACCTTCATCTTCATTCTCATCATCAGACAGCGAGGACCCACCCATCCCAAACACATCGTCTGGCTTGAACCGATCAGAGCAGAAGAGGAGCAGAGGAGGGGAGGATCACAGTGGGAGAGGAAGAAAGAGGAGGAGGAACAACGGTGGAGGGAGAGAACGCCAAATTTTTCCTGGAGACAAGGAAGAGGAAGAGGAAGAAGAGAAGGATACTGGAAGATTTGTGGGGCGGATGGCGGTCTCTTTTAAAAGAGTAGGAGGAGGAGGGGAGCTGCCCCTCACTCTGCACAACTTTAACCACCGAAAACGCAAAAGAGACGACAGCAGAGCCAGCCATTCAGAGATGGCCCTGAGCATGGTCAGGCGGAATGGTTACAGAGTGCTGCACAGGTGAGAGAGGGCGAGCGACAGACTGTGAGAGAGAGAGAGAGAGAGAGAGAGAGAGAGAGAGAGAGAGAGAGAGAGAGAGAGAGAGAGAGAGAGAGAGAGAAGAACCAATCAGAAACTAACAAATCAATAATAACAATCATCTGTCTGCTCTCCTCCCTCAGATCATCCTCACCTTCTTCCCAGCATGCCTTGCACCTACTGCAACCCGCCAAGAGTGGTTACACCAGCAGCCAATCAGAAGCACTCAACATCTCTTCGGGCCAATGGTGTTTCTCAGACCTCTCCTCCCCCCTCTCCCCCTCAGCCAATCACAGCGTCCTCCATCTCTGTCTAAGCTCCTCCCCCTCCTTCAGTCTCACGCCTTTACTGCGTCTATCAGTGGTTGCCGTGGAGACCATGTCAGACCGTGTTAGGGGAGGAGTTTGTGTTCGTCCCCTGCGGTCTCTGGAGGATTGGACGGCCCCCCCCAGTCTAACTGTTGACCACAGGTGGGCGGGCCTTATGTGTTTGTTTACAGAGGATGTCAGACTTTAACCTTTGAACTTTTAACTGTGTTCCTCCTTCAGCTCTTTGAACCTTTACCTGAACACTCACCTGGAAATTCACTCACCTGTTTGTCTCTCCTTACAGCTATGTGCGCACGTCATCACCAAGGTAACGATCTTCAACAACAGCAAACACTTTTCAATCAGACTCACCTCTGATAGACTCACCTGTGTCACACTCACCTGTGTCACGCTCACCTGTGTCGAACTCACCTGTGTTAGACTAACCTGTATCAGACTCAGACTCACCTGTGTCAGAATCACCTGTGCCATCTCACCTGTGTTATGGGCCTTACACACCAGGCGCGAATTCGTCAGGCGAATTATTCGCCTTTTTTTAAAACATCATAAAGTCAATGGAAGCTTCCACACTGGCGACGATTTTCACGGGGACGAAAAGCCGCTTTTATTTTTTCGCTCTTGTGTCGAATTTTTCGGATATTCGCAGGCGAATATCTGGACCTGCTAGACCTCTGGCCAATCAAAAGTCATGTTGTTGATGACGTCACAGACCCATATGGCTAGAGGAGAGGGATAAGTTTGAGATTGTGAAAACGCAGAGAAAGACAGCTGAGGTGCATCCAAAACGCTTTCTAATTACTAAAGAAGTAGTTTTTTCACAAGATGACACTCTCTTGTCTTCCTTAGGAGACAGATGTCATGCACACTTCACAGGATGACCGCCTCATCATGCCTGATTCTCCCTCTTAGCTGTTTGACATACCGATGATCTGCAGCTACAGGGCCAACAGAATGACCAGACAAATTGAAGGATCTCTGCTCAGCCCTCGCCTCTCCTGGCTGCTGCGGCGTCTCTCACAGCTTTTCCTCCTCTTTCTCCCTCGCTCATAATGCTAGACATGTCAATCAGCAGCCGTTCACACGACACACACCACCACTGGCACCAAGAGCAACGATGGGAGAGAGGCTGGTAATTGCGGTACAGGACCACCCCGCATGTATACGCATATTCGCTTCGCGCCCGGTGTGTATAGGTGAAAGCGATTTTTCGGACCGGCGAATATTTTTGCATTTTCGTCTCGCTTTTTCGCTTCGCTCCGCAAATTCGCCGGTGTGTAAGGACCTTTAGACTTACCTGTATCAGACTCAGACTCACCTGTATCAGACTCAGACTCACCTGTGTCACACTCACCTGTGTCACACTCACCTGTGTTAGACTCACCTGTATCACACTCACCTGTGTCAGACTCACCTGTATCAGACTTAAACTCACCTGTATCAGACTCAGACTCACCTAGCCTGGCCTGGCCATCCTGTTGCGTGAATCACTTGCCGTTCCTTCCCACAACAGTCTGGACTTCGGCCCATTGGGAGCGTGTATTCCCGATCAGAAAATAACCGGGCCAATCAGAGACCGTGTTTCCACTGTTACCCGTACAACAGGGAAAGGCAGCCCCTGATTGGTCCATGTGTAAATGGTGACGTCCAACACATGCTGCGGGACTTTTCAAAGCCCTGTTCATTCAGAATGCCGTTAATTCTGCAGTTGACTTTGCAATGTCGGCAGAAATCGTTTATATCTGACGTCTTCTTCGGATATAAACATTTCTACCGACTTTGCAGAGTCAATAGTGTTCTGAATGATCGGGGCTTTAAAAAGTCCCGCAGCATGTGTTAGGCATCTCCATCTACACATGGACCAATCAGGGGCTGCCTTTCCCTGTTGTCCGTGTAATAGTGGAAACGCGGTCTCTGATTGGCCCGGTTATTTTCTGATCGGGAATACACGCTCCCAGTGGGCCGAAGTCCAGACTGTTGTGGGAGGAACTGCAAGTGATTCACGCAACAGGATGGCCCAGCCAGGCTAAGACTCACCTTTATCAGACTCAGACTCACCTGTGTCAGATTTACCTGTGTCAGACTCACCTGTATCAGACTCAGACTCACCTGTGTCAGATTCACCTGTATCAGACTCACAAGTTTTAGACTCACCTGTGTCAGACAATCCTTTATTACACTCCCAGTTTAAAGTCAAAATCAGCTGATTTTCTGTGTTTCCTCTTCCTCACCATTCGCACACAGATCCTTTTTTCTGAAAACCATTTGATCTCTGTGTTTGACTTTCTGTCCTCACAGATATTTTATTTTGAAGGTGCAGTCTGTTTGTTTGCTCTGACCAATCAGAGCAGAGCTCTGTTTCATTAAAAACCCTGACTGTCATTCACACCAAGAACAATGAGAATCAGTGACTTCATCGACGCTCAAATCTTCTGTATTTACTCAGTTCTCTGGAAAAACTTCATTTGTGGGTTAGTATTGTGTCTGCGGAGCGTCCAATCACAGGTGTGGTTACAGAGAGAGGCGGGGCTCCTGCAGGTCAGGTCCGTCTATTTCCACAGTGACCATATTAGAGGTTGATCTGTGGACCTCCTGATTCTGTCCTCCAGCTGAGATCTTCTTTAGTCCCGTCTCAGAGTCACAGACCGGCTCAGATGGTCTCAGACTGTCTCCATCGTTAATCTCCGCAGGTCGGTTGTTGACATACGTCACCTGAGTGTCTCAATGCTGATTGGTTATCACGGCACAAACATTCGCTTGAGCTCAGCTATTTTTAGCTCTTGTGTTTGAAGCGAGTCGTGTGTCGGACACAACGCGAATTGCGTCATCTGCGCTGACAGTCTGCTCAATTCGCACTATTCGCACTATGCAATTCGGAAGTAGTACTTAAGTCTGATCATGTTTTTGCATCGACTTTACTCGTAATTCGCTCACAGTAATGATTTTACTCGTGCTTGGCATGAACACAAGGTCATTGTTCTTCTATAGAGGTTATTATAGCGGACTGATTTCTGTGTGTGTGTGCGTGTGTTCAGCCCTGTTTTTCCCGCCCGGCGACTGCAGAGACAACGAGCCAATCACAGCACCCGTAGCATCCATCTGCCTCGGCGACGGGCCTTGCCCCTCCCCCCAAGTTCTGCCCCACTCCCCATCAGCCAATCAGCAACAGACTGTGAATTTCTGAACACCAATGGAGAGGTGGAGTCACAGAACTATTCTGTTAAAAAAAATAACGACAACTTTTTTTGTCTTTCTATGATTTTTCACTTTCATCACTTACTTTGTTTCATAATTTACATCAGCGTGGGAAACGTGTCTCACAGATCAGAATCCGCAGAGCGTCGCCACGGGAAATGCCACTCACTCCAATGGGCCTGCCAAAGGTCAAAAGGTCAGTGTTGGAAATGTACATTGAAGAATAAAAAAACAGTTAAAAAAATCAATAAAAAATAAAAAACTGTATTTCAGGTTAAAGAAGAAAGAGTTCAGCCTGGAGGAGATTTACACCAACAAGAACTACAAATCCCCGACCACCAACAGGTAAAAGAACTACAAATCCCAACTCAAAGCTCCATGATTAACCAGAACTCAAACCATACCAACAAACTCCCTGCAGAAGTTTAGAGACCATCTTTGAAGAGCCACGCGACAAGGATGGGGCGCCGTTTGTGATTGGCCAGCAGAAAAGGCGGAGACTCCTCCTCTTTCCTGACTTCACTCAGCCGAGGAAGAGGAAGAAGCCTGCAGGTTTCTCCACAATAAACACAATAAACTACACATAAAACGACACAAAATATGACTAACTTGCACAATAAACTACACACCAAATTACACAAAATATGACACCAAACTACACAAAAATTGACACCGAACTACACACCAAACTACACAAAATATGACTAAACTGCCCAATAAACTACACACAAAATAACACAAAAAATGACACCAAACTATACACTAAACACTAAACTAGACTACACCTTAAACTACTACAAAAATACACAACTAAAAAATAAGCTACACACCAAAATTCACAAATAAATGAACTTACTGAACTGTACACCAAACTACATACTAAACTACCAAAAACTACTCAATTAACTATGTTATAAATGACACTCTCAGCTTCAATAACAAAAAAATGTACACACTTGCATTTAAACTACATACCTAAACTGCTGAAAACTTTGCCATATATTAAACTACTGATTAAACTACAAACAGTAAAACACACAGAATATCAAACCCTGAATGAACAAAGGAGACACTAAATTACAAATTAAACTACTCCAAACTTTACACCCATTTATAAGATCAAGTACCTTCAGATACACAAATCTCACTACACACCAAACTACAAAATGTTGTGGACATTTTTTTGCTTGTAGTTGTAGTTTGATCTGTAGTTTGAAGCTCAGACAGTTTAAAACTGTATATTTTTGTATTTTTTTACTGTAGTTTAGAGATCAGAGTTTAAAACTGTATATTTTTGAAGTTTGTTCTGTTGTTTAGAGCTCAGAGTTTAAAACTGTATATTTTTGTAGTTTGTTCTCGTAGTTTAAAGCTCAGAGCCTTTGTTGTTGTAGTAGTAGTTTGATCTGTAGTTTAGAGCTCAGAGGTGTTAGTTGTTGTAGTTTTAATTGTAGTTTAGAGCTCAGACAGGGTTTAAAACTGTATGTTTTTGTAGTTTTTTTCTGTTTAGAGCTCAGAGGTGTTTGTTGTAGTTTTATTTGTAGTGTAGATTTCAGACAGAGTTTAAAACTGTATATGTTTGTAGTTTTTTTCTGTAGTTTAGAGCTCAGAGCTGTTTGTTGTAGTTTGTTCTTGTAGTTTAGAGTTCAGAGTTTAAAACTGTTGATTTTTGTAGTTTGTTTCTGTAATTCAGACCTCAGTGGTGTTTGTTATTGTTTGTTTTTTAATCATCGCCTTCAATCACAATCTTCACTCTGACCTCAGGTTACCTGTCTTTGTTAGGGGTGGGACTTCCTGTTGCAACCATGCCCAGGAAGCGGGCAGCTGCTCGCCGTCACTGTCATGGCAGCCCTGCTGATGAGTCGGACCTGGACGTGATGCTGGTGGAGCGACTGAGCGCACTGGAAGACTTCCTGGCGAGGCAGGGCCTGGATGTGTGAGCTTTGACATCACCTCCTGTACCATTAACCAAGGCCAAATAAACAGAGCTGCTATCATGCCCGCTACTGCTGTGTTACCATAGTAACGCCCTCAGCACACGGCGTAGCAGGCTCTTCCACTTTGTGTTTTTTGTAGTTTACTTTGCAGTGTACCTGATGTTTGATTTTTTTCAGTGTAGGCTGTTTAAAATTGTGACTCCCAAATATTTAAGATTTTAACCCTTTTGTGTTTTTTTAGTGCGGGTGACGCTCTGAGATCAGGTGACCCGGACAGGCCACACCCCCTGCAGGGCACAGCTGACTTTATTTGACATGTTTTGTGAAGTACTGTGTAGTACTACCTGAGTACTGTTCAGTACTACTTGAATACTACACAGTAATACCTGAGTACTTTGTAGCAGTAGCAGCTGGTCAGGAGAGAGCAACATCCCCCTCCCCCCCCCAGGAGAGCAGCAGGCAGCAGTTACTGAAGCAGGAAGAAGCAAGGCGACTCAGAGCACCGATCATGGTGCCCAAACTGCACCGAAGGAAACTGAGACGTGAAGAGCTGAGACAAATCCTGAAACACCACTCAGGAGAGGACCTGAGTGAAGACTGTGATAGCTGTGGACTCTGTTTGAGGTCTTTGCAAGAGTCTAGAAGTTGGACTTTGGTGTCCGTCCGATGACAGAGAACTCGGCCTGCGATCATTTTTGAAAGACTGGTTTCCGAAAAAGTCTCGGCTAATATCAGGATCAGATTTGACTCACCTCAGAGAAAAAACTCTGAGCACATGAAGACGAAGTCCATCGCTGTAAATTACTTCTGCCCTTCCTCTGTCATGCGCTTGTTTTAGCGCCCCCTGGGGGAGAGTGAACCAGCTGCCACTGCTGCAGAGTAGAGTGTGAGAACTGCAGGGCTGAAGTATGTGGAGTTTTTAAAGTGTAATATATATTTCTGCTGATATTGTGTCTATTTTTGGAGCAAATAAAGTTTGTTTCTCTTCACTCAGGTGTGTCACCTTTCTATTGATCTGTAATTGGTTTGATTGACAGCTGAGAGTGTGTTTTAGAATAAGAGATATTCATGTCTGTCATATGGAGCAGTGTAATGACCAATCAGAATCAAGAACACAGGACAGCTTATAAAACAGCTGTTATCTAATGTCATACATGATCAATCACAAAAAGCCTCTAATGGAGATGAGAGGAACTGCGGGTTTTAAATCACACCCTTAAATGATCCTGCAGCCGTTTCTTCACTGACCAATCAGAGGCTTTAGATGATAAATGCAATCACAGTGAAGAATGACCATCCTGAGAAACGAGCTCCTTCACAAACTGACCCTGAAGATGATTGGTTACCGCCTGTGACATCAGATCAGGTGTGATGGTTAAGTCACGTGATCAGCTTAAACTGAACTTTTGAAACAGACCCGTGCTGTGTCTGAATTGCCCGCTCGCATACTACATGCTACTGCTACGTGCTACTGCTAGATCCTACTCCTACATACTAAACACGTTAGCCCAATTCGGACACACTAGACGAGCGGTGGGGAAAGACGACCCCCGCAGGCAGAGAGTAGGTACTGCGCCCGTTTTAGACTGAATGGTAATTGTGCAAGTGATGGATGCTGCTGTATTATATTCCTGCACTGCTTCAGATATTCACAAAATAGCTTTTCCATTACTTTTAGCCTTCATTCACTCACGTGGTGATCGTTTGTTCAATGAGATCTGCCTGATTACTGCAGCTGTGCAGTTTAATGATGGAATAAGTGAGCTTTACCTCCATGATGTCACCACATATTTGCTCATAAAATGATTACTTGGGCAAATATGACACCATGACATGACAAAGAGATACAACCGCACATTTTTTTAGGACAGTGTGTGAAGTTAAATTAACATTACATCTGTACTGCTGCGGTCCTGCCTCCTGCTGCTGCTCCGCCATGGTGCGCGCTGCTGTGGCCAGCCGGCTACTACTTGGCAATTCAGACGCAGCAAGAGTAGGCTGTAGCTGCGTCCGAATTGCCAAGTAGTAGTCGAAGTAGTATCTAGCATGTCCGAATTGGCCACCGGAGCGAGTAGCATGCTACTTCAGGTACTACTTCAGATACTAGACACGCCCACATTGTAGGTTGGGCTCGGTGCAGCCTACGGGCATGCTACTGACCCAAAATGCACCGCGGGCTTCTTCTTCGTCCTCTTAAAAGTTGTAGAAGCGCATGTGATGCTAGCGCCACCAGCTGCTCTGCCTAAATGTGTCGCGAACGCCGACTGGCCACAGCAGCGCGCACCATGGCGGAGCAGCAGCAGCAGTACAGATGTAAGTTTCATGTAACTTCACACACTGTCCTAAAAAATGTGCGGTTGTATCTCTTTGTCGTGTTATGGTGTCATATTTGCCCAAGAAATCATTTTATGAGCAAATATGTGGCGACATCATGGAGGTAAAGCTCACTTATTCCATCATTAAACTGCACAGCTGCAGTACTACAGCCAGGCCCGCAGATGAGGGGCTTCAGTTCCCACTGTCTGCACGGGCGCAGTACCTACTCTCTGCCTGCGGGGGTCGTCTTTCCCCACCGCTCGTCTAGTGTGTCCGAATTGGGCCAACGTGTTTAGTGTGTAGGAGTAGGATCTAGCAGTAGTAAGTAGCAGTAGCATGTAGTATCCGAGCGGGCAATTCGGACGCAGCATGTGTCCCATTTCAGAGACCGCACCGTCGAACGGCACATATCGGCGCATTTGACGCGTGCATTATGTCATCACGCGGCGCGAACGCTGTCCCATTTGGCACGAAATGCTAAGAAATGCTAAGCGCGCTTAGCATTTTTCATGCGTGCAATTATGCACGCTTTCGTGCCGTTGGTATTCCAGCGTTGTTTGCGTGCCGCTGCACAGCTGCGCATTTCAGGTGGGAGGCTGGACTCGCTTGGAGACACAGCGCGTCTTTAAAAAATAATGCAAGAAATCCAAAAACAGCAGACAGTCAGCTCAGGCTGTATGAGCGCATGATCTCTGAACTCACTAAAATCTGCAAACCAAACATGATGGATTTAGAGACAACTGATCCGCTCTGCTACAACAATCAAAAACATAAGAAATAAGAAAGCTGACAAAACTACGGCAGAGGATCAGGACAACATGAAGTTTTTTTTTTTCTTTTAAGATTTAGAGATTAAAGTTGTAAATTAAGGAGAATAAAGTAAATAAAGTCATAAAGCTGCTTTTGTGGAGGGGGAAATGACTGAAGCTGGTCATCTGCAGGGTTATCTGTGGATGTATCAGCGGGTCATTCAGAGAGATTTTGTGGTTTCTGAAGAAACAATCAAACTGATGATGATCAACATTTGTGATCCAGAGGGAGTCGAGCTCGGACGAGCACCACGTCTCTGACACCGGCGGTAGCCTACACCCAGTAGCGGTTCTAGGCACGGGCGAACAGGGCAGCCGCCCGGGGCGGCATTTGTGTCATGACTCATGGGGGGCGGCACGAGCACTTCCAAAAAAATAAAATAAAAGATAATAATAATAAATCTTAACTGCAAAGCGGTTATTTATTAACTCTTGTTGTCAAATTGGCGACCCCCCGCTGCTGCAGGCGCCCCTGCTTGCTCCGAAGGTGCTGCACAGAGGCTGACAGACTGTAGGAGACGAGGCGGGGAGAGAGTCGCGAGGTGACAGCTCTGCTCTGTGTACGCATGTCAGCATATCAGCGGGAGCGCGGATACGTCATTTTGTAGTTTTTTAATCATTTCTGGAGTCGCGGTGAATGAAATCACCGTACCCGTCTGCCTTTGATAGGCGAATAAAGCGCTCGGGTTCATGCTCGGATCTTGCTACGTGCTTGATGAGCTTCATGAGTGAAGTAAACAATGACTGAGGCAGAGAGCAGCTTCAGAGGAGAAACATCCAGCAGTGTGAACAACCTCTTCATAGGGAGTGATTTGGCTCACACTATCAGCGTTTTCTCTCAGTGTTGCATGACTTTGGGTGAGCACAGAGGTGAACACACTGTCAGCCACGTATTTATTTATTCATTTTTTAGTTTTTAGTTCTGCTTTTGTACTGGCACTATACTGGGGCAGCTGTTTACCCTTTCAACACCTTATTTTCTATATTTACATTTGTATTGAATGGACACTTTATCATGACTGCCACTTGTTTTACAGAAAGCAAATTATTTGTCATTCTCCAGTGCAGAGCCTTTACTTTTATTTATACAGCCGCTTTATTTCATTTGAGTTTGTTTGTTCAAGGTTTTCAAAAATGTGATGAAGGTTCGCAAAACTAAAAGAGAGCTTTCTTGAAAGCCACATGTATAAGCTCTCAAATACTTTTTGAATTTGTTTCTATCGACTACAGAGGCCGAGATAGCAGCTTTTTTGTAAACCTCAACACTTCAGAAAACCTCAGGATCTGGGGGCCCTTCTGAAAATGGCCCTCAGGATTGTGTTTTTTTCTATTGAAGGATTTCTGCAATTGAGAAATATATCATCTTTGTTGTTATAATAATAATAATAATAATACATAGTAATACAAAACTATCTGTTCAAAATTCTAGTGTTTGTGTGTGTGTGTGTGTGTGTGTGTGTGTGTGTGGGGGGGGGTGCACTTGGAGGGGTGCTCGCCCGGGGAGTAATTTGGTCTAGAACCGCCACTGCCTACACCTGCAGAGACACCAACACCTTATTATGGCATGTGGATTCATATAATAAATTAAAGCTCAATGTCATTCACGGATATTTACGGCTGCATTGACAGATATATCCGCAGCATATCAATTTCTGCCTCCACAAAAGCAGCGATTTCCTTCAAGTACACCAGTTTTTTGCCTATGGAAAAGACGTATTTCTCATATATTCTTTTTTTAAGTCTTTATACTTGTGACAATGTGATGCTGATATGCCAGAGGATGACGTATCTCCTTGTTTGTGAAACCTATACTGAAGTACAGTTCCTTCAAATGCTTCATGGCCCTAATTTTAAGTCTTATATACAGTCTATGGTCGTCACCGAGCGCCCATTTTACCTAGGTGGACTCCTCCCGCGCACTCTACAGTACTGGATGGAAGGTGAGTGAGCTACACAAACAAAAAATACACTTAACTCGCTAAAATCTTGACGGATTTACAAATGGTTTGGTCTATCAAAAATTTTATTAACGAGGCTATGATTCAGGCCGCGTGGACATGTTGAAAGTGCAGCTTTTCTTTTCGAAAATCGATTTTATTTTGCTGTATATTTGTGTGTCTGTCACAGCCATTTGCAAGGCTGCAATCTGGAAGTTTCAGTTATTATATACGTTTCCGTGAGACCAATAATAATTTTGTGACGACCACATATTTTGTCTAAATGACGATTTGTGTGGATGTAGTTGTGTTTATTAGCTAGCAAAGAAACAAGAGGTTGTAAATGTGACATAGTGGTCCACTGGGACTATTACAAAGTAGCCTAGACATAATTCTTTACAGGTGGGACAGGCAGAATTACTCCTTTGTTTTAACATACATAATATGATTTCCAAGCTGTTTCATTAGTAAAATATATCTTTAATTTAGATTTATTGTGATACAGTAAATGCATGGCTTTGTGTTTACAGAAATACCTCCTACGGTGCAAGATGCCAGACTTCTGTGCAGCACGTGGATGCTCAAATGAACGTTCTGTCCAAACAAGAGCCTGTGGAATCACCTTTCACTCGTAAGAAATTACTTGAGGGACATATTTAGGATAATTGTTACTAATTTGGTTAAATTTGTACTTGTACAATACAAGTTATTTTCACCCCAACGTTTCAGAAATGTTTCTACCATTTTCTACCATATAGTAGCAGCCGATAATCAAAATCTGGGGGGTGAAACGGTGGCTTATTAATTGGATGTCAGTCCAAAAAAATAAATAAGTTATTATAATATGAATCTGTCTTCTGCAAATTTCAGAATTTGTGGTGCGACGCACTCTGAAGAAGCTGTCCTGTGATTTCTGCCGGTCCAGCCTTGACGGATGCTGAATCTGCCCGTAAGGACCAGAGCTACCTGCTGACTCTGAAAAACAATGGAGGTCTGGTAATTCCATCTGAAGGCACAGTGAAAGTTGTCAGGGCTGCAGAGTGGGTCGTTCGCCAGGCATCAGCAGATTCCAGAAGATCACAGCCCATCAAAATATTGGAGGTCCTCTACATGGTGCAGAAGAGGATAGGTTCAGAGGATAGGTTTTTGCTTGGGGAGCACATCAACGATACACGCAATGGCATCGACAGTCACCACAACACACTGTTGACATTAGTTGTGTCCCTGTTTTTCAAACTAAGGCTGCACCACATCGCTAAAATGACTACGCTTAGCCTACAGAAAGACAATGTGAGACAGAAGCTCACCAAAACAGTCCTTTTCAAGGGGCAGTAGCTCAAACTGTCCGTGCACTGGTATATATGTTGGTTAATAAAAGAACCTTTATGTCATGTTACTGAATGTGTTTATTTTAATTTTTATATTTTAATATATGTAGCAGAACGGGTAAGATGAACGAACCATCCCCTTGATCTTTAAAACTATACACATGAGTTGTTATGAGACCCTAAAATAAGAACACAAACATCATTTCCAACACGCCGTGGAATTTTTTACATTTGTGGTATAATTATTTTTATGTTCAAGCAAATGGACCCAGGTCTAAACTTATACATCATGCATGTTAGTGATATTCAATGTATAGAACTATGTGAATCGTTTACCAAAATATCATTCTGAAGCATTAAATTAATTAGGTTTTATCAAAACGATGGCCATTGGGCAAGATGAACCAAAAGCCCCCCTAGGTAAGATGGCCGCCGTGTGACGACGTCAGTCCCCATTGGCTCACAGCGTAGGTTAACTATCTAGTCTTTCTATATATTTATATGGGCTACAGCAGTAAAGGTGTATGTTAGTGTTTAATATCCACTCCTGTCCACAGGGGGGCGGTAACGCTGCTCTGAGCCGTCTGTTAAGCCACAGAAGAAGAAGAGGAAGCTACGTCAACAACCCGTCACAACAAGCAGTTATCCAACATGGCGGCGGCCTTCCGGAAGGTGTGCAGCGGAGTCACTTCCAGGTAATTTCACCTTTTTATTCACCACCATTAAACAAACCGGCGTGACGTCACTCCCGATGTACGGACTCCGGGGTCGCGTGCTCGACAGGTGATGACAGGTGTGAGTGGAGCAGGTGATCCGTGTTTACACCAGACCCCGTTCATAGTTCGCATCAAATTAACCTGTGATCGACTCTGACAGGTACACACGAGGTCTGATGTGACGTCAGACAGGTGAGAGGTGTGGGTGTGAGGGTGACGTCATTTTCGGCGCAGGTTCAGATCATCCAGGTGTTTCAGGTTCAGGTCAGGAGTCTAAAATGTTCCTGGCCTCACATGAACAGGCGAGGTTACCTGTCGCAGGTTTTGTAATGACACGTTAATGAAGAGGATTAATCATTCATTAATTAATTCAAACTCACCTGAGAGCCTCCTGCTCTGACGTCACTCTTCCGTAAAACCAACGAGTTTCGATTTGAAGTTAAAATCAATCAAAGTTGGATCAATAAACTAATAATATTTAGTAAGACAGTAAAAACAAACAAACAAAAACATATTAAATAAAGTTTGTTTTGATTTAATTTAACTCATAGACTGAATATAGAACAGATGTCGTCTGCCTCCTCTCTGGGTGAAGCCACTCCGAGAACAGCGCCCTCTGGTGACGGGCTGCAGTATGGGTCATAAATCCCGCCTCCTTTTGGAGCTGTGGACAAGTTTTATGAATTAATGACACATAATATAAATGTTTCTCCCCCCTGCTTGTGATGTTGACATGTAGTTACTGTCAGACTGGTTTGTGCTCAAGTCCTCTTTTTTTCTGTACAGCTCCATTTTTAAAAGTTATTAGGGGGTTCATGTTTTCTATGATTGACAACTGATGCAGCCTATGGGTGTACGAAGGTTGTGTAGCTCACCCAGGGGATACACTGTTTGAGCCGAGCGTCATCACAGCGACTCTCGGCGACTCTCCCGCCGAATGTGTACAACGCTACTGCGAAATGTTGCTTTCAAGAAATGAAGAAAAATCGTGGAATTACCGATAGCTTTTCAGCTTCAAATCCATATACTGACGTAAGGCGGAACCAAGTTGTCCAGAGTAAATACAGTCTATGAGTAAACTCAAGTTTAAATCGCTGAACAAGAATCAAATCATTAACAATCATGAAACTCTAAAGTAGGCCTGCACGATATATCGTTTGAGCATCGTCATCGCGATGTACGTGTGTGCGATAGTCACATCGCAGAGCCTGCGATGTCGGAGGTGAATGACCTCAGTTAATTTCAAGGGTAGCTGACTGAGATACCCGGCATGTGACTCTGCATGTGCTGTGCACCGATCCACCAATCACCTTTGTCCTTTACTCAGTTGCCAATCAGACTCAGTTCTCAGTTGCCAATCAGACTACCCTGCCAGCTGTCAATCAAAATCAGAGAGGAGGAAACCCGCCCCTGCACATGTTCTGCACATGGAGTTACTCACTGGCTGCTGGTGTTGAGCCGAGAAACGCGTGTCTGCTGAGAATTACTTTCGGAACTTTACTCATGACTGTTAAGCCCAACAAATAAGAACTGTATGGGTTTTAAAATGTATATTTCCGTGGACCACTCTACTATAAGCGGTGCGCGTTTTGCGAGGTGCATGCAATTCTTGGAGGACATGCGTTTCTCGGCACAACACCGCTAACAACAACAACAATGTTTGCAAAATGAGCAACGAACAAGAGAAAACCACCGAAAATGAAGATTTGTTGCCAAAAAGAAAAGGAAAGTCAGTTAGCTGGAATTATTTCGGTTACAAGATGGATGATGTCGACCAAAACACGTTCTGTGTTCATCTGTTGCCACAATAACGTCCCAGAACAATAAAACCTAAAAATATCTCTGAGACAGACAGAAGCCATTCTACTAACATTCACAAAAAGAGGTAAGATCAGAGCAGGTTAACTGTCCTCAAGACTTCAGCGGTGCAGCATAACATTAAATGCTATTCAGGTCATCTGGTGAAAATTCCTATATTTTTAATATCGCAATATATATCGCAGGGTTGAAAAAAATCGCAATGTTAGTTTTTTCAATATCGTGCAGCCTTGCTCTAAAGTATATATGGTTTACAGTTTATAACAATTTTAAATTTAAAGTATATATGGTTAGCTGTGGTTCTTTTTTTTAACCCTTTGTTTTTGTTCTTGTTTGTTTCTTCCTGCAGAGGTTTCTCTCTGAGCTGCTGTCGACATAAACTCCTCCACACAGGTTAGTCTCTAACGGGTCCAAGTCTTCTTCAAACCTGAGCAGAGTTTATTCATTTATTTATTTATAAATTATCATGGGGGGGGTCTGGAAGTGGTCAATCAGTAAAAACCAGTAAAACCCAGTGGGATAGTGGGTGATACTGTCGGCTGCCTGTTTTCTCTTCAGGTCACGGCCTTCTGCCCCGCCCCCGCCCTCTCCCCCTCTTGTTGGTTACCGGGGGTGGTTACCTTGGTTACCAACACTACAGATGGAATATCCCACCAGAGGATGGAGCCCCGCCTCCTGTGGCCACTCCCACCCAGGTAAGAGAAAAGACACCTGTCTCAGTCAGTGGTCAGCGGTGGGCCAATCAGGGTGCTTCGATTTCTACGTCAACGGAATCACGGAATTGGCTGATAAAAACAGAATCTACTGTTAAACCCGGTGTGTATGTGTGTGTGTGTGTGTGTGTGTGTGTGTGTGAGTGAGTGAGTGAGTGAGAGTGTTCGAGGCAGGGGGTGTGCAGTAATGACACTTCTTTGTTTAGCCATGACTCACCTGAGCGCACCTTTAGAGGATCTGATGTCATGCTAACATGCTAACTCGTTAGCTCGGGTCGTACCTCTAAGGGTGGGGGGGGTGGGGGTGAAAGGTCACAGTTATGATGTCACTCAGACTGACACGTCACCACTGTGGTCAGGCCCCGCCCCCTCTCATCGCTGCACCCCATGCCTCTCGATTGGCTGGCTTACTGAGGGCGTGTCCTGATTGGTCACTCAGTAACCGTGGGATCAGACGGAGGCTCTGATTGGACAGAAACTTTAGACTCATTCAGTAAAAAATAAAAATTAGATAATCAATGAAATAATGATCCAATTGATAATGAAATATTGATGAGCTCATAGACTGACTGACAGGTGACATACGTCCACATTATCGAATAAAAATATAACATTTAATAAACAGTTTTAAACCAACTTAAGTTATTAAAACAAAAATATTTTAGATCGATTAATTGTTCATTACAACAATTCATTATTAAAAAAACTAAATATGAATGAAATTTCTGAGCGATAAACATTTACATCATCCCTAAATCATGTTAGATCTTTGTTCACCTTCTTTTCTTTAAACTTCCTGTGGATTTATATCTATAAACGTCTGTTCTTTAGTTAAAAGGTGATTATTTAATTAAGATTTTACACAAACAGTTATAACGATAATGATTAATTGACTCAAAGTTCAGATTTAAAGAAACAGTGAAAAACTTTTTCTATAAATCTCTGAAAAAATTAAATTTATGTTTCCATGACGATAAAAAAGCCCTTTGGATTAAAGCGAGGGAGAGAGAGGAAGAGAGAGATTGAGAGAGAGAGGGAGGGGGTGGAGCTTAAGTACTAACGCCGATCCCTCCCTCTCTCTCTCTCTCAGTCCTTCAGTCAGATTTCTCGGCTCTTAGCGATCACTAACCTCTCTCCCTGCTCTCACCCGTCTCACCTGCCTCACCTAAACCCTTCGACCCTCAGCATGTGTCGTCAGCCATCTCCCTCCTCTGCGTCTCCTGCGACCCCTTGTTCATGGTGAGGTTCTTCCCCCGCCGTGGGGAGCGTCAGGAGCGCGACCTGCTGCGGCAGGTAAGGCGGGGTCGTGCAACTGAGACAGAGAGAGAGAGTGAGAAAGCTGGAGGAGGAGGAGGAGGAAGAGGGGCGAGAAGGAGCGCTCGATTCAGGTGGGAGAGGGGGCGGAGCCAGAGCTGGGTCAAGATTAAGATGTAAATTAATAAATGTTAAAAATACTGAAGAGAGAAAACTGCAGTACTATTACTACTGCAGTCAATGCTACTGCAATACTGTTAGTATTACTACAGGACTGTCAGTATTACTGTAGGACTGTTAGTATTACTGCAGTACTAATAGTATTACTGTAGGACTGTTAGTATTACTGTAGTACTGTTAGTATTACTTTAGGACTGTTAGTATTACTGCAGTACTTTTTGTATTACTGTTAGTATTACTGTATGACTGTTAGTATTACTGCAGTACTGTTAGTATTACTGTAGGACTGTTAGTATTACTGAACTACTGTTAGTTTTACTCTACTACTACTGTACTGCAATGGTGTACTGCAGTACTGTTAGTATTACTGTAGGACTGTTGGTGTTTCCGAACTAGTGTTAGTTTTACTCTACTACTGCTGTACTGCAATGGTGTACTGAAAGTACTGTTAGTATAAATAAAATATGGTTAAAGTGTTGTTTATACAATCGTAGGACTGTCAGTAGAATTAAACAACTAAATATATACTTATAACAGAATTATTACAGTTATTACAGGACAGGTATAGATATTATAGTACAGTTACAGCTATCATAGTTACTACAGTATAAGTACCATAGACTGTATATAGAGGGGACAGCATCCGCCTCCACTCCGAGAACAGCACCCTCTGTTGATGGGCTGCAGTATAGGTCATAAATCCCGCCTCAGCCAGCAAAGCTTATGGGGCTGTGGACAAATTTTAGAAATTTATTACACAGAACATACATTTTTCTCCCCCCGGTTGTGATGTTGACATGTAGTTATTGTAAGACTGGTTTGTGCTCATAGGCTGTATTGGCTGAGCGAGATTGTGTTGGTTCGTTCCACTTCAGTGGGGCAACATAAACTGTGATTCATAAAACAGCTCTAATGATAGTAAGTACTAAAAAAAAATATCTGCACATGCCATCCTGTCGATTTTTGGTAATCAGTGTTTCGGTGTCGAACTATTTCCTTTCTGCGGCACAATGATACTTGCACACGAGCAATCGAATATGCAGAGGGGTGAAGCGATTTTTGTCACGTGGACCAATAGGAGCCGAGTCTCTTTGCCATAGTATCAGAAATACACAAACATGGCGACGAGCGCATCTAGCAGCGAGACAAGCGAAGAGGAAGAAAAGAACAGGAAAAAAAGAAAACAGCCTTCAAAAGTGCATAAAAAAGGAACGAAACGATGCTATATGCATCTATCATCTGTCCAGAGTGAAGACGTTCTCGACTTTACAAGGACAGTGACACTGTGATACTTGAATAAATGTTTTATACCATATTTTGAATTAATTCAGACCTTTTGTGCATTCATTTTTGTCTTGTTACATTTTTTCCATTATTCCAAATTTTTTTTTTTTTTGGGGGGGGGGGGGGTTGGTAGCAATTTGATTAACTTTCAGCCATGTGCTGTTTATATTTTATTGCTTTTATTACACAGTAGGTTGTATCATTTTTATGTATGAAACATAAGCTTTTAGCTAAATGTACTGTATATATTCCATTGTGCTGGGTGCAAATCACTTGAGTTGAGATGTTTTCTTCAAGAAATTTGCTACATTTCATAATCTGAATTCACTTATGCGTATACTAAGGCACCAATAACTGTTTTAGATGTTAGGTAGATGTATTTATGACATTTGAGAAAGATTTTGTCTTGCCAGAATCAACATAGCAGTTTCTACAAGCAAAAACAGCAGCACCATCTAATTGTTTTTTGGGTTACTCACATATATGTACATATCTGGCTGGTGACAAAAGTCGGACCGATGGTCTGAGTAGATATTTTAACCCAGAGTCCAGAATGGTATTGTCTATGCAAAAATGCATTGAACAAGTAGCACCAGCGTAGTTAAACGAAATTCACTTTCTAGGTACTTTTTCCTTTATCCCAATACAGCCTATAACCTCGAGCGAAGTTTCTTTCGCGGAGTTTCAGATGCCGTGGACGTGGATGCATCGGCGATGCTGCCTGAAGGGTTTGACTGACCCGCGGCTGCATCACGTTCTTGTTTCTCAAACGCCTTTTGCAAATAAATCTCTGGTAGCATGTCATGTGAAACCCAGCATCATCAGGAACATTGTCAAAGTCGATATCAACGCAATGTTTACAAGTTTCTGCAAGGTCCTTTGTCTCACCCTGTAGAGAAAGCCACTTTCTAATACTAGTTCTGTAAGTTTCCCAATGTGTAAAGTCGAGAACGTCTTCACTCTGGATAGATGATAGATGCATATAGCATCGTTTCGCTCCTTTTTTATGCACTTTTGAAGGCTGTTTTCTTTTTTTCCCTTTCTTTTCTTCCTATTCGCTTGTCTCGCTGCTAGATGCGCTCGTCGCCATGTTTGTGTATTTCTGATACTATGGCAACGAGACTCGGCTCCTATTGGTCCACGTGACAAAAATTGCTTCAACCTTCTGCATATTCGATTGCGCGTGTGCAATTATCACTGCGCCGCAGAAAGGAAATAGTTTGACACCGAAACAATGATTACTAAAAATCGACAGGATGGCATGAGTAGATATTTTTTTTTAGTACTTACTATCAATAGAGCTATTTTATGAATCACAGTTTATGTTGCCCCACTGAAGTGGAACAAGATTCACTTTCTGAGCACTTTTTCCTCTGTCCCAATACAGCCTATCAAGTCCTCTTTTTTTTCTGTGCAGCTCCGTTTTTAAAAGTTATAAGGGGGTTCATGTTTTCTATGATTGACACTTGATACAGCCTATGGGCGTTCAGGGATATGCTGTTTGAGCCGAGCGTCATCACAGCGACTCTCGGCGACTGCACAGCCGAATGCGTGCATCGTTACTGCGCAGCGCTGGTTTCAGGAAATAAAGAAAAATCCCGGAAATACCGAGAGCTATTTGGCTTCAAGTCCGTATACAGGTGGTAGGCGGAACCAAGTTGTCCATAGTATATACTGTCTATTACTATTACAGTTATTACAGTACAGTCAGACACACAGAAATGCTAACTCAACAGTTTTTAGGGGGGGCAGACCTGGAGATTAGAGGTGTGTGTGTGTGTGTGTGTGTGTGTGGTTGCCTTGGCGACTGCTTTGTTAACAGGTCATCTATTTAGCTTTAGTCCGTGTTAGCCACTTCATAGTTGATCCTGTTCTCACCCCCTAACCTGCTAACCTAGTTAGCTTAGAACACACACACACACACACACAAATACATGTATACAATACAAACACACAGATATATACAATATACACACACAAATACACACAGCATGCACATTGTTTAGGCTGCTCACTGCTGTGTGTATTGTATATGAGTGTGTGTGTGTGTGTGTGTGTGTTTTTACATGTATCGAGGGTATGTACCCGTTGCCATGGAAACACAGCTGCTCTGATCCAACACTAAGCCTGTTAGCAGGTCAGCATGTCTCCTAGCGACCACATGAGCTAATCTTCCTCCGCCTCCTTCTCAGATGACTAGGCCCTGACCCCCCCCGCCCCTTGCTTTTTGACTTCCTGTTTCCTCCTCCATGTTTTTTTCCACTGTAATTGTCGTAAATATTCGTATTTTCTTGCTCAGATTCGTTTTTTTTTTGTTTTTAACTTTTTTGTCCGTTTCAGAACTGAAGCCTCATTAAATCTCATGTAATCCCGTTAAATCCCGTTAAATCTCATCATCACTATTAGGCTCCAGGTGCCTCGATTCGCTCTCCGTTGCCGTCTGAGCACGTTCAGTAGCAGCACATCCCACACCACCCCTTGGCGCCGTTTGCCAGTCACCTTCCTGTGCTACATCCTGTCAGTCAGTGCTCTGCAGCCATTGGCTAATCGGGTAAGAACTGCTCACATCAATTATTTTATGAAGCGACTTTATTTCCTTTATTTTAATAACAATAACTAAGTTAATTATGACCCCCATGAGGACTGGATTAGGTCTCTATGAGGTCTCAGTCCTTTTTGAGGTTTTTAATGAGTCTCTTCAGAGTCCACTTTTAGTGCCTTTAACACTTCATCCTCAGTTTAAGCAGTAGCAGTAAATCCTCACTGTAAGCAGTAGATTGTGTCCTTCCAGAGGAGGAAATCTACTTCTAGACTTCTAGAATCAGCATCTACTCATCCGTGGTGTCATCGGGGTGAAATGACGTCTAAAAACCTTTCACTTGTTCGTCTCTGCCCGTTTGCATGGTGTGAAATACGATCCTCCTGAAACACGGAGTGTTTTATTTTGAAAAGAAGCCAGATGTTGTATTTTGTGTCTGTGCCCGACTTCCTTTCCAGCATGGGTTAATCTGTGCTGATTTTAGCATGCTATGGCGTCCACAAAAATGAGAACTCTTGCGATCAGTTGTGGAGTCTGACGATCTGCAGAGGAATGGAAAGAAGCCGGTGGAAATTGGATACGACCTTTTCATAGACGTGGAAATTGCCGGTAAGACTGTGATTGGACGAGAAAAAACAAATCTGCGACTCAGTGCCGAGAAAACTCCAGAATCAGAGACACAGTCTTAAAAAAAACGGTTTTTCAATTAAATTAAATGCACATACCAGGGTTAAAAGGTAAAAATAATGGGAAATTAAACAGATTTTTATGGTTTTCAGATGATTTTTACCCAATGTTGTCCAACAGGTTAGTCACATGACTCTGGAGTGGGAATCTCCACATGGAAAGGACAACTGGACTTAGTTGAGACGTTTCGCCTAAGTCCAGCTGTCCCTTCAACGTAGAATTAGAAATCATACAGTCTGGAGAAAACCGAATTATCGCCTTATTCTGATTAAGACCTGACAACTGAAATTCATGTAAACACCTTAGTCCGACTATGGAGTTTGAGAAAGAAGCCGGTGGAAATTGACACATTAACTTGAATGGTTATAATAAACTACGGTCGGAGGATACAACCTTTTTGTAGACGTTCAGGATGAGGTGGAGATCAGGGTTAGACGCGTCACCTAAATACAGAGAGGAGAACCAGAGGACCTCTGTCATCCCTTCAGGCGCTCTCTGTTTCTACACCACCCTTCGAAGTGTCTCACCTGTGGCGGTCCTGTCTGTGTTGCAGGTGGCGTTGTACCGCTCCTTTCCAACACGCCTTCTCTCTCGGGCATGGGGGCGTTTGAACGGTGTGGAGCTTCCTACCTGGCTGAGGAAACCCGTCTACTCACTCTACATCTGGACCTTTGGAGTCAACATGCAGGTGAGGATCCGAGAGTGGGAGGAGCTTAAATCTGGCAGGTCAAAATAGGCGTGTAACTTCACTTGAACTTCCTCCTCCTCCTCCTCTTTCTCCCCTCCTCCTGCTCCTCCTCCTCCTCCTCCTCTCTCTCCCTGTCCTCCTCCTGCTCCTCTTCCTCCCTCTCTGCTCTCCTTCACTCTTTGTGTTTCTTCGTGTCTGTAGCGATTTGAATTTATAATAAATGTCTGAAGATTAATAATCTCAAATTATGACATTTATGCACTAGCTGAAAGGGGCACCACCCACCCTTAATGGTGGGAAAATAAAGAAAACTAAAGTTTAATTGAGAAATCAAACATCAAGTCAATCTTTAATTAATGAATCTCATATCTTTAGCCGAAATTCTCATTTCAGGGACTCCACTTCTGGAAGAACACTAACAGACAGGAGCTTAGAAAAATAATGATCTGTTCATTACAGGGTAAATGATGGTACAACATACATGCAATTAATGATGATAAGATAATGAGGATAAATAATAATAGGTGAATAAATAAAGATTCTGAGTCAGGCTAGGAGCACTAAAGTTAATGATAGTGAGTGAATATGCGCTAACATATTAACCTACACTAACTTTGGTGTTGAGATAAATTTGGATGTGGATTTGGAGGAATCTAAGATTACCAGAATAAGTGAATATCTGAGTTACGACCACATGAGACGGCATCAGCCCTCTTTGGAGCTCTGGAGGTTTGCATACTTAAGTGAGACTGGTCCTTGGAGAAGATGGAGCTGGTTCCGAAGGTCCGGGGCTACCGGCGGTTCGAGCGGTTCAGCTCAGAAGACGACTGAAGTCAGCCGAAGGATGGGCCAGGAGTTGTAGCACTCGGGCCCGAAGCAAAGCCGGCGCCTGTAGATCCTGTGGATGCTCGTTTGGACGCTTCTTTGGTCTCACTCAAAAACTCTGGCATAGAGGATGACCTGGGCCTGCTGGGTTGCGTTCAGAGGTGACTTTGAAATCACGCAGATAACTCAGAAAAACGAGGCTCGATGACCAGTGGAAACTTTCAAAAATGGCTTCGCAAAATTAAATCAAAATCAATCAAAGGCTTAATCTTGAATTGCTATGCGCACAAAAAGTGAATCAACACGTGGCGTAAAACTTAGAAGGCTAAGAAAAAGAGCTAAGAGAAAACAAAGAAGAGGAACACAGAAGGGTGTGGACAGTGAGTGAAGAAGCGGGTGTAAGATAAAGGGGGACAAGAGTATAAGGGCAACAAGAGAGTAAGGGGATGTGAGCAACCCCACTTTCTGGTTTTATCTTCTCACACTCAGAGTGTCTCTGGCGTGTGTGTGTGAGGAGAAAGAGGAGGGGTCGTGGGGTCTCCAGCTGCAGAGGAGACCTCGGATCTCTGGTTATTTGATCTAACTTATACTTTTGGCTGGTAAAAGAGTCAGATCTGATACTCACTCACTATGATTAATATCAGTGAATGCTTGGTTTCATGAAAAAGATTTGATACTAAACACATATTAATGAAATGTAGAATCACATCAAACATTCTCATTATGTTTCAAGTATCACATTGAACATGCTAAATTACTCTGAAATGAAACAGATAGTAACACATAGAAACTGTGAACAACAAAAGAGTAAATACATGTAAATGAACTTCATGATTAATAATGGATTCTAAATACTCACATTCAGATTATTCAATGACATTATAACCACCTAATGGTTAAAAATACTAAATAAACAACTAAAATATAAACCAAACATTTCTAAACCATTTCTGTTACTTAGAGTAAAGTTATTATTCATAGTCAATAAATTTAACTTTTAAAAGTTCATGAAACAGTCTGAAAAGCTGTTAGTCTAAAGAAACTAAAGAATAAAGGATTTATTCTGTCAGAGTGATAACTCGGCTTCTGGAGCACATAGAAAAACGGGAAACATCTCATTTTAACACAAATTTAATGATTAGACAGATTAGGACATTGCTGAATGCATAAGATGTCATGATCAGTCATTTGCATTCTTTCACCAAAGGAATGCAGTTTTTATCAGTACATGGTTGAGCAGGGTTTTACGACCGAGGTCTGGAGGTCAGTGTCCTGCTCCTCAGAGCTTATCTTGGGGTCTGTATGTTTAAGACAGTAAATCTCAAATGGGAGACCTGGATCGAGGCATGAATGATTATTTAGATGGTCAGCGATGGCGTCAGTTTGAAAGGTAATAAAAACTCTGTCTCTGTTCTCCGAATTGACCAATCGTGAAGAGTCAGAGGTTTGGTCAACCTCCGGTCATGTCAGTTAGGTAACCTGAAAGTGCAAACAAGTCTGGAAAGATTTATATCCTGTGTCCTGGGACCAGATAAGAAAACTTTCCTGCGAGGAATGTGTGATTTTCACATACAGGGTTGTCTTGATTGCTACATGTCAAACAATAGGAGGCCGCCGTGGAGGACTTACATCACTACAGGAATCTTGGCGAGTTCTTCAGGCGGCGTCTTAAACCGGCTGTCAGACCGGTCTGCGTCTCCTCCTGTCTGGTAATGACCCCCCCAGCCTCCCAGAGTTATTGATCAGTTGTGGTTCAGCTGCAGGTGGTGTAGGTCATGTGATCAGTCTGATCAATAATTGAATTGATTCTGGTTCAGATCTCTCCGGCTGACGGGAGGATCCTTCATTTTGGTCGAGTCAAGAACTCGGAGGTGGAGCAGGTCAAAGGGGTCACCTACAGTCTGGAGAACTTCCTGGGTCCACAGAAGAAGCCTAGTCATGGTAAGGCCACGCCCATGTGTCATTAATTCGCTCCCCCTGTTATACCAAGACCACGCCCCTTAAAATAGAACTGACTTGAAGAACTAAAGACAGAGGTCCACAATCTAACCTGGAAACAGGACTTTAAGGTCCTGGAACAGTCCTTATTGGTACATGTAGATCTTGGTTTTGGACTTTAGACTTGTTGACCCTGATTGTAGCTTTACTTTGAAGACCCGAACCTGTGACCTGCAGTCGACTCTGAAGCCTGGACCCCCCAGGATCCGTATTTAAATGGACAGTTTTTTTTATTTGTCATGATTAGTCAAATGTTGGCGATGACATCTGATTTGTGATTGGTTGATTCTGACATCTTTTCACTCTTTCATCATGACGTCATGCTGACTCATTGGTTTTTATTGACTCATTGATCATGATGTTCTGGTTCTGTCCCGGTTCTGAATCATCCCTGACACTCAGATCTCTGTCTCCAGACTCGTCCTCGTCCTTCAGGGAACTCCTCCTGTCCAGTCCTGAAAACGACCTCTTCCATGTGGTGGTCTACCTGGCTCCTGGTGACTATCACTGTTTTCATTCGCCCACAGACTGGAGGGTGGAGCTTCGCCGTCACTTCCCAGGTGAGGGGGGGCGGCACTGTGTTCACCTGTAATAGTTTGTTCAGAGTCGCTGTGATGCCACACGGCTCAAACAGCGTATCCCCAGGTGAGCTACTCAATCTCTGTACTCCCATAGGCTGTATCAAGTGTCAATCATAGAAAACATGAACCCCCTAATAACTTTTAAAAATGGAGCTGTACAGAAAAAAGAGGACTTGAGCACAAACCAGTCTGACAGTTACTACATGTCAACATCACAACCAGGGGCGAGAAACATTTATATTCTGTGTCATTACTTTAGAAAGTTTGTCCACAGCTCCATAAGGAGGTGGGATTTATGACTTATACTGCAGCCTGTCACCAGAGGGCGCTGTTCTCATAGTGGAGGAGGCAGACGGCATCCATTCTGGATACGGTCTATGTTGTGGTTACAATATAACACTCCTCTCTTACCTAACCTTTCTCTCTCTCCCCTAGGTTCGTTAATGTCGGTTAACCCGGGCGTTGCTCGTTTGGTCAAAGAGCTTTTCTGTCTTAACGAGCGGGTGGTTCTAACTGGCCAATGGCAGCACGGCTTCTTCTCGTTTACAGCAGTTGGAGCAACCAATGTGGGCTCTATCAGGGTTTACTTTGACCAGGTAAGTTCCACTGAGGCTCTGTCCCTTTTTTCTTCAGCAGATTTACTGTCATGTGATTGGCTGATGGTCGTTCAGGAGCAGGTCTTTTATAGTTTTTACATTTTCTCAGATAGGTTTAACTCAGACCTGTCCTGTAGTTTTTGGACATTTTCGAGTGTGGAAGAGGTTTTTTCAAATCATGTTTCAAAATTTAGTTTCGCTTTTTTTTTCAAATTTTTAAGTTTTTTTTGTACTTATTGTACAGTATTTCCTGTTTTTGTTGTTTTTTTAAAGAAGTTTTTAACATATTTTTTATGTCTTGTTTCATATCATTAGAAAAATTTTTCCTGTTTTTATATTTCCTCGTCAGGAGCTTCAGACCAACACGCCTTGCTACAGTAAAGGCTCCTTCCACGACCACAGCTACGTTACCGTTGGTGACCAGGAGCTGAAGATGACTGGAGAAGGGGGTGTGGTCTCAGGTGAAGGAGAAGGCGTGGCCTTACAGAAGGGGGCGGCACTGGGAGAGTTTAACCTGGGCTCCACCATCGTCCTGTTGTTTGAAGCTCCAAAAGACTTCAATTTTAACCTGCAACCAGGACAGCAAATCAGAGTTGGCGAGGGGCTCGGCAGCCTCTGATTGGCTGAGCTGCAGGGTCAGGGGGAGGGGCCTGAGGTCTTTGAAAGACAGACCTTGAGAGAAATAGGCATCATGGGTAATTCTTCCAGTGGAAAAGAGGCAGCAGAATCACTTATTGGCAAGGACTCAAAATCCCAAGATGCCTTGTGCCTCGTGACAGGAAAATGCCAAAACTCTGTCGATCTCTTAAGTTTGACCTCATCAGCGAGAACTAAAGAGCAGGTCAGATTTAACTCTGAAGAAACAATAACATCTATGAAGAAACATCTACGAAACATCTCTGAGATTAAAACGAGGCAGAAACCAGAGTTACACAGAGGGGCGATAAAGGGTTAATAAAAACAGTCAATAAAGTGTTAATTAACACAGAGAGTTAATAAGGACTGACTCCTTATTGGCTTTAAACAGAGATTTAGTCAGGAGTTAAACACAGTTAATAAAGAGTCAATTCAAACAGACAGAGAGTTAAAGTCAATCTTTCTTCTTGAGTCTCAGTTCGTTTTTCTGATTTTGTTTTTAACCAATCAAACGTTTTCACTTTCATTAAGCTCACAGACCTTAAGCAGCTGATTGGTGGAAACCTGGCAGGTTGTCTGTGATTGGTCGATATAATCCACGTTCTTCTTAGTCTATGATTGTTTTTGTTAAAGTCTGAAAAAGTTCGTTCATTTTCTTTTGTAACAAGTAAAAATAGGAATAAAACGTATTTTTCTCAGCGACTTTGAGTCCTCCATGTTTCTCTGTGAACTATAGACAGGTGAGACACAGACTGGTAGGACAGGTGAGACACAGACGGGGGAGACATAGACAGGTAGGACAGGTGAGACACAGACAGGTAGGACTTGTGTGTGTGTGTGTGTGTGTTAAAAGTTTATTTTTTCTCTTGAGTTTTTTTTTAAACTTTATTTAAATAACAAACGTCACGGACAGTCACTTTAATATATTCATCAGTTTTACTTCCTCGATCAGAGCAGAACGCCAACATCCTGTCAGTCATAACTCCGCCCGCTGCAGCACAACCAGCAGCACAGCCAATAGGAAGGTGGAGGGCAGCAGTTGCCATAACGATGGAAACGCGGCTCAGCCAGACCTCCGTGTGACCAGCCGTCTTCAGTCACTTCCTTGCCCAGCCACAACTTCCCGTCCCCCATGGCGTCTGCAGACCCCACCCCCTCCCTGCGGACGGAGGAGCAGGTCTGCTGGGCCTTCACGCCCAGGAAGGAGGCCAGGTCCAGGTCCAGACCGGCGGCCCCCCCTCTTGGCCAAGGCGTGTTCTGTCGACACTGAGGACACGGGATCCAGACCTGGGGTGGGTGGGGGAGGGGGGTCATTAAAGGTACAGGGACGTTTAAGAACCAGGACCAGAAACTGGACTGGACATGCTACTAGAGGACAGGAACTAATAACAGGTAAGAGAGAGAACACCTGGACTACAACAGATAAAGTACACATACACAGATACTTTTACTGCGACTTTGTCTAAGTACCTTCGACAAATACTTGTACTTGATTTGATAGCTTGTACTTGTACTTTATGCAGGTACCTGTACTTGTAGTATATATGAGTACCTGTACTTGTATTTTGTGTATCTGTACTTGTACCTGTGCATCCAAGTGTGTATTTGTACCTGCAGTACACAGATATAGTAGTATGGTTGATGATGTCATCAATCACCTGTTCATTGATCACGGTGTCTAACCGTTTCAGACACACCTGGCAGAAGGCGTGGCCACAGTGCAGTCGCCTTGGCAACCGGGTCGCCAGATCATAGCTACCGAAACATACGATGCACACCAGGTCCTGCCTTCTCAGTGACATCGCCGTCTCCATAGCAACAGTTGATAGAGGGGGGGGGGGCTGACATGTGACTTCCTGTCGAACTTCCTCTTCCTCTTTTGTTCTGTGGATTGACATTTTGTCCTAAAGGAGAGGAAACTCAGCTTAGTAGATAGTAGATAATAGAGATTATTGGAAATTAAACAAAACGTTGCTACAAAATAAGGAATTTGTAAAGGAAAGCCAAATAATCATCGACAAATGTTGGAGACAAGCAAATTTACTAAAGAATTTTGGATTATACTGGGAATTAATGAAATATGAAATAAGAAAGTTAGCTATAAGGTTAAGTAGAAAAATCAGCAGACATAATAAAGAAAAAGAACTTCAACTTGTCACCCAAATTATTCCATTATCTGAGAAAACAGACCGAACCAGTGCTGAGGTAGAACAATTGGCTTACCTACAAACTGAATTAGACAAATTTTACGAGGGGAAAGCTAGAGGAGCCTTCATCTGATCCAGGAGGAAATGGCTTGAACAAGGGGAAAAATGCACCAAATATTTCTTTAATCAAGAAAAAAGGAATTACGAAATGTCTTCTCTCTGCAAACTTAAAATTCATGACGCTGTGTGTGAAAATGGAAAACAAATTTCACAATATGTTGCACGCTTTTATGAAAAGCTGTATATGACTGACCTGTTAAATGAAGATAAAATATCACTATTTCTTCAGACCATACAACCAAATATTACAAGAATAGATGATGACCTCCATGTAACGTGTGATCAAAAAATAACGATAACAGAGGTACAAAAATGCATCGACTCCCTCAAGGACAACAAAGCCCCAGGTAATGACGGGATAACAGGGGAATTTTATAAATACTTTAGACAAGCAATCGCTCCATTTTTAATTGAGCTATTTGAAGAGGCTTTAGACAAGTAAGAACTCCCCCACACTTTAAGACAGGGACTGATAAAACTAATTCCAAAACCAAAATAAGATGAATTAAACATTGAAAACTGGAGACCGATTAGTTTATTGAATAATGATGCAAAGCTGTTTGCTCTCATCTTTGCTAAAAGATTGAAAATAGGATTAGATGATATTATAGATGAGGAGCAATCTGGGTTTATGCCAGGGAGAAATATTGTAAATAATATTCGTCTGATTCTGGATATGATAGACTATAATGAATTTATACCTGATGAAAGTTTTATTCTGTTTGTGGACTTCTATAAAGCATTTGATACAGTCAATCACCAGTTTATGTTTAAAGTTATTCGATGTTTTGGTTTTGGAAATAGGTTTTTGAGGGCAGTTCAAACACTTTATAAAGGAAGTAACAGTTCAATTAAGATAATAAATGGCACAACACCCAGATTTAATATTGGTCGTGGAATCAGACAAGGTTGTCCCCTAAGCCCCTTTTTGTTTTTGCTGGTTACACAGGTTATGGCAACACATATTAAAAAAGCAACTTTCAGGGTATGACAGCCGTAGGTAGAGAATTCAAACTAGCTCAGTTAGCGGATGATACAGCTATTTTTTTGTCCAACCAAAATGAACTTGTCAAAGCTGTGCAGTGTATCAGAGAGTTTTCGGAGGTTTCTGGGCTGACAATGAACCTTAATAAATCAATGCTTTTTCCCCTCAAACACTGTGATCTGGCAGAATTAAATGGTATTCCCATTAAACAAACTGTGACATATTTGGGTGTTGTACTTGACAAAAATGAGAAGAGGCGCTCTGAGTTAAACTTTGAACCAATAACTCAACAGATACAAAGAAAATTCAATATGTGGTTAATGAGGGATCTATCTTTACACGGACGGATTCTGTTATCCAAAGCTGAAGGAATATCAAGATCCGTATATCTATCACTAGCACTAGAAATGCCTGCTGTAGTCTCCAAGAAATTAGATCAAATCTTATTCAAGTTTATCTGGAAGAACAGACGCCATTATTTAAAAAAAGTTATCTTATGTAATACCAAGAGGGATGGTGGTTTGGATGTGCTAACCTTCGAAATATTGAATCACTCTTTCAAGATCAACTGGCTGAGTAAGTTATGTAGAGAGAAGAACAACCTCTGGAACTCCTTTGCTACACATGTATTCAACTCACTTGGTGGTATACGCTTTATGTTGAAATGTAATTACAAAATTGAGAAGCTTCCTGTTAAACTCTCTAACTTTCACAAACAAGCCTTGCTGTCCTGGAAACTGATCTACAAACATAATTTCTCACCAACCAGCTATTATATTTGGAACAATGAAGACATCGTTTACAAAAACCGATCACTGTTTTACAAGGACTGGATGGAGCACAACATTTTACTAGTCGACCAACTTCTTAATGACCATGGCTTTTTACATTCTTATGAAGAATTTATGTTAAAATTTCAACTCCTGGTCACCCCAAAACAATATGCAGTGGTTTTTGATGCATTACCTCAGGGGGTGCTACAACTTCTTAAAGGGTCTGAAAGAACGGCTGCTACTCCAGGAAATTACACCTGTGATATATTTGTGGGCGGAATAGACATTACAAAAAGACCCTGCTCGAATAGACTGTTGAGAAGCTGCCTACAACCAAAGACACTGCCTAGAGGTCAAACTAACTGGTCTGTACAATTGGGAGAAATTAACTGGAGCAATGCATGGCTGGTTGGTGAAAAATTCTGTCTCAATAACAAGGTCAAAGAAGTCTCTTTTAAAATATTACATCAGATTTACCCTGCAAAGAAAACTCTTGAAAGATTCAAACTGGACATTGAATATTTATGTGATTTCTCTGGACTTGAAGATGAAACCATCTCTCATTTATTCTATCATTGTACCTACAGTAAAACCTTTTGGATTGATGTCCAACAATTTGTGCACGAGAAAACAGGAAGAACGATCAGTTTCCAGGAAAAACATATTTTTATTTATTATGATGACCAGGACAAAGATCTGTGCTTTTTTTGTCAGTTGATCTTGAGCTTGGGGAAATTCCATATCCACAAAAACAAATGGGCCAAATCTAAGCCAAACATTGCACCCTTCAAAAATGAACTGCTCCGTTATGCTGCCACGATCAAGGATATTAAGAACAAGAAAGCTACCAAAACATACTCTATAATGAAGAAATTCTGTACCATTGAACTGTAAGTCCTCTGGCTGTTGTATGTCTGTGTTTTGTTTTCTGTTTTTGTCGTTGTTGTTGTGATGTGTCTCTCGTTGATTGTACTGTCTGTCTTGTTCAATTAAAAAAAAAAAAAAAAAAAAAAAGAAACGCAGCTTAGTTAGTGTCACGTGGTGACATCACATGACCACAGCGGGCAGAGCCATATAAGGAGTTCCTGTTGTGATCGTAATAATCAGGCTACAGTAATCTGATTACAGCCGAACAACATGAAGATATGTTGTCCGATATGTTGTCATAACATCATGTGAACGAGCGTGAGTGTCTGTTTAATCAGATTGCTGTAGAAAAACTAATCTGATTAGATTATAATCTGATTTTACACTTTTAATCTGATTATATAATAATCTAATTATACTATAATCTGATCTGTTGTTCTGGTTAAAGTTTGTTTATGCGACACAAATTCTGTTATTTTGCCACTTTTACTAAAATCTAATCTGATCAGAGGTTGTTGTTGTTAGTTTGGGGTTTTTTTGTTTTCTTTTTTGTTTGGTTGTTTTTTTTGGGGGGTGGGGGGGTTGTTTTGTTTTTTTAAAACTCGCCTGTCGGCTCTTTTACCTGAGATCTATCTTTTTCCAAAGATCGCAGCATTACCGTCGCTGTGGCTAGCTGTGTGGCTAATGCTAAGCTAACGATCTCAGTTAAATGTGCTACAGTGACAGGGTTCGTGATTGGCTGTTTTTCTTCCTGCTGTGCTCTGATTGGACAGATTTTTAAAGCAAACATGTGCTGCGTCCGAATTGCCCGCTCGGATACTACATGCTACTGCTACATACTACTGCTAGATCCTACTCCTACATACTAAACACGTTGGCCCAATTCGGACACACTAGATGAGCGGTGGGGAAAGACGACCCCCGCAGGCAGAGAGTAGGTACTGCGCCCGTGCAGACAGTGGTAACTGAAGCCCCTCATCTGCGGGCCTGGCTGTAGTACTGCAGCTGTGCAGTTTAATGATGGAATAAGTGAGCTTTACCTCCATGATGTCGCCACATATTTGCTCATAAAAAGATTACTTGGGCAAATATGACACCATGACATGACAAAGAGATACAACCGCACATTTTTTAGGACAGTGTGTGAAGTTACATGAAGCTTACATCTGTACTGCTGCGGTCACGCCTGCTGCTGCTCCGACATGGTGCGCGCTGCTGTGGCCAGCCGGCGTTCGCGACGCATCTATGCTGGTGGCGCTAGCATCACATGCGCTTCTACAACTTTTAAGAGGACGAAGAAGAAGCCCGCGGTGCATTTTGGGTCAGTAGCATGCCCGTAGGATGCACCGCGACCAACCTACAATGTGGGCGTGTCTAGTATCTGAAGTAGTATCTGAAGTAGCATGCTACTCGCTCCGGTGGCCAATTCGGACATGCTAGATACTACTTCGTCTACTACTTCGACTACTACTTGGCAATTCAGACGCAGCTATGGACCCACCTGAATGTTCTTCCTGTTTCTTTACATCACATCCTGTCGTTGTCTTCTTTCCCTTCTTCTTCTTCCCTCCTTTTCGCTTTTCTTTACTCCTCACCTTTCCTGCTTTTCTCCTGATTTCAGTCTCTCGCTTCTTTCTAATCGTTATTCTCTCAATCTCTCTTCCCTCCTTCTTTCTGTCTGTCTGTTTTCTCTCTGAATTTTCTTTTTTCTTTGAGATTTTCTTCTTCTTCCTCTTCTGCTTCTTCTCCTCCTCTTTCTTCTTCTTTTTCTCCTTCTCCTTCTTCTTCTTCGTCTTCTTCTTCTTTTTCCTCTATTTCTCTGTGTCTATCCCCTGCTTCTCTCCTTCCTTCTCGTCCCTTCTTTTTCTCCCTCTCCTCTGTTTGTGGTTGAGTTGCTCCGTCAGAGAGAGAGAGTTCCATCAATAATTCAGCCTCGCTCGCCCTCAGACTCTCTCTGTTATAAACTTTTTATGTCTTGATAAAACGTAAAAATAAAAAAACTGGATTATTAAATTTGACTCTAACGAAAAACAAACATGAACTCAAATTTGATTTATGAACATTATTAAACACAGAGACTGAAATTATTGATCGTTGATATATATAGTTCAAAAAAAGTTTAAATACAATAATGAACATTTAAAACACGCATATCTGTTTAAAAACAATAACTGACAGTATGATGCAGCATAAAACACATGAGTGTGACGATCAAATGAAAATATAAACTAAGAGAAACCTGATCAGCTGATCTCAGGGTGGCCTATCAGGTTACAGCAGCAATGTGGACCGACTGAGGGGTCGCCTGGCAACAGTGTGTGTGTGTGTGTGTGTGTGTGTGTGTGTGTGTGTGTGTTGAACACATGAACTCATCTCCAATTCTGAAGCTAGATTGATTGATAAGTGATGTTAAGCCCTGCCCCCTCCATGTTAACAGATTAGATACTTCTTTAACTTTCAGTTTTGTGTGTGTGTGTGTGTGTGTGTGTGTGGCCTCTCTCTCTCTCTCTCTCAGGTGATCGTCTTACCTGCAGCGCTGTTGTCATCATCGTCGTTCTCTCTGGGTTTGACTGTCAGGCTGATTCCCTGCAGACAGAACTGAGGGCTGAACCAGACGACCTTAAATAACCTTTATATCCGACTTTAAAAAACCACGACAGGTTTTTAAAATAGTATTTTTTATTGACTCTTAATTTTGAAGATAATTCCGTTCAAGCAGGTTCATGTTGATTTACTGTTTTTATTTAAAGTCTCTTATTAAATCTCCTTCAAACTCCAGTCCTGGTTATGAAAATATAAAAATACTTTATGTAAAATACAAACTCCTCCTGACAGGCGTCACCATGTGGAACAAAAACAGATCAGATTATTCATTCATAAATTATTAATATTGTCATAACTTTACATAAATAATGTTGAAAAACCCAAACAAACAGACTTGAAGACTTTTATCACAGTGAGTACAGATTTAATCAAGTATCACAGCAATTTTCAGATTAACTCCTTCATCTTCGTTCACTCATTCATAATATCAGTTCATATCAATCATAATAACAGACTCAGTGTCTGATTCGATTCATTAAAGCTCCTGTGACGACCTTTGATCGTCAGTTTGGCGCCCCCCTGTGGACAAAGTGAGAACTCTTATTTCATCCTGAAGATGAGCGAGTGATCGAAAAAAAAACAAACGTGTTTTTAGACAGTCGGATATCCAATCATAAAAAACCCTTGACCGTCTGTTCCAGCTGACTCCTCCCCCTCCACTCTGCGTCAGACCTCATGGTTACCCTCACAGAAGAAGGACTTCCTGTCAGCGCCGACCCTCCCTCTGCTTTCTGGAGGTCATTAAGAGACGACACCTCCCCTTTACACATCAGCCATGTTTACATCTGTGAAATTTCTTAATCCGATTAAAATTTTGAAGGATCGTAAAATCCGAATCCACCGTGAAAATGGGCGTGAAACCCAACGATTCGATCATGACGCTCGTTTACGAGCACCAAGTTTAATTCAGATTAGAAACATTTGGACACGTGAAGAGTTCTCAAACTTTGCTAAAACAACCACAGAAGAAGAAAAGGAAGAAGAAGAAAAAGAGTTGTATTTACGCCTGTCCTGCCAACAAACCAACAAACGCAGTCGAGGCTTACGTCATTCGGTTCAGGAGTTTCCCCATCACTTAGAACAACCTGAGCCCAGTTCATGCTTATCAGGCAGGTCCAGCAGCACATCCTGATCCTGCGTCACATGAGGAGGCTGGACTTTAACAAAGTTCTGTCAGACAGACAGTCGCTCCTGGATCCCACCATCTTTACGTTTCGTCATTAATGGCGGAAATGCGTCAAGTTAGCGTCTGGGTCACATGTGCAGTCAGTTTAGCTTTGCCCCAACAGAGAGTCATGATCGGAAAAAGCGTTTACATGGACGCAATTCAGAATAATGATCAGCATAACCCCCCCCCCCTCTACATTGGAATACAAACTCTTTCCTAATGAGCGAATTTGGATCAGAATCTGTACGTGACGCATTTTTATTGTTTATAAAAAAAACATGAACATGGCGTTCAGTCAGAGTTTTAATGATCCGATAAATGTTTAACAATGTTTATATAAAAATATTAACATTATTAAAACTCCCCTCTCATGACCATGGGGAGCTTTAATCTCCTCAAAAACATGCGTTTACATTACGAACTCTTTAATGGATTTGATTGGTAACAGCTCTCTACTGACCCTCCTAACCCAGATCAGGTCACATGACCTCGCTAAGATGGTGTTTTGTCATTTGAAAAGATTTTAACTCAGTTTTTTTTTTTTTGCTTTTTCATTGACTTGTTGTGTCCTGCCTTTGTTTCTTCTCCTTCTCTCCTTTCCTTTTGTGATTTGCTTTATCCTTTTTTCTCACTTCCTCCTTCCCTCGTTGCCTCCTCGTTTCCTTCACTTGTTGTTTCCTTCACTGTTCCCTCAGAGCGAAGGAAATTCATCAGCAGTAAATAAATAAGTCTGAGCCAATCACATTCCTCCCGCCGCAGTGATATCACTTCCTCCTCCTACAGCGGTAGCAGCACACCCGACACCTCCCCCCCTCCTCCCCCTCCCCCCCTGCTTCCTTCACCATATATGGTGGAGGGGCGGAGCTTGATACGCCGTACGGGTTCCCATTGTCACTGTTTAGAGTCATCGGATTGGCGATCACCATGGCATCATCAGAGGGGCGGAGCTTAGCCCGGGGGATCTGCACCTCCCCGTAGGGGTTTTCCAGAGACACGTTAATGTTTGACATCACGATCTGTCACAAGGGGTGGGGCCAAAGATGAAACAGTCCAATCAGAACACGGCAGGAAGTGACAGTGAGAGAGCTCTGTGGAGGTCGAGCGACAGAGAGAGAGAGGGGGGGGGGGGGGGGGCAGGAAGACAGAGAGTGAAAGAGGGAGATAAACATCAACATATAAAACATTTATCAAAAAACATTAAAATTTTGAAGTTATATAAACATGTAAACTTGCAAATGCAAATATAAACACATTGAAACACATATAAACATGTAAATTTATGCTGACTGATATAAACATGTATTAACATTAAGAAACATGTATGGACGTATGCATATAGAAACCTTGGACATTAATATACATAAATATTAAACTAACTGTTAAATATTAAACAAACTGATATTGACATAAATACATAAAGACTGACACACACACACACATATATATATATATTTATATATATATATGATGTTGGAGCTGATATCAACACACTCCTGATCTCATGTATGATGTCATTGGCCGCGCCCACTCCTCCCATCCGGTTCTTACTGATATGTGCTGTGTCTGAATTGCCTGCTCGCATACTACATGCTACTGCTACATGCTACTGCTAGATCCTACTCCTACATACTAAACACGTTGGCCCAATTCGGACACACTAGAAGAGCGGTGGGGAAAGACGACCCCCGCAGGCAGAGAGTAGGTACTGCGCCCGTTTTAGACTGAATGGTAATTGTGCAAGTGATAGATGCTGCTGTATTATATTCCTGCACTGCTTTAGAAATTCACAAAGTAGCTTTTCCATGACTTTTAGCCTTCATTCACTCACGTGGTGATCGATTGTTCAATGAGATCTGCCTGATTACTGTAGCTGTGCAGTTTAATGATGGAATAAGTGAGCTTTACCTCCATGATGTTGCCACATGTTTGCTCATAAAATGATTACTTGGGCAAATATGACACCATGACATGACGAAGAGATACAACCTCACATTTTTTTAGGATAGTGTGTGAAGTTACATTAAAATTACATCTGCACTGCTGCGGTCCTGCCCCCTGCTGCTGCTGCTGCTGCTGCTCCGCCATGGTGCGCGCTGCTGTGGCCAGCCGGCATTCGCGACACATTTAAATAGGCAGAGCAGCTGGTGGCGCTAGCATCACATGCGCTTCTACAACTTTTAAGAGGACAAAGAAGAAGCCCGCGGTGCATTTTGGGTCAGTAGCATGCCCGTAGGATGCACCGAGACCAACCTACAATGTGGGCGTGTCTAGTATCTGAAGTAGTATCTGAAGTAGCATGCTACTCACTCCGGTGGCCAATTTGGACATGCTAGATACTACTTCGACTACTACTTCGACTACTACTTGGCAATTCGGACACAGCTATGGTGTGTAGGGTCCAGTGACACTTGCTGCGTCCGAATTGCCCGCTCGGATACTACATGCTACTGCTACATACTACTGCTAGATCCTACTCCTACATACAAAACACGTTGGCCCAATTCGGACACACTAGACGAGCGGTGGGGAAAGACGACCCCCGCAGGCAGAGAGTAGGTACTGCGCCCGTGCAGACAGTGGTAACTGAAGCCCCTCATCTGCGGGCCTGGCTGTAGTACTGCAGCTATGCAGTTTAATGATGGAATAAGTGAGCTTTACCTCCATGATGTCGCCACATATTTGCTCATAAAATGATTACTTGGGCAAATATGACACCATGACATGACAAAGAGATACAACCGCACATTTTTTTAGGACAGTGTGTGAAGTTACATGAAACTTACATCTGTACTGCTGCGGTCCCGCCTTCTGCTGCTGCTGCTGCTGCTCCGACATGGTGCGCGCTGCTGTGGCCAGCCGGCGTTCGCGACACATTTAAATAGGCAGAGCAGCTGGTGGCGCTAGCATCACATGCGCTACTACAACTTTTAAGAGGACGAAGAAGAAGCCCGCGGTGCATTTTGGGTCAGTAGCATGCCCGTAGGATGCACCGAGACCAACCTACAATATGGGCGTGTCTAGTATTTGAAGTAGTATCTGAAGTAGCATGCTACTCGCTCCGGTGGCCAATTCGGACATGCTAGATACTACTTCGACTACTACTTCGACTACTACTTGGCAATTCGGACGCAGCTATTGTTCACACAAAGTTCACTGTGAGACCGCAGCCCCTCCCTGCCTTTATGCAGCGCCCCCCTGTGGACAGTGTGTGTCTGAATCCCAGAGTCAGCACAGATCAGTTTACACAGATTTACCTTCAGTTAGAGAGTTAGAGACATAGACTCTGTCTCACCTGAGCTCACCTGTCTTTCACTCTCCTTCTCCTCTTCTTCTCCTCTTCTTTTTCTCCTCCTCTTCTTCTTTCTTTTTTCTCCTCTCGTTCGTCCTGGTCGACCCTCGGAGCTGAGCTCTCTCTCTTCTCTGCTCCTCCACCGTCTGACTTTAAACTCACAAACTGAACAAACAATCAAATCTGGTTTTCTCTCTCTCTCTCCTTTTCTCTCTGTGTGAAGCTTGCTCGCCCGCCTCGCCCAAACCTGTTCTACCTGCTGACACTCCCTCTCTCCCCCTCTCGCTCTCTCTCTGTTCAGTCTTTATGGAGCTCCACCCCCCCCCCCCCCCCCAGGGATGATTTGTTGACTTGTTCATTTTCTTGGTTCTTTGATTAATTGATCAGTGGAGTAATTTTGTTGATCTTTTGTTTCAAACATTTTGGTCGTGGGTTGATTTATTGATTTTCTGATAATGATGTTTTGCTGATATCGTGACTGTTTTGACCTGTTGATTTTGTTGATTAAAAGATTGTTTTGTTTTGTTGATTTTGATGATATAAGGGCGGCACAGTGGTGTAGTGGTTAGCTCTGTCGCCTCATGGTAAGAGGGTACTGGGTGTGAATCTGGGTCAGAGTCTTTCTGTGTGGAGTTTGTGTGTTTTTCCTGTGTCCATGTGGGCTTACTCCGGGTTTACTCAGTTTACTCTGAGTTTACTCTAGGCTTCGTCTGGGTTTACGCAGCGTTAACTTCGGGTTTACTCTGGGTTTATTCCAGTTTCCTCCCACAAAAACCTGCAGAGGTGTTCTCAGGTTCATTGGTCACTTCTAAATTCGCCAGAGGTGTAAATGTGAGCTTGGATGGTTGTTCGTCTCTATATGTCAGCCCTGTGATGAACCGGTGACTTGGGATAGGCTCCACCGTCCCTGTGACCCCCAACAGGAAAAGCAGTAGAAAATGGAAGGATTGATGATTTGATGAGGTGTACTCGAAATACTCTGGAATTGTTTCTTTTGTTTTTGTTTTTCAGACTGTGTTTATGATCTTGTTTTAGATTTTGTTAACTCTGTCGACACTCTGATTTGTTGATTGTGGTTTTTGTAGTCGTTTGACACCGGCAGTTCAAACAGGAAGTAAAAAAAATTGTTTTGTTAAAGTTTACCTTGGATAAATTAAGAGCTGCTGAGGCAGGGCGGTAGTCTGTACCTGCAGCTCACCTGGAGAGTCTGTCAGTAACCGGTTTGACAGAAACTGATCTCATTCTTCTGGGGCCAGGCCCCGCCCACAACCTGCTTCCATTGGCTGAGATCTAAAGACGTGAACAGTTCTGCCCTCGGCTTCATCACAGACTCATGGTTGTCTAGGATGAATATACTAAATCATTTTCATATCGACTTTGAACATGTTACAGAGAAAAACCTTTAAACAGAGATGTAACAATGAAGTTTTTATACTGTCTTTATTCAGTCTGTAGAGTCTGTGAAACATTAATAAAAATAGATTTTTGAATTTTCTAAAGATCCTCTGAGGAGTTTTTGGATGTTTATAATATATAAAGACTGAGATTTATATTCATGATTTTTATGGTATACAAAATTAAACAAGATGATCAGAGACTGTCCAATTCTCCCTTTAAAGGTGGAGTTAGTCAGGAATCCATTAAAGAATCATCTTTTTTTTGGCAAAGTGTCAAAGATAACAGTGACATTGGTAATATAACGATGTCACTGTGTTATCTTTGACACTTTGCCTCTTAAAACGTCTTCAAGAACAGATCTTTTGGTGTTTTTTTGAATTTTTAAAATCTTCATCAATAAGAGTCACTGCAAAACAAAATTTAAAATAACCAAATGTTCCTTCTTGGTTAGAGGAAAATGTAAACAGGTCAAAAGTTTGTCTTTTGTTTTTCTGTAAAGTAAAAGGTCCACTTCTCTCTAATGATCCTCACACTCAGGTCTCCTAACATGTTCTGATCAGATGATTCCTTGTCTCCATCAGAAAACTTCTGAGCATCAGATCAAAAATAAAAACTGATTTCTCATAAAGGTGAAAAATTTCAGTGTTCAAAAATTTCGTTTAAAAAAAACTTTTTAATTTACAGTTTTCAGATTTCTGCTCTGATAGATACACACACACACACACACACACACACACGAACAGACACATGCACACACACAAGCACACGCAAACACGTACGCGCACACACAAACACATACACACACACACACACAAACGCATACACACGCACACAAACACACGCACTCACTCACTAACACACACACAAACCCACACTTACACAAACACACACTCACTCACTCACTCTCTAAGACACAATCACGCACGCACACACACAGTTTTTCCCCTTTTCCGTTTCCCCCGGAAGCCCGTCCCTGTTAGCCGTTAGCCTGTTAGCTTGGTAGCCGGACGGTCGGAGGTGTATCCGGGGGAGGACCGGAGCAGAAAACTCGGTGAGGGGATGAAATGAACCCATCAGAGACCGGCAGAGGAGCGCGGTGACCGGGCAGTCAATCTGCCGCCGACAGGAGCGGCTCACAGAGCGGGAAAGCTGCTGAAAAGAGCCGAAGAGAAGCCGAAAAACACCGAACCTCTCCCGACCGTCCTCCTCCTGCTGCTCCTGCTGCTCCTGCTGTCCCCCCTGCTCCTCCTCAGGCTGCTCCTTCTTCATCTCTGACCAGCTGTCCTCACACTCTCTCAGGTGGTCTGTTTAGATCCGCTCCTTTCTCTTTGATTTCTGCCGTAAACACACACGAACAGCCGCCGTTGGCCTGCAGGTGTTTTGGGACTCTGTGTTACCGTTATATCATTAGCCTACTAGCTTCAAAGCCCCATTACTTTACACGGGAGAGCAGCTTACGTTAGCCTAGCCTCAGTTTGACTGAAGGAATGTAAAATGTTCAGAGATGTTCACGGTTGAAAATCTAAAAGCTTTCGTGTATTAAAACTCTATTACTGTTTAAACGTGTTTCTGAGCGAGTTTAAGGGAAATTTAAAAGGGTTTTAGAGGTTTAAAAGTTAGCAGGAAAGCAGGAAGAGACATAAGTTAACCGACAGTCCGAGTTTATAAAGGATGAGATTAAATTCAACACCACGAAATATTAAAAACACCGTTTACATTACTTAGAGTTTATGTTTAATATCAATGTCAGAATATTTCAAACTATCACATCCAAAGAGGAGAATACAGGTCAAATATGAATAAAGCAGTAGTTTGTGTTTTGTTTAAAATTTGTTTTCTTAGTTTTAATTTGCTGTGAAAAGTTCATTAGAAAGATTTAAGGACAGAAATATTCATTTGAAGACAATAGTAAGTTTTTGTAATGTGTTTTTTTTTTTTTTTTGTTAATCATCTGTCTGTCTGATCCTCTCTCTCCACAGACGGCCATGAAATTTGACCTCACTCCCCCCTGTCCTTAGCCTACCTGTGTGTGTGTGTGTGTGTGTGTGTGTGTGTGTGTGTGTGTGTGTGTGTGTGTGTGTGAGATCCAGGATGGGGTTTGGTCGGGATCTGAGGAACTCCCATGAGGGTTTACTGAAGCTGCAGGACTGGGAGTTAAAGGTAAGGTGTTTTGACCTCAGCAGGGCGCCATTTTCTCTTCTGCCGTGACCATGTGTGGTGTCTGAATGAAAGAGGAGAAAATCAGCTGATTCACGTGCACAAGGAACTGCTTTGGTCCGCCTCTCTTGAGAGTGTAGGGCGCAATATTTTTTTTCATAGGATGGTAGGGGAAGGTCCTGCCTCTTTTGTCTCTGATTGGCTGTGAAACGTCATCACACGCGCAAGCCAAGCGCGTGCTGTCGGATCTGTACACCCAACAGAACATTATTGCAATTCTGAATCTCCTAACCCGACAGATGATGACATTACACAACCATAAGGAATTACCAATCAGAGCCCAGCACTTCTAGCCAATCAGAGGAGAAGGAGGGCAGGACCTACCTCTACAATCCTACGAAAAAATCCTGCATACAAGACTGAGGAAGCATACTAAGCATGCTCAGTGCAGAGCGCTTATGCTGTGTTCCAGTTTCCTTGGATGTCGGAGCAGGGAATGATGTTACACCCGAGTTGACGGTGTTTCAGTTAACAAGTCGGAAAACTAAGATGGACGCCTACAGTTAGTTGTTGTTAGCTGTTGTTAGTTGTTGTTAGCTATACCCAGTATTTAACTCTTACAAACACCACAGCAGCCTGTTCACAGTTAGACGTTAGGCAGTACAACATAAACCACTTATTTAATTTCACTAAAACAAACAGAAGTGCTAATAAATAAAACATTACGAGAGCTTATACTGTTACTCTTTACTGTTGATGTACTGTGCTGCCATCTTTGATTATAACGTTGTCGTCAAGGCGGGGTTGGTGAGGATCGTCCAACTTACCAAGTAAAAAATCCAATTTGAGGGGGGCGATCCAGATGAATTTCTGCCTCGGAGCTCGGAAATTCCGACTTCTGAGTACATCAGGAACGCAGTGTTACACTGACTGAACTCACTCGACTGTTGGGGTGAAATGAGGCGGAGTCTGGTCCATCTTTAGTTACTGGTCCTGAGTCTGGTCCATCTTTAGGGGAGGGGTTTGACCTTAGTCACATGACTGCAGGCACTCACCTGATTTGCTCGCTAAGCTAACAGGGCAGCTAGTCAACAGGAAGTGAATGAGCTCCCTGTTTCCTGTTGGACCTCACTTTCTGCACAAGTGCTGACCTCTGCTTTGTGTGTGTGTGTGTGTGTGTGTGTGTGTGTGCGGTACGTGGCGCCCTCTAGCTGTTGGAGACGGTGAAGCGATTCATGACTCTGCGGGTAAAGAGCGATAAAGAGTACGCCGCTTTGCTGCTCAGCATGACTCAGCAAACGGAGAAACAGGAAACAGCTGATTATATCAGCACCGTCAGCAAGGTGAGACACACACACACACACCTGTCCTCACACACACACACACACACCTGTCACTGTCGGTGCTCTGTCTCTGTCCTGGTTCCTGTCTCAGTCCTGGTTCTCTGTCTCACTTCTTGTTCCTATCTCAGTCCTGTCTCAGTCTTGGTTCTCAAGTCTGGTTCCTGTCTCTCACTCCTGGTTACTGTCTAAGTTCTTGTTCCTGTCTTAGTTCTGGTTCCTGTCTTAGTTCTAGTTCCTGTCTCAGTTCTGGTTCCTGTCTCAATTCTGTTTAACGGTTCTGGTTCCTGGTTCCTGTCTCAGTTCTGGTTCCTATCTCAGTCCTGGTTCTCAGTTCTGGTTCTCTGTCTGAGTTCTGGGTCTCTGTCTCAGTTCTGGTTCCTGGTTCTTTGTCTCAGTCCTGGTTCCTGTCTCAGTTTTGGTTCCTGGTTCCCTGTCTTACTTTTGGTTCCTGTCTCAGTTCTGGTTCCTGTCACAGTCCTGGTTCACTGTCCTGGTTCTCAGTTTTAGTTCCTGTCTCCGTTTTGGTTCCTGTCTCAGTTCTGGTTCTCTGTCTCAGTCCTGGTTCTCTGATAAAGTTCTGGTTCCTGTCTCTCAGTCCTGGTCTCAGGTGATCCGGCAGACGGAGGCGTTGGGCCGGGTCATGCGCAGTCATGCCGACGACCTGAACTCGGGTCCTCTTCATCGCCTCGCTACGTTGATCCGGGACAAACAGCAGGTGAAGAAGAGTTACCAGAGTCTTCATCAGCAGCTGGAGAGCCACACCCACAAGGTCAGGGACGCCCACAGACCGCCACTGTCCGCTACAGACCACCAGAGAGCGCCATAGACCGCCAGTGTGTTTGACCTCCAGTAACTTTTCTGTTGTTTTTGTTGTTGCTAGGTAACCAGAAGTGACCTGGACAAACTGAAGACGACGTATCGTCAGCTGAGCCGCGACGCTAACAGCGCTAAAGAGAAGTACAGAGAGGCGCTGTCCAAAGGTCCTGCCCTTCTCTGATTGGTCCAGAGTTTAACAGCATCAAATCGGCGCTTTATTTTGAAAATCATTAAACGTTGGAGCGCCTAATCACTTCCTCTCTGCCAATCACAGGCCGGGAGGCGGAGCGTGCTCGGGAACGCTACGACAAAGCGACGGCAAAGCTTCACAACCTCCACAACCAGTACGTGTTGGCGGTGTGCGGCGCCCGGACGCAGCAAGATGAACATAGATGCCGCGCCGCCCCCGCACTGCTGGACGGATTACAGAGGATGCAGGAGGACATGACGCTCGCCCTGTGAGTCACATGACCAGACACGCCAACATGCTGGAGTGCTACTCCGCATTAATGTGTGTGTGTGTGTGTGTGTGTATATGTGTCAGGGCTTGACACTAACTTTTTTCACGTGTTCTCCTCAGTTAAAAAAGCAAGGAGCACACAAAGAACTTTAGGGGAACAATGAAAATTGATCAAATATGTTCGTCTTATTGACCGACCTTAGTACTATTATTAGAAATCAATTTTAGGTCTTTGGTCACATGACATTGAAACTACTGACGGAAAACAGCCTTTTATGAGAACATCAACCGGTAATTTATTGACGGTCCTTTATTCAACACCCAACGTTGACAGCAAGGGTGCTGAGTAGATTTAACTGCGCTGCTGTTGTTATTCCCGGTTATGGAGAGTGAGAAGACAGCTGCAGATCCTCAGTGAATGTCCGTCAAATATCCAACCTAAAACTAAATTCACCGCCGGATTTACAGGAAAAAAAAAAACATTTGTTAATTTTTTTTTCATTTGCACGTGACCCTAGATACATTTAACAATTCACACACATCTATTTTTAGTCGCAGTGAAACGGTCGCACTGTCAAGTCCTGTGTGTTTCTGCAATAAGTGTGTACTGTGTGTACCTTTTGCAGTAACAGTGTGTACTGTGTGTACCTTCTGCAGTAACAGTGTGTACTGTGTGTACCTTTTGCTGTAACTGTGTGTACTGTGTGTACCTTCTGCAGTAACTGTGTGTACCTTTTGCAGTAACAGTATGTACTGTGTGTACCTTTTGCAGTTACAGTGTGTACCTTTTGCAGTTAAAGTGTGTTGTGTGTGTACCTTTTGCAGTAAAAGTATCCTGGAGGAGTACTGTGACATCAGCAGTCTTCTGTCGGAGGAGATTGTCAAAGTTCATCAGGAGATCTCGGTGGCGGTCAAACAGATCGACCCGCTCACAGAGTACCAACACTTCATCGACACCTACAGGTTTGGACGGTTTTCATGGTAACGCAGTCTTTATTTTTCTTCTGGTTACTATGGTAATGGTATCTGCCCCCTCAGGTCTCCAGAGACGCCAGAGGCAAGCGTGGAGTTCGACACGTCTCTGCTGGAGGAGACAGACAACCTGCCGGCCAATGAGATCCTCTGGAACACATTGACCGCTGACAGTCTGCAGGCCATGTGAGCTCCTCCAAAATCAACCTATCAACTGAGGACGCCATCTTCAATAGGCAGCAGAAATCAGAATCACAACGACTCAATGAGATCAGGATTAACCAACATCTGAAAAAGATCTGAATAATTGGAGAAGTCCTGGATCCTTGTGGTCAATCTGTTTGTTTGTTTGTTTGTTTTTTTATCGTTTATCTGTTCGCCTTCCAGGTTGTCATCCGCGACGGAAGAGCTGACGCTGACTCAGCAGAACCTGCTGACCAAAGAGGCATTAGCGGACGACCTGGACGCCAAAATCCAGACGAGTCAGCAGAGCACCGAGAGAAAGAGCGAGTGAGTCACCTGAATTAGAACAGTAGAGGAAGAAGTTCTCTCTCGCTCTCTCTTTAAACCCTGTGTCTCTCGCCCTCAGCTGCGTCCTGCTGCTCAGTCAGAAGCTCTCTCTCCTCGAGCTTCATCACGCCGTCCAATCACTGCGCAGCTCTGAGGCACGCCTCGCCTCTCAGAAGGCCCTGCTGGACGCCAAGATGGCCACCGCAGCCTCTCCGCCTCCACCGCCACCACCTCCAGCACTACCTTATGAGGACGACGCCCGCTCCGTCAGCTCCACTGTAAATGCCAACTCACTGATTAACCATTGGTCCATCTGTACAGGAAGGGCTGTCCTTTCAAAATAAGAGCACAAAGATGACAATCTGTGTGTGTCTGTGTCTGTCTGTGTCTGTTTGTGTGTGTCTGTGTGTGTCTGTGTGTGTGTTTTTCAGGATAAGTCCAAAGAGAAAAGTTCTCGGTTCGATACTCTCCGTCACTCTCTGGCCGGGATGATCCGCTCTCCTAAAGCCATGATAGGCTCCTCCTCCTCTGTGAGTCTCACCTGTCCGTGTGTGTGTTCGTCCGTCTGTCCGTTCTTCTGTCTGTCCGTCTCACCTGTGTGTTTGTGTATGTCATGTGACCTGCAGCAGTTCTTTGACGTGATCCCGACTTCGGAGCGCCCCCTGGCAGAACAGGAGTGGTATCACGGAGCGATCCCTCGCACTGAGGCTCAGGAGTTACTACGGCAACAAGGAGACTTCCTGGTGAGAGAGAGCCATGGAAAACCGGGCGAGTACGTCCTCTCTGTGTTTTCTGACGAACAGAGACGACACTTCATCATCCAGTATGCCGACGTATGTACACACACACACACACACACACACACACACACACACACACACTGACACACACACACACACACACACACACACACACACACTGACAAACACATACTGATACACACTGACACACACACACAAACACACTCACTGACACACACAGACACACATTTACATCCATCATCAGCTGTTTATCCGGAGTCGGATCGTTGGGGGGGCAGCGGCCTAAGCGGGGAAACCCTGACTTCCCTCCTCAGCCACTAAAGTCCCGCATCTCCAGCATGTCCTGGGTCTTTCCCGCAGTCTCCTGCTTGTGCGACGTTCCCTGGACGCCTCACCAGCAAGGCGTCCAGATTAGATGCCCAGACCACCTCATTGGACTCCTCTCAATGCTATGCTCAGCCCCTCCCAAATGACTGAGCTTCTCACCTTTGCCCTCATTTATCAGTCTTGCGCAGATCTGAGCGCAGGATTCATCCCACGATAGGACACGTGAGGTTTATGAAAGGGTTCGTATCTGACCAATCTCAGCGTACGTATGATCGGGTCTTGATGAATGCGGCGGCTGCAATCGATCGTCATTAACATGTTTACGCCCTTGAATATTCGTGGATCAGAAGCCTCACCCACTGAGGTCAAACATGAAAGAGGAGAAATATTAGAAAGATGCGAAACTTTTCCGAGCTGAAAGTGGATTTCCTCACATCTGTGGTGGAAACTAACGTGGATTTAAAGAATTAAAGCAGTCCAAAAAACTCAGTGGCTGAAGTTTGAATAAATCATCAGTCAATAAATTGCTCATGATGATAATATCTCATACATGCCTCATTTTTGTTTATTGGAATGACATAGGGTGCGTTGCTCGTATTATTGAAAGTATTCAGTTTTTAATTTGTTGCGTCTTTGTAATGTAGAGCAGACTGGAGAGTCTGACAGAGGCTGAACAAAATAATTAATAACCTCACCAAACGGTGTGTTGTTGCCCCTGAGGCACATTTTTATGGATTTCTGTTGGATTTTTATCACTGAATAAATAGCAAGAGCACTTCCTAGCTCATATTGTACATCAGAATCCATCGAGAAGGTCCTGTCTCCTCTGTGCAGCACCTTTTGTGGAGTCTCTCCTCGCTATTGTTCTCTGGGCATCGGATCCTCACGTTGCACCGGCACAGCCAACGGCACTCCATTCACCAGTGCAACATTGTGCAAAACTGTATCGGCCCAAATGATGTCCCGCACCCTTTCAGGAGTGTTCAACAACGTCCCCGCTGCTGGACCAAGACAGAGACACCTGCCTTTTTGGAGTCAAACGCAGCGCTCCACAGTGGCGCGTGTGCATGTGTGCGCAGTGTTAAAACGGCGCTCCTGCTCTGTGGCAGTGTTTCTGGGCAGAGTTATCAAATAGACATATTCACTAAGGACATAACAAATTTATTTTATTTTATTTACGTCTTAATCTGTAATGAAATCTGTCTGATTGTGCTAAATGACAGGTTTGAGGTTAGTATATCAATGGTTTTGAGACAGACATTTGCTGCACCGTTGATCCACACTGACTCAAACGATGCACGATGTCAGACCTGTTGTGAGATTTGGTCGTAGCGTACGCTCACATGCAGATTGATAAATGCCGATTTTCACTTACTGCCCCCTGGATCAGTGCCTGTATGTCAGGGTTTAGCCCGTTGGACCAGAGGGTGGCCTTCCATTGCCTCCGGATGGGGGGGGGCTAATCCTGACTGTCGTTTGCCGCCACACATTTGTACTAATGCACACACACATTAACACACATTTAAACACATTTACACACAGAGCTAATTCATTCATCTGTAGATTTAAGATTTTCACTTTTGACCTTTAACTCCATCAGAGACTCTGAGTTCAGCTGTGATAAAAACAGTTTGATGTTTTAAATCATTGAAAGTTCATCTTTGATATAAAAGAGTTTAATAAGAGTTTAAAGAGAAAAAAAGATTAAAGGTTAAAAATGTTCATTTTAATTTAAAGAGTCAGCAGGTTTGTGAAAAGTTGTTATAGAGGAACATCCAAACAGGTTAGCAGATTTCTATAAAAAAAAAAAAACCTCTAAAATCCTGGACTCTGAATCCTCCTCTCTAAAGACAAGAGGGTCCATCTGTCTCAGCTCCTGGTCCAGATCCAGGATTCCTGATGGTCTGGATCTTGAGAGTCCAGGTGAAGGTTTCTGACAACTCCCCCCCCTTCTTCTGTAGGGTCTTTACCGGTTTGAAGGCACTGGTTTCTCCACCATCCCTCAGCTCATTGAACATCATTTCTCCTCCAAACACGTCATCACCAAGAAGTCTGGAGTCGTGCTGCTGAACCCCATTGTCAAGGTAACCATATGCGTTCACATTTCTGTGTTTGTTTACGTGTAAACAGCTCATCTGGACCCTCTCTGTGAGCAGGATAAAAAATGGATCCTGAACCACGAGGACGTCACGCTTGGGGAGCTGCTGGGAAAGGTGACCTCACTTCCTGTCTCCTGTCATGTCAGTCTGACCGTTCTAAACTTCATGTCCCAACATGCCCTCTGCTCTGCTGGTCACCAGGGTAACTTTGGTGAGGTGTTCAAAGGGACGCTGCAACGAGACAGAACGCCGGTTGCCGTCAAAACATGTAAAGAAGATTTACCTCCAGAGCTGAAGATCCGCTTCCTGTCTGAGGCCAGGTGACCGCACACGTACACACACACACACACACACACACTCGGTAACTCGGCGTGGACAGAGGGCTCTACGTCACTTTGTCCGAACACGTTTACCTGGAGTTTCCTGAAGATCCGGTTCCTGCTGGGACACGGAGACGGATCTTGATGCCTGTCCGTGATTGGTTGGTGAATCTCGATGCCTGTCTGTGATTGGCTGGTGAATCTTGATGCCTGTCTGTAATTGGCTGATGAATCTAGATGCCTGTCTGTGATTGGCTGGTGAATCTTGATGCCTGTCTGTGATTGGCTGCAGGATCTTAAAGCAGTACGACCACCCGAACATCGTAAAGCTGATTGGTGTTTGTACGCAGCGACAGCCGATCTACATCGTTATGGAGCTGGTTCCTGGTTGGTGGAGCTTATTTATCCTCCGTGATCGATGCTGTTACCTGATAGGACGGTTCTGACAGGTGTGTGTGTGTGTGTGTGTGTGTGTGTGTGTGTGTCAGGTGGAGACTTCCTGTCTTACCTGAGAAAGAAGAAGGATGATCTGAAGATGAAACAGCTGGTCCGATTCTCGGTGGACGCTGCTGCTGGGATGGCGTACCTGGAGAGTAAGAACTGCATCCACAGGTAACCAACCACAGACCCCCACAGTCTATCAGAGCAACACCTGCTCAGGTGGACGACCACTCATACCTGAGGAAGGTAACAGTCTCACCTGTCGGTCTCACCTGTTGGTCTCACCTGTCTCAGGGACCTGGCGGCCAGGAACTGTCTGGTGGGGGAGGGGAACGTGTTGAAGATCAGCGATTTTGGGATGAGTCGACAGGAAGACGACGGGATCTACTCGTCATCTGGACTCAAACAGATCCCCATCAAGTGGACTGCACCTGAGGCCCTCAACTACGGTAACACACCTGAGACTGACGCACCTCAGACACACCTGAGACAGAACACACCGGAGTCACACCAGAGACCAAACACACCTGAGACACACCTCAGACTGACGCACCTGAGATAAACACACCTGGGACTGACGCACCTGAGGCCAAACACACCTGAGACACACCAGAGACACCTGAGACCAAAACACACCTGAGACACATCTAAGACTAAACACACCGGAGAACAAACACACCTGAGACACCTGAGACCAAACACACCTGAGACTAAACACACCTGAGAACAAACACACCTGAGACACCTGAGACCAAAACACACCTGAGACCAAAAAAGCCTGAGACTAAACACACCTGAGACACACCGGAGACTAAACACACCTGAGACCAAACACACCTGAGACACATTCCGTTATTGGCTGCTTATGTTTTGTCCTTTGTGATTGGCTGCTGATGTTCTGTCCTCTGTGATTGGCTGCTGATGTTCTGTCCTCTGTGATTGGCTGCTGATGTTCTGTCCTCTGTGATTGGCTGCTGATGTTTTCTCCTCTCTGATTGGCTGTTGATGTGTCGTCCTCTCTGATTGGCTGTTAATGTGTCATTCCTTCTGATTTGCTGCAGGACGTTACAGCTCGGAGAGTGATGTTTGGAGTTATGGGATCTTGCTGTGGGAGACCTTCAGTCTGGGGGTGTGTCCTTACCCTGGGATGACCAATCAGCAAGCTCGAGAGCAGGTGGAAAAAGGTAAACACCTGAGGTCCTGAGGTTAAAGCTGCTGTGAGGAACTTTAGGTTTGTGTTGACACTAGCGCCCCCTTTGGACAAAGTCATACCTGTACCTGTTAAAGTCGTATTTATAAACTCAAACCGACCTGACTGTGGGTGTGGTCTCAGTCATGTGGTCTGACCTCTGACCGCACAGGGGTTTGAAATGTTACTACAGTCCAATTATCAGATTTTCTGCTGATTACATTTATTTTTTTAAATAATCTCAGTGATTTTTTTTTCTGATTGTAATCTAATGTGTGACAATTCTTAAAGGTCAGAAAAACACAAACAATAAATCAGTCTGTACTATAGTCATCAATATCAGATCAATTAAACATAATAATAACATAATAATCTTTATTTCTTTGGATCCTCATCGTCCTTTTCCCCAAGTTTCAGCTCCCTCCGCGTTCTTATCTTCCCACAGTACCACCGTCCTGCTTGGCCATGTCACTCTGGACTCTCTCTCATCTTTGAGTTCATGTCGTCTAACACTAAGCAATTGAAAAACTGTGTTTTACACACACACACACACACACACACACACACACACACAGGCTTTCTCTGCTCACACACGTGCACACACCCTCATATACACCATGATACTACTTTACATGACGATGTCAGGATTCAATCAGAGTTTGGACGATTCATTCAGCTGTGCTGCTGTCACCATATTGGATCCGTCGTTATGGAGACTAAGTTTAAAGCTGAAGTTCGTCATGTTTTTAGACGTACGTTTCTCTTTCATGGCTTTGGGTTGTTTTTTTTAGTGCTGAAAAAAGTTTGTAGTTTTTCCTCCTGAGTTAGCGACAGTCGTACGGAAGGTTATTCACCTTTTTTAGCTGACATACATCCACACGACCCCCGGGCTGCTAGTCTTTTTTTTTTAAGCGTTCTGCAGTGTCAGCTTCTGTAGCAGCGTTATGCCATGATGCGACAGAGAGCAGTGTTGACTTCCCTCTCTACCTGCTCCGCTCACTCGCAGGTCAGGTGAACAGATCACATGACCAGTCAAATCGCAGCCTTTGCAGTTCGATGTAGCGATTTGAATTTATAATAAATGTCTGAAGATTAATAATCTCAAATTATGACATTTATGCACTCGTTGAAAGGGGCACCACCCACCCTTAATGGTGGGAAAATAAAGAAAAACTAAAGTTTAATTCAGAAATCAAACATCAAGTCAATTTTAAATTAATCAATCTCATATCTTATGCCAAAATTATCATTTCAGGGACTCCACTTCTGGAAGAACACTAACAGACAGGAGCTTAGAAAAATAATGATCTGTTTATTACAGGATAAATGATGGTACAACATACATGCAATAAATGATGATAAGATAATGAGGATAAATAATAATAGGTGAATAAATAAAGATTCTGAGTCGGGCTAGGAGCACTAAAGTTAATGATAGTGAGTGAATATGCGCTAACATATTAACCTACACTAACTTTGGTGTTGAGATAAATTTGGATGTGGATTTGGAGGAACCTAAGATTACCAGAATAAGTGGATATCTGAGTTATGACCGCATGAGACAGCATCAGCCCTCTTTGGAGCTCTGGAGGTTTGCATACTTAAGTGAGACTGGTCCTTGGAGGAGATGGAGCAGGTTTCTGAAGGTCCGGGGCTACTGGCGGTCCGAGCAGTCCAGCTCAGAAGATGACTGAAGTCAGCCGAAGGATGGGCCAGGAGTTGTAGCACTCGGGCCCGAAGCAAAGCCGGCGCCTGTGGATCCTGTGGATGCTTGTTTGGACACTTCCTTGGTCCCACTCAAAAACTCTGGAACAGAGGATGACTTTGGGCCTGCTGGGTTGCGTTCAGAGGTGACTTTGAAATCACGCAGATAACTCAGGAAAAACAGGCTCGATGACCAGTGGAAATTATTTCAAAAATGGCTTCGCAAAATTAAAGAAAAATCAATTAATCCTACATCGACAAGATTTATCACAATATGTCGATGCAACCGGACAACAAGCGGTCGAGAGATCAACTGAGCTCGAGCGACCATGAAGACTCGAGCATTGCAGCCGACCTACTCCGCATACGCGAATCCATGGGCATAATGGAGAAACAACTACAGAAGCTGGATCTACTAAAAAAGCTAACAGACGATGTAGAAGAATTAAAACATTCCGTGGAATATAACAACTCCTTGATCGACGTCCTTAAACAGGACAACGCTTCACTTAGAATGGAAGTTAACACTCTCAAAAAACTGACAGCTGATCTCCAACAAAAGAATCACAAAATGTCGAATGACATTCTCGACATGCAAAGTAGGAGCATGAGAGACAATATAATAATCCACAGACTTCCCGAAACACAAAAAGAAACTTACCAGTCCACAGAGCAACTAGTGAAAACTTTCATGAAGAGCACCCTAAAGATGGAGGAATGCGAGGTGGACGCCATCCGGTTCTCCAGAGTACACCGGGTCGGACAAGCAGAGTCCTCCCGACAGAAGAGTCGTCCCATAGTGGCCAAAGTTGTGGACACGAAAATGAAAATATCCATCATGGGAAGAGGGAAAGAGCTACGCGGTACCAACTACTCCATCAGCGACCAGTACCCACCGGAGATCCTGAGGAGACGCAGACTGCTTCATCCCGTCATGACAGAGGCGAGGAAAAACAACAAGAAGGCTCGTCTGGTCACAGACAAACTTTACATTGATGGGAAACTATATAGTAACCCCGAGATCACACACTGGCTCTTTGGAGGAGACACAAACACAAGCCGGTAACACTCATGTCAACAGTCGCGGATAACAAACGTCATCAGAGCGACGCGTTGCCATAGGAACTTATCGCCGCGACCAGTGGGAGCTGCAGCAGATTCGGCACGGTGAAGTCCCTTTTTTCTTTGTTTTGTTTTGTTTTTCCTTGTTTACCAATATAACTCGCTTTTTTGCTTTTGAAATTGACTTTAAAAGAAAGCAGCTTGGGCACGGCTGGTGCACAGCATAGTCCTTTTTGATTTCCCTTTTTTTCGTGATGTTTCTTGTTTTTTTTTCTTTTTTTTATCTCAAGCACTGCAAGACCTTATTTTTTGTTCGTGCACCCACCACACACACACACACACACACACACACACACACACACACACACACACACACACACGCACACACACACATACACACACAAGTATATGTACACACTACTACCACTTCATACCCTATTCCCCCCTTCGGTCTTTCTTCTTCTTCTTCTCTCTCTCCCTACCTCTCTCTCTCTAGCTCTCTCTCTCGCGCTAAATTATGTCGACTATTAAGTTTATAAGTTGGAACATATGTGGAATTGGGAGTCAGGCCAAACAGTTGAAAGTTATTAATCATATCCTCAAAATACAAACCGATATATGCTTATTGCAAGAAACTCACCTAAGTTCTATAAGAAGTACTGTCCTGGAATCTACACATTTTCCACACGTCTTTACTGCAAATTATAATTCAAGGCAGAGAGGAGTTGCAATTATGATTAATAATAAAATTAAATTCAACCATAATACTACAATCTCGGATCCGGAAGGGCGATATATTATTATTAACATATCTATAGATAATAAACTATTTACAATAGCTAGTATTTATGGTCCTAATAATGATGACCCTACATTTTTCCATAACCTTTTCTCCATTATTAACAATCTACCCAGCTCAGATATAATTATAGGTGGGGATTTCAACACAACATTGGACCCAGCAATGGATAAATCAAACACAACAGGGAAGACCAGAATACCTCAATCCACTACAGTCTTGAAAGAATACATGGAGGATTGTGGACTTGGCGACAGCTGGAGGCTAAATCACCCCACTGACAGGGAATACACTCATTTTTCAAAAGTTCATTGTACATACTCAAGAATCGATTTCTTTCTCACTAGTAACTCTTTACATTCTGATATTTCTGAAACAAAAATTCACTCAAACACAATCAGTGACCACTCAATGGTCTCTGTCAAACTGCATACCAAAACAATCCTCAGTACTTCAACTAGATGGAGATTCAACACGTCACTGCTGGAGGACCAAGAATTTAACAGTTATTTTAAGAGAGAGTGGGCATTCTTCATGGATATGAATGACTCCCCAGACACCCCTGCTACTTTACTCTGGCAAACTGGGAAGGCTGTCTTAAGAGGCAAAATAATTTCATATTCATCATACAAAAAACGGAAAGATACGGAACTGCAATCTGAACTGGAGGGAAAAATTAAAGAACTTGAAAACCAGCACGCAAGTAATCCTAGCGACCATATATATGGGGAATTACAGAAAAACAAAATGGAGCTGAGCGATCTTATAAACAAAAAAACAAAATTTCTTATAGAAAGACTCAGACTCAACACATCTCACCACAGCAATAAGTCAACAGCATATCTGGCAAATCTGGTTAAACAAAATAAAGAAAAAACAACCATCACTGTAATTAAGGATTCAGCAGGGACATCATACCACAACCCAAAAGATATCAACAATATATTTAAGAATTATTATGAAGACCTGTATACATTACCTCATAACCCAGATACTCGAGAGATAAATACATTTTTGAACAATATCAGTTTACCTCAATTAACATCAGAACAAACTAATTCCCTAGAACAACCACTAACCCCAGGTGAATTTCAAGAGGCCTTAAATGAAATGCAAAACAATAAAGCACCCGGCCCAGATGGCTATCCTGCTGAATTTTACAAGTATTTCTGGCCCACCATCTCCCCCCTCTTTTTCAGAATGATTAATGAATTTCATACAACCAATAGAATCCCTCCTTCTATGAATACTGCTTTATTCACTTTGCTTTTAAAGCCCGATAAAGACCCCACACATCTATCCAGTTATCGTCCTCTCTCTCTGATCAATACAGATATTAAAATCATAAGTAAAGTATTGACAAATAGGATTGAAAAAGTAATCTCATCAATTATTCACCCGGATCAAACTGGCTTCATTAAAGGAAGGCAATCATCCCATAACACTCAGAAATTATTTAACTTGATGCAACTCTCAAACAATAGAAAATCTGAAACGATAATCCTCTCATTAGATGCACAGAAGGCCTTCGACAGAGTAAACTGGCAATTTTTATTTACAACATTACAAAAATTTGGTTTTGGGGAGTCATTCACTAACTGGGTCAGAACTCTATATACCTCACCAACAGCCGCTATCATAACTAATGGGTTAATCTCACAACAATTCACGCTTCACAATGGTACCAGACAAGGATGTCCACTCTCTCCCTCACTCTTTGCAATTTTCTTAGAACCTCTTGCAGCCAGAATACGACAAGATAATAACATCAAAGGTATTACATCATTATCCACAGAACACAAATTAATCCTCTATGCAGATGACGTGTTGATTCTCCTTCAAAAACCCCATTCATCATTACCAGAATGTCTCTCCGTCATTAAATCATTTGCATCTCTCTCCAACTACTCGATCAACTTGAAAAGGGAAAATAAAACAAAAGCTTCATACACACACATGCACACATTCACATGCATACACACACTACTTTAAGATACTGTTAACTGTTTTTGTTTCTGTCTTGTCTGTATATGTACCCACCATCACTATTTTTGTGTTTTTGTTTTGTTTTGTTTTGTTTGTATGTTATATAAAATAAAATTTAAAAAAAAAAAAAAAAAAAAATCAATTAAAGGCTTAATCTTGAATTGCTATGCGCACAAAAAAGTTTAAGTTTCAAAACTTGAACTAAGACGATGTTAAAGAAAAATCAACGTGAATCAACACGTGGCGTAAAACTTAGAGGACTAAGAAAAAGAGCTAAGAGAAAACAAAGAAGAGGAACACAGAAGGGTGTGGACAGTGAGTGAAGAAGCAGGTGTAAGAGAAAGGAATACAAGAGTATAAGGCGGCCTGTGAGCAACCCCACTTTCTGGTTTTATCTTCTCACACTCGGAGTGTCTCTGGCGTGTGTGTGTGTGAGGAGGAAGAGGAGGGGTCTTGTGTCTCCAAGCAGAGGAGATCTCGGATCTCTAATTATTTGATCTAACTTATACTTTTGGCTGGTAAAAGAGTCAGATCTGATACTCACTCACTATGATTAATATCATTGAATACTTGGTTTCATGAAAAAGATTTGATACTAAACACATGAATGAAATGTAGGATCACATTCAACATTCTCATTATGTTTCAAGTATCACATTGAACATGCTAAATTACTCTGAAATGAAACAGATAGTAACACAGAGAAACTGTGAACAACAAAAGAGTAAACACGTGAATGAACTTCATCATGATTAATAATGGATTCTAAATACTGACATTCAGATTATTCAGTGACATTATAACCACCAAAAGGTTAAAAATACTAAATAAACGATTAGAATATAAGCCAAACATTTCTAAACCATTCCTGTTACTTAGAGTAAAGTTATGAGACATAGTCAATAAATTTAACTCTTAAAGGTTCATGAAACAGTCTGAAAAGCTGTCGGTCTAAAGAAACTAAAGAATAAAGGATTTATTCTGTCAGAGTGATAACTCGGCTTCTGGAGCACATAGAAAAACGGGAAACATCTCATTTTAACACAAATTTCATGATTAGACAGATTAGTTAATTGCTGAATGCATAAGATATCATGATCAGTCATTTGTATTCTTTCACCAAAGGAATGCAGTTTTTATCAGTACATGGTTGAGCAGGGTTTTACGACCGAGGTCTGGAGGTCAGTGTCCTGCTCCTCAGAGCTTATCTTGGGGTCTGTATGTTTAAGACAGTAAATCTCAAATGGGAGACCTGGATTGAGGCATGAATGATTATTTAGATGGTCAGCGATGGCGTCAGTTTGAAAGGTAATAAAAACTCTGTCTCTGTTCTCCGAATTGACCAATCGTGAAGAGTCAGAGGTTTGGTCAGCCTCCGGTCATGTCAGTTAGGTAACCTGAAAGTGCAAACAAATCTGGAAAGATTTATATCCTGTGTCCTGGGACCAGACAAGAAAACTTTCCTGCGAGGAATGTGTGAGTTTCACATACAGGGTTGTCTTGATTGCTACATACAATGGTCTTCATTATGTTGAAGGTCATGAAGGGCCTAAGTTTTAGTTGAAAGCTCCTCACGGCGCCTTTAGAGTTTAACTTCTCCCTCCTTCCCTCCTGGTTGCTAGGTTACCGGATGTCGTGTCCTCAGCGTTGCCCTGACGATGTCTACAAAGTGATGCAGCGCTGCTGGCAGTACAACCCCGAAGAGCGACCCAAGTTCTCCGAGCTGCAGAGAGACCTTGCCGCCATCAAGAGGAAGTGACATCATCACTCATCTGGCAAATCTCCCAGAGAACTTTGATGACATCATCACTCACCTGACCATTGTCAGAGACAGATGCATCAGAATTCAGCTTTTATGGTTGTTAGGTGGGTGTGGTCAACATGGGGGTGTGGTCAGCAGGTGCTGCAGAGACACTGATCTGAAACTTCAAACAGGAAACAGCTGATCGAACAGGAAACAGCTGATGTCAGCAGGTTTAGATTAACAACGATGTACTGAGCATGCTCAGAAAAAACACTACACACACAGAAACAGGTGACGTTAAAAGCCATGAAGCTAATGCTAACCTGTTAGCTTGGTCTGCTGAGAACACGCCCATGACCGCACCTCCTCGTCCTCTGATTGGTTGAAGAACTTTAATCAACTGTTGGCTTAGCAACAAATGCCAAATAGACTGCTACAACAACCAGGCAGCTGATTGGACGAGAGGAGTCACCTGAAAAAGTCAGAGAGAGCGGCCGCCTCTTCAAACAAAAGGGTAATTTAACTCTTTAAAGAAAAAAAAATATCGTTTTATTTATTTTAAACTCTAAATAAAAAATTAAAGGTGCCAAAAGTTTCAATATATAAGCGAAAACTAAAAAAACTGTCATCAGCTATCAGTTAAGCCGCCCTCACTACTGTAACCATGGCAACAGCTTCAACACTAGAGCCCCCCCACCTCTGTCAGGTGATCCACTAAAACCAGAATATCTCTTTTATAAAAGTTTCTATTTATTATAATTTTACTTTTTAAGTTTCTTGTTAAAAAAAAAAAATCAACGGACTTTTATTCTGAAAAAACCCGCTGTCAATCATTACATGAACCACGCCCACACAAGCCTTTGTTTGATTTCAGGAAATGATTCTGACCAATCGGAGATTTGGTTTAAATTTTTTATTTTTTTTTTTTCTAAAATGGTGAAAATCAAAAATCAGTTACTTTGAAAAAATCCTCAGCACTTGTTTACATCCTGGTAACCATGGCAACTGCGCAACGTTAAAGTAGCTCCAAAACATTCAAAAGAAATCTATTTTTATGAAAGACACAGAAATGAGTCCTGATTAGTTAAGATCACTTCCTGGACTGTATGAGGGTGGAGCCTGCTGGTGATGTCAGAACGCTGCCTACTGTCACTGTAAATACACTAAAAAGATTTTATGATTTTTCTTCAAAACTTTTTACAGTTTGTTTGCAAACACTAATCTCTGTATTTGATATTATTGATTTCAACTCTTTATAAAAACTGTATTGTAGCATTTATTATGAAAATTAAAGAAATTATTTGAACACTTGTGGTTTTATTTTGAAACTCTTTCCTGTTGAATTAAAAATTAAAAATAGAGAAAATATAGAAGTAAACCACGACCAACAAATCAAACTCATTTAAGTACCAATTCCAAACAAGCGTTACCCCAAAAGTCGACAAAAAAAACTAAACCGAACCCAGAAATCCATAACAAGAGACGCCGGATCAGAGCATTTACAGAATCCTGCGTTCTTAGTCGACAAACAGTCTGAACCCCAAATTTCACCGCACCCGAAAAGGCTCAGATTTGTGACGGCGGCAATTTTCACCGTACGCCAATTCCTACCGGCTCTTTTGTGAGGCAAATTTCGTGGCAGATTACAGACAGCGGTAATCGTGAGAACTTAAAAGAACCCGCGGATTCATGTACAGTCGCGTGATAACGAGTTGTCTCTATAAAGACAGACACATAGACATATAAGCATTAGATTGTGTCCTTCCAGAGGAGTAAATCTACTTCTAGACTTTCAGAATCAGAATCTCCTCATCCATGGTGTCATTGGGTTGAAATGACGTCCAAAAACTTTTCACTTGTTCGTCTCCATTTTGCATGGTGTGAAATACGATCCCCCTGAAACACGGAGTGTTTTATTTTGAAAATAAGACAGATGTTTTATTTTGTGTCTGTGCCTGACTTCCTTTCCAGCACGGGTTAATCTGTGCTGAATTTATCCGGCATGCTCCGGCGCCCGGAAAAAATGGAACTCTTGTGATCAGCTGTGGAGTCCGGCGATCCGCAGAGGAACGGAAAGAAGCCGGTGGAAATTGACGTTAACTTGAATGGTTACGATCAGCTATGATTGGGGGATACAACCTTTTGGTAGACGTTCACGATGTGGTAGAAATTTGGGATGACTCTGTAACATATCCTGGAATATCCTGGTTTTTTTTATTGTCATCTACATGTTCATTTATCATTTGGACGTGTCATAAAAACTAAATGCAAACATAAAAACTAAATGCAAAGTTGTATTTTTGTTCTTAAATCTCTGGGAACCTCTCCCAGACCCGAACAGCAGGTTCAATCACAGTGGGATTTTCTCATCACAAATCGAAGCTCCGCCCCCCGTGCCCCGCTCTGCAGGCCAATTTCAGAGAAGAGAGGACGATGGCAGAACAAGCGTGTGCATTAGTCGATTGTTTGGCTTGTTAGAAAGTTGATTATAATATTAACTTTAATCATGCCTCTATAGATATTAGTGTTCATGAACTTGATAGCGCTGACTCCCCCCACAACTCAGAGGTGAATTACTAAGGAGCTGCTGGGGCTCTGCAGAAGAAAGCCCTTGAAGATGACAAAGGTCACATGATTTTGGTGAAAAACTTAATTAAGTTTTTCGCCTGAATCTACACCTTTTTTAATGTTGGGTTAAACTCTGATCAGTGATCAGATTATTGATTCTTTGATTAGATAAGAAGAACTTTACTTCTACCTGAGGTGGGTTTAAGGATGACTCAGAGGATTTGATGATTGAGGTTAAAGACGTCATGTGATCACCAGCTGTTCACAGATTAAAGGTGAAGCAGGTGATGGAGGTCAGTGTCAGACATCAATCCTCTTCATTTCATATTTGTTGATCATTTTAATCAAAGATATTTCAGTGTTTGTTCCAATCGTCTGTCGACACAGAGACTCAAAAATCGTCTTTTCTTCTCAAGCATTTTTATTCTTAATTATCAAAACTGTAAACTTCCAAATAGGGTCGGTAGTGTCGCGGGTTTGGGGTGGGGTTTGTAGCCAATCCGCTCATTAATAAGCTCCGCCCTTGATGCCGCAGTAGACGAGGAAGCTGAAGCTGAGGCTCCACCCCCGATTATGTCAACACTGATGACAGAAGCCCCGCCTCCTGACTCCGCCTCCTCTCGCTGACGCTTTCTGGCCTGTAAAAAAATTAAACAATAAAAGACGAAAAGAGAGGGTTTAGTTTTAGTTATTTATGTGGTTGTTTGGTGAGTGAACAGAAACTCAATGAGTTATATTAATATTTATATTATTATATATATTATATATTATTTCTGTATTTTTTATGGCCTGAATGTTTCGTTCGCTCTGATAAACTCCTCAAATTACACTGAACTGACTGTCTGAGGACATCTATATAAACAGAGTTAACATCCACATACGAACATGTGTGAATCTACAGAAACATCTCTAAAGGCAGAATGTCGTGTTACAAAGACAATGAACCTCAAGCTCCTTCTTCACGCTCTCAAACTCTTCGGTGTCGTCGATCTTCAGCTCCAGACGAGTCGGTTTCCTCCTTAACATCTTCACTGTGATCAGAGGAACACATACACATACACACATTTATAGGTACATTTAAAGACACTGCAGACTCTTATAAACATTCACAGTTCTTCTCAGCACAGTCAGAGGTCAGAGGTCGTCTCTGTAGAGCAGCGTTTCTCAAAGTGTGTGGCCCGCCCCCCTAGGGGGGCGCGGAGCCATCCCTGGGGGGGCGCTCGTCACCCGGCCACAAATAGGTTGGTGTGCACCCGCGATAGCGCGGCACCTCCTGTGCAGGCACCGCGCTCGTCACGCATGCGCCATACTGAACTCGCCACACCAGCAGGGGGAGTCCAGCGCCCTAAACCCCGTTTCTTTATTTTACCGCGAAGAAGCAGCGTTTGTTGTGGTGGACGCTCAAGGCGAGATACTTGTCGGGTGTTGTGCCGTAGAATGCACCCCTGCCGTAAATTGCACCCCCGACGGGAGCGCGGTTGAAAGTACTTAACAAGGCGAAAATAATTCAAGTTTTCCTTACCATTGGATGAATTCAAAAGCGTCTGCCTTTAATAATTTCATTCAGGCTATTCAGATAAGCCAAAAAAATAGCGCTCTGATTTGGAATATTTGCTGTCCCGAAAATATAATGTTCACTAGCTTGACAGCTTACTGTACAGTTTATGTACCCAAGCACACCTCCGTATGTGCACTTTTGAGACACATAAAAACAGAACGAAAGTTGTCACAATCAAATAGTCGTATTTTAAAAAATATGAGATCATTTTCTTCCACTTTAAGAATCTAACAAGTGGAGGGGATGCAGGGGGTGCATTCCACGGCATAACACCTGTACGTATGCTGCTATGCCCACCTGTACAATGTCCTCCTGAAAGCGTACAAAGACGCTTTCTGCTGTGCTAATTCATGGTGGGAACTAGCTCAGAAACCAGGGCGGAGATAACCACCGACGCCGTGCTATGCCAGCAGCTGCTCCTCTCCTCTCGCTGTGGAGAGCTCTGAGAGGAGCGGAAGCTGCTCCGTTTCGCGTTGTGCAGAGTCCGTGCCGCGGAACCAATGTTTGGACGTCGGAATTTTTTTTTGCGGCGGACAACCCGCGCTTTCACCTGTCACCGTAACAACCAGCAACTGTGTTCAGATCAGAATAATAAATTGTATATAAAAGTACAGAATGGAGAGATATTTGACAGGGATGAAAAGAAAAGCTGAAGCCAGCAATACAGCATGCCTAGATGACGGTAGGCCAAACCAACAAAAAGCCAAGTCAAGGAAATATGATGAAGCTATCTTACTATCTTGCTCTTGGATTCACAGGATTTTTTGTACTTACTCAACTTAATATTGTTTGATTATTATTGTTCTTGCAACATGATAATAATAATAATAATAATAATAATAATAATAATAACAATAATAATAATAATAGATTTTATTTGTAACGCACTTTACATTTGAAAACAAATCTCAAAGTGCACAACAAGACAACAATAACAGTAAAATCAAGCAACAGGGCAAAACAATAAAAACAGTCAGCAGATAAAATCAGATAAAATTAGTCCGGGTAGGCTTTCTGAAAGAGGAAGGTTTTGAGTCCTTTTTTAAAAGCATCCACCGACTGTGGAGCCCTGAGGTGGTCGGGGAGGGCGTCCCACAGACGGGGAGCAGCAGCCTCGAAGGCTGCACGTTTGTTTTCTAGTTTTGAGAAATACAGCAGAAGGAATGTTATGTCAATAAAGTTATACATGGCCTATTTTGTCACAATTTTGTTAGGGTAGGGGGAATGAAATTTTTTCTTCCTCCAAAGGGGGGAATGACAAAAAAAGTTTGAGAACCACTGCTGTAGCTGCTGGTTTCAGAGTTTCCTCCTCCGAAGCACAGTGCAGGGGTCTTATTGGCCCACAGAGCTGTCAATTATAATGTCAGTTAAATTACTGATTCAAACAGAGCTCGTATGTTCGGGGGGTCTGCACAGCCGCAGAGACCAGCAGATCCGTTTATGACATTTTTACATTTTCCATGATAGTCTGAAATCAGTGACTATTGCTCTAAGACTGCAAGGGAAGCTCAGCTTCCCTTAAAATGTCACCCCCCCTCAAAAAAAGAAAAAGTGGTGAAATACGTACTGCTGTGTGAACATTTCATTAACTAAATACGCGCTAGAAAGCCTTCATCTTTTGTTCAGAATCAATCACAGGTCACATAATCACAGTTAACCGGCACAACTTCACACAGCCGGACGCTCAGCGTCTGCTGACTTCAATGTGGAAGCTCAAAGTGGGTTGTTCCAGCAGCGAAACTAGACGCTCATTGGATAAATGCTGGGCTTTGTCCCGCCCATCGGACGCTCAGCTTCTCTGGAGTTCTATGACGAGAGGGCGGTCCCAACTTTCTTGCGGACGCTGAGCTTCTGCATCCATGATTGGATGAGCTGTCTGAGGCGAAATCCTTTTTTGATTGACAGCTAAACAAGCGAATCAGCGATCTTGAAGAATAAAACATCTACCAGAGCATTTTCCAAGTTATTCAATCCGTTGTTCTTAACTGCTCCGGAGACTTTACCGATCCTCAGCGACTTTTGTCTTTGTTAACAACAACTGCCGTTGTGTTTGGCGACTCTGTTCTGTTACATACAAAAAATGAGCTTCCCCTCCTTGAAAGACCCACAGCCGCCACTGTCTGAAATGAACATCGAATCTCAGTCAAGCTAATGCTAACATTAGCTTGTCGGAAAGTCGGAAATGTACGATTTGACCCGTAGGCCACTAGCATTGTAGTGAATGAAACAGAAGTCTGATGTCTAATAATGTGCATGAAATTGAACATGAAAATATACGAGAAAAACACAGAAAATATCAGATTCATCTGAGGGTCAAAATCATCACAGAGGACTGAAGAGTATAAAAACGAGGTCAATCCCTGTGAAATTAGGATAATATAAATTGATATTTTAGTAGAATAAACCTGAAATATTATAGGTAGGCAGACAATACATAAAACTCAACACTTTATTCACAAATTTAAAGATTTTGTATTTTGGTTTGATAATGATATGTGACTGCAGTCAGTGATTTATTTATTAACTCGTTAATTAAATTAAATTCCTGGATCAGCGGATAAAAACAAGTAGAACCCTCTTTGTTTTGGTTCCCGCTCACTCAGGGATGCTAAGCTAACCAGCTAACCTCTTTCCTGACGCCGAATGTGACTGGAAGCGGAGTTCCCGCCTCGACCTTTGGGCTCGAGCTTCAACAGCGTTAATGAACACGGACAGACTTACCTGACAGGTGCACTGGAGCGCGTGAGCGGCACTATCCCGGGTTCTCTCTGCGGAGAAAACAACGTGCCGGAGGAACAACCTCTGACCCGGAAACCGATAACGTGTTTACATCCGGGTAATTGTGTTCAGAGAGGCGGCTGTTGGTATTCTTCGGCGAGGGTGAGGAGACAAAGAAAACAGGTAACTTTAACATTTTAACTCACCTGTCCTTTTAAACCTGTCCGCTACCGTCTCACTTCAAACTGACGTCACGGCGACGTAACGTAAAAGTGTGTGTGTGTGTGTGTGTGTGTGTGTGTGTTTGTGTATGAGAGAGAGAGAGAGAGAGAGAGCTAAAGCTAAAGCTAACTGCAGCGCTGAACCGCGTTTAGACTCCGGGGAACTACATAGAACTGCAAACCCCAAAAACCACAAACCCCAAAAAACACCAAGACTAATTTAACATTAAAGAAAACTAAATATTAAATAACTTTAATTTAATGATACTGATATAATTAAATCTATTATCATTATTATTTATTATCATTTCTATTATTATGAATGATTATTATTATAAATATAACATTATGGTAACAACACTGAGGATTAACAGAACACACAACTGTCTGAAAATGACCTGCCAAGTGGAAAGTCTTCCTGCATTTGATTAAAGTTAATTCTGTTTAAGTTCTGAAAAAAGTAAGACTGATGCAGTGAACTGAGAATAAACCCACAAAAGAAGAGGAAGAGCAGAGGACTGAGATCTGATTTAATCTCTCTCTCTCTCTCTCTCTCTCTCTCTCTCTCTCTCTCTCTCTCTCTCTCTCCCTCCCTCTCTCTGTCTCTCTCTCTTTCTTGTAGGAAAAAGCTCCAACATGTCGACCGATGAGGACGTGGCTCCGGCCGTGAAAAGGAGTCGTGTTTTCTACGGCAGCCTGGAGGAGAAAGAGCGCGAGCGTCTGAACTCAGAAATGATGAGCGGAGCAGGAACAGAAAGCGATGCTGTGAAGGCGGGCATAGAGGCGGGCAACATAAACATCTCCTCAGGTCAGTGTCACACACTTCTAGGGATGGGTATCATTTGATTTTGAACGATTCCAATTCCAATTTCGATTCCGATTCCTATCGATTCTCTATTTCGATTCTTTTAAAAGGCAGGATATCAAAAAAAAAAAAAAAAAAAGCAAAGGTTGGATGAGGGCACTAACCGGAGCTTTTCTTTTTAGATGAAATTTCTGAACTTCTCCATGAATTTTTAAATCATATTAACTTTTTAAGAACTTTACTATGAATTTCTCACAGTGCTATTTTCAACCAGTATATAAATATCAATTTTTGTTGTCAGGTCGTTTGTCTATGAAAAAGTACAAGGGCTAACGTTAGTTGGATATTTAAGTTTACTCGCCGTACTCATTACAATTTGTTTACCGCTTCAAAGTTAGCAGAGGACAGAAGTAATTTATTGTTTCACTTATTTAATCCTGACTGGTTAGCAGAAGACAGGTGTTGTGCTGTAGAATGCACCCCTGCCGTAGAATGCCTCCCCTCCACTCATTGCAAACATATGCTGCGTCCGAATTGCCAAGTAGTAGTCGAAGTAGTATGAAGCATGTCCGAATTGGCCACCGGAGCGAGTAGCATGCTACTTCAGATACTACTTCAGATACTAGACACGCCCACATTGTAGGATGGTCGCGGTGCATCCTACGGGCATGCTACTGACCCAAAATGCACCGCGGACTTCTTCTTCGTCCTCTTAAATGTTGTAGAAGCGCATGTGATGCTAGCGCCAACAGCTGCTGCCTATTTAGATGCGTCGCAAACGCCGGCTGGCCACAGCGCACCATGGCGGAGCAGCAGCAGCAACAGCAGGCAGGACCGCAGCAGTACAGATGTAAGTTTCATGTAACTTCGCACACTGTCCTAAAAAATGTGTGGTTATATCTTTTTGTCATGTCATGGTGTCATATTTGCCCAAGTAATCATTTTATGAGCAAATATGTGGCGACATCATGGAGGTAAATCTCACTTATTCCATCATTAAACTGCACAGCTGCAGTAATCAGGCAGATCTCATTGAACAAACGATCACCATGTGAGTGAATGAAGGCTAAAAGTAATGGAAAAGCTACTTTGTGAATTTCTAAAGCAGTGCAGGAATATAATACAGCAGCATCCATCACTTGCACAATTACCATTCAAAAAGTCTAAAACGGGCGCAGTACCTACTCTCTGCCTACGGGGGTCGTCTTTCCCCACCGCTCGTCTAGTGTGTCTGAATTGGGCCAACGTGTTTAGTATGTAGGAGTAGGATCTAGCAGTAGTATGTAGCAGTAGCATGCGAGCGGGCAATTTGGACACAGCAATGGCCATTAAGACAGTTTCCCATGATGCTCTGCAGGAGAGACTCTGGATATAGAGGAGCGTGTCAGTGAGCGACAGCAGGAAGCGCTAGCTGCGTTTGAGCGGCGACGGCGAGCACGGCAGATCACCGTCTCTACTGATGATGCCGAGGTGAAGGCCGGCCTCCGAGCGCTAGGGGAGCCAATCACACTGTTTGGAGAGGGACCAGCTGACCGCAGAGAGAGGTCGACAACAAACAACGCCAAGTTTTTCAACAACAACAAACAACAACAAACATTTAAACAACAAAGATTTAAACAACAAACATTTATGTGTGTGTGTGTGTGTGTGAGAGCAGGCTGCGTAGCGTCCTCTCCGTGGTCGGTCCGGACGCTCTGAAGAAGTCAAAGAGAGACGAAGAGAGAGCGAAGAGGACCCAGGACGAGGTCAGAACACACACAGACCCACAAAACACACACACTTGAACACAAACTCTGTCACACACTCTGTCAGTGTGCACAGGGTGTGTATGGGTGTGTGTTTGTTAAAATGTTTACATTCTCATTAATAAAATCTGATCCTCCTCGCTGATCAATCACAGTGCCAGCAAACATGGTACCATGAAGGCTCCGCCTCCCTGAAAGAAGCTCGTCTCTGGTTAGCCAGATACTCTCTACCTCGGTAAGTCAGCATTGAACCAACCAGTCACAGGCTCTGACATCACTTCCTGTTTACAGATAGCGAGTAAACTCCGATGTTAAAAATGTCATTGTATGTCAACGACCAATCAGAGATCAGGCTGGACCTCAGCGCCCAATCAGGAATAAGAAACTACCATTATTACTATTATAATTTATTATTTTTATAATAATAATAATTATTATTATTATCATGTTTATTATTATTTATATATATATATATATATTTTCCCTTTATTATTATCACTGTTATTGTTGTTGTTATTTTTGTGTTAAAACGCTTTGGCAATATTGTCGTAACAATCATGCCAATAAAGCTCATTGAGAGGATAGAGAAAGAGAGAGAGAGACGAGGGAGAGAGAGAGGGAGAGAGAGAGGGAGAGAGAGAGAGCGAGAGAGAGAGAGAGAGAGCAGCCCTCACTGAAGCCCTCTAACTGACAGACCCATATTGATCGTCAGTCACTGATTGGACGCTGCAGAAGGTGATGAAACTTAAAATTACGTTCAGAGTCCCTGAGAGACGCCAAAACGAGGTGAAGAGTTCGCTGTCAGACACACGACCATGAGGCCATCTGCAGGATGTTCATGAACAGTTATTATTCATTCAGGATGATGATTGGCTGTGACGAACTGACTAACTCTGTGATTGGCTGATCAGGGCCATGAGGCGTCTGGATGCTGCATGCGCTCAGAGAGACATTTCTGATGCAACAAAGACGATCCGACAGCAAGAGCTACACAAGAGTCTGAGAGTGAGATGGACACACACACTCACACATGTACACACGCACACACATATGTACAGAGTTAACCCTATAACTCCTGACTATCATTACTAGGGTGTTTTTATTCGTTTCCTTCACCTTCATCGTCTTTTCTTCTGCTTTAGAATTTAAATAACTTCTGCAGTCAGATTGGAGACGACCGACCCATCAGCTTCTGCCATTTCAGCCCTGACTCCAGAATGTTGGCCACCGCCTCCTGGTATCAAGCTCCGCCCACATCTTCAACGTACACACCAAGAGTTAGCACACAGGAAGGAAGCAGAACTATGAAGAGAGCGAGCATTGGTCCACAAACTGTGTCTTAATTCAGGTTCACTGTCGGTGTCGGATACGTGGTTCTGGTCGGATGTCGACCTGATACTGTGTTTTTATGTTTTTGATTGTGGCTGCAGAGCGGATCAGTTTATCATGTTTGGTTCGCAGATTTTAGTGAGTGTAGTGATCATGCGCAGACAGTCTTTTGTTTTTGGATTTCCTTTTACATTTTTTTACGCACGCTCAGAATCACGAATGAAATGGGATACCCTTGGTGCCACGTGATGACATCATGCACACTTCCTCACTATTCAAAGTTAGCATTAGCATTAGGATTAGCATTAGCGGCTCCAGCCTCAGTGCATTTATGTTTTTTGATTTTTCCTTGAAGCTATCGCTAACACGCTAACCTCCCCACACAGGAGCGGTTTGTGTAAGCTGTGGTCCGTCCCAGACTGTAACCTGATCCGAACACTCAGAGGTGGGCAGAGCTTCACATGATTATACTCTTGTTTAGACTCGTATTAGCTCTGAGCTAACTTCTGATCATGTTGTAAACACGTGTCAATGAACACCACCACTTGTTCTATCACTGCTATGTGACTGAGACTCCGCCCCCTCTCTGAATTCCTGCTCTCTGATTGGTTTAAGGACACAACACCAACGTGGGCTCAGTGGTTTTCCGTCCACAGGCAGGGGTCAGTCTCGACCAATCAGATGTCAGCCTGGCCTCATGTGCTGCGGACGGATCAGTGAAGCTGTGGAACCTGGAGAGGTGAGGGGGAGGGGCTTAGGGATGACACGCCCTGCCCGCCCTTTATTAGATAACACTCATACAATCAATCAATCGATCAGTTTTTTATTGATAAAGCACCAAATCACCACAGAGAGCAGATCTGGATCACACAGATGTTCCAGACAGACCCTAGATTGAAGGGATATACATTTCACCGTGAGAGAAGCACAGAAACCTTCATACCTGTCTGTCTGTCAATCTGTCTGTCTGTTTGTGTGGTTACCATAGCGACGAGCCAGTGGCAGACATTGAGGGCCACAGCGAGCGAGTCTCCCGAGTATCCTGGCACCCTTCAGGAAGGTTCCTGGGAACCACTTGGTACTAAACAAACATACAACAACACACACTTCTCTCTCTCTCACACCTGTGTCTCACCTGATCCTCTCACCTGTCTCGCCTGTCTGTCCTACCTGTCTTTCTCACCTGTGTCTCTCATCCGTCTGACCTGTCTCTCTCATCTGTCTTAGCTGTCTCTCTAACCTGTCTCACCTGTCTCTCTCTCTCGCTCACCGGTCTCACCTGTCTCGACTGTCTCTCTCACCTGTCTTAGGTGTCTCGACTGTTTCTCTCACCTGTCTCAACTGTCTCACCTCTCTTCTCACCTGTCTGTCTTACCTGTCTCTCTCATCTGTCTTACCTGTGTCTCTCACATGTCTCACCTCTCTCGCCTGTCTCTCTCACCTGTCTCTCTCTCTCTTTCAACTGTTTCATCTGTCTTTCTCACCTGTCTCTCTCACCTGTCTGTCTCACCTCTCTCTCTCTCACCTGTGTCACTTGTCTTTCTCACCTCTCTCTTTCTCACCTGTGTCACTTGTCTGTCTCACCTGTCTCGTCTGTCTCCCTCACCTGTCTCACCTGCCTCGCCCTCTCTCACACCTGTTTCACCTGTCTCTCTCACCTGTCCCACCTGTCTCGACTGTCTCTCTCATCTGTCTCACCTTTTTGGCTCACCTCTCTGTCTTACCTGTCTCACGTGTCTCACCTTCTTGCCTGTCTCTCTCAGCTCTCTCACCTGTCCTTCTCACCTGTGTGTCTCACCTGTCTCACCTGTCTTTCTCACTTGTCTCTCTTATCTGTCTGACCTGTCTCTCTCACTTGTCTAATGTGTCTCTCTCTCTTGCTCTCACCTGTCTGACCTGTCTGTCTTACCTGTTTCACCTGTCTCTCACCTGTCTCTCTCACCTGTCCCACCTGTCTCGACTGTCTCTCTCATCTGTCTCACCTTTGTGGCTCACCTCTCTGTCTTACCTGTCTCACGTGTCTCACCTTCTTGCCTGTCTCTCTCAGCTCTCTCACCTGTCCTTTTCACCTGTGTGTCTCACCTGTCTCACCTGTCTTTCTCACTTGTCTCTCTTATCTGTCTGACCTGTCTCTCTCACTTGTCTAATGTGTTTCTCTCTCTTGCTTTCACCTGTCTGACCCGTCTGTCTTACCTGTCTCACCTGTCCCGACTGTCTTTCTCACCTGTCTTACCTGTCTCGTTTGTCTCACCCGTCTGTCTCACCTCACTTTCTCACCTGTCTGTTTGACCTGTCCCTTTCATCTGTCTCACCTGTCTCTCTCACCTGTCTCACCGGTCTATCTCACCTGTCTCTCTCACTTGTCTTACCTGTCTCGACTGTTTCTCTCACCTGTCTCACCTCTCTTCCTCACCTTTCTCTCTCATCTGTCTTACCTGTCTCTCCTGTCTCTCTCACCTGTCTCTCTCTCTCTTGCTTACCTGTCTCACCTCTCTCTCACCTTTCTGTCTCACCTCTCTGTCTCACCTGTCTGTCTCACCTCTCAATCACCTGTCCCACCTGTCTGTCTTACCTGTATCTCTAACCTGTCTCTTTCTCTCTCTCACCTGTCACACCTGTTTTGTCTGTCTCTCTCACTTGTTTTACCTGTCTTGACTGTTTCTCTCACCTGTCTCAACTGTCTGTCTCACCTCACTTTCTCACTGGTCTTACCTGTCTCTCTCGACTGTATCACTTGCCTCGCTTTCTCTCTCACCTGTTTAACCTGTCTCAACCGTTTCTCTCACCTGTCTCACCTGACTGGCTCATGTCTCTGTCTCACCTTTCTCTCTTATCTGTCTGACCTGTCTCTTTCATCTGTCTTACCTTTCTTAAGTGTCTCACCCTCTTGCCTGTCTCTCTCACCTCTCTCACCTTCCCTCTCACCTGTCTCTCTTACCTGTCTGACCTGTCTCTCTCATCTATCTTACCTGTCTCACGTGTCTCACCTTCTTGCCTGTCTCTCTCACCTCTCTCACCTGCCTCAACTGTCTTTCTCACCTGTCTCTCTCTCTCTCTCACCTGTTTCACCTGTCTCTTTTACCTGTCTCACCTCTCCTGACTGTCTTTCTCACCTGTCTTACCTGTCTCACCTCTCTCTCTTACCTGTCTGTCTCAGCTCTCTCTCTCACCTGTCTGTCTCATCTCTCTCTCTCACCTGTCTCCCTCTCACCTGTCTCACCCCTCTTTCTCACCTGTCTGTCTTACCTCTCTTTCTCTCTCTCACCTGTCTCTCTCATCTGTCTGACCTGTCTCTATCATCTGTCTGAGCTGTCTCTCTCAACTTTCTGTCTCACCTGTCTGTCTGATCTCTCTCTATCACCTGTCTCGCCTGTCTATCTCACCTGTCTGTCTCACCTCTCTCTCTCTCACCTATCTTGCCTGTCTGTCTCACTTGTCACTCTCATCTGTCTGACCTGTCTCTCAACTGTCTGGCTCACCTCTCTCTCTCTCTCTCTCTCACCTGTCTGTCTCCCCTCTCTCTTTCGCACTTGTCTCACCTCTCTCTCTCACCTGTCTCTCTTATCTGTCTTACCTTTCTGTCTCACCTGTCTTGCTTGTATCTCTCACCTGTCTAACCTGCCCAGCTCTCTCTCTCACCTGTCTGTCTCACCTATCTCTCACCAGTCTCACCTGTCTGTCTTACTGTTCTTTCTCACCTGTCTCACTTGTCTCGCCTGTCTCTCTCACCTGTCTCTCTTTCTCTCTCACTTTTCTGTCTCACCTCTCTCTCTCTCTCTCTCACCTGTCTCACTTGACTCGCCTGTCTCTCTCATCTGTCTTACCTGTCTGTCTCACCTGTCTTGCTTGTATCTCTCACCTGTCTAACCTGCCCAGCTCTCTCTCTCACCTGTCTGTCTCACCTATCTCTCACCAGTCTCACCTGTCTGTCTTACTGTTCTTTCTCACCTGTCTCACTTGTCTCGCCTGTCTCTCTCACCTGTCTCTCTTTCTCTCTCACTTTTCTGTCTCACCTCTCTCTCCTTCTCTCTCACCTGTCTCGCCTGTCTCTCTCACCTGTCTCGACTGTCTCTCTCACCTATCTCGACTGTCTCTCTCACCTGTCTCACCTTTCTGTCCCCCCCTCGTCCCACCTGTCTTTCTCATCTGTCTGACCTGTCTTTCTGATCTGTCTTACCTGTCTCATGTGTCTCACCTTCTTACCTGTCTCTATCACCTCTCTCACCTGTCTCAACTGTCTTTCTCACCTGTCTCTCTCATCAGTCTGACCTCTCTCTCACCTGTCTCTCTCTCTTTCACCTGTCCCGACTGTCTTTCTCACCTGTCTGTCTCAACTCTCTCTCTCACCTGTCTGTCTCACCTATCTCTCACCTGTCTGTCTAACCGTTCTTTCTCACCTGTCTCACTTTCTCTCTCACCTGTCTCACCTCCCTCTCTCACTTTTCTGTCTCACCTCTCTCTCTCTCACCTGTCTCACTTGTCTTGCCTGTCTCTCTCACCTGTCTCAACACTTTCTCTCACCTTTCTGTCTCACCTCTCTCTTTCACCTGTCTCTCACCTGTCTCAACTGTCTTTCTCACACGTCTCTCTCATCTGTCTGACCTCTCTCTCACCTGTCTCGCCTCTCTCTCTCACCTGTCTGTCTCACCTCTCTCTCACCTCCCTCTCTCACCTGTCTCACCTCTTTCTCACCTGTCTCTCTCATCTGTCTGACCTGTTTCTCTCACTTGTCTCTCTCTCTCACCTGTCTGTCTCGCCTCTTTCTCTCTCTCACCTGTCTTACCTCTCACCTGTCTCTCTCTCTCTCTCACCTGTTGTATCTGTGTCTTTTACCTGTCTCACCTCTCTCTCTCACTTGTCTGTCTCACCTCTCTTTCTCTCACCTGTCTGTCTCATATCTCTCTCAACTGTCTCACCTGTGTGTCTCTCTCTCTCTGTCACCTGTCTCACCTGTCTCTCTCATCTGTCTGACCTGTTTCTCCCACCTGTCTTACCTCTCACCTGTTTGTCCCACCTCTCTCTCTCACTTGTCTGTCTCACCTGACTCTCTCATCTGTCTTTCCTGTCTCTGTCGCCTGTCCTATGTGTCTCACCTGTCTAGCCTGTCTCTCTCACCTGTCTCACCACGTTCTCTCACCTTTCTGTCTCACCTCCTTCTCTCACCTGTCTGTCTCATCTCTCTCTTTCACCTGTCTCTCACCTGTCTCAACTGTCTTTCTCACCTTTCTCTCTCACCTTTCTCTCTCTCCCTCTCACCTGTTGTATCTGTGTCTTTTACCTGTCTCACCCACTCTATGTCAAGCTGATTGTAGCTTGGAAGCTGCTCTGAAGGGAGTACAGAAGGGCGTTTTACACTGCGGCTCTGCTCCCTTGTTTCTGTGTGTAAGTGGTAGTGGCTGGGAAGCTGCTCTAAAGGAGGCACAGGGGGGCGTGTAAGACTGCGGCCCTGCTCCCTGATCTCTGCTTTGAATTGTCAGTGGTTCGGATTAATCGGCCAGATTTCTGGATAAACGGGCCGCTCCATCTCGAGTGGGATGAATGCCGTCCCGACTAATCAGACCAGGCTTGCCCCAAAATGACTTCCAATTATCAATGAAGCTCACGCCGTTTTGCGGACACCACCTCGACAGCCAGCGGTTGAATGATGAGATACGGCTACACATCTCATCAGTTGTCTGGTCGGGCAGGGGACCAGAGAAAACTACGGAGTCCGACATGGTTTTGGCATATTCACACACCGATTCCACGTTCAATTTAGTGACTTCCGACTGGCGGCGTCGGGAGTCATTAACGCCGACATGTATTACAATCTTACGGAATTTACGTTTAGCCTTTGCCAGCAGTTTTAAACTACCTTCGATGTCGCCCGCTCTGGCCCCTGGAAAACACTTAACTGTGGCCGCTGACTTCGCTAATTTCACATTTCGGACTACAGAGTCTCCAATCACAAGAGCGTCGGGCTCAGCAGGTGTGTTGCTGAGAGGGGCAAATTTGTTTGAAATGTGAATATGGTGGTCTACCGTGGGCTTCTTAGGCCTACTGCTATGCTTCCCTTTAGCAGTGACCCAACCACTACTACATCCCGGCTGCTCGGGATTCGCCGGGGGGGAAGCTAAGCTAGGCCGACCCGCACCGGCTACCGTGTCCTGGCTGGCTACCGCTACGCTAGCATCGGTGCGGAGCCGCTTTTCTAACTCTGTAATCCTCGCCTCCAGAGCTAAGAATAAACTACACTTAAAGCAGGTATCGTTATCGTCTAAGGAGGACGAGGAGTAACTGAACATCTGACACACTGAGCAGAAGCGAGCAGGAGAAGCAGGAGACCGGGGGGAAGCCATCGTTAGCAAGTGTAGCTAAGAGAAGCTAAGCTAGGAGCTAGTAAAGTAAATGATCAGAGAGATCGCCCGGAGTGGAGATAAAGACGGTGCTTGGTGAAAACTATCAGAAATACTTACAGACTTTCTAAACAAACAGATGTACTGATAGATTACAGAGAGAAAGCAAGAGAGCGCTTTCAGGAGGAACAAAACGCTACACACAGTTCAACAGCAAGGAAGGGAATGAGGCAATGCGCACGCTCACCAGTCAGGAGGAGGAGTCCAAGCTCGTTCAAGCTTTTTGTGTGTCACCTGTCACCTATAACCTGTCTGTCTCATCTCTCTCTCAACTGTCTCACCTGTGTCTCTCTCTGTCGCCTGTCTCACCTGTCTCTCTCATCTGTCTCACCTCTCTCTCTCACCTGTCTGTCTCATCTGTCTTTCACCTGTCTCTCACCTGTCTCAACTGTCTTTCTCACCTTTCTCTCTCACCTTTCTCTCTCTCTCTCTCTCTCACCTGTTGTATCTGTGTCTTTTACCTGTCTCACCCATCCCGACTGTCTTTCTCACCTGTCTTACCTGTCTCACCTCTCTCTCAACTGTCTGTCTCATCTCTCTCTCAACTGTCTCACCTGTGTCTCTCTCTCTCCCTGTCACCTGTCTCTCTCTCTCACCTGTCTCTCTCATCTGTCTGACCTGTTTCTCTCACCTGTCTCGCCTGTCTCTCTCTCTCACCTGTCTGTCTCGCCTCTTTCTCTCTCTCACGTGTCTGACCTCTCTCTCTCACCTGTCTTACCTCTCACCTGTCTCTCTCACCTGTCTCTCTCTCTCTCTCTCACCTGTTGTATCTGTGTCTTTTACCTGTCTCACCTATCCTGACTGTCTTTCTCACCTGTCTTATCTGTCTCACCTCTCTCTCTCACTTGTCTGTCTCACCTCTCTTTCTCTCACCTGTCTGTCTCATCTCTCTCTCAACTGTCTCACCTGTGTCTCTCTCTGTCACGTGTCTCACCTGTCTCTCTCATCTGTCTCACCTGACTCTCTCATCTGTCTGACCTGTCTTTCTCACCTGTCTTACCTGTCTCACCTTCTTGCCTGTCTCTCTCACCTCTCTTACCTGCCTCTCTCACCTCTCTTACCTGCCTCAACTGTCTTTCTCACCATTTTCTCTCACCTTTATGTCTGACCTGTCTCTCTTACCTGTCTCACCATTTTCTCTCACCTTTCTGTCTCACCTCTCGACCTCACCTGTCTGCCTCATCTCTCCTTCTCACCTGTCTCTCTCTCTTACCTGTCTGTCTCACCTCTCTCTCTCTCTCTCACCTGTTTTACCTGTCTGTCTGACCTCTCTCTTGTCTGTCTTACCTGTCTCTCTCACGTCTCACCTGTCTCTCCTCTCTCTCTCACCTGTCTGTCTCACCTATCTCTCTCACCTGTCTGACTCACCTATCGCTCACCAGTCTCACCTGTCTGTCTTACCGTTCTTTCTCACTTGTCTCACTTGTCTCGCCTGTCTCTCTCGCCTGTCTCTCTTTCTCTCTCACCTGTCTCACCTCCCTCTCTCACTTTTCTGTCTCACCTCTCTCTCTCTCCTGTCTCGCCTGTCTCTCTCACCTGTCTCGACTGTTTTTCTCACCTGTCTCTCTCATCTGTCTCACCTCTCTCTCTCACCTGTCTGTCTCATCTCTCTCTCTCTCAACTGTCTCACCTCTCTCTGTCTCTCTCTCACCTGTCTCACCTCTTTCTCACCTGTCTCTCTCATCTGTCTGACCTGACTCTCATCTGTCTTTCCTGTCTCTCTCGCCTGTCCTATGTGTCTCACCTGTCTCGCCTGTCTCTTTCACCTGTCTCACCACTTTCTCTCACCTTTCTGTCTCACCACTTTCTCTCACCTTTCTGTCTCACCTCTCTCTCTCACCTGTCCGTCTCATCTCTCTCTTTCAACTGTCTTTCTCACCTGTCTCTCTCACCTGTTGTATCTGTGTCTTTTACCTGTCTTACCTGTCTCACCTCTCTCTATCACTTGTCTGTCTCACCTCTCTCTCTCACCTGTCTGTCTCATCTCTATCCCAACTGTCTCACCTGTGTCTCTCTCTCACTCTGTCACCTGTCTCACCTCTGTCTCACCTGTCTCTCTCATCTGTCTGACCTGTTTCTCTCACCTGTCTCTCTCACTTGTCTCACTCTCTCACCTGTCTGTCTCGCCTCTCTCTCTCTCACCTGTCTTACCTCTCACCTGTCTCTCTCATCTGTCTCACCTGACTCTCTCATCTGTCTTTCCTGTCTCTCTTGCCTGTCCTATGTGTCTCACCTGTCTCGCCTGTCTCTCTCACCTGTCTCACCACTTTCTCTCACCTTTCTGTCTCACCTCTCAGTCTCATCTCTCTCTTTCACCTGTCTCTCTCTCTCTCACCTGTCTGTCTCACGTCTCTCTCTCACCTGTCTCAACTTTGTCTGTTTGACCTGTCTCTCTCATCTGTCTGACCTCTCTCTTACTTGTCTTACCTGTCTCTCTCTCATGTGTTTCACCTGTCTTGCCTGTCTCTCTTACCTGTCTCTTTCTCTCTCACCTGTCACACCTCTCTCTTACCTTTCTGTCTCTCCTCTCTCTCCCCTGTCTCTTACTTCTCTCTCTTACCTTTCTGTCTCACCTCTCTCTCACCTGTCGGTCTCACCTCTCTCTCTCTCTCTCACTTGTCTCACCTCTCTCTCACCTGTCTGTCTCACCTGTCTCTCTCATTTGTCTGACCTGTCTCTCTCATCTGCCTGACCTGTCTTTCTCGTCTGTCCTGTGTCTCACCACTTTCTCTCACCTTTCTGTCTCACCTCTCAGTCTCATCTCTCTCTTTCACCAGTCTCTCTCTCACCTGTCTGTCTCACCTCTCTCTCTCACCTGTCTCAACTTTCTCTCGCATCTGTCTTACCTGTCTGTTTGACCTGTCTCTCTCATCTGTCTGACCTCTCTCTTGCTTGTCTTACCTGTCTCTCTCTCATGTCTTTCACCTGTCTTGCCTGTCTCTCTTACCTGTCTCTTTCTCTCTCACCTGTCTCACCTCTCTTTTACCTTTCTGTCTCTCCTCTCTCTCCCCTGTCTATCTTACTTCTCTCTCTTACCTTCTGTCTCACCTCTCTCTCACCTGTCGGTCTCACCTCTCTCTCTCTCTCTCTCTCTCACCTGTCTCACCTCTCTCTCACCTGTCTGTCTCACCTGTCTCTCTCATTTGTCTGACCTGTCTCTCTCATCTGTCTTTCCTGTCTCTCTCGTCTGTCCTGTGTCTCACCACTTTCTCTCACCTTTCTGTCTCACCTCTCAGTCTCATCTCTCTCTTTCACCAGTCTCTCTCTCTCTCTCACCTGTCTGTCTCACCTCTCTCTCTCACCTGTCTCAACTTTCTCTCTCATCTGTTTTACCTGTCTGTTTGACCTGTCTCTCTCATCTGTCTGACCTCTCTCTTGCTTGTCTTACCTGCCTCTCTCTCATGTGTTTCACCTGTCTTGCCTGTCTCTCTTACCTGTCTCTTTCTCTCTCACCTGTCTCACCTCTCTCTTACCTTTCTGTCTCTCCTCTCTCTCCCCTGTCTGTCTCACTTCTCTCTCTTACCTTTCTGTCTCACCTCTCTCTCACCTGTCGGTCTCACCTCTCTCTCTCTCTCTCTCTCTCTCACCTGTCTCACCACTGTCTCACCTGTCTCTCTCATTTGTCTGACCTGTCTCTCTCATGTGTCTTTCCTGTCTCTCTCGCCTGTCCTGTGTTTCACCTGTCTCTCTCATCTGTCTCACCACTTTCTCTCACCTTTCTGTCTAACCTCTCTCTCTCCCCTGTCTGTCTCACTTCTCTCTCTTACCTCTCTGTCTCACCTCTCTCTCACCTGTCGGTCTCACCTCTCTCTCTCTCTCTCACCTGTCTCACCTGTCTCTCTCATTTGTCTGACCTGTCTCTCTCATGTGTCTTTCCTGTCTCTCTCGCCTGTCCTGTGTTTAACCTGTCTCTCTCATCTGTCTCACCACTTTCTCTCACCTTTCTGTCTAACCTCTTTCTCTCACCTGTTTGTCTCATCTCTTTTTCTCATCTGTCTCTCTCTCACCTTTCTCACCTTTCTCTCTCACCTATTTTACCTGTCTCTCTGACCTGTGTCTCTCTCATCTGTCTGACCTCTCTCTTGTCTGTCTTACCTGTCTCACGTGTCTCACCTGTCTTGCCTGTCTCTCTTACCTGTCTCTTTCTCTCTCACCTGTCTCACCTCTCTTTTACCTTTCTGTCTCTCCTCTCTCTCTCACCTGTCTGTCTCACCTCTCTCTCTTACCTTTCTGTCTCACCTCTCTCTTACCTGTCGGTCTTACCTCCTTCTCTCTCTCCCACCTGTCTCACCTCTCTTTCTCACCTGCTTCACCTCTCTCTCCCATCTGTCTTTCTCACCTGTCTCTCACACCTGTCTCACCTGTCTGTCTCACCTGCCCTACCTTTCTGTCTCACCTGTCTCTCTGACCTGTCTCACTTGTCTCGCCTGACTCTCTCATCTGTCTCTCTTTCCCTCTCACCTGTCTCACCTCTCTCTCACCTGTCTGTCTTACCCGTCTCTCTCACCTGTCTCACTTGTCTGTCTCACCTGTCTTGCTTGTCTCTCTCACCTGTCTGACCTGCCCAGCTCTCTCCCTCACCTGTTTCACCGGTCTCATCTGTCTCTCACCTGTCTCTCTTATCTGTCTCGACTGATTCTCTCACCTGTCTCACCTGTTTGGCTCACCTTCTGACCGGTCTCTCTCATCTGTCTGACCTTTCCTTCCCAACCGTCTTACATTTCAGGTCTATCACTTGTCTCATCTTCTTGCCTGTCTCTCTCACCTGCCCCATCTGTCTGTCTTACCTGTCCCTCTCACCTGTCTCACTTGTCTGTCTCGCCTGTCTCTCTCACCTGGCTGTCTAACCTGTCTCGCCTGTCTCTCTCACCTGTCTGTCTCACCTGTATCGCCTGTCTAACTCTCTCTCTCACCTGTTTTTTAACCTGTCCCACCTGTCTCGACTGTCTTTCTCACCTGTTTAACCTGTCTCTCACCTCTCTGTCTCACCTCCCTGTCTCATCTGTCTGACCTGTCTCTTTCAACTGTCTTACCTGTCTCTCCTACCTGTCTCACCTGTCTATCTCTCTGTCTCACCTCTCTCTCTCACCTTTCTGTCTCACATCTCTTTCTTACCTTTCTGTCTCACCTCTCTCTCTCACCTTTCTGTCTCACCTGTCTCTCTCAGCTGTCTGTCTTACCTGTCTCACCTGTCTCTCTCTCTCTCTCTCTCTCTCTCTCTCTTTCTAACCAGTCTCACCTCTGTCTCACCGGTCTCACCTCTCTCTCTCTCACCTATCTCTCATCTGTCTCACCTCTCTCTCACCTGTCTCACCTTTTCACCCCTCTCTTACATGCTTCTGTGTGCAGTTACGATCACTCGTGGCGTCTCTGGGATCTGGAGGTTCAGGAGGAGATTCTCCATCAGGAGGGTCACAGCAAAGGAGTTCACGACCTCAGCTTCCATCCTGACGGCTCATTGGCTGCTACGGGGTAAACAAACCTGAACACACACCTGACACACATCGACACACACCTGAACACAAATCTGTTACATGACTTCTAATTCACCCTTATTTCATGGTACCTGACAGAGACAGGTGTGAACAGAGCCTCAAGGTCAGGTGTTCAGTGAAATAAATAACCACTGTGTGTAAAACAACACAGCTTTATGAAGTACATGCAGTACTACACAAAGTACTAATACTACAGTTCTGTTTGAGTGTTACTCTCTTCTCTGTGGCTCCACCCCTCTCTGCTCTGGTCCAATCAGAGGGCTGGATGCTTTCGGCAGAGTGTGGGACCTTCGAACAGGACGCTGCGTTGTTTTCCTGGAGGGACACCTGAAGGAGATCTACAGTCTGCACTTCTCTCCTAACGGGTCAGCCAATCACAGCCAATCACAGAGCAGCACACTGTAGACACAGCCAATCAGAGACCTCCGACATTGATAGAACATCAAATAATTTGCTCCTTGAATTTTTAAGGCTGTTTGGACGTGTGTTTGTGTGTGTGTGTGTCTTATTCATTGGCTTCTAACCCTGCATGAGACTCTGCTCCTGTTTTAGTGTTTTATGGGTTGTTTTTAGTTATATGTTTTAAATACTTTTTAAAAACATTGAAACTATATTTTACTTTTAAATTCTGCTTTATTTTATCCATTGTTTTAATTGCTTTTTGATTGTTTTCTATGTCTGCGTGGTTTTGTCTATCCATGTACAGTACTTTGTTCAGCTGTGGTTGTTTTAAAGTACCTTACAAATAAAGTTGAGTTGAGTTGAGTTGTGTGTGTGTGTGTGTGTGTGTGTGTGTGTGTGTGTCCTCAGGTATCACCTGGCCACAGGAAGTGGAGATAACACCTGTAAGGTTTGGGAGCTGAGAAACAGGAAGTGTTTGTACACAGTCCCTGCCCACCAAAATCTGCTGTCAGCTGTTCGCTTCCAACGTAAACGCCACGACCTCGCTCTGATCTTATTGTTATGAAAATACGATACGACTGTGACCTCACTTCCTGTTTTGTGTACAGCCACTGATGGTCACTTCCTGTTGACGGGGGCCTATGACAACACGGCAAAGGTTTGGAGTCACCCGGGCTGGATGCCGCTGAAGACGCTCGCTGGACATGAAGGAAAAGTACAGATGCTTTGTTCTGATTGGTCTGTTCAGACCCTGTGTTCTGATTGGTCTGCTCAGATACTGTGTTCTGATTGGTCTGTTCAGGCGCTGTGTTCTGATTGGTATGTTCAGATGCTGTGTTCTGATTGGTGGAATGTTCTCAGGTTACGATCATGTTTTGTTTCCAGGTAATGGGCGTGGACGTCTCACCTGATGGAAAACTAATCGCCACCTGCTCCTATGACCGAACCTTCAAACTCTGGCTGTCTGATTGAGGTCATCATGAGGTCGTCGTGAGGCATAATATGTTGGGCTCCATTTTTTTTCTTACCATTTTTCGATGTTTTGTTCATTTTTTAAATAAAGTTAAAGAAAATTGAATCGAAATTTCTTGGACTTTGTTGTTGAAACTCAAACATGACGATGGCATTCACCAACACACAGGTGAGTAGACAGGTGAGGTTCTGTAGAGAATAGGTATATAAAACATGAGGTTTCAGTCATGCTACACCTAATGCACTGTCACTATTAAATTCATGTAACAATAGAAGACAAATGACCTGTGTTATTGCAGGTGTATACATCTATATGTACACACACACACATATCTATATATAAATATAGATATAAATGTGTGTGTGTGTATAGACAGATAGATACAGCAGAGCAGGTGTAAAAATCAAACAAACCCAAACTTTAAGAGCTGAAAAAAATGCAGGGTTATTATTTTGTCTGTGTAGGAGGGCTGGACCAAGATGGCGGCCGTATTGCACCAGCCTGGGCAGCTGATGAGGCGTCTACTCTTTATTATGTCTATGATACCATAAACAGATAGAGATATATAAACGCCGTATAGATATCTTTGTTTATGATCCCATGGCCTGTATTGTTATTGTTAGCCTTCACTTTTTGATTTAAATCCTCATTTCATTGGATTTATAAACGAACCCAGAAAAATTTGGACTTCATGAAAAACAAAAATTTCCTCAAACTTTTTTTCTTGACTCTCCTAAAATAAGACCTTCGCATTCTCTTTTCTTTAGTTAATCTAAAAATCTGGTTTAACACGTTTAACACTTTATCCTCTATTTATCATTAATAAACTTTAATGTTTGTATTTTAACGAAAAATAAAAAAAACACTTTGGTATTTAAATAAAGTTGATTCAAAAAACACGCCCTCCCCTCGTGACAGAGTCACATGACTGTCCCTCAGCGTGACGTGAAATCAGCTGACTGCAGAGAGGAAGGAGATAAATCCTCCGTCGACCTTCGTGCTCCTCTCGGTTCTCCTTCTGGTTCTCCTGGTTCTCCTGGTTCTCCTGGTCCCGGTGTCTCCACGATCCTGATCCGACATGGCGAGTCAGTCTCAGGGGATCCAGCAGCTGCTGCAGGCCGAGAAGAGAGCGGCCGAGAAGGTGGCCGAGGCCCGCAAACGTGAGTACCTGAGGCGGCCTGAGCACCCGAACAGGCCCGCTCATCGCACCGAACCGAACCCACCGACCGACCGAACACCGGGAGTGAGAAAAAACAACAACAGAGAGGAGAGAAAGGGAATAAGAGAGAGAGAGAATAAGGGAGGAAAATGGAGAGAGAAGCAGTGTGAGGGAGGAGAAACGGAGAAACAGAGAGGAAAGAAAGAGGGAGAGAGAATAAACAGAGAAATAGACAGAGGGAGAGTGTGTGAGGAAGGAGAAACAGAGAGAGACAGAACAGGCTGAAAACAGAAACAGAGATAAATCCAGTCAAACCAGGAGTAAGTATTAAAGAGCTGAAACTGAATTTGATCGATTTTCAGTTTTTATTCTGAAAATCAAATTCACGTCAGAGTCAGTACCTCCTGTTTTTAATGCAGCAGCTGTTTCTGACTTCCTGTGAATAATAATAAATAAATACAAAGTGAGGAGGAAATTATGATTTATGAAGTAAACACGACAAGGAGGGCAGAGTTAGGATCCTTCATTAGAAAACATACTCATGTGTCAGTGTAGATTTACTGTAATTAACTGTAGTTTACTGTAGAATTACTTTAATTTACTGTAGTTAACTGTAACTTACTGTAATTTGCTGTAACTTACTGTAGTTAACTGTTATTTACTGTAGATAATTTCCCTCAACACTTGCATTAAAATCTGCTATGACTCAGCCTCAGAGCATTATGGAAAACTGTGATCCCATCCTGAGACGAGTCAGAGGGTTTGAGAGAAGAGGACTGATCCAATCAGAGCGATCCAATCAGAACAATCCAGTCAGCTTATCAATTCACTCATTGATCAGAGCAGAGGAAGAGATGAAGAGATGAAGAGATGACAACCACAAAAAGACTAAAACTGATTAAACCACTGTGTGTGCGTGCATGCATGCGTGTGTGTGTATAGGTAAGAACCGACGTCTGAAACAGGCTAAAGAAGAGGCTCAGGCTGAGATCGAACAATATCGTCTACAGAGAGAGAAGGAGTTCAAGACCAAGGAGGCAGCTGTACGAACACACACACACACACGCACATACACACACGTATCTACACACACACAGTCACACTCAAACACACACACGCACATACACACACACACACACACACACACACACACACGTATCTACACACACACAGTCACACTCAAACACACACACAAATACAAACTAACACACATACACACTAACACTCACACACACAGGTATCTACACACACACACACTCATTCATGAATATTTGTAGTATCGTATTTATTTCGTCTTTTTCTTTCTCGGTTATTTCAGATGTTTTCTGTTTTCGATGTTTACGTGTTTTTGTTCCCCATTAATCATCAGTTTGTCGTCAGGTGTTAATTGTTTTATATCTTTTCTCCCTGTAACTGATGGTGTGTTGTTGTCATGGTGATTTCAGGCCCTTGGTTCTCATGGTAACAGTGCTGTGGAGGTCGACCGGGACACGGCCGAGCGGATGGGGCGTATCCAGAACAGTTACCGTGGTAACAGGGAGGCGGTGTTGGGCGAGCTGCTGAGGCGGGTCTGTGACATCCAGCCGGAGTTTCACGCCAACTACCGTGTGGCCGGCTGAGGGGGTGGGGCTTAGAAAAACTCAACCTGGCATGGACGTTAGCAACACTAGCTCTGTTAACTTCTGTCACCGCAAACATCTGTTCGAGTTTTTTTTCAAGTTATCGTTCTCTGGTCCTCCAAGTAACTTTATTTTGAAGGTGCAGAGTTCATCACTTCCTGTGTTCCAGACAAACACAAGAATGTTGATAAATGTCGTTATTGTGTCATTGTTTACTAAAAATATTTATAAATATCTGAATCAGGTTTTTTGCTTAACTTAAATCCTTCCTGAACCTACCAAAATAAAAGTCTTAACAGAGGAGGGAACGAGCCAATCAGGAGTCAGTTTGATGTTGAATTACTGAATAAAATCTGTGAGCTGATTGGTGTTCAAACTTCCTCCTATCAGGGTTCCCAATTCAACTCAGACTTTTGACCTGATTGGCACAAAATATTATCAAGGCGTTTATTGTGAAATCTTTGTGCTTTCTATTGTTGCTTTGTTTTTCCTGTGTGTGACTCTGACTTCCTGTTGATGTTTGTGAAAATAAAAAAACATTAAAGTGACTGACTGATGAACCCGTGTGAAGCTGCTCTCTGATTGGCTGACTGATGACCCCGTGTGAAGCTGCTCTCTGATTGGCTGAAGTTTGTACACGCACATACACCTGTAGGACTGTGGGGAGACCAGCAGGGGGCGCTATAGGTTGAGGTGTCATGGTTGTCAAGGTAACAGGGCTCTCTTTAGTTACCTCCACCAAGGAGGTTATGTTTTCGGTAGCGTTGTTTGTGAGTTTGTTTGTCAGTTAACAACTTTACAGAGAAAGTAACAGACAGATTGACCTGAAATTTTCACCAGAGGTGCGTCTCAGCCCCAGGAGGATTTTTATTTTAAGGATTTAAATTTTCGTGGCGATCCGGACAAATTTCTGGTTACTGTGATCCAGAACATACAAAAATAAGGGTGTCATTGGAATTTTCAATGCTGAAAGATAACGAAAGGGCAGCATAGAGGTGGCACAGTGGTGTAGTGGATAGCACTGTTGCCTCACAACTAGAAGTTCCTGGGTTTGAATCCTGGTCAGGTCATTTCTTGTTTAAGGGGGAACAGTGAACATACCAGTTTAAACACAAATAAACAATAATAAAAGACATGTAACAGTAAAAGTTTTGGTGTGAATCACAATATAAGGGGGGACATGAGCTGCTTGGCGGAGGGCTGCGCTCTCGGAGTGCTTTTCTAGTTTGAAATGGACCGGTACCATCAGTACCATCAGAACAATCCTCAGTAAAACATCAAGAAAAACACCTGAGTCAACACTGAGGGGTTAATCTGGTCAGTAATCTATAATCTGTGGTTAATCCGGTTTATCAGGTATTCAGTCTCTCATTGTAGATATTGGCTTGAATCAGAATCCTGAATGTAATCTGGTTTATAATCTGTAATTTCACTTTTATAATTCTCAGTGCTGTAAACTTGACCAATTATCTATAACTGGAATAATAATATAATCTCCTGAAGATAATCTTAGTTCTGATGATTAATAAGTGGCCAATCTAGCTCATGACATTTATGTGTTACCTGAATAATCTGAATTATCTGTGTGTTTCCTAAATAATCTGAGTGTTACCTGTATAATCTGGATAATCGAAATGTTACTTGAATTATCTAAATGTGTTACCTGTGTAATTTGAATAATCTTAGTGTTACCTAAATAATCTGAATAATCTGTATGTTACCTGAATAATCAGAATAATTTTAATATTACCCGTATAATCTGAGTGTTTCCTTAATAATCTGAATATTTCCTGAATAATCTAAATGTGTTACCCGTGTAATGTTTGATCTGCTGATGTGAAGGTGACCATCAGATTAACCTAAAGGTTGAAGAGTTGAGCACACCTGAGTTCACCTAGCCTTATCTCAGTGTGACTCAGGTGGACATAGGACACGGGGTGATCAGGTTAGTGTGATCAGGTGTCAAACCTGTTCAGGTATGAAACAGATGAACACCTGAACCCGTGTTCACAGCAGCAGCAGCAGCAGCAGCAGGTACCTGTCATCACACATCACCTGTCTCAGATACAACATCACCTGCCACTCTCCTTCACCTGGGGGGGGGGGGATTATTTTATATTTTCACCTGTTTCAGTTCATGATAATCCAAACAGGACATGATGTTGATAAGAGACCAGATTAAAAGTCTTTAATCAGCCTTTAAGATCAAAACAGGCTGACATTAACCTCCATATATGTACACATTAACAACAATATTCACTCATTAACCTCCATTTAAACACATTAACCTCCCTATTTACCTTCATTTTTCTTCACTGTAACAAACAGAAAACACATGTAGATAGATAGATAGATAGATAGATAGATAGATAGATAGATAGATAGATAGATAGATAGATAGATAGATAGATAGATAGATAGATAAGTATAGATGTTTAGATTATAGATGTTTAAACAGAAAATCTGTCTTTCTCTGTCGGACTTCTTCTTCTTCACGCGCTGGTCACCTGACATCCTTACTCCAAACGCTACATACGTGGCTTGAACAGAGTCCCGGCCTCCTCTCTGAACTCGTCCTCTGATTGGTCGAGAGTACAGACCCTGATTGTTTTTCTTCGCTCCTTTCCGCTCCACCCCTCGCGCTCTTCCTGAAAACGTCATGACGTACGGAAGCGGCGACTCAGAGAGACAGGCGGGGAGAAGTTCAATAAACGACCGACTCTATTTTTTTGTTCTGTCCTTTTGGTTCCGGTCCGGCGGAGGGTCCGAGAGCAGCGCCAGTCCGAGAAGAAGAAGAGGAGGACAGGTGAGCAAGTGAGCCGAGTATGTGTATTTGTGTGTGTGTTTATGTGTGTGTTTTTCTGACAGTGACCTTTGCTGCTAAACACTCGCGCTGTGGGCTGTAGACGGAAGTCCTGTGGAAAAGTGACCGTTTAGGACATGATCTCAGGTAGCACAGAGCAGACAGGAGTGAGGTATAGACCCGAGACATTCTGAGTTAGAGACACAGATGACAGGTGGTTCGGCTCAGGTTCGGCCCTCTTTGCTCCAAACGCCGCGGGTCTTTGCGGGTTTCTGTTGGTGAGTCTCTGTCCGTGTCTCGGTGTTTCAGGAAGTTCAGAGGCCTTTAATGTTTCGGTAAACGGTCTTTCATGTTCGTAATTAGCGCCGATTTACGGGAAGCCTCGCACGCTGTCAGGCAGGAGTGGAGTCGAAGTGGTGCGCGTGCTCTCATGTATGCTGAACAACGTAGACAGGTGTGTGGATGAGTTTCTGCGAGGAGGACTGACCTCAGAGAGTCTGACTCACCTGGTTCAGGTAAGCTCCTAAAAACGGGTCCTGATCCAGAACCACTGACCACAGAGAGTCCACAGGTGTGTGAAAACACGCGCTCATATTCATCACACCTTGTAAAGGGTCATCCCCCTGTTTTTGGACCACATCAGACCCGTTCTGATTTAAAGTTTCATTATCAGGTTCTGAAAAGTTCTGGTTCTGTTTGTATAAGTCTGTCGCCTTAGGAGACCAGTTTAGACCAGATCTGAGGGGTTCAGGTGTGCAGGGGTTTGGATCAGGACCTGGGGTCTCATTTATCAAACGTGCGTAGAAAAGGTTCTAAATTCTGGAGTAGGAATGAAATCTAGAATGTGCGTAAATACAAAAAAATCCATATTTATCAAACTTGCAGACACCGGTCGTACGCACACACATACGTAATCGGTGATGATAAATCCCGCCTGTTCTTAACTACCGTGCTCGTGCATGGTTAGGGTCATTTGCATTCAGAAACGCCTCCAATTGACCATACATGGTATCAACAATCCCTTTTAAAAATGCGTGAATTAATTTTTTTCCTCCTCCTGGATGTCCACACTCACAGAGCTGTTATGCAGAATTAATGAGCCGTGCATTCCTCTAGACAACAACAGAAATAAATGTGTATCGCAGATTATTTGTGCATTGATTGGATGAAATCTTTTCCTGTTGACAAATCTGAATTTATTGTGTGAAGGTGCTTTTATTGCGATATGGGTGCAATCTATGGCTCCAATTATGTTCGGGAATCCGGCGATGGCGTGAAATCCTCGTTTTGGATACTGGATGTAAATTGAGGCCAGAGAAATTATTTCATCCAACTCTGCCGGCATGATTCTGCTTAGCGTTGGCTGCGAAATATCGCATATGTCTCCAATCTCACGCTGAAATGTTCCGGTTAGGGTGGACAGTAGCTGGATGTGCGCTGGAATGGCTTTGGTGTGTTTTGTTTCTCGCTCCGACACGGGTAGTAAATTACGGCGTAAATCCATGAAAATGTTTTGGGGAAGTGGTACCTGCTGAGAAGCCGCTCTGCAGACGCTTCTCCAAGTCCTCCAATAGCACAAAATAAACCATGATACTTGTATTTGTACTTGTAAGACTTCTTTTGAGGTTGTCCTGTCACAGCAGATTTTTATAGCTTGTCTCACCAATCATTCAAAATGTCTATTAAATTACTAAATGATACATTTTGTAAAGAGGCAAAAGAGAACATGTGTGAAGTTTGAGATTGCTGAACGCTGTGACTCCTTTTAATGGGTTCTATTTGTGGTTTAACTGTCCTACCACAAGGTTTTGTGTGAACGCATGGTCAGAGTTGTGCTTAAATTTACGCATGTTCCTAAGCACAAGTACAGGTTGATAAATTCCAGACTTTGCGTGGGAATGTTCATACGCACTCATTAAGCACACATCTGTGCGTATGCACAGTTGATAAATGAGGCCCCTGGTCTCTGAAGTCTCCACTGAGACAGGTGGATCTGACACCGACTCACTGAGCACAGGTGAGTGTGTACAGGTGAGTGTGTACAGGTGAGTGTTTACAGGTGAGTGTTTACAAGTGAGTGTGTACAGGTGAGAGTTTGAGAGTTTACAGGCAAGTGTTTACAGGTGAGTGTTTAAAGCATGAGCCCATCAGGTCACTGAGTGTTCCTCTGTTAAATCACTGATAATAAAACACTAAGATAGAGGAGAACACCTGACACGTGACCTGGTCCAGGTGTGATGATGGTCTGCAGGTAGACAGGGACAGACCGTGATTAGCTCTTTATTATACTGGTGAGTGTGAGCTGTGATAAACACACTAAAGTGTGTGTGTGTGTGTGTGTGTGTGTGTGTGTGTGTGTGTGTGTGTGTGTGTGTGTGTGTGTGTGTGTGTGTGTGTGTGTGTGTGTGTTGCAGGTCTGTACCTGCTCATAAACACTAATGTCACCTCAACCTCAGAGTCAGTGAAGGTTTACAGACTCTACAGACATGAACACAGACTACAGACATAAACACAGACTAAAGACATAAACGCAGACTACAGACAAGTGAACACAGACTACAGACATAAACACAGACGAAAGACAAGTGAACACAGACTACGGACATAAAGACAGACTACAGACAAGTGGACACAGACCACAGACATAAACACAGACGACAGACATAAAGACAGACTACAGACATAAACAGAAACTTCAGACATAAACACAGACTACAGACGGGCTGTTAGTTTCAGTACCTTCAGGTCTGTAGGTGTATTTCTCAGGTTGTCCTGTTAGTGATGTTTTTTCCACAGCACCACCAAGTTTACAGGAAGTTTTCTTTGTTTATCCTTTAGTCAACCTTTTTATATCAGTATCATTTTACTTTGAGGGGTGTGACCCCAAGGCTGGTGACCCTCTTGGAGGTCAGATCTGTGATCAGCTGATCAGGTAATCAGGTTAATTAAATATATCAGAGAGATTTCAGTCGGACCATGTGATACTGATTCATGGGGTGAGAGAAAGAGAGAGAGCCCACTCTGCGTGACGCTAACTTCTAAAAACATAAAAAACAGACGTTAAGTGTTGCCCGCGGCAATAACTGACCTCTCCGTTAATGTTAATGGTTCTCTGATCTAATTTGCTAATGGCAGAAAGACCCCAGGAACACACTGATTGGTTCGCTCAGGCTCTTGTTGCCTCAGGGCCTCAGAGCCAATCAGATTACAGAGGAGGGCCTGCTAAACTACGTCATGCTGTTTCCATGGAGACATCTTAATTAGACAGTAGCTGCAGCGTTAAAGGCGTTCAGTCCGGCGCTCGCTCTGACCAAGGGAGGATCACCGTGAGGACAAGAGAGGTGAGAGAGAGAGAGAGAGAGGGTTCGAGTGTCTCTCACCCACTTAGAGTTAAAAGGTTCCAGTGTAGTGATGTCATCAGTAGGTGATTGACGGTGAAGTGATGTCATCAGCAGGTGATAGACGGTGTAGTAATGTCATTAGTAGGTGATTGACGGTGTAGTGATGTCATCAGTAGGTGATTGACGGTGTAGTGATGTCATCAGCAGATGATGTCATTATGTCGTGATAATTTCGTGGATAGTCGGTTCTCTCACCTGAACAGCTGTTTTTTCTGCACCTGTACAGGTGAGAGGCCGGCTTTTAGAGTCACCTGGGGAAGTATCCTCACACTGATAGATTATTGGGCTTTTGTTTTGAAAGTGTTTCCTCGTTAGTTCCTGTTTTGTTTTTAAATGATTTTGTTAATAATGAATATTTTTAGGTTCATGTAGATTTCGGATATTGACGATGTTCGCTGACCTTAAGCGTCCCGGTTTGCTTTATTTTAGGGCAGACTTCAACCACCTCACCATGGAAACTAACCACACCCACCAACATCATCACACAATGGCACCGCCCACCACTGACGGGCACAACCACGGCGGGGCTGGAGGAGGAGAGCATGAGGGACATGGAGGCATGGTGAGCTCTATTCTGCTAATGTCATACTGCCTGCCATCAGCATGCTAACATGCTAACGGCGTGCTTGTTGTTGCCTAGGCGATGACCTTCTACTTTGGCTACGAGAACGTGGAGCTGCTGTTCACCGGGCTGCTCATCAACTCACCTGGAGGTCAGCTGATTCATTTTATTTCATCTTTAACAACAATGGATTTGTGTTCTCTTTAAAAAAAATGTGACCCCGCCCCTTTCTGCTGTGGTCCAATCAGAGATGGTGGGGGCGTGTATCGGTGTCTTCCTGTTGGCCGTCCTGTATGAGGGGCTGAAGATGGGTCGGGAGGCGCTGCTGCGCCGCAGTCAGGTCAATGTCCGCTACAACTCCATGCCGCTACCTGGAGCAGACGGGACAGTTCTGATGGAGACGCACAAGACGGTCGGGTAGGTGGCGAACGCCAATGCTAATGCTAACAACAACAACAACAGCGGTGAAGTTCACACAAGGTCAGGAAAGATCAGAAAAACCACAAAACCCTAAAAATCTTGTTTGAAGTTTAAGGAAGATTGACAAAACCAGAATCTGAGGATTTTAAGGTCATAGAGCAAAGACAACAAATAGTCCGTTAGATTAGCGAAACGATCGATAACTGGCTGATACAGGCACCATTTTTTTTGTGAGGCTTAAGGTCCTTACACACCAGGACCAACACAAATATACGATGCAAAATTATGAAATATTCAGAGGCGAATTTTGATGCGTCTGACTATACACATCAAGCCTGATGCGATTTTGCAACTTTCCGGGGGGAAAAGACGCGTCCCGGGTGTAAACGAGAAGACTGACACAACAGCAGACTGACTGTTTTCAGTTCTGATTAGACACTAGTGTTGAGATGGCTGTCTGTCATGAAAGCATGTTATCATGATAGCAGTTTGAGACAGTAAAAATACATATGGTATGTTGTATCTGAACAGGTTAGCTTACGAGCTAAAGTTACTTAGCGCAGATGAAAGTTAAAACAAAGACGTTTAGCAAACTGTTGAACCACACATACCATCGTCATATGAGAAATCGGACGCTATGACTCCGACATAATTGCACAACAAAAACGGTGTGAAAGGACCTTTCCTTCGGACAAACTAAAGATTTTTGGCCAAGGAGCCCAACACAGAAATATTCATACAGAACACAAAAGTGTTTTTCTATTAAAAAAATAAATACATTCTAGAGTCATGAGAAGAACGTTGGTGATACTTGTTTTTGTGAAACTGATTTTAATTAGTTCACTGATTGTTAAATCTCAAAAATTATGTGAAATAAAGAGTATCAGACACCTGGTACCTGTACACCCTTAATAAAGTTCTGCACAATATAGATGACTTTTAATCAAATAAAATAAAGAAGTGTGTTATTTTATGTAAAGAGCTCTGACTCCATTTTAGTTTAAAATTAAAGCATCGAGTTGTTCAAATTTACTTTACATTTAGAGTTCAGAGTGAAATAAGAAAATGTTAAATTATTAAAGTTGACGGTATTATCTTTAATGTTTTATAATAATTTAGCTGTATTATTTTAGTTTTATTATTTATGTTTCAGTTTGTGATGCTGAACCTCTTTGACTAAAAACAAATCCTGAACCGGGTTTTTGTTCATTCATAAAAATCATGTTTTCTGTTTAATCTTAACGTTTTAATTCACCCAATGACAGCCAGGGTTTGGAGGGGGCGGAGCTACCTGTTGCACTTAAATCCCGCCTCTCAGGAAAGTCTTGCAGGTAACAGTAGACTTCAGGGTCTGGTCCTGGTTCTGGTTCTGGCCTTGTTCTGGTTCTGGTCCTACTCCTGCTCCTGGTTCATTGGCTGCTTTGTGTGAGACCATCTGATTGGACTGTTTCGACCAATCAGAGTTTGATGAATAATAAATGAGCTGATTCTGATTGGAGCGTCTCATTCCTCATCTGGCGGACATGTTTGTAGTTTTTCATCCTAACTTTTGTGGGATTTTTGCGAACTGTCAGTAAAATTACGTTTTTAGTCGCTCAGTCGACGATAAAATTTAAAAATTTGTTTTGATTTGAAGTTTGAAAATTGGAGTGCGTGCTGACATCACAGATTCTCGTCTGAGCGACTCTGCTGTCCCCGACTACCCTTAAATCTAACATGCTAACACTTTGGCGCATTCTAACATCTATTAAACTCTAAAAAAATGCTAACAGTAACGCTAACTCCCTTTTTATTTATTTTTCAGGCAGAGGATGTTAAGCCCCGCCCACTTCCTTCAGACACTGTTGCACATTGTTCAGGTGGTGGTCAGCTACTTCCTGATGCTCGTCTTCATGACCTACAACGCCTACCTCTGTATCGCCGTTGCAGCTGGAGCTGGCATGGGCTACTTCCTGTTCAGCTGGCGGAAGGCGGTGGTCGTCGACATCACTGAACACTGCCATTAGCGAGCCGCTATCTGCTGGATGCTAGCTGCGGGCTATGAAGCTAGCATCAGGTCCTTTTTGATTTTTGCTGATCACAATCAAATAAATGTTAATGTTAACACGTCACTCTAAGTTACCTAGCTAGCAAACCGAGGACTACAAATCCTAGAATGTTAGCAGGAGACCAAGTTAGCGGTTAGAAGAGACACTAAGTGACTAACGTTTCTAGTTAACCTGCTGTAGGTTAGCGCACACACACTAACGTAGAGAAGTTAGTGAACAACACTGAAAGTCGACGTTTTGATTTTTAAATAATTTTGTTTTATTGTTTTTTAAATTTTTTTATGGGGGATGAGCTGGCCAATCACAGCTCAGATCACCTCAGGAGTTTCTGATCAGCCAAAGTCATCGTTTTTTTTCTGTTTATCTTTAAGGTTGCCAGGACAACCAAAATGTTAAACAATAAAAAATAGATAAGGTTAGCTCATGTAGCGTTTATTTCCAGCTGCTCCATCGGTTAACATCGTTAATATTATCGTCATAATTATCGTCATAATTCTCGTCATAATTATCGTAGTTAGCGGGTCAAGATCGGAAACATCGACGATAATCTGACTATAAACCTCATACACACACACACACAGACACACACACTCTGAAGTTTTTATTAAAATAGTTTTTTGTCGTTTTTTTCACTAAACATAAAAAAAATCATTGTTTCTAACTCCTCCCACATGTCCCTGAGCAGCCTATCAGAGCTCAGATCCTGACCTTAACAGTAGTTCTGATTATTTGTTTACTTTTAAATGTCGTCAAACTTCAAACGTCACATTTAGGAAAAGAAAAAAACTCTTTTGTTAACTTCCTGTTTTCCTTGCCACCGTCGGCCTTAAACCGACACCTGCTGCCTTAACTAGCTGACGGCGATGGCGGCGGCCGTGTGCAGTCTCTCTGTGCTCCTGTCCAGGTGTGACGGAGGTCAGCAGGGACAGAAGACAGCATCTCAGAAAGACCAAGAACTAAAGTAGACAAAGGTGGATGGCTTCCTGATCTTTGCCTTTGTTTCTGACTGAGGTCGACTTCTATGATGTCAGTGTAATGTTGTGTGATTATTTCTCATTGGTTCACACTGGGAGGTGGGCAGAGTTAATGCTCTGGACCAATCAGGTTGCAGGGACAGATTCTACTCACTGGATTCGATCCTGGACAGCTGGACGTCCTCTCGATGTGAACCTGATGGTGTCTGTTGTGTCTTAAAATGAAGTTGATGAAATCTGAAGGAAACATTAAAATGTCAAAGATTAACTGTCACTGATGCTGGGATCAAAAACAAAAAAAATTTGAGTAAACTTTATTAAAAAAAACTGTCTGTTAATGTTCAAATAAACTCAGATATGAAAAACACTCATAATTACTGAGGTTAAAGATTATATTTAACACTGAAGATGTTTCATATTTTACTAAGTTTAACCAGCAAATTTCAACACTAAATGTAAAGTTTGTCTGGCAAATGTGTCGTCTTTTTCTTCCGCTTTATCTGGGTCCGGGTCGCGGGGGCAGCAGCGTCATGAGGGAAGCCCAGACAGCCCTCACCCCAGCCACTTCCACCAGCTCCTCCGGGGGGATTCCCAGGCACTCCCAGGCCAGGCGAGAGATATAATCCCTCCACCTGGTCCTGGGCCGGCCATGAGGTCTCCACCCGGTGGGACATGTTATTTGGGATATTATTTAATATATTTAATATAGTAAATATTTTCTATATATTATTTCAAATAATGCACATGAACCGAAAGGTTGCTGCAAGTCTAGTCTCTGTATTATCTGTAATTTTTGTAATCTTTACTGGATTTTTTTCATATTTTTGTTGTAATTTTGTTGGCTGCTGATGGATATTTCTGCTGGGCGAAGAGTTTACTCAAGAGAAGAGCTCCTTTTATTGAGGAAAAGCAAATCTGGACAACAACATACAATTCCAGAGGACATCAGGAGGTGTTATCGTGGTTGCCGTGCTAGTGCAAAGGTGAAGGCAAAGCTGAATGCTAGGAGGTGGCGATATAAACCCTTTCTTCCATCAATCATCATGGGAAACGTCAACTCTGCCCAACAAAAGCGGTGAGCTGAAGATCTTTGTGAAGACTGAGAAAGCATACCGTGAGTGCAGTTTCCTGTGTTTTATTGAAACCTGGTTGAATCAAAACAACTCTGACTCCAGTGTGGATTAGTTTATTTTATTTAGCACATTGGTGAAAACATACATATATACATTTGTGGCGCATACTGTGCAAGGAAAGGAAGAAACCATACTGGCTTATCTGGAATCCTTTCCTTAAAAGAAATTATAATTAAACAAGATTAAAGATCAAGAGAATAAAAAAAAAAAATCACAAACGAAAGAGTAGTGCAATAAAGAAATTAAAAACAAAGATGAAGAGAAAGAAAAACAGAATAATATAAAGTAAAATTGAAATTACACAAAACATAAATTGTTTGATTACAGCAAGTTAGAAATTAAGTAATATTTGAGATGTTTCTTGAAAATTGGTACCGATAGTGATGTATCAAGAGTCTTCCACAACTGTGGACCTCTGTATTTAATAAATCTTTGTTGTTTTGATGTTCGGCAATTGGGCAATTTAAAATCATCTCTTTGCCTTGTGGGGTAGGAGTGTATGTCAGATGTAACTGGAAAAAAATTATGAAAAGAATGTGGAATGTCATGTTTATGCTTTTTGAATTTAAACATGAATAAGCATGTTTGAAAAATATTTACCTTGTCGATGGACAAAACTGAGTATTTCTCAAATAGCGGTGCAGAAGGCTCATGCCTAATTGAGAGTGATATCCTCAAGAACTTCTTTTGAATAATTAGCAGTTTAGATAGATATGATGGGCAAGTCGCAGCCCAAATAATGTTGCAGTCATTAATATGAGGGAAAATTAAAGGTCCCATGGCATGCCAATTTCACACAACTTAAAGTAGTCCCCTGGTGTGTTAAAAGCATGTCTGTGATGTCCTCCGGTCAAAATTCGATTTGGATCAATTATTTTAGTGCTCTTTTTATCAGCTAAAAACAGCTCATGTTTTAGCCATGTCTCTTTAATGAAATGAGCTGCACCTAAGCCACGTCCACTTTACACCCATCTCTCTGGAAGGGGCTGTGGCTGTGCTCCGATAGCTATGTGCTAATGTTTACACTGGCTCGGTCATGGCTGCAAGAAGATCGCTCATACAACCCTACCAGTTTGAGCCAGAGTCTGACCCGGACTCCGGAAGAAACTCTTAGCCGTGTTAAGACCAAACGCGACTTGAAGCAACCTAGTCGACACATCCTATGTATTATTCAAAGCCGCCCGGAGGGTCACGCTTAAGGAGGAAGATATGAATGTAGAAAAAATTACAACCAGAGCTCTGCTACAGTAAGATTTTGGTGCTCTAAAACTTCTCTGAAGCCTTTGCTAATTAATAGGATGGCCGACCATCCAGCATTAGCCGGGACGTCCCGTATTTGAGCCAAAAGAGGCGCGTCGCCGCACGGGTAAATGCTAAAGCTACATGCTGCTCCGGAGGGGGATTTTGTCCTCCCCTGCTGGCGGAGTTGTCGGGGAAGAAGCGAGCGGCTAAAATACGGGAGGATCCGGTGTGTTTATCAAAGCGTGGTGGCCGTGCTGAGGCACCGGGGGGAATTTAGGCTAAACAGTAAGTCAAAATAAAACGTTCACACTTACAGATGCCACGTTTGTAGTAGGATCACGGATAGTTACGGTACGGATCCATTCTTTATCTTCAGACATCTAGCAAATCCAGCGTTGAACTGTCCCTCGTTGATAAAACAGTCCGAAGTGAAATGGTGCGCACATACGTACAGATATTTTGGAAGTGCCGCGGGTACATTCCCATTATAAATAAAATCCACCCACTGAGTCCTCAAATCCTCCGACGAGGCAGTTTTCAAAAGAGTTTTGTGCTCGTTTGTGCAGCCAACAACAGAGCTAACGCTGCCTTTTTTTCAGATCGTACTTTCGCCATGGTTCTAACCGGAGATATGCGAGTGAGTGGCCGGGAATAATGGCGGTGTTTTGATAATTTTTTGGGCAGGGCAGTGGGCGGCTCCATGGGCAGTACCATCAACCCGCCAGCACTGACATGACGTCATGTCAGTGGAGTTCTCAAAACGGCCGGCTCTGAGCACACAGTTCCTAAATACGGAGATAACTAAAAAACGACTGGATGGAATTTTTTCGAACTTGGGGGGATTGTAGCGGTTTTCTATCCCTGATATGCACCCCCCTCCCGTTAACAAAGTCAGTTTTTCATGCCATGGCCCCTTTAAGCTGTAGTAAAGAGTCAAATGGGACGAGGGATGAATCTGTGGATCACTTTTCTCAATATACCAAGCATCTTCATAGATCTCATACAAACTGTATCAATATGTTGTTTCCAGATTAACTTGTCATCTATAATGACACCAATAAATTTTGTATGTGAAACCTGACAAATTTCAGAACCATTGATCAAAACTATTGGTTTCTTCATTGGCATTTTTTTGTTTATATTTCTAAAGATCATGAAGTTGCATTTCTTTATATTGAGAGTGAGCTTGTTCATTTGGAACCATTTAAAAATAACTGTTAATTCATCATTTATGTCTTTTAGAAGTATATTTAAATCACTGTGAGAGGCAATGAGATTAGTATCATCTGCAAATATAATAGGAAGACACTGTTTACAAGTTGTTGTTAAATCATTAATATAAATCAAAAACGACAAAGGACCAAGAATGGAACCCTGGGGAACCCCAACTGAGGTTTTTAACTTGTCCGATATGCAGTGGCGGTTCTAGACCAAATTACTCCCCGGGCGAGCACCCCTCCAAGTGCACCCCCCCCCCCCCCCACACACACACACACACACACACACACACACACACACAAACACTAGAATTTTGAACAGATAGTTTTGTATTACTATGTATTATTATTATTATTATTATAACAACAAAGATGATATATTTCTCAATTGCAGAAATCCTTCAATAGAAAAAAACACAATCCTGAGGGCCATTTTCAGAAGGGCCCCCAGATCCTGAGGTTTTCTGAAGTGTTGAGGTTTACAAAAAAGCTGCTATCTCGGCCTCTGTAGTCGATAGAAACAAAATTCAAAAAGTATTTGAGAGCTTATAGTATAGCTTTTAGTTTTGCGAACCTTCATCACATTTTTGAAAACCTTGAACAAACAAACTCAAATGAAATAAAGCGGCTGTATAAATAAAAGTAAAGGCTCTGCACTGGAGAATGACAAATAATTTGCTTTCTGTAAAACAAGTGGCAGTCATGATAAAGTGTCCATTCAATACAAATGTAAATATAGAAAATAAGGTGTTGAAAGGGTAAACAGCTGCCCCAGTATAGTGCCAGTACAAAAGCAGAACTAAAAACTAAAAAATGAATAAATAAATACGTGGCTGACAGTGTGTTCACCTCTGTGCTCACCCAAAGTCATGCAACACTGAGAGAAAACGCTGATAGTGTGAGCCAAATCACTCCCTATGAAGAGGTTGTTCACACTGCTGGATGTTTCTCCTCTGAAGCTGCTCTCTGCCTCAGTCATTGTTTACTTCACTCATGAAGCTCATCAAGCACGTAGCAAGATCCGAGCATGAACCCGAGCGCTTTATTCGCCTATCAAAGGCAGACGGGTACGGTGATTTCATTCACCGCGACTCCAGAAATGATTAAAAAACTACAAAATGACGTATCCGCGCTCCCGCTGATATGCTGACATGCGTACACAGAGCAGAGCTGTCACCTCGCGACTCTCTCCCCGCCTCGTCTCCTACAGTCTGTCAGCCTCTGTGCAGCACCTTCGGAGCAAGCAGGGGCGCCTGCAGCAGCGGGGGGTCGCCAATTTGACAACAAGAGTTAATAAATTACCGCTTTGCAGTTAAGATTTATTATTATTATCTTTTATTTTATTTTTTTGGAAGTGCTCGTGCCGCCCCCCATGAGTCATGACACAAATGCCGCCCCGGGCGGCTGCCCTGTTCGCCCGTGCCTAGAACCGCTACTGCCGATATGCAACCATTTATGGCTACATATTGAAGTCTGTCCTCTAGATAGTTGGGAGCCACATCCTGTACACCATATCTTCTGAGCTTAGAAAGGAGAATTTTATGATTAACAGTATCAAAAGCTTTTGTTAAGTTGAGGAAAACCCCAAGAACAAATTTCTTCTCATCCATTGCAGAGGAGAAATTGTTGACAAGTTGTAACAGGGCTAGTTCAGTAGAGTATTTCTTTTGAAAACCATATTGATGGGAGTACAGGATGTTGTTCTTAAGTAATTGGGCTGAAATTCTCACATAGATGAGTTTCTCGATAATTTTTGAGAAACAGGGAAGAATAGATGTAGGCCGATAATTGCCAAACTGGTTAGAATCTCCTGATTTATGTAATGGTATAACTTAAGCAATTTTAAATTCTTTGGGAATAATTCCAGATTGTAAGGATAAACCAAAAATATTGGTTAAGGGTTGAATGATATAATCTATGATTTGTTTAATAAAACTGCTTCTAAACCCATCGTGGCCTTCTGCAGAGTTTTTTAAGTTTAAGACAATACCACGCACCTCTTCAACACTGGGAGGAGCAAAACTGCAAAGTGGAGAGAACTGACCCTTAATCAAACTACATGGGCTCTCATCAGAATCCTCTATGTTATCTGCCAACGAGAGGCCAATATTAACAAAATAATCATTCAAACCATTAACTATTTAAATTTGATTGAGAGGAGAACCTTCATTTCCCAAGAGCTCAGAACAGTTAAATTCTGTTTTTTACGTTGTAATATTTGGTTGATAACACCCCAAGTGGACTTAATGTCATTGGAAGCTTTATTGAATTTATCAGTGAAGTATTGCTTTTTTGCTAACCTTAATAATTCGTTAATTTATTTTTGTGCTTCTTGTAAGTGTCTACATTATAGGGAGTGGGACTCAGAATAGATTTTTTATATAATTTCTTTATTAAAAGAGAACATTTTCTTAATTCTGGTGTAAACTAGGGATTCGATTTGAAACATTTTTTTCTCTTTCCCCGAGGTGACCAAAGGGAAGCATTCCTCAAAAACAGGATTAAAAAGTGACAGAAATACCTGGTAAGCCTTCTCCACATCGTTCAGATTTAGGACTGCATCCCATGAAACACCCTGAAAAGAAGATATGAAGGAGTCCACATTTCTTTTGGAGTAATTACGATAACTAAACTTTTCTTGTACAGAATTATTTCTTATCATACTATTTTTTAACATGAATTAAATGGAAAACAGGGAGATGATCTGAAATATCATTAAACAATACACCTGAAGTAATTTCAAGATGCAGAAAGACAGTGGCGGTTCTAGACCAAATTACTCCCCGGGCGAGCACCCCTCCAAGTGCACCCCCCCCACCCCCCACCCCCCCCCCCCCACACACACACACACACACACAAACACTAGAATTTTGAACAGATAGTTTTGTATTACTATGTATTATTATTATTATTATTATAACAACAAAGATGATATATTTCTCAATTGCAGAAATCCTTCAATAGAAAAAAACACAATCCTGAGGGCCATTTTCAGAAGGGCCCCCAGATCCTGAGGTTTTCTGAAGTGTTGAGGTTTACAAAAAAGCTGCTATCTCGGCCTCTGTAGTCGATAGAAACAAAATTCAAAAAGTATTTGAGAGCTTATACATGTGGCTTTCAAGAAAGCTCTCTTTTAGTTTTGCGAACCTTCATCACATTTTTGAAAACCTTGAACAAACAAACTCAAATGAAATAAAGCGGCTGTATAAATAAAAGTAAAGGCTCTGCACTGGAGAATGACAAATAATTTGCTTTCTGTAAAACAAGTGGCAGTCATGATAAAGTGTCCATTCAATACAAATGTAAATATAGAAAATAAGGTGTTGAAAGGGTAAACAGCTGCCCCAGTATAGTGCCAGTACAAAAGCAGAACTAAAAACTAAAAAATGAATAAATAAATACGTGGCTGACAGTGTGTTCACCTCTGTGCTCACCCAAAGTCATGCAACACTGAGAGAAAACGCTGATAGTGTGAGCCAAATCACTCCCTATGAAGAGGTTGTTCACACTGCTGGATGTTTCTCCTCTGAAGCTGCTCTCTGCCTCAGTCATTGTTTACTTCACTCATGAAGCTCATCAAGCACGTAGCAAGATCCGAGCATGAACCCGAGCGCTTTATTCGCCTATCAAAGGCAGACGGGTACGGTGATTTCATTCACCGCGACTCCAGAAATGATTAAAAAACTACAAAATGACGTATCCGCGCTCCCGCTGATATGCTGACATGCGTACACAGAGCAGAGCTGTCACCTCGCGACTCTCTCCCCGCCTCGTCTCCTACAGTCTGTCAGCCTCTGTGCAGCACCTTCGGAGCAAGCAGGGGCGCCTGCAGCAGTGGGGGGTCGCCAATTTGACAACAAGAGTTAATAAATAACCGCTTTGCAGTTAAGATTTATTATTATTATCTTTTATTTTATTTTTTTGGAAGTGCTCGTGCCGCCCCCCATGAGTCATGACACAAATGCCGCCCCGGGCGGCTGCCCTGTTCGCCCGTGCCTAGAACCGCTACTGCAGAAAGATATTATCAAGATATTGTCAATGAGTGTGGCTGACGAACTTGTTATTCTGGTAGGTCTACGGATTGAGGGATAAAAATAAATTGAATAAAGGACATTAAGAAAATCTAAAGTAGATTGCTGTTTGTTATTGAGAAGATTAATGTTGTAGTCACCTAATAAAACACATTTTTACGCTGCATACTAATCATTTCAAGAGTGTGATAAAGGGCATCATTGAAAATTGAAATGTCAGATTCAGGTGGTCTGTAAATACATCCTATAATGATGCTTTCTTCATTAAAGGCTGAGCCAGATGGAATTTCCACAAATACTGATTCGACTGAGGTCTCGTCAAAGAATTGACTTAGCTCTTTTTTTCCTTGAAGTTAAACTCGTTTGCAACATAAAGCGACACTCCGCCACCTATTGTGGTCTTTCTACAGGAATGAATGGCATTATAATTTTCCAAAGGATAGAGACATGTAATGTTTCTGAAAAAGCGAGAACTGAGAAAGGGAAATTAAGAATAGATAGATATTCTGTCAAATGATCATAATTTTGAGGTATACTGCAAATATTCAGATGCAGAAAAGAAAGGGTATTTGTGCATTGAGCTTGAACAGATTTACTAAACTGGTCATCGGTAGAATATTCACAAGATATCTTTACATTTTTTAAGTCGTCATGATTAGAGTCAGGATTAAGGAATTCATCATAGATGCTGTTCTATCACAGCATAAATCAAATGGATTCAGTGTTGGTAACTCATTTACATTTTGTGGAGGCACAAAAGTAGGTTCAGACATGATGAGAAAATAAAATTTAAAAGATGGCAAATAAAAATAACATATAACTGTTAAAATTGAGAATCAAGAGGCTTCAATCTAAGCATTACAGAGTGGGTGAACAACCAACTTGTCCTACTTCAAGTAGGCAACATTTCCTTTTTCTCGTTCAGCTTTTATTTGGGGCAACAGTTCCTTTCTTTTCTGTCGGACAGCGTCAGAGAAGTCTTCATTGATGTAAAGGTTTATGCCCTTCAGGTTTTTGGCATGTTTGAAGATTTCTTCCTTGTCCTTGTATCTGAAGAGCTTTATCACTACTGATCTTGGGCGGCCAGTAGGATTATACTTGCCAACACGATTCAATTTCGATGAGTTATTGGTTCAAATTTAAGATGGTCTGTGAATATTTTTTTCAATTTGATCTCTGTGTCTGACCATGATTCTACTTTCACATCAGGAATGCCTTCAATGATCACATTGCTTCTCCTGGATTGGTTTTCCAGGTAATCTAGCTTTCCAAACATCATTTGTGGAGGTTAGAGTGGTTGACTGCATTTCAGACAATGTTTTACTAGCCTCCAAACATTTGACATTACTGATTTTCAAACCATCAAGCTCAGCATGGGAAAACTGAAGGCTGGTTTTTAACTCAATGATGTTTCTAGACATGTTGGCCACATCCCTCACCAGGGGCCTCATGTATCAACACTTGCGTGGAACTCATACCAGAAACGAGCGCACGCAAGGTCCGTCACGCTGAAAAAAATCCGTATGTATCAATGTGTGCGGGCGCCGAAATCCACGTGTGTTTCCTTGATAAATCCCAATCAGCGTGGAATTGAGCGCAGATGTCGGAGTGACTGGGCCCGTCCCCGTTACGCCCTCCTATAAATATGCAGATTTATTTAAATAGGGTCTCCCTGTCCTCGCACGCAGACAAAATGACAAGAAAAACTACATTTACGGCGTGCGAGGTGGAGGTGCTGGTGGCGGAGGTGGAGGAGCGACAGCGTGTTTTGTTTGGCAGCCTGTCCAGTGGCGTCAGTGCAAAACAAAAACGCTTGGAGTGGGAGAAAGTTTGCGAGAGGGTGAATGCGGTGGGTTCCGAGACACGCACCCCCGCGGAGATTAAAAAAAAGTGGTCGGACCTCAAGGTGGAGGTCAAGCGGCGTACAGCTGCCCTCCGGAGGAGTACCGGCCAGACAGGTGGGGGTCCGGGGGAGGAGACCCTCACACCGTTTGAGCAGCGGGTGGTGGCGATTATTATTATAGGGTAAGTGGCGTGTCACACAAATGTCCACATGCTTTGTCATCCCACTGAGCAAAAGACGTATATTAGACGTCTAGTCTAAGTTTATACTTCATTTCAACGTCGGGATTCAGTCTATTTTTAGACGTGATTTATACTTCGCCCTTAACTTCATTTTTCAATAACTTTTTATGCAATAAACAACTGTAATGTGCATAACTGACCTCGAAATACTGGATTACATTACCTATGATACTGTGGAGAGAGATGTAAACGCAACAGATACACAGAAGCAGGAATTGAAATGAACTAATATTTTTATTGTGTCACAGAAATTAATGTGTCGGCCGTGTCGCCGGCTTGCGGAACCCCGGCCCGCGGCAGCCCGTCCGCCGGCTCGGAGTCGTCGGCCAGGACCAGCGGCATTCGGGCCACCCCGGCCCCAGCACCAGCATCAGCACCAGCGGTGGAGCGTCCACCAGCCGCGGCGCTTCCGCTGGACCACCCGGACGCAGTGGAAGGGTCCTCGCGGAGGGGGTCCTGCAATCGCAGGAAGAAATCATCAGGGGGATCGCGGGGATCAACGAGCGGCTGGACCGGCTCGTAAATTTCCTCGAGCGTCTGGTGGAGAAAATAAATTAATTTGGCTCATTGAACTGTGTATTCACTTCTTACCCATTCACACTGTGGCGATGAGATTCTCCCGCGTGAGGACGGCGGCCCGGCAGGGATCAGCTCGCATCCCTCCGTCTGCTGCTGGTTCGTCATGTGGGGCGACGTGCTGCCCGGCCACGGGGATGTGGTGCACGCTTGTCACATAGTGAGTCACCAAACACCGCCACACAGCGTCGCCAAAGTGCGAATCACAGTCAACGCAAATATCCAGCTCAACGCCAATTTCTACACCACCTCCTGACTTTGCGTTGATTAGCGCTGGAACCGATGCTCGTTTCGCGATGATAAATCTGGACGTGTGCGCCGATTTTGGCGTACGCAAGGTTTTCTTGCGCCGCAAGCGTTGATACATGAGGCCCCAGGTTATCAACACGAGAGACTGTGGAGTCAACAAAAACTTGTAGACATGCTCTTTTCTTGCTGCTCTAGCAGGTCTTTGAAGTAGGCCTTCTGATGATCAAGTAGTTCATACACCATTTGTTTGGTGATGAGATCGTCATTTCTTTGGGGAATTTTTGCACTGACCTGGTGAATCAAGCCAATGCTGCTGTACCTGGTGTACTGGCCGCTCCTGGTGCTGCTGTGAGCCTGGGCCTGGTGTACTGGCCACTCCTGGTGCTGCTGTGAGCCGAGGCCTGGGGTGATGGCAGCTCCTAGTACTGCTGTGAGTCTGGGCCTGGTGTAATGGCAGCTCCCGGTGCTGCTGTGAGCCTGGGGCTGGGGAGCTAGCAGCTCCTGGTGCTGCTGTGAGCCTGGGCCTGGTGTGATGGCAGCTCCTGGTGCTGCTGTGAGCCCGGGCCTGGTGTAATGGCAGCTCCCGGTGCTGCTGTGAGCCTGGGCCTGGTGTAATGACAGCTCCTGGTGCTGCTGTGAGCCTAGGCCTGGTGTGATGGCAGCTTCTGGTGCTGCTATGAGCCTGGGCTTCCGTGCCTGGTGCCTCATCCAGCTGGCTCTCTTCTGCAGGGACCGCTTACTCCGGCTCAGTCGTGGCATCGGTTTCAGCCGAAAAGAGTCTGCTGGAGCACTTAGATTCTGCAGACCCTGCTGGCGTGAGAAATGCAGATTATCCCTGTATTGAAACTGGCTCCGGAGCTGCCTGGACCCTGCTGGTGATTAGTTTCCCTGGTGGGAGGGCTGCAGGCTGGGGGTCTCTGGGTGTCTCGAGGCTTCAGTTTCCTGAAGACACAGACGGGTTTGTAGAGGCATGAAGGCTCTGATTTGTTTCACTGCCGGGCGTCCATTCACACTATCATGCCGGATCATGTTTCCAAATGAGGTTAGACAGAGATGCTCAAGCTAGTGGCAAGAAGAAAAGAGGAGGTCTGGCTTTATTTGTCAACCAGAGATGGCATAACCTTTCACACATAACTGTCAAGGAGAAGTTGTGTTGTCCAGATATTGAACTGTTGGCAGTTGCTCTTCGGCCTTATTATGTTCCAAGAGAATTTAGTCATGTCATATAACAGTAGTTGTTTACGTTCCACCCAAATCAACTGAACAATGTTGCAATGTTTTGCAAAATAGTGTTGCCAGGCTACAGACTCAACACCCTGAGGCACTAATAATAATATCGGGAGACTTCAACCATGTCACCCTCTCCTCTCATCTGACTGGATTCACACAGTTTGTGAACTGTCCTACCAGAGAAAACAAGACCCTGGATCTGCTGTATGCCAACGTCAAAGAAGCCTACAGAGCCACTGCCTTACCACCACTGGGCAAGTCAGATCATAACTTGGTCTATCTGCAAACCTGTTACAGACCTTGTGTGCTGAGGCAGCCTGTGACCAAAGTCAAAATAAGAAGATGGACACCTCAAGCCAGTGAAGCTCTAAAGGACTGTTTTAAATCAACAGACTGGAATGTGCTGCTGGATGTGGATAGTATGAACATTGATAAACAGGTTGACTGCTTTACTGATTAGGTCAACTTCTGTATAGACACAGTTATACCGACAAAGAGTGTTCGCTGTTTCCCCAACAACAAACCCTGAATCACAAGAGACATAAAACAATACTTCACCAGAAAAAGAAAGCTTTTAAAGATGGTGACAAAGAACAACTCAAACAAGTGCAACAAGAATTGAACAGGAGACTGAAGATGGCAAAGCTGGAGTAAAAAGAAGATAGAGAATAATGTACAACACAGCAACATCCATGAAATGTGGAGAGGAATCAGTACCATCTCTGGACACAGCAGTCAAAAGAAAAGACAGCCAGTGGTGGGTGATGTGAAAAGAGCTGATTAACTCAACCTGTTCTTCAACAGATTTGATACAGCTGTCACTCCCACTTCCACTGCTACTCCACCTTCCTCTCCGCAACAAATCTCCACTACAAATTCTCCCCTTCCTCCTCCATCTCGTTCAAATGTCTCAACCACTTCAACTGCCGCCCTCCTAGAACACCAGTCCTTGTCAGTCACTGAAACAGGGGTGAGGATGGAGCTTGGAAGACTTTGTCCTGGGAAGGCAGCTGATCTGGGTGGTGTGTGTCCAAGGCTGCTTAGAGACTGCACTGCAGAACTGTGTCAACCTCTCAACAAGATCTTCAACCTGAGTCTACAGCTGGGGCGGGTACCTGCTCTGTGGAAAACATCCTGCATTGTGCCAGTACCAAAAACAAAATGTCCTGCTGAACTCAATGACTACAGACCAGTGGCCCTCACTTCACACATCATGAAAACCCTGGAGCGGCTGATTCTATGCCTTCTGAGGTCTGAGGTCAAAGACAAACTGGACTCCCTGCAGTTTGCATACTGTAAGGATGCCTAGCCCATGGTCACATTATAAAAATGGAAGGTCCACACGAATGATCATTTTGACAAGCTTTACTGGGTACAGATCTGGGTTACAGCTTCATCATGCCACAAGTGTAACAAAGTGTAGCAAAGTGTAACAGAAGCATAACAGAAGCGTAACAAAGATTGGTCTGAGACCCTTCAAGTATATATAGTCGTCCACATTTCTAAACATACTGCTGACATTTAGTTGACCCTAAGAAAAATCCATGTACGGTAAGAACAAAGAACAACATATTTTGTTGTTGAACACGCATGCACGTACGCACGCACACACACACACGGAGGGAAAGCTGCAGAGATTTAGTGATGTTATTGAGACAAATGAGGGGGGCTTTATTACGATAGAGTCAGTAGCCTCGAGCTAACAAGGCAACACATACAACAGAGCCAACAGACTCCCCAAATAATTCGTTGTTTACCCCTATATAATAATTTAAAACAATACTTGAAGATGCTGCCAATATTGAATTTATGTATGACGTAATAAAAACGTAAATAAATATTGATTAACCCATGTTTAAAGCGCTCGTAAGTGTGGACAACTGAGGGCAGGCGGAAACAGCCGAGCACTGCCGGGCTCAGTTGATGTCTGACCGGCACGTCAGAGCACAGCAGAAAACGCTTTGTGTGTGAACAGCCAAGTACGCGGCGCTTCGCGCGCGGCGCGTCAGCCTCCTGTGTGAACCAGGCGTAAGAATATAGACTACATCTACAGAAAGGGGCAGAGCCACCTCTGTAGTAAGATGCTGCAGATGTTTTATCAGTCTGTGGTGGCAAGTGTGCTGTTCTATGCTGCAGTCTGCTGGGGAGGAAGCATCAAACACAAAGATGCAAGATGTCTTAACAAACTGGTGAAAAAGGCTGGCTCTGTGGTAGGACTCAAGCTGGGCTCAGTGGAGGATGTGGTGGAGAGATCTACACTGAGAAAGGTGGAGACTATTCTCAAGAACATGGATCACCCACTTCACAACACCTTGATGGACCAAAGGGGAAATGGTGGTGGACGGCTCCTCTCTCTTCGCTGCAGGACAGAAAGATTTAGAAGATCTTTTGTACCAACAGCCATCAGGCTTTATAACTCCTATGTAAATAATAGATAACTTTAATAGACATATTACGTGAGACACCAGACAATTGAATTTCCCTTCGGGGATCAATAAGTTCTTCTTATTCTTATTCTTCTTATGTCTGGAACACCTCTAACGGGAGGCGTCCAGAAGGCGTCTTAACCAGATGCCCAAGCCACCTTTGCTGACTCCTCTCGACGTGGAGGAGCAGTGGTTCTACTCTGAGCGCCTCCCGAGTGTCCGAGCTCCTTACCCTATCTCTAAGGCTGAGCCCAGCCACCCTGCGAAGGAAATCCATTTCAGCCACTTGTATCCGTGATCTTGTTCTTTCGGTCATTACCCAAAGTTCATGGCCATGGGTGAGGATCGGCACGTAGATCAACCGGTAAATCGAGAGTCCCGCCTTATGGCTCAGCTCTTTCTTCACCACGACTGATCGGTTAAGTGTCCGCATCACTGCTGACGCCGCTCCGATCTGCCTGTCGATCTCCCATTCCATCCTACCCTCACTCGTGAACAAGATCCTGAGATATTTGAACTCCTCTACTTGAGGCAGGACCGCCCCTCCGACCCGGAGAAGTCAATCTACCTTTTTCCTGACTGAGGACCATAGCCTCAGACTTCGAGGTGCTGATTTGCATCCCAGCCACTTCACACTCGGCCGCGAACCGCCCCAACAAGAGCTGAAGGTCACTGCTCGATGAAGCTAGAAGAACCACATCATCCGCAAAAAGCAGCGACTCAATGGTAAAATTGTATAAATACACTACAGGCCGGACTTCCGGTTTGCTGATGGCGGAGTAAGACGCACAGCGGAGTCGCTCTCCCAGGCCTAGTAAAAATTACTCGCCTAGCAACTTGAAAAACTCATAATTATTTGAGTACGGACACGATAAATGGGAGAAGAACCACAAAAGACTGAGGAAAAAAGAAAAATGCCAAAAGCGCAAGAAAAAAACAACTCATCGCCGAATGCTAACAACACCGGGCCAACTCAAGCTAACACCCGTAGTGCAGCAGCAGCAAGCCAGAAAAATCCCTCAACAGATTCAGACTCCAGAGAAATTATCAGAGTGATTAATGCGCTAAAAACTGATATGCAGGGGCACAATGATTGTCTGAAACAGGAACTCACTCAACTAAGGCAAGAAATCAACGGGAAACTCAACAGCCTAACAACGGCAGTGCAGAGCCTGTCTGACCACGTTGACGAGGCAGAGTCCCCGCTCTGTACGTATCTCAAGCAACAACGATCCCTGCAGCAAAAATTAACGGACTTGGAATCCTGGTCAAGAAGGAATAATATGCGCATCTTCGGAGTGGCAGAGGGGGAGGAGGGGGATTCGGTGCTAAAATTTGTGGAGAAATTCATTAAAAGTGAGCTACCAGCATCTCAAAACATGGAGCTCAAAATACAGCGGGCCCACCAGACCCTGGCGCCTAGATCCCGACCCGATGCTCCCCCGAGACCTATCGTTGTTAACTTCTTGGAGTTTACCACAAAGGAGCTGATATTGAGAGAAGCCTGGAAAAAGAAGAAAATACAAGTGGGTGAAAGATTTGTCTACTTCGATCATGATTACGCATCGGAGATAGTTAAAAAGCGCAAGGAATATAACACAGTTAAAAAAGCCCTAAAGGAAAAGGGTATTTGCTTCCAGACACCACACACAAGCATGCAGATCCACTGGGCCACGGGAGTCCGCACGTACAACACCGCACAGGAGGCACAAAGAGAGCTGAGGAAGCGTGGCTTCCCCGTGGAAGAACCGGAGCCAACTGAGGGAGAGAGCCCCGCGGAGACACGGCTTCTAGAGCTGATGGGATGGCAGCAGGCAGCCGGGTGTCGGGAGAAGGGGTCTGCCGCGGCCCGGAGGGTGAGGGAAAAACTCTGCGAGTTTCAGAGAGGACACACCAAGGATTCATAATCACGGAATTAACCTGCATTACCCATATGAAAACTTTAAACTCGAGACAGACACGTGAGTGGTTCTTTTCCCCTTTTTTTTTTCTAAGCTCTACACAGAGCATCAACACCTGAGAGAGGCGACTTCGTTTTCTATAATGTAAAAGTTGGACTAATAGGATGGTAGAGACAGTTTTGGACTCATTAGCCACCCTTAACGCTGGGCCCTCTCGAAGTGAGAGGTTGCTCCCTCGACCCACCAACAGGCTCGCAGATGATGGGGAGGGAGACACCCCCTCATCCCTGGAGGTCGGTTCAAGTTCATGTTTGTTCTTTTTAGTCGAGCTCGTTCTCAAGAGTTTGTTTTGTGGGGGCGCTTGCTTGCTTTAAAGAAAATATATGCTTGGGTCACACAGTCTGAAATGTGCCTCTTTAAATGTGAATGGCCTGAGTAATCCTGTAAAGAGGAGTAAGGTATTGTCTGAAATGAAAAAGGATAAGGTTCAAATTATATTTCTTCAAGAAACTCATATGTCTAAAAACGAACATGAGAAGTTGAAAAAGTTTGGATATTTAAACTCATTTTTTAGTTCATGCGAGACCAGCCATAAAAGAGGTGTTGCTACTCTGATATCCAACAATCTTAATTTTGAACTAATGAAGGAAAAGAGTGATGGGCAGGGTAGATATATAATTGTTAAAGGAAGGATTGATAACAGTTAAATCCCAAATTCTCACCTCACCATCTCCATACCTGACTCCCCTGTCACTCAAGGCCAAACCACACCCCCAACACCATAAAAGCCAGCCCTGAGGCCTGCTCTCCCTTTTGCACCCTGACCGAGATCAGCACAGAACAAAGGGAGTCTGAATGTGAGTTGGAAACGGACAAAGCCTTACAAAATGTTGTTGGATTCTCCTTATTTGTATTATTTCTAATATGGTTTATTCTCAAATATTATTTCATTAGATTCCTGTCACACTAAACGCATATGTAATGAGTTAAAGCCCTGAAGTGGATGCATCTATGACGTAAGATTAGTTAACAAATTTACAAATTCATTTGACTTTATCAGTCCCCCTTTTTTTAAATATTTTATGTTGATACATCTTGTTTCTATTCCTTTGATTGTCTGAACAGAAAAAATCATCCACTGAAGACGAGCGAAATAAACCGTCTAGCTGAATCCTGGATCCTGTGTTGTAATGTTCACTTAATATAGGATGTTCGATGAGCAAGCATCAGCGTCATCATAATCTTTTACAATAACACTCTTGTCACATTCGCTAATATATATGCCCCCCCAGAGAACAACAGAAAATTCTTTAAGTCTCTATTTCACATATTATCCTCTGAAAGTGAGGGGATACTAGTCTGTGCAGGGGACTGGAACACAGTCCTGAACCACTCCATAGACACAACAAGTATAAAGAGATCTAAATGTCTTAAGTCAAGGGATCTTAACTTGCTAATTCGAGAAACAGGTATGTTTGATGTCTGGAGGAACCTTCATTCATCTGAAAAAGATTATAGTCATTACTCAGGTACTCATCATGTTCATTTCAGAATAGACTTCTTTTTGATGAATGTTATTGATAGGCACAGGGTGAAGGAGTGCTCCATAGGAACAGCGGATCTATCGGACCATAATGCAATCTATTTGACTATACATCTAAATGACAGACAGAAGTGTACATTGTGGAGATTAAATATCAGTGTCCTAAACAAGGAAGCCATTGTTAAGGAGATTAAAGGAGAAATTATGGAATGCATAAAAGATAATATGACTGATGAAGTGGACCCAACCATTGTATGGGACACAGTTAAAGCAGTAATGAGGGGGAAACTCATTTCAAGAACAGCTTTTCTAAAAAGGTTGAAGAGGTCAAATTATGATGAACTAGAGAAAACACTGAGAGAATTAGAGAAGCAACAATCAAAAGAAGGGGACCAAGAGCTGAAAAAACAAATTAAGGAAATAAAAGATCAAGTAAATAACATTCTGAACGATGAATTGGAAAAGAAAATGAGATTTATTAAACAAAGCTTCTACGAATCAGGCTCAAAAGCGACAAAAATTCTAGCCAAACATCTTAGGGCTCAACAAATTAAAAATACATTACATAAAATTAGAGACCCTACAACTAATAAAATAACCTATGAGCCGGATGTTACCCACAAAATATTCCAAAATTATTATGAAGTTCTATACTCGCAGCCCAAGACTGAAGACAACGGAAATATTATACAGTATTTGTCATCACTAGATCTTCCCTCCATAGGGAAATCTCAAAATGATAGTTTAATTGCTCCCATTACAAAGCCAGAACTGGACAGGGCTATCAGTAAACTGAAAGCAAACAAATGCCCTGGAAGTGATGGCTTCCCAAATGAATGGTATAAGATTTTTAAGGAAGACTTCGCTCCTATTATGTTACAATCATTTAACTGGACTCTTACAAAAGCGGTTGCACCACCATCATGGAAAGAGGCTGTTATATCAGTCATTCCAAAAGATGGGAAAAATAAAGAAAATTGCGGTTCATACCGTCCAATCTCTATACTACATGTAGATTACAAGTTGTTTACATCTATTATCTCGAAAAGAATTGAACATCTCTTGCCTGACTTAATTAACGAGGATCAGACAGGGTTTATACTCAAGACAACATCAGACGAATTTTACATATCATAGAACAGATTAATATAAAACATCTAAATGCAGTTCTGGCCAGTTTAGATGCAGAAAAGGCCTTTGATAGGGTCTGTTGGCTCTTTTTGTCTCGGGTGCTAGAGAGGCTGGGCTTTAGTTGTCAATTTGTCAGATGCATACAGGCTCTTTACAGAGATCCTACCGCTAGAATAAAAATCAACGGCCATCTGTCAGGCAGCTTTAAGCTATACAGAGGCACTCGCCAGGGTTGCTGTCTTAGCCCTGCACTTTTCGCGATCTTCATCGAGCCCCTAGCACAGAGTATCAGACAAAATAAAGAGTTAAGAGGAATCAACATAGCAAACGAGGACCATGCAATAGGACTCTTTGTGGATGACATTATTTTCTACCTGCAGAACCCTAACTTAACACTGCCTTAACTCATGGAGACTTTAGATGAGTATGGTGAAATGTCAGGTTATAAACTGAATATAGCCAAGACACAAATTCTCTCTTTTAATTACACTCCGAATAAGGATATTAGGCTGAAGTACAAAGTTAAGTGGGAAGCAAAATCCATAAAATACTTGGGAGTGTTTATTAGTCAAAATCTTGATAAACTACATGAAATAAACTACAAAATCATAAATGATAAAATACAGGAGGATATTAAAAATGGTCCAGACTGGGGTTAGATTTTACTTCAAGGACTGAGGCAGTGAAAATGAACGTGCTGCCAAGGTTGCTGTACCTTTTTTTGTCTCTACCTGTGAGAATCCCAGATTCACAGTTTTAAAGTAACCTCCTCTGGCTTTAACAACAGCTTGGCATATACCAGGCATTCGTTTCACAAGTTTTTTAAGGTATGTTCCAGGGATTGCATTCCAAGCTTCCTTAAGTTCATTAAAAAGAGACTGCTGATTCGTGGGACGCGTTTTTCTGACTGATCGATCCAATTCATCCCGCACAAGCTCAATTGGAGAAAGGTCTGGAGACTGAGGGGGCCAAACCATCCTTTGAAGAACACCTTCCTCTTCTTTTTTGTCTAAGTCACCCTGACAGAGCTTGGCAGAGTGCTTCGGGTCATTGTCTTGCTGCAAAACAAACTTATGAGCCACAAGTCTGAGTCCAGATGGAACAGCATGGGGCTGGAGGATGGAGTGGTACTGTTCCTTCTTCATGATACCCTTTACGTCAAACAAATCTCCTACTCCATCACCTGCAAAACATCCCCATACCATGGAACTACCACCTCCATGCTGGGTGGGTGTAATACACGGTGCTTTCAGATGTTCATCAGTTTGTCTGTGGACATAGACTCTGCGTTTTGAACCAAACAGTGCAAACTTGTTTCTAGTCATCATAAGTCCAATTTTTTGTGAGGTTTTGCCCACTCATATCTCTTTTTCTTGTTCTGTGGACGAAGTAGTGGTTTTATGGCAGATACACAACCCTTCAGACCAGCCTTTCTCAAACGTCTTTTCACGGTTGTCAGAGATACGGGTTTCGACCTTGTCGCCGATCTCTCTTACTGGTGACAATGCTATGTTTATCCTCTGCTTTTGTAGTAACTCTCTTTTGTCCAGGTCTTTTTCTATCATCATAACTTCCAGGTTCCTCTAGTCTCTTCAGAATGTAGTGGACTCCTTTGTTAAACACTCTTGGTCGTTTTGCAATTTTTCTTTCTGTGTCCCCTTCTTTCCTCAATGTACAAATCTGTACTTTTGTTTCTTAACTCAGTTGCTTCTCTCTAGCCATTTCTGCAGTAGTTTGAACGCAGTTGAAATTTATTAGGATTTTTGTATGCAGACTCTCAAAAGCCAAAAAGTTGAAATGAATAATCCAACTGTGATTCGTTTTTTTGCTTTTGCACTGAAGTTGTGACTCTTGCAAATGTTTTCAACCCTAAAACTAAGCCCTTACCTTCTTTTGCTGACATATATTAAGCAATGGTCTGTTAACATCAATGTATATCTAAAGGTAAATGGAGTAAAATGGTGCATTTCCATGAAAGCAACATCTGGTCATGGAGTAAATACATCCCAAAATATATAACTCATGCTGGATTTTTAAAAAAGCATTGTGAACAAAAACTTGAAGTTACTCCCAACTGTTCGGCCTGTAATGGCCTTGCTTCCTAACTTTTGGCCTGTAGTGTATATATTTCTCATATTTCAGGCTTGCTTTGGAAACGTATTTGTTTACACAGTTTAATATAAAAACACACTGTCAGAGTTAGCTCATGTCTTTTCTTTCTGAGGTTTTGGTGTCATCTCTGCACAGCAAAAGGTCTGGTGTTGAATTGATTCTCACAGAGTCAATTTCAACTCCTTTTCAGGGTTTATATACCTCCACACTTTCTAGAGTTAAATTAACACTTTGGAAATAGTTCCAACATCAACACCACACTAAGAGTTCCTTCTGTAACCCTTTACCAGAGTTGAAGCTATAAGGCAAATGACACTGCTCTGGGTTAAATGTTTACTCATTACCAGAGTTAGAATAAATAACACTGTGCTCTGAGTTAAATATTTTACTATTTCACAGAGTTGAATACCTAATCGTTTTACTCCTTACCAGAGTTGAATACAGTTGATTTACTCTTTACCAGAGTTGAATATTTAAATGTTCTACTCCTTCTGAGAGTTACATAATTCAAATATTTACTCTTTACCAGAGTTAAATATACATTTGTTTTACTCTCTAGTTTTAAAGTAACATTAAAGGGATTACACAAATGACAGTTTCACATATAAAACGTTTATTAAAATAATGAAAGCAAATAAAACATTTCTATTGTCCATATTCTCCCCAGTGCAGTCAGTCTTTCATTCCAACATTATGAATGCAACAATAATATACAAATGTTCATCTGAGACACTGTATGAGCTCTGAACATTAAACGGTGTGCAATATTTCAGCTCAGACATTTTAATTATACACCTTTCCTCACTTGTGGACACTCTGAAAGCATGGCGATGCTCATCAAATGTCTTTGTAAACAACATGGTTGACAAAAAATAAATCTGGTCTTCAAATAAAATTATATCACTGATTTTACAAAATATTGGCATGTCTTCTTCAGTGGCGGCTGCTGGTCTTTCAAGGAGGGGAAGCTCATTTTTCTGGCCTACATCATAATTGTATTTGTTTATTAGTATGTAACAGAACAGAGTCGCCAAACACAACGGCAGTCATTTTTAATAAAGACAAAAGTCGCTGAGGATCGGTAAAGTCTCCGGAGCAGTTAAGAACAACGGAATGAATAACTTGGAAAATGCTCTGGTAGAGGTTTTATTCTTCAAGATCGCTGATTCGCTTGTTTAGCTGTCAATCAAAAAAGGATTTCGCCTCAGACAGCTCATCCAATCATGGATGCAGAAGCTCGGAGTACGGGAGAAAGTCGGGACCGCCCTCTCGCCATAGAACTCCAGAGAAGCCGAGCTTCCGATGGGCGGGACAAAGCCCAGCATTTATCCAATGAGCGTCTAGTTTCGCTGCTGGAACAACCCACTTTGAGCTTCCACATTGAAGTCAGCAGAAGCCCAGCGTCCGGCTGTTTAAAGCGCTGAGGCGCTGCGAGGATGAATGAGAACGAAGTTATGCCGGTTACCTGTGATTATCAGCTTCTTATCACAGTGTCTGAACAAAAGATGAAGGCTTTCTAGCGCGTATTTAGTTAATGAAATGTACACACAGCCGTACGTATTTCATCACTTTTTCTTTTTTTTGGGGGGTGACATTTTAAGGGAAGCCGAGCTTCCCTTGCAGTCTTAGAGCAATCGCCACTGGTCTTCTTCTATTGCACTGCAAACCGCAAGTCCAGCTCTATACTCAAGACCATCAACGCCAAAAAACTTTTTGATAAATACCAGAGCAGCACAGTGTGTCCTTCTGGGCTCATCTGTTCAAAATAAGGTGCATGAGTGTTGGCCGCAGGAGGGAGGAGCTTCTTCATGTCTGTCGTGGAAGTTTTTCTCTTCCGTCGCTGCTGGTGAATAATGAAATAGAGACTTCTGCCGGCCGACAAGGTTTTATTTTCTTTGCAAAGAAAAGGACAATCTGCATCCGAGCGTTCAGAATCAAGAAAGACCCCAAACATGGGAAAACCTGAACATTTTATGCTTGAGGACCGCCCCTCAGAGGGCAAGGAATGGGGCTTTGATGTTGGCATCTTTTGTTTTCTGTGGGGACTGTCACTTCACCCTCCCTGGGGTGGTGGTGGGGGTGTTTCACACCTGGAGTATCCTGCAGGATGTTGATTCTTGATGTCTAGACATCATGATTAACTGATATGTTGATTAGAAAGTCTGTTGTGGGGGGCATTTCAAGCAGTTTTTAACAAAGACATTAAAATTACAATTACAATTCTCCCTTTTGATTATTAATTTATCACTAACAAAAAACAAACTTTAAAGTTAAAATAAAGTAAAATAGAAAAAAGGAAAAGAGAAGAAAAAAAATCATATTACAACTCAATTATCTGACACATTAATTCACATAGATTTAAAATGTATTTTCACGGCAGTTGTTTAGAGAAGAAGAGGGAGAAGAAGAGGAGCAAAAAGATCCATCCTCCCTCAGTTAGTATGATGTCGAGAGTGAGTCTGTGTTGGATAACTGCTGTTCTAATTGCAAACATTTCAGTGTTCATTAAGGTGGGAGCAGCTTCAGTTTGGTCTGCTAAGGAAAGAACAGACCAAGCTAGTCCATTGATTTTGTTTAGGGCTGCAGCCGTTCCACCCCCTAGAAATAGAGACCATCCAACATTGGCGTTGGGAGCAGTCCAGGGGTCAGGTGATGCACGGTGTAGTCTGGTGGGCTAATCAGCGTCGGTTGAATTCACGGAGTTAACTCCTCATGTCGTCCTCCTTTACATCGTTTGTCCTCACGTCGGTCGTCCTCTCGTTGTAGGGGTTGGTGGTTTGGATCGTCTGTTGGCTCCAGGACCTTCTTGCAGTGGCTGGCGTGAACCCTATGTTGCTCTCTCAGCGATCTTCACAGTGGTATGTGTCATCAGAAGCACCTGGAATGGACCTCGTCACCGTTTGGAGTGCCGGTGCTTCCTTCTCGAGTCCTTTATCATCACCCAGTCACCAGGCTGGAAGTCGTGGAGGGATGTGGATGCTGGTGGTGGAAGGGCTGATTTCACCTGCTGGGAGATTTGACAGAGAGTGCAGGATACGTTCTTGCAATATTGTAGCATGTCATCCTCACATAAGCCAGTGGAGGGGAGTGGCCTGGTTACAGGCTCCACTCCTAGGGACGGGGGTCTGCCAAAAAGAATTTTAAAAGGACTCATGTTTACTCTGGATCTTTTCCTCATTCTCATATGCATTAGAACAATCGGCAGACCTTTTGTCCATGGCAGTCCGGTTTCGTCGCAACATTTGGCCAATTTTGATTTCAGAGTGCCATTCTCTCGTTCGACAGCACCCCCACTGGCAGGGTGATATGTGCAATGTTGTCTGAGGTCAATGGCAAGAAATTCATTGATTTGGGTTATTGCAAAATTTACAAAGTGAGAGCCATTATCGCTGCTCAGTTAAGTTGGTATTCCCCATCTGGGAATGATTTCTGTTAGCTGAGCCTTTGCTACCACTAGGTGACAGCTCTGTGAAATCCATCACTAAGTGTTCTAATGGTCTGTCTGGTGGGTGGGCGGCGTGAGTGATTGTTTTGGTTTTACCTGCGTTATGCGTTGCACAAACCATACACGATTGACAAAATTTCTACGTGTGAACTGAAAACCCTTTGGTGAACCAGTGTTGGGTTATGGCACCCAACATTCCCCCTTTTGACACATGGTCCAACCCATGTGTCAATTTTGCAAAGTGAGGAAAGAAGTGTTTAGGTAGGCAAGGTTTATTATCGGGTCCTCGGCATACTGCATCCTTTTGTGCGGCATTGCAGCATTTCCACAGCGTCTTTTCCTGAGGTGTGGAGAAATATTGAATTGCTGGGATAGAGGTGGGAACAGAGACAGGAATCGATACCAATAAAGGATCAGTGATGGGTGGCTGGAGTGCGGCTTGTTTTGCAGCAGTATCAGCTCTAGCATTTCCTAGAGAGACATGGTCTGAGTTGTTAGTGTGAGCAAGACATTTACAAACAGCAGTTGATTGCAGGAGCAAAAGTTAGTGACAACAGCAAAGCCGACTCTGTTGCGACCAGTTTGTGGGTTGCGTGAGGCAGATTCATCTACAAAAAGAACCAAATCAGGATTTGTTAAATGTGTTTCTTGTAGGTCTGGTCTTGGGGAGCAAGCCTGTTGGAGGACAGCAACACAGTTATGTTGTTCTCCATTGTCTGGTGTGGGGAGAAGAGTGGCAGGGTTTAAAACATTGCATCTTTTGACAGTGATGTAGACATTTCTAGAAGGACTGTGTTGTTTCGTAGCCATCGTGCTGTGGAGAAATGAGAAGTTTTTTGTTCAAGTAAAATCATAGACACAGCATGTGGGACCAGGAGGGTTACATCAGAATAGCCCACAATATCTCTGGCACAGACGTGTGAACGTGTAGCGCCGCTCATTGAAGTTGAAAGCAAACCAGAATTGGCTCTCTGGGTGAACTGGAACACTACTGAAAGCGTTAGAAAGGTCGACCACCGAAAAGAACTTTGCATTATATGGGACCTGAGACAAGATGGTGTAAGGGTTTGGAACATTTGGGGCTCTGGATTGGACTGCTGCATTTACTGCTTGCAGATCCTGGACAAAACGTCATTCTGTTGGTTGATCTTTGTCTTTGAATTTCTTAACAGGGAACAAAGGCGTGCGCACTGGAGAGTTGTTACAGGGAACAATTACTCCCGCTACTCTCGGGGAGTACATACACAGACACACACACAAACAGAGCGCCTGCCAACTGTGCCGGACTTCAGCGCAAAGACAAGCCTTTGGATTTTATCATGGCAACCGAACCACTGGGAAAGCGGTTCAAAAAAATCTCCCTGGCAGATCAGGTAGTCTGTAGACTTTGACACCTTCTGGGGTTGAGATTAGACAAAGGCCCAATTTGCACATCAAGTCTCTGCCCATCAGGTTAATAGGGCAGACTTCAGAGAGCAAAAATGCGTGTTTGAAGCTTGAACATGACTCATCCACACATTTGAGTGGGACAGTAATGTTCTCTTTAATTGTTTGACCTGATGAACCAATAGAGTACACATGACTTCCGCTCAGATTAGGTTTTTGAGGGAATTCAGAAGTTTTTATCACGGAATGTGTTGCTCCTGAGTCGACTAAGAATACAATGTGTTGTTCTGTGATGATCAGCGTGTGTTCTGGAAACTTCTTAAACTGATCAGATGTGTACTGAACATATGTTAAAACAATCGCATGTGTATTGTCTGAGCTCTCTATGGATTGTGAATTGATGTGGTTGGCATGTGTGTGTGAGTGTGATGCAGTACCTTCTTCCCTCTTCACAAGTTGGTTTGGCTCATCCGCAGGAGTCCATTCCTCTCCGACAACCCCCAACCATCGTCAGTCCGATTTGTTTATTGCGTCTGATGAGGTGTTTTTGGGACACTCACGTCTTCAATGTCCACTTTGGCCACACAGGAAACAGACATCCTTTTGAAGTTTTCTCTCCCAGTTTTTGTGATGGCCATGTCCTCTTCCTCTATGGACATTAGATTCGTCTTCCCAGGTGATATGTTTGCAGGGGAGATCAGCACTTGGGAATTCTCCGGCTATTCTTTGCCAGTCTGTTCCCGTGGGGTTTGGGCAGATGTTGTGAAGTGGCTGTGATGTCCTCAGAAGTCCATGGGCGAAGAAAAAAAAAACAACAAAAAAACAAAGTTGCGCCTTGTGGTCCAGATGCTTCAACCATAGCCATGTTGAAGGCTGTGTCTTTATTGGATTGCATAGTCTGTGTGCAATTGGAGAAGGGATGTTGGTTGTAGAGTCTTGTGATGGACCAGGCATTTCAGGACGGGCTGTTTCTGAGCTTGCTTGTAGTTGCAGCCTGATGGAGTCTGCTTCTCTTCTCTCGTTGAGTGTTGCAGAGTTGTATGGTGGTGGTGCTGAAGAATGGGAGGGTGGGTTGTCGTCAAGGTCTGGATCCAGCTTCAGAGCCGCCAACTGTGGATACAAAGAAGAAGAGATCTGCAAGTTCTGTGTTCTTTGTGTATGTGAATCTGGCTTCTCAATGGTTTCAACGATTTCGCATGAAAAGGGAAGTTGTTTTTGCATTAACTTTAATAACGTATCTCAGCTTCAGTTTTCCACATCTCTAAACATTCTTTTTGACCTTCAATGAGTTCTAACTTTCTTACAGAGACTTTGTTTTTCCTGCTCATTTTTCATTTATTTTCTTTTTCTTTTGCCTTCAGTTTCTCTTCTAGTTTTGACATGTTTCTTTTTAAACTGAGGGATTCCCCTGTTGGGAATCCAAACTCAGTGGTCAAGACATTTAAATCTTTTAAGCTTTTGTCCCAACATTTCTTTCTCATGATCTCAACAATCGGCCCTTCTGGAGGTCCAACCTCCCTGGAAAGCTTGCCCCCCATCCAATGGGTTTGTTGCGACAAATTCCACACAGACGTCTCTGTGCTTCAAAATCAGCACTTACTTCGTTTTATCCTCCAAGAAAAGCCACATGTAAGAAAAAAAGCCTTACTTTCTCTAAAGACTATGAGCAATAAAAATTATCACTTGTCGGCAGACTACGAGCAACAAAAATTATCACTCGTCGGCTCCAGAAAGAGTAACATTACTTCGTTAAGCTTCAAATAATGAGAAAAGCAGCACTTCGTTTTATCCTCCAAGAAAAGCTACAAGTAAGAAAAAAATCCTTACTTTCTCTAAAGACCACGAGCAATAAAAATTATCACTTGTCGGCAGACTACGAGCAATAAAAATTATCACTCGTCGGCCTTAGAAAAAATAACATTACTTCGTTATGCTTCAACTAATGAGAAAAGCACGCCAAGTATGGAGATCATGAGAAAAAATGTCACGCCTGATTAAAACCCAAATTTTAAAGAAAAGGAAAGTCAATATTTCAGTGCTCACCTGATGAATTTGCTGAATTTTGTTCGTGGAATCCCAGCGGCAATGATCTGGGGCGGTTTTGGTCAGTCCTTCCTTCTCACAAGAGGATTTGAGGTTTTGGAGGCTGGAAATCTTTTGTTTTTCCAGGATGGCCTGTCACTGTCCGTGCTCCGTCCCAGACGATTTGCTCGAGGTATCCCACTTCCGACACCAAATTGTTGTGGAAGTTTTTCTCTTCCGTCGCTGCTGGTGATGATGAAATAGAGACTTCTGCCGGCCGACAAGGTTTTATTTTCTTTGCAAAGAAAAGGACAATCTGCATCCGAGCGTTCAGAATCAAGAAAGACCCCAAACATGGGAAAACCTGAACATTTTATGCTTGAGGACCGCCCCTCAGAGGGCAAGGAATGGGGCTTTGATGTTGGCATCTTTTGTTTTCTGTGGGGACTGTCACTTCACCCCCCCTGGGGTGGTGGTGGGGGTGTTTCACACCTGGAGTATCCTGCAGGATGTTGATTCTTGATGTCTAGACATCATGATTAACTGATATGTTGATTAGAAAGTCTGTTGTGGGGGGCATTTCAAGCAGTTCTTAATGTGGCAGCCGGGGGCGGGGTTAACAGAGAATCGAATTTGGGAGAAGATGTAGTGAAATACTGTAACCCCTATTTACCAATTCACCAATCAACTACTGATTACTGAATACGAAATTGATTTTGTCGCTGACAACGCCACCCCAGGAATTTCACCTGGAGAGTAGAGTTACCCCTGAATGTAAAGCTAGGGCACACACAGGTTTGTCTGCCAGTGAAGACGGGAGGCCGTGGTCCAGTGTACAAATACTTTTGAATTTTATTCAACAATTTTCACCAATAAACAAAGTTAATAAAATATTTTCCACTCATTCATCCACACTCATTCACACACAAACACACACATACTTCTCTTAACTATAGCAAAAAATGTTGCCTATAAAATTGATGTGCAAATAGCAAATTCTGGTTAAATCAGAAATAAACCACAAATACCAAAATAAAGAAAACTAGCAAGCAAAAAAAAGAAAAATAACTCAAAATATTTAGAAATGACCAAACCAAACAAACATGCAAATAAACCAAATACTAATAACTAACAAAACAAAGTACTCAACCGGAGAAACAAAACACAAAAAACACTCAAATCACAAAATAATAACAAATGATTTAAACCATAATAGACTAAATGCCAACAAAATGAGGAAGTTGAGGCAACAGGTTACTAAAATAAAACTTAGTCCCAAGGGTGTTGACGTCACCTCACATGAAGCAGAACGCCATCGAATCAAAGTTAGATGGCGATAGTGACAGCCTTACCAAAGGCGATGAGACAGGAGTACAGTAGAGCAGGCAGCAGTGGTAGCGGAAACAACCACAGCGCAGCAGCACAGGAGCAAACCAGCAGCACAGAAGCAAAACAGCAGCACAGCCGATAGCGGCCCGAGAGGAGGGAGGAGAGTTTAGGGCAGCCCGACCGGCTCACACACACAAAACCTAATATAATGTGAGAAAAATATAATTTAGCACCACGGCTTAATAATGATAGCACGAGTTGCAGTCATTTAAACACATACCATCAGAGAGTTGAATGAACCTCACGAGGGCGAGGGAACGAGGCACCCGCAGTGCCACAGAACAATCAACGGCCACTCAGCTGATCACCCCCAGCTGTGTGGGGATGCGGGAACACACACTCTGGGTCCCGCAATCGGTTCAGTGCAGGAGAGAGAAGACCCATTGAGGAACTGTTGGAGACAAAAGCCAACCCTGACGGCAACCGCAAAACTTTTAAAGCGATGCAATAAAGTATGTGATTAACATACCAGGAGCAGCGAACTGAGCACACAGCACAATCCGGTGTTCCGGTTTAACTGGTGATCATATTAACTGGTGAGATTTTGAACCAGATGTTGGCTGTTCCGCAGATTCGCCACAAAAGCCTCAGTCCGAACCGAACGGTCGCCGGCACTTTCAAGGAGAAAAACTCCGCAAACATCAGCGCTTTTCACATATATTGACAACCAGCGATCCCGACCAAACTGCCAACTCAAATAAGCACTAAAAAAAAATAAAGATAAAAACATTACGATAAACACAGCTGGGCGTCGCAAGGAGGACTCGAACTCACAACGCAAATAAGAACTAACAACGAGGGGCGAGCGCGCTGCTGTAACGCCACGGATCGGCTTACTGAACTCCTCGTGTACCTCATACTTGACATCCACTTTTCACAGGGTGCCACCACATAATCTGCTTCTATAGAGAAACACGCCCATATTAGCTGGTGACTCCAGAAGCCTGCCCGTGTTATATTGTGACGATTATCTCATAATACACAGCATTTCTTCTTAAAATTCTGCGATAGCGGTCACTCATGGGTGTATCGCAGTGCCTTTGTGTAAAGAGCCCATGTTAACTCGTGAGACGCATGTGTGATAAATTGTGAAGATCGACCATTAAACACTGGACTTTTTTTTTTTTTAAAGAGTATTCATTAAAACTGCATGCAGGACAGAAATACTCCTCATCATGATCGCGATTCCCCACACAGTCAGAATGATGCCAATACTGGCAGTTTGTACATTCAATCTGAAAAGGAGAGCAAAGACAATCACAGCGGTTTTGGTCCTACAACAAATGTCGTCATATCCGATCAGAACCGAGGGGGTTTTATTGCCATTGTCGATGAACAGGATTCACAGACTTATACCGATCGTGCTTTTTCCAATGAAAAGTGATGCACTGCAACACGCCCATCAATGTGACCGCGGTCGTAGACTTTGCTAAAAAGATCCATGATTAAAATGATCACCGATGCTAACAATTTCTCAGGTGCTACTGCTGTCACCAGGTAACATGGGCGTGTTTCTCTACAGGAGCAGGTTATGTGGTGACACCTTGTAAACAGTGGATGACAAGTATGGGGTACACGAGCTGCTCAGTAAACCGATCTGTGGCGTTACAGCAGCGCGCTCGCCTCTCGTTGTTAGTTCTTATTTGCGTTGCGAGTTCGAGGACCAAAACCGCTGTGATTGTCTCTGCTCTCCTTTTCAGATTGAATGTACAAACTGCCAGTATTGGCATCATTCTGACTGTGTGGGGAATCGCGATTGCGATAAGGAGTATTTGTGTCCTGCGTGTAGTTTTAATCAATAATCGTTTTTAAAAAAGTCCAGTGTTTCGTGATCGATGTTCAAAATGTATCACACATGCGTCTCACGAGTTAACAAAGGCTCTTTACACTTGGTACACATGGTAGACATGGTACACTGCGATACGTCCATGAGTGACCGCTGTGGCAGACCTTTCAGAGGAAATGTTGTGTATTATGAGATGATCGTCACAATTGAACACGGACAGGCTACTGCTGTCACCAGCTAATATGGGTGTGTTTCTCTACAGGAGCAGATTATGTGGTGACACCCTGGAAACAGTGAATGACAAGTATGAGATACGCGAGGTGCTGAATAAGCCGATCTGTGGCGTTACGGCAGCGCGCTCACCCCACGATACTTGTTCTTATTAGCGTTTTGGGTTCGAGTCCTCCTTACGACGTTTAGCTGTGTTTCTCACGATGTGTTTCTCTTTATTTTTTTTGTGCTTCTTTGAGTGGGCAGTTTGGTCGGGATCTCCGGTTGTCAATATATGTGAAAAGCACTGATGTTTGCAGAGATTTTCTCCTTGAAAGTGCCGGCGACCGTTCGGTCCGGACTGAGGCTTTTGTGGCGAATCTGCGGAACACTCAACATCTGGATCAGATTTACCTTAAATCTCACCAGTTAATATGATCACCAGTTAAACCGGAACACCGGCAGCGAGGCGACCAGGTACGGTGCCCAGAGCTGCGTCCGAATTGCCAAGTAGTAGTCGAAGTAGTAGTCGAAGTAGTATCTAGCATGTCCGAATTGGCCACCGGAGCGAGTAGCATGCTACTTCAGATACTACTTCAGATGCTAGACACGCCCACATTGTAGGTTGGTCTCGGTGCATCCTACGGGCATGCTACTGACCCAAAATGCACCGCGGGCTTCTTCTTCGTCCTCTTAAAAGTTGTAGAAGCGCATGTGATGCTAGCGCCACCAGCTGCTCTGCCTATTTAAAAGTGTCGCGGTTCCATGTACAGATGCCAGAGTACTGCAGTCTCGGCATCTGGCCTCCTCTCGGTTGGTTAGCAATCGCAGGATAATTAGGAAGCTTGTCCACCTTTCTGTCTCAGGGGCATGAAGAGCAGGTGGAGTCATGGTGGAGACATGACGTCCTAAGACAGTGGTCCGAGTGGCACTGCAGTATGACCAGAAGAACTTAAAAAGAACCTTAAAAGACTTACCTCTCTGGAACAAAAAAGCCTCGACACTGAGGCGTAATTAAACCTGCTCAGGCATTGAAAGGAGAGACTTGAAGGAAGCCGCAAGACAAACCGCGGAGGAACGCCGCCTCCACGTGCGTTACAAACTTTTCTGCCTCGCGCTGGGACACCGAGTAAGTCAAGTTTCATCACACGGAGGGTAATGGACAAAAGAAACCTTATTAATACGATGCACTCTTATGCACGAAGCTGTTTGACTGACCAACTTGAGGTCATGGACAATCTTATTGCTGCGGGAAAAGAACCGATTTCTGAACAGGTACCTGAAGTTCCAAAATCAAAGAAAAGCAAAAAACCGCAGAGTGATGTGGTGGAGGACTCTGACCAGAGGTCGTTAAGCATCCTCGAGAGAATTGAGAAGAGACAAATCGAGACTCTTAAGCGGCTCGAAACCTTGGAAGATGCTGTTAAAGAAAACTGATGCTGCGTCCGAACTGCCCGCTCGGATACAACATGCTACTGCTACGTGCTACTGCTAGATCCTACTCCTACATACTAAACACGTTTGCCCAATTCGGACACACTAGACGAGCGGTGGGGAAACACGACCCCCGCAGGCAGAGAGTAGGTACTGCGCCCGTGCAGACAGTGGTAACTGAAGCCCCTCATCTGCGGGCCTGGCTGTAGTACTGCAGCTGTGCAGTTTAATGATGGAATAAGTGAGCTTTACCTCCATGATGTCGCCACATATTTGCTCATAAAATGATTACTTGGGCAAATATGACACCATGACATGACAAAGAGATACAACCGCACATTTTTTAGGACAGTGTGTGAAGTTACATGAAACTTACATCTGTACTGCTGCGGTCCCGCGACATGGTGCGCGCTGTTGTGGCCAGCCGGCGTTCGCGACACATTTAAATAGGCAGAGCAGCTGGTGGCGCTAGCATCACATGCGCTTCTACAACTTTTAAGAGGACGAAGAAGAAGCCCGCGGTGCATTTTGGGTCAGTAGCATGCCCGTAGGATGCACCGAGACCAACCTACAATGTGGGCGTGTCTAGCATCTGAAGTAGTATCTGCAGTAGCATGCTACTCGCTCCGGTGGCCAATTCGGACATGCTAGATACTACTTCGACTACTACTTCGACTACTACTTGGCAATTCGGACGCAGCTACTAAAACAACGAAAAACGTCACCGACTCCCTGGAGGCTCTGTGGGGGCGGATGGAAGACATGTCTGGCCAGATGACCACCCTCCAAGCTGAAACCTCAACCCTGGGGAAAGCGAGCATGGAGCTCCGGAGCAAATTCAACGACATGGATGCCTACTCGAGACGGTGGAACCTGCGCGTCGCCGGGATACCTGAGAGGACCGGGGAGGACATTAAGAAAATCATCATTGACCTGTTCGGCCAAATCTCCCCTGACATCGCGGATCAGCTGGCTCTTACGGTGGATATCGTGCACAGAGTGGGACCTCGCTCCGGACACGAGCGCTCCAGCCGGCGCGTCTTAGTACGCTTTCTGTCACGATCACACCGAGATAAAATCTGGAAGGACGCCAGGACATCGGAGACTCCCCAAACAAGAAAACTAAAGATCCTGGAGGACCTCACTCAAGAAGCCAAGGAGGCCAGAAACCAGCTGTGGCCGCAAGTGGAGAAAGCGAGGAAAGAAGGGAAGAAAGCTGGCTTCAGAGGAGCGCATGCATACGTTGACGGTGTAAGAATTACAGCAAAGGACATGTAAGGTACAGATTTAAGTTGTTATATATCCGTGAGACTTTCGTTTGAGTTGTCTCTGACAAAGGTGACTTTTGCTTATGGAAAACTCGGTGCTCCCAACCTCTTCTACGATATGGCTGACAAAATGTTTATTTGAAATTTAATCTATTATTTTTTCTTTGTTTATTTCTCAACAACAGCCACTACATTAGTTCAGTTATTATCAATTTATTTATTTTTTCCCTATATTACAGCTCTCTCGTGCTAAAATAATTGAAATAATGAATCGAAGTAGGAATTTTTTTTTCGATCACTCCTTCGAGGCAATCCCCCTCTTTTTTTTCTTTTCTCCCCTCAATATCCTTTATAGAGTGATGAAGCACTAATGAAGAGAGGTAAACTAAACTATCTCAATTAAGTTTGGAAGTGGTCTGGTCTGCTTGCAGTAGCCAACCCTCAGTGTCTGCTCTCAACCCAGTGAGGTTTTTTTTGAGCAGGTGCTTGTGTGTGTGTGTGTGTGTGTGTGTGTGTGTGTGTGTGTGTGTGTGTGTGTGTGTGTGTGTGTGTGTCTGTGTGTGTGTATATGTGTGCGACGACTTCTATTTTTTCTGTTAATGTCAGAGGTATTAAGAATGAAGTGAAAAGGAAAAGCTTGTTCTTATTTCTTCAGAATAAAGGGGCAGATTTTTATTTCATTCAAGAGACCCACTCTTCTGAAACTGATGTCTCATATTGGAGGAATCAATGGGGAAGGAATGTATGGCTCTCTCATGGCAGCAATCGCTCAGCGGGGGTCGCCATCCTACATGGGAAATATGGTGGGAAAATTATAAAGTATGACGCTGATAAGGATGGCAGGTGGATCATTCTCTTGGCAGATATCAACCAATCGTCTGTTATTCTGATTAATGTATATGGGTCAAACAGTAAATCTCTCAATAACATAATTTTCTCAACATTGGAAAATAAGATTAATTATTGGCTGACACTGTTTCCCTCAGCAGAGATCTTATGGGGTGGAGACTTCAACACAGTATTTGATGGTAGTCTGGACAGATGGCCTCCAAAAGCCAAACAGATAACCGAATTGGAAAATATCTGCGACAGAATGAACCTGATTGATATATGGAGACACAGACACCCACAGGAAAAAGTATTCACATGGAGCAACAAGGACAGATCCTGCCAATCTCGCTTAGATTTTTGGTTAATTTCGGCTGAATTAGAAAATAAGGTAGACTCAATCAAAATAGAACCCACAATATTGACAGACCACAAAGCTATATCAATTCAATTCCATCTTGGATCTGACAGGCAGAGGGTCAATAGAGATTATTGGAAATTAAACAAAACGTTGCTACAAAATAAGGAATTTGTAAAGGAAAGCCAAATAATCATCGACAAATGTTGGAGACAAGCAAATTTACTGAAGAATTTTGGATTATACTGGGAATTAATGAAATATGAAATAAGAAAGTTAGCTATAAGGTTAAGTAGAAAAACCAGCAGACATAATAAAGAAAAAGAACTTCAACTTGTCACCCAAATTTTTCCATTATCTGAGAAAACAGACCCAACCAGTGCTGAGGTAGAACAATTGGCTTACCTACAAACTGAATTAGACAAACTTTTCGAGGGGAAAGCTAGAGGAGCCTTCATCAGATCCAGGAGGAAATGGCTTGAACAAGGGGAAAAATGCACCAAATATTTCTTTAGTCTAGAAAAAAGGAATTACGAAATGTCTTCTCTCTGCAAACTTAAAATTCATGACGCTGTGTGTGAAAATGAAAAACTAATTTCGCAATATGTTGCACGCTTTTATGAAAAGCTGTATATGACTGACCTGTTAAATGAAGATAAAATGTCACTATTTCTTCAGACCATACAACCAAATATTAGAAGAATAGATGATGACCTCCATGTAACGTGTGATCAAAAAATAACGATAACAGAGGTACAAAAATGCATCGACTCCCTCAAGGACAACAAAGCCCCAGGTAATGACGGGATAACAGGGGAATTTTATAAATACTTTAAACAAGCAATCGCTCCATTTTTAACTGAGCTATTTGAAGAGGCTTTAGACAAGGAAGAACTCCCCCACACTTTAAGACAGGGACTGATAAAACTAATTCCAAAACCAAAAAAAGATGAATTAAACATTGAAAACTGGAGACCAATTAGTTTATTAAATAATGATGCAAAGCTGTTTGCTCTCATCTTTGCTAAAAGATTGAAAATAGGACTAGTTGATATTATAGATGAGGAGCAATCTGGGTTTATGCCAGGGAGAAATATTGTAAATAATATTCGTCTGATTCTGGATATGATAGACTATAATGAATTTATACCTGATGAAAGTTTTATTCTGTTTGTGGACTTTGTAATTGTAATTTTAATGTCTTTGTTAAGAATTGCTTGAAGTGCCCCTCACAACAGACTTTCCAATCAACATATCAGTTAATCAGCATGTCTAGACATCAACAGACAACATCCTGCAGGATGCTTCAGGTGTCACCACCACCCCAGGGGGGTGAAGTAACAGTCCCCACAGACAACAAAAGGTGCCAACACCTAAGCCCCATTCCTTGCCCTCTGGGAGGCGGTCCTAAAAGTATAAATATTCTGTATTCCCCTAGATTCGGGGTCTTTTCTGATCTACCCGCTCGGATCCAGATCGACCTTTTCTTTGCAAAGAAAATAAAACCTTGTCGGCCGGCAGAAGTCTCTATTTCATTATTCACCAGCAGCAACGGAAGGAGAAAAACTTCCACGACAATTTGGTGTCAGAAGTGGGATCCCTCGAGCAATCGTCAGGGCCGGAGCATGGACAGTGACAGGCCATCCTGGAAAAACAAAAGATTTCCAGCCTCCAAACCTCAAATTCTTTTGTGAGAAGGGAGGACTGACCAAAACCGCCCCAGATCATTGCCGCTGGGATTCCACGAACAAAATTCAGCAAATTCATCTGGTGAGCACTGAAATATTGACTTTCCTTTTCTTTAAAATTTGGTTTTTAATTGGGCATGACATTTTTTCTCATGATCTCCATAACTTGGCGTGCTTTTATCATCATTTGTAGCTTAACTAAGTGATGTTACTTTTTCTAGGGACAACAAGTAGTAATTTTTTATTGCTCGTGAGTCCTTAGACAAAGTAAAGCTTTGTCTTGCTTGTAGCTTTCCCTGGGGGATAAAACGAAGTAAGGCTTTTCTCATTATTTGAAGCTTAACGAAGTAATGTTGCTCTTTCTGGAGCCGACAAGTAATTGATGTCTGGACCACTGAGTTTGGATTCCCAACAGGGGGATCCCTCAGTTTAACAAAAAAAAAACATTTTTTGCTTGTAGTCTTTAGACAAAGTAAAGCTTTTTCTTGCTTGTAGCTTTCCCTGGGGGATAAAACGAAGTAAGGCTTTTCTCATTATTGGAAGCTTAACGAAGTAATGTTACTCTTTCTGGAGCCGACAAGTAATTTTGTTGCTTGTAGTCTTTAGACAAAGTAAGGCTTTTCTCTCTGCTTGTAGCGTTCCTTGAAGGATAAAACGAAGTAAGACCTGATTTTGAAACACAGAGACGTCTGTGTGGAATTTGTCGCGACAAAACCCATTATGGGGGGCAAGCTTTCCATTGAGGTGATACCTCCGGAAGGGCCAATTGTTGAGATCATGAGAAAGAAATGTGGGGACAAAAGCTTAAAATATTTAAATGTCTGGACCACTGAGTTTGGATTCCCAACAGGGGGATCCCTCAGTTTAAATAACATATCAAAACTAGAAGAAAAACTGAAAGCAAAAGAACAAAAAATTAGAACAAAAAATGAAGTGTCTGTAAGAAAATTAGAACTCATTAAAGGTCAAAAAGAATGTTTACAGATGTGGAAAACTGAAGCAGAGATACGAAATACAAAGTTAATGCAAAAACGACTACCCTTTTCATGCGAAAAGGTTGAAACGATTGAGAAGCTAGATTTACATAAACAAAGAACAAAGAACTTGCAGATCTCTTCTTCTTTGTTTCCACAGTTGGCGGCTCTGAAACTGGATCCAGACCTTGACGGCAAACCCCCTTCCCATCCTTCAGCACCACCACCATACAACTCTGCAACACCCAGCGAGAGAAGAGAAGCAGACTTCATCAGGCCACAACTACGAGCAAGCTCAGAAACAGCTCGTTCTGAAACGCCTGGTCTATCACAAGACTCTACAACCAACACCCCTTCTCCAATTGCACACAGACCACGGCAATCCAATAAAGACACAACCTTCAACATGCCTATGGTTGAAGTATCTGGACCACAAGGCGCAACTTTGGTTTTTCTTCCTCTGAGGACATCACAGCTGCTTCACATCATCTGCTCAACCCCACAGCATCAAGAACATGGACATCGCTACCCTGGCCGTAGAGAAAAAGGACGTGGCCATTATAAAAACTGGGAGAGAAAAAAGGATGTCTGTTTCCTGTGTGGCCAATTGGAGGCATTGTCCCAAAAACACCTCATCAGACGCAATAAACATTCAGACTGACGTTGGTTGGGGGTTGTCTGAGAGGAATGGACTCCTGGACGAGCCGAACCAACTTGTGAAGAGGGAAGAAGGTACTGCATCACACTCACACACACATGCCCATCACATCAATTCACAATCCATAGAGAGCTCCAATACACATGAGATTGTTTTAACATATGTTCAGTACACATCTGATCAGTTTAAGGAGTTTCGATTATCATCACAGAACAACACAGTGTATTCTTAGTCGATTTAGTTTTAGTCTAAGTCATGTATACTCTATTGGTTCATCAGGGAGAACATTATTGTCCCACTGTGGGTCATGTTCAAGCTTCAAACACGCATTTTTGCTCTCTGAAGTCTGCCCTATTAACCTGATGGGCAGGGACTTGATATGCAAATTGAGCCTTTGTCTAATCTCAACCCCAGAAGGTGTCAAAGTCTGCAGACTACCTGATCTGCTCACACACACGCCCATCACATCAATTCACAATCCATAGAGAGCTCAGACAATACACATGAGATTGTTTTAACATATGTTCAGTACACATCTGATCAGTTTAAGGAGTTTCCAGAACAAATGATTATCATCACAGAACAACACAGTGTATTCTTAGTCGATTTAGTTTTAGTCTAAGTCATGTATACTCTATTGGTTCATCAGGTCAAACATTTAAAGAGAACATTATTGTCCCACTCAAATGTGGGTCATGTTCAAGCTTCAAACACGCATTTTTGCTCTCTGAAGTCTGCCCTATTAACCTGATGGGCAGGGACTTGATATGCAAATTGAGCCTTTGTCTAATCTCAACCCCAGAAGGTGTCAAAGTCTGCAGACTACCTGATCTGCCACCAAACTTTTCACACTCCTTTGTCTGCCACACCCTAAACCTAAATTATGCATATCAATGGATATTGAAACCATCAACCTTTTCTGAGTTTTTCTCAGCTAGGAAAACAATTTCCACAGCTGCAAAGATTTTATGGCACCAGAGGATCTGCATTGCACCTCTCATGTGTCACCCGGACCTGATGAGCCATACGAGGAATGTTGGTTAAAGATGAGATTTGAAGAACTCACACTGACACATATTTATTGGGCACGACACAAATGTGCTATATTAGTCTCCCTCACACCAGCTCAAAGTAACATGTACACCATGGACCATTCGGTCCCATAGATCCCATAGATGACTGGGAAGATTTGGGCCCATTTATAATAGCATTAAACATCTGATCGATCCACCCTTTTGTTTTTTGTTTGTTCGTTTATTGTTTGTTTGTTTTTTGTTTGTTTGTTTGTTTTTACAGACACTGCAGTGCTACTCAAAACGTTTAACATCTGTTGTGCACACTCAGAGAATAATCCAGCTGGTACCTGAAAGCACTTCTATAACCTTTTTCTTGTTTGTCCATAGAACAAACTGAACCTATCACAGCCCTGCAACAAGTCCCTAAGACACTGTGGGCTTTTGATAAATATGATGTTGGCCTCATCAAAGATTTAGACCTGTTATCATTACTCCAAAAATCAGACTTCAAACTTTGCAAGACTTGAGATCCATTTAAACAAGAAGCCACCGATGGCATAACACCAGGTTTTTGACTCCCTGAGAGCAGCAGGAGTAATTGTTCCCTGTAACGACTCTCCAGTGCGCACGCCTTTGTTCCTTGTTAAGAAAATCAGAGACAAAGATCAACATACAGAATGCCGTTTTGTTCAGGATCTGCAAGCAGTAAATGCAGCAGTCCAACCCAGAGCTCCAAATATTCACCAGACCGTTAACTCAAACGATGAATGAAAAACATGAATACATGGCTTCTGTTTTGTTGCAGGCTACAGGAACAAGCTACACCCTGTAGCTTATTTTACCTTAAAACTGGATCCTGTAGCAGCAGGACTCCCAAGATGCCTTAAAGCCGTGGCTGCAGCTGAGAAGGCAGTTATGGTCTCCCAAGATATTGTGTGCTATTCTGATGTTACTGACACATGCTGTGTCTTTGATTTTACTTGAACAAAAAACTTCTAATTTCTCCACAGCACGATGGCTACAATACAACACAATCCTTCTAGAAATGTCTAACATCACTGTCAAAAGATGCAATGTTTTAAACCCTTCCACTCTTCTCCCCACACCAGACGATGAAGAACAACATAACTGTGTTGCTATCCTCCAACAGGTTCGCTCCCCAAGACCAGACCTACAAGAAACACATTTAACAAACCCTTATTTGGTTCTTTTTGTAGATGGATCTGCCTCACGCAACCCACAAACTGGTCGCAACATAGGCGGCTTTGCTGTTGTTGCTAACTTTTGCTCCTGGAATCATCTGCTGTTTGTAAATGTCTTTCTCACCCTAACAACTCAAACCCTGTCTCTCTAGGAAATGCTAGAGCTGATGCCGCTGCAAAACAAAATCGCACTCCAGCCACCTATCACTGATCCTTTATTGGTATTGATTCCTTTCACTGTTCCCACCTCTATCACAGCAATGCAATCTTTTGCCACAGGAAAAGGCGCTGTGGACACGCTGTAGTGCCACACAAAACGATGCAGTATAACGAGGACCCGATAATAAACCTTGCATACCTAAACACTTCTTTCCTCATTCTGCAAAATTGACACATAGGTTGGACCATGTGTCAAAAGGGGGAATGTTGGGTGCCATAACCCAACACTGGTTCACTAAAGGATCTTCAGTTCATGCGCAGAAGTTTTGTCAATTGTGTATGGTTTGTGCAACGCAAAACGCAGGTAAAACCAAAACAATCACACACGCTGCTCACCCACCACCAGACAGACCGTTCAAACACTTAATGATGGATTTCATAGAGCTATCACCTAGTGGTAGCAAAGGCTCTGTGAACAGAAATAACTCCCAGATGGGAAATACCAACTGAACAACGATAATGGCTCTCATTTTTCGGAAAATTCTGCAATAACCCAAATCAGTGAATTTCTTGCCATTGACCTCAGACAACATTGCACATATCACCCTGCCAGTGGGGGTGCTGTCGAACGAGAGAATGGCACTCTGAAATCAAAATTGGCCAAATGTTGCGACGAAACCGGACTGCCATGGACAAAAAAGCTCTGTTGATTGTTATAATGGATATGATAATCAAGAAAAGATCCAGAGTTAACAGGAGTCCCTGTAAAATTCTTTTTGGCAGACCTCTGTCCCTTGGAGTGGAGCCTGTAACCAGGCCACTCCCCTCCACTGGCCTATGTCAGGATGACATGCTACAATATTGCAAGAGCTTATTCCGCACTCTCTCTCAAATCTCCCAGCAGGTGAAATCAGCTCTTCCACCACCAGCTTCCACATCCCTCCACGACTTCCAGCCTGACGACTGGTTGATGATAAAGGACCTCAGAGGGAAGCACTGGCACTCCAAACGGTGGCGAGGTCCATTCCAGGTGCTTCTGACAACACATACCGCTGTGAAGATCGCTAAGAGAACAACGTGGGTTCACGCCAGCCACTGCAGGAAGGTCCCGGAGCCAACAGAAGATCCAAACCACCAACCCCGACAACCAGAGGACAACCGACGTGAGGACGAACGACGTGCAGATGAACAGACGCAAAGGAGGACGACACGAGGAATTCACTCCGAGAACACAACCGACGCTGATTAGCCCACCAGACCACACCATGCATCACCTGATCTTGATCCTATCATGTTTGGTACAAATGATAGAGGCCTACACCTACGAACCTGCCAAAACCGTCACTCTGACAGAAGGACAGACTGCAACATTCATCTGTCCTATTTATCTTGAAATTTGGAGCTCAGGACAAATTCGTGCATATTATGCCGAATATAACAAATACTTATGCCGAGATCCCTGCGGGCCCCACGATTGGAATTCAATTATTGCCGCCACTAACAAAGCCCTTGCTCCAAACAGAGACTCCCGTTTCACAATCGCAAAGGTTCCAAATTCCAATGGAGCCCAAATCACCATCTCTGATGCCAAATCCACTGACACAGGCACATATTGGTGTGGAATTGAATATCCGAACTCTGATATGTACAGACAACTTAAACTTATAGTGAACGGGCCACCAGACTCACATGACACCTCACTTAACATGCTGTCAAACGTTAAGACTGCCCCGTTAACCTCCAGGAACAAGAACAGCCACCTCGACGGCTTGAACATTGATAACCCCGAAGATAACACAGTTCAACAAACCCTCAGACAATGTAATGACAACAGTGCATGTGCCCTAGCTGTTTTGCACAAAAAAGAACTGAAGATCCCTGGAGATTGTTGGGTTTGCCATGCTTTAGCAGCTAGATGGCAAGCAAAACCCCTAACTGCACATGTTGCGCTACAAAGTCACGTAAAGGAATCTTGGAACACGGATCGTAATAAATGCACAATTCCACTTGGAATGATGATGTTACTCATTGCTGGACAACAAATCAGGAATAATGCACCGGTTGTTCCACACCCCAATATCTCCTGTGTCGATTCCCATTCAGCCCCGAGTAACATGGCATTTGAAGTTCCCTTACAGCATGCAGAAACCTGTGTTTGTTCAACATCCTCATCAGGTCCTTACCTTGGCCAATCAAGCTGTCAAACTAGAATATTTGTGAACACTACAACATCAGCTAATTGTTCTCACAGAGGGACTGATAACACCCTAACAAGATTTGCCTGCCCATTTAGACAACTTTCATCCCAACCAGGAATAATGTGGTCCTGTGGGAAAACAGCCTATCATGATTTACCATCTCTATTTCAGTGGTCTGGTTGCTGCCATCCGTCAATTGTTACAACTGATACAAAAGTCTTCCATAAGAAGGCCCCTGCCACCGATACTCAACAACACCACTAACTTCAGAGTTCGTAGAGATGTTACTGGTATCCCTTTCAAATATAATGGTTATGTACTAGCTGACCCCTGGACTGCTCCTAACGCAAATGTGGGATGGTCTCTATTTCTAGGGGGTGGAACAGCTGCAGCCCTAAACAAAATTAACGGACTAGCCTGGTCTGTTCTTTCTTTAGCAAATCAAACTGAGGCTGCCCTTACCTTAATGAACACTGAAATGTTTGCAATTAGAACAGCAGTTATCCAGCACAGACTTGCTCTCGACATCATATTAGCCGAGAAAAGAGGAATCTGCAAAACAATTAATGTCTCTTGTTGTTTCTTTGTCCCTGATGAATATGAAAACATCACAAACATCATCAAACATATGCAAGATGCCATTCAACCCCCACCAGTAGCAGAAGACTCATGGCTCTCTTGGCTAGAATCTTGGCGTCAAACCTGGCCAGCATGGTTTCTAACAACAATTATTCCAGTGATAGCAACCTTCTTTTTGTTCTGTACCCTAATTCCATTAATATTGAAATGTCTTTCTAATGTGCTCATGGAGAAGATGATTCATTCCTCTACATATGTTCATATGAGTTTCAACAATCCCGATCGAAATATAACCCCACCCCATATTCCTGATCCCTATCATTACCCAAGCTCAGACCTTGATTCCGATGATGATTATGATATTTTGTAGATGTTTCTCATGTTGTCTGGTATTATTATTATTATTTTTATTTTTATTTTTATCTTTTTACTTCTTTTCCTCCCCCCTCCTTCTCTAAGCAACTGCCATGAAGATACATTTTAAATCTACGTGAATTAATGTGTCAGATAATTAAGTTGTAATAGGTCTCTCTCTCTCCTTTCGTTTTTCTTTTTTTTTTTTTTCTCTTTTTATTTCTATTATTATTCTTTTTATTATTATTACTTTATTTTCACTTTTAAGTTTGTTTTTTGTTAGTGATTAATTAATAATCAAAAGGGAGAATTGTAATTGTAATTTTAATGTCTTTGTTAAGAATTGCTTGAAGTGCCCCTCACAACAGACTTTCCAATCAACATATCAGTTAATCAGCATGTCTAGACATCAACAGACAACATCCTGCAGGATGCTTCAGGTGTCACCACCACCCCAGGGGGGTGAAGTAACAGTCCCCACAGACAACAAAAGGTGCCAACACCTAAGCCCCATTCCTTGCCCTCTGGGAGGCGGTCCTAAAAGTATAAATATTCTGTATTCCCCTAGATTCGGGGTCTTTTCTGATCTACCCGCTCGGATCCAGATCGACCTTTTCTTTGCAAAGAAAATAAAACCTTGTCGGCCGGCAGAAGTCTCTATTTCATTATTCACCAGCAGCAACGGAAGGAGAAAAACTTCCACGACAACTTCTATAAAGCATTTGATACAGTCAGTCACCAGTTTATGTTTAAAGTTATTTGATGTTTTGGTTTTGGAAATAGATTTTTGAGGGCAGTTCAAACACTTTATAAAGGAATTAACAGCTCAATTAAGATAACAAATGGCACAACACCCAGATTTAATATTGGTCGTGGAATCAGACAAGGTTGTCCCCTAAGCCCTTTTTTGTTTTTGCTGGTTACACAGGTTATGGCAACACATATTAAAAAAAGCAACTTTCAGGGTATGACAGCCGTAGGTAGAGAATTCAAACTAGCTCAGTTAGCGGATGATACAGCTATTTTTTTGTCCAACCAAAATGAACTTGTCAAAGCGGTGCAGTGTATCAGAGAGTTTTCAGAGGTTTCTGGGCTGACAATGAACCTTAATAAATCTATGCTTTTTCCCCTCAAACACTGTGATCTGGCAGAATTAAATGGTATTCCCATTAAACAAACTGTGACATACTTGGGTGTTGTACTTGACAAAAATGAGAAGAGGCGCTCTGAGTTAAACTTTGAACCAATAACTCAACAGATACAAAGAAAATTCAATATGTGGTTAATGAGGGATCTATCTTTACACGGACGGATTCTGTTATCCAAAGCTGAGGGAATATCAAGATCTGTATATCTATCACTAGCACTAGAAATGCCTGCTGTAGTCTCCAAGAAATTAGATAAAATCTTATTCAGGTTTATCTGGAAGAACAGACGCCATTATTTAAAAAAAGATATTCTATGTAATACCAAGAGGGATGGTGGTTTGGATGTGCTAACCTTCGAAATATTGAATCACTCTTTCAAGATCAACTGGCTGAGTAAGTTATGTAGAGAGAAGAACAACCTCTGGAATTCCTTTGCTACACATGTATTCAACTCACTTGGTGGTATACGCTTTATGTTGAAATGTAATTACAAAATTGAGAAGCTTCCTGTTAAACTCTCTAACTTTCACAAACAAGCCTTGCTGTCCTGGAAACTGATCTACAAACATAATTTCTCACCAACCAGCTATTATATTTGGAACAATGAAGACATCGTTTACAAAAACCGATCACTGTATTACAAGGACTGGATGGAGCACAACATTTTACTAGTCGACCAACTTCTTAACAACCATGGCTTTTTACTTTCTTATGAAGAATTTATGTTAAAATTTCAACTCCCAGTCACCCCAAAACAATATGCAGTGGTTTTTGATGCATTACCTCAGGGGGTGCTACAACTTCTTAGAGGGTCTGAAAGAACGGCTGCTATTCCAGGAAATTACACCTGTGATATATCTGTGGGCGGAATAGACATTACAAAAAGACCCTGCTCGAATAGACTGTTGAGAAGCTGCCTACAACCAAAGACACTGCCTAGAGGTCAAACTAACTGGTCTGTACAATTGGGAGAAATTAACTGGAGCAATGCATGGCTGGTTGGTGAAAAATTCTGTCTCAATAACAAGGTCAAAGAAGTCTCTTTTAAAATATTACATCAGATTTACCCTGCAAAGAAAACTCTCGAAAGATTCAAACTGGACATTGAATATTTATGTGATTTCTGTGGACTTGAAGATGAAACCATCTCTCATTTATTTTATCATTGTACCTACAGTAAAACCTTTTGGATTGATGTCCAACAATTTGTGCACGAGAAAACAGGAAGAACGATCAGTTTCCAGGAAAAACATATTTTTATTTATTATGATGACCAGGACAAAGATCTGTGCTTTTTTTGTCAGTTGATCCTGAGCTTGTGGAAATTCCATATTCACAAAAACAAATGGGCCAAATCCAAGCCAAACATTGCACCCTTCAAAAATGAACTGCTCCGTTATGTTGCCACGATCAAGGACATTAAAAACAAGAAAGCTACCAAAACTTACTCCATAATGAAGAAATTCTGTACCATTGAACTGTAAGTCCTCTGGCTGTTGTATGGTTGTGTTTTGTTTTCTGTTTTTGTCGTTATTGTTGTGATGTGTCTCTCGTTGGTTGTACTGTCTGTCTTGTTCAATAAAAAAAAAAAAAAAAAAAAAAAATATTTAAAAGTGTCGCGAACGCCGGCTGGCCACAGCAGCGCGCACCATGTCGGAGCAGCAGCAGCAGTACAGATGAAAGTTTCATGTAACTTCACACACTGTCCTAAAAAATGTGCGGTTGTATCTCTTTGTATCTCTTGGTGTCATATTTGCCCAAGTAATCATTTTATGAGCAAATATGTGGCGACATCATGGAGGTAAAGCTCACTTATTCCATCATTAAACTGCACAGCTGCAGTACTACAGCCAGGCCCGCAGATGAGGAGCTTCAGTTACCACTGTCTGCACGGGCGCAGTACCTACTCTCTGCCTGCGGGGGTCGTGTTTCCCCACCGCTCGTCTAGTGTGTCCGAATTGGGCCAACGCAGTAGCACGTAGCAGTAGCATGTAGTATCCGAGCGGGCAGTTCGGACGCAGCACAGGTGTTGTGATTATACGGAGAGAGCAGAGCTGGCAAGAGCTCTGAGCAGAGGGAGAGGGCTCCCAGGGAGCAAGCACCCACATTTAAAGACTATGCCCCCTGAAGGCATAGGCCGAGACTGCAGCCTAATCAAGGTACAGTTGGGCTGTCGGCCCATACTGCCACATTCACAAAGACATTAAAATTACAATTACATGTCTCTTCTGAGTTGAGTTAACACTGATGTCAACACCATTTAAATCAGAGAGTGTTAAAAATTACACTTTGGGAGTGGAAATCAACTCCTGGGCGGAGTGATTTGAATCAACTATTTAAGGTAACCCCTAACACTTAACCATTACACCAGTGTTAAACGAACACTTTGGGAGTAGTATTAACACCGATTCCCATCAACTATTTTGAATGACTCCAGACACTTATCCGTTACACCAGGAAGTGTTAAAAATTACACTTTGGGAGTGGTATTAACTCAGGACTGAGTTGGATAACATTGACGTGATCAACTCTTTCAAATAACTCCAACACTGAACCCAATTTAAATACAATGGTGTTAAAATGACACTTCGGGAGTTGAAATCAACTCTGAAATGTTTAACCCTGAAATTTCAACTCTTTAATTTTTGCTGTGTGTTTCTCTGGGGAACCTCCAGGTTTCTTTAACTCTTCTGACCATAGACTTTATATGAAATATATAGTATATACAATATATAAAATATAAATATATAGTATATACAGTCTATGGTTCTGACACAGTCTATCATTCAGACTGAATCTGACACACAGCATGAGACATAAACTGGACTTAAAGCTCTTTTTGAGTCTTATTGTAAATGTTCAGCTCATACACGGTATACAGTCAAATTAAAACTACGGATCAAACATGCTCACCTGTAGGAGACGCTACCGTTCACGGGAAATAAGAAAACACTTCCTGCTCATGTAGGAGTCAGAGTGAATGAAAAAGTTGACTTGTTGGGAAAAACTGCGATCAAATCACAGGAAATAGACGTAGTAGTAACACTTTCCAAAACAGAAGTTTAATCTATTATAAAGAGTCACATTTTAAAAATATGGCAAGAATACTAGAATATAGCTGACACAGGAAGACATTTGTACTAAAACATGTTGGCAGAATTATTGCAGAAGGCAAGAACACAAAGGAGGAGACAGAATTTACTTGTCTAAGAACTGGACATACAGGACTCAATCAGAGCCTGTATTTGATTAAATAAAAACTTAAGAGGACTGATTACTGTAAGACAGCAGTAAAACATGAACTCATTGATTGTGTTAAACACAGAAAAGACAACAGGTTAGTCACCAACTTGACAAAAAAAATCTGTTCGGGTCTGACAAAGTATTCAAGTCATTTCTTCATGGAAATACAATCAGACTGAGACGCTAAGGTAGAGGAACTACCGCGTCTGCAGTGAAAATGATTAATATGGTGATTATTACTTCAAGGAAATGATGAAGAAATGATCGTATATGTTCTTCCTTGAGCTGCGTCACCCCGCTGTAGTCTGTAATGGACTGGCCGTAGGTCTCTCTTCAAACAAGCGGCTGCTGGAAGAGAGTAGGTGAGTTGTGTTTAGTCTCTTTGTCAAAGAAATTAGTTAAAGTTAAAAAGATGTTTGGTAGCTAGTACTATGACTGGGATCCTATAGTTACTGTTGATGAAATTAGGTGCTGTTCTGAGCATCAGTTGTGGCTATAGAGTGGCATTTTGGTTGAGGTTTGTTTATGGCTCCTCAGACCGCTGTGTATTGCTATCCTGCAGTCGTTACTAAAGTTGGTATAACTAGAGAAGCAAGCGGTCGGCAACATTCATCTCTGGAGGGGGTGTCTAACTCGGTGTTGCGGTGTGTTTGACCCTAAATTAGTGTCACGCCGAAATCTCTTTAATTTTCGTGTGCCACACTCACTCAGTAGGTGGCGGTCATGCTCCTTACATTGGTTGCCAACCGCCAATGAAACGAAGAAGAAATAGTGAACAGTTCTGGGAGATAAAAAGTTTTGGATGGACACTTGAGCTAGAAACAAAAGAACTAGAAATAAATGAAATAAACTTCAGCCCAACTGTACCACTACCAACAATTCAGCCGTGGCTTCTACCAGATCCTGTCGTAGACCTAACATTACTGGAGAAGAAAACCAAAAATAAAGAAATCATAGGACAGCCACATATCATACAAGAATACATTGAAAGGAGATACTATTGTTATATACAAATTTATACAGATGCATCAAAAAATCTAGCAAACAATGTAGGTGTTTCAGTAATTGTCCCAGAATTTAAGGTCAAAATTTTAAAGCGCATTGAGGATGGACTATCGGTATATACAGGAGAAATGTTAGCAATTCTGGTAGCACTGCAGTGGATAGAAGATGTGAGACCACTCAGATCAATTATAGGTTCAGACTCAAGTTCAACAATAATCAGCTTGGATCACAACCATTCAGACTGCAGACAAGATTTGATAATAGAAATTAAACAAACATTGTTTAGGATTCAAATGTTAGGGTTAGATGTAGTATTAATATGGATACCAGCTCATATAGGAGTATTTGGAAATGAAATGGCAGATAAATGCGCTAAGAGAGCAACAGAAAAGCAGCAAATGGATATTATAGTACCATTTAGCAAAACAGAAGTAAAGAACATAGTTAAACATAAGATCAAACAAAGATGGCACGAGCAATGGGAGAAGGAGAAAACGGGAAGATGGTTTTATGGAATACAAAGACAAGTAGGGACAATGAGAACTCTACCAGAACTCGTGAAGAAGAAACCATAATATCTAGAATAAGATTTGGACATACTAGACTGAACAGTACATTACATAAAATAGGAAAACACAACAATGGAACATGCAATTAGTGCAATAGTCAAGAAACATTAGAACACGTTATGATGCAATGCCCAAAATATGAGGCTGAAATGAGGAACCTTATAAGGAATTTAAGTAGAATAAAGATGAGATAAAATCTAAAGGATTTGATACAGAGGAATTCTGGGGAAGAGTCATATCGATTAATAATCAGGTTCCTAAGGAAGACAGAGTTAATAGAAAGAATTTAATTTATTTTTATTTTCATTATTATTATTATTATTTTATTTTATTTTATTTTATTTATTATCTATTTTTTTGATATTTATTTATTTATTTATTTTTTAATTTTCATTAGTATTATTAAGATCCAGATCCACACTCCAGACCAGTTGGCGGCGGTAATGCACCATAACGTTGTTTGCCAACCGCCAAAAAAAAAAAAAAAAAAAAAAAAAAAAAGGAATCAAGAAGAAGAAGAAGAACAGTTCCGGGTAGCAGGTGACGGTTGTATATTTTGCTGTGGGTCAAATCGGTCCGGGCCCAAAATTCCTGAATATTCCTGAATTTACTTTAATTCAATTCGGTATTTTACCGAGACCTGGACCTGGATGTCTTCAGTCTAAAGACCCTGATTATTCCCGTTGACCGGATCCTCAGTCTTGGTCCTCCCGAACCTCGTCACCGACCCTCCGATGGCCTCCAGGCGGCCGGACAGCTTCGACGGACTCGGCTTTCGCGGCCGCGATGATCCGCTCTACGGAGCGAGTTACCCGGTGAGGAGCGCCGGAGGCCCCGCGGAGCTGCACCCTCACCACTGGGTCACCACCCCGCCGGACATCCCGGGGAGCCGAAACCTGCACCACGGAGAGCGGACACCGCAGTACGACGAGGCGCTCGGAGAGCCCGGAGGACCCGCAACCGCGGCCGGGTGGGACGCTCCGCAGCCCGGTGTACCTCCGGCCGGTGGGTCGGTGTGCGGGGACGGAGGGTGGGAGGCTGGGCAAACGAGGGGGGTCAGCAGGAGGACTGATTTATGATAAAATACTGATGATAATATTAATGTAATAATAATAATGATAATAATTATAATTATAATAAATTAAGTTATCAGGCAAGGTACCGGTATTAAAGGGACCAGAACTAAAGGTACTAACAGAGCTAACAGATAAGAGATCCAGATCTGATCAGTGGTCATTTTTCGGACTCTCTGGTTGTTCAGTAATCAGAAGGGGTGGGAGAACAAATCGATTCACCTAAGTGTCACGATTTATGTTCAAAAATCTTTTTTTTTTCTTATATTTCAGAATAAATTTTAAAAACTGACTGACATGTGATGTGTATTTTTTGGGGAAATATGGTTCCTGGAGTAGTCAGTAGACAATCATAATCATTCAACTGTTTTATTGGTGTTAAAAAAGCAGACTAAAGATCGGTAAAATCTGCAATATCGTAGAACTGCAATTTAAATCAAATCGGCATCCAAAAAATCATAAAAGAATCAAATTAGGAGAAAAGCATATCTCAGCCTGACTAACCAGGTCAGAGAGAGGAAACAGCTGACTGAAATGGAGGATTACAGAAATGTTCATGTTCAAAATCCAAACCTTGACGTTGAATCATGTTTTAAATCAGCAAGTTTTTATTTTGGTGATTTTAATGCTGATCTGTTCTTTCAGAGCAACTGAATCGATTTGCAGGGTTCGGGATCGGACTGGTCAGGTGAGAGAAAACTCGAGTTTTTATTGGATTAAAGTCACTTTAATGTTTCTTTATAAAACTAACTGACAGGATGTTAGAGACTGTGCCTGACAGACAACACTGAGGGACCACAGTCAATACACAACCTGTCCGTGTGTGTGTATGTGTGTCAGCAGCCTGTTCACAGAGAATGTCCTCGCTCACCCCTGTATCGTCTTCCGCAGACAGTGTCAGGTATGAGCTCACCTTGTATCAGTACCTGCTGCTCTCTGATTGGCTGATTGAACATTGTTATATTCTGATAATGATGTTTATGATGTCACAGCTCATTAAAGATGTTCAAGAATATTTAATGATGAAATTAGGTTTCTCTTGCCGCACTCTGATTGGCTGTTTGTCTTAGGTGAACTACCACGCCCGCTGTTACCACCTGACTCCATTCAGTGCGGTCGCAGTGATGTACTCGATCACAAAAGCTCAGGTAAGAGTCGTCACACAAAAATGATAACGGCGAATTCAACAAGCTGACAGAAACGTATAAATAAGAAAACACAGGTCTGGAGCCTATTCTACGACGCAGGATTACTGCTTAGTGAGGTAACTTCGAGGGTAAGTTCGGGGTTTCCTGTTCTACGACGCGGGTTCACTTCTTAGTGAGGCGAGTCTCCATGGCAACGGACACTTAACGGCTAACCTGCTCCGGGGCAGGTTTGGTTCCAGATTGAACTCACTGAGTATAAAAACCCCGCCCACTGACCAATGAACTCTCTCGAAAAATGGCTTGTCCGTTCTTGTAGGATCCTATAGACCTTGGTGCTCGCATTGTCCGAGGAGCACTCCGGCGCGCAAGAGTTTTCAGGGACCGCACGGACCTACTTACTTTTCCAGATGACCACCTTTATGAAAGGCTCACATGGCCTACATATCACACAAAAAATGCAAGCACGATAGGAATTAACAATTGAATGAATTCATCTTTGAAATGATTTAGATGTCTGGAGCACATTAAAAGCGCCTGTTGAACAATACTATTTCTGGGTGATGATGGCATCAAAGATTTTTTGCACACTATACTTACGCATTGAGACTATCGGTAATTTTCTGCCAGTATTCCTTCTGTGCTTTTGCAGCGGTGGCGGTGTTGCTTTTGAAGTTAATGATAGATTTGAATTCTTCGTACTTTCTCATGATCGTCTCCTGCTCCTCGTTTGTAAAGTACGCGCTCCTTCACTCTCCGGCCTGCACTGAGGCTCCAGACTGGTCCATATTCGCGATTGGTCAGATGTGGCGGGCTCCGCCTTACATGCGTGCACGCGCTCATAGCAAAGCTGGATCCACTTACAAGGTCGATAAGACAGACAATGACTACTGCGCTAAGTTGAGCGAGGTAGCTCCAAGGCTACCTCGCTAGGTTGAACTTGCTTCGTAGAATAGGCCCCTGATCAGTGATTGATTTTGTTTTGTTTTTTTCTTTTTTTTTTTCTGTATGTGGCCACGCAAGGTGGCAGCCTGTTACAGCAACTCCCGAGTGTTTTATACTTTTGTATCTTTTTCTCTTTCATTTCTGTCCAGACACGTGTGTCTTCACCAGTTAGTGTCTAACTACTTTTGACTTTTTTTTTTCACTTTTCTGGCCGTCTTCTGGACACTTTTTGGCACTTTCGTACTGATGGCAATGGAGGTTCACAGAGGCGACGGTGATAGCTTTGTTTACACGCGCAATCAGCTGATTGCGATGAGTAAACCTGTGCTGCTGCCTGGAGCGAGGCCCGACATCCTGGAGGAGCTGCGGAGGAGACGCTGGGGGTGCAGAGCAGGAGCCAAGCTGAGGGCAAAGAAGAGGAGATTTCGCCCAGCTGTACCAGCGATTATCACAGGGAACGTGAGGTCTTTGGGGAATAAGACAGACGAGCTTGCTGCGCTGATTAAGACTCAGAGGGAATACCGTGAGTGGAGCATCTTTTGTTTCACTGAGACATGGCTGCACTCGCATATCCCGGACCACAGCGTGGCGGCACCCGGCTTCAGCGTTGTTCGGGCGGACAGAGACGTTATTAGCAGCGATAAGAAGAAGGGAGGAGGGATTGCACTGTATGTGAGTGAGAGGTGGTGTAATCCCGGACATGTGCATGTGAAGGAACGTCTCTGTGAACCGGACATTGAACTGTTTGCTGTCGGAATGCATCCGTATTACCTGCCCCGGGAATTCACGTCAGCCATTCTGATCGCTGTTTACATCCCTCCATCCCACCATGCACCGACGGCCTGTGATGTCATCACCTCCACCGTTGCCAGGGTACAGACTCAACATCCCAATGCCTTCACTGTTATTACTGGAGACTTTAATCATGTGTCACTGGACAGAGTACTGCCAACTTTTCACCAGTATGTTGACTGCCCCACCAGAGAAAATAAAACCCTGGATCTACTGTATGCAAACACCAGTGATGCATACAGCACCACAGCCCTCTCCCCCCTTGGCAGATCAGATCACAACCTGGTCCTGTTAACACCTAAGTATGTCCCCATTGTTAAGAGGCAGCCTATTCACACCATGACGATGAGGAGGTGGACTGAGGAAGCTGCTGAGGCACTGCAGGACTGCTTCGAATCAACGGACTGGGATGTACTCTGTGAGCCACACGGGGAGGACATCAACAAAATGACAGACTGCATCACAGAATATATCAGGTTCTGTGAGAACTCCAACATCCCAAACCGGACTGTATGCTGCTTCCCCAACAATAAGCCATGGATCACCAGTGACCTGAAAGCCTTTCTTAATAAGAACAAGAGGGCTTTCAAGTCTGGTGACAGAGAGGAGCTGAGGAGAGTGCAGCATGAACTCAGGGAGAAACTGAGAGGGTGTAAAGACACCTACAAGAGGAAGCTGGAGGCCAAACTCCAGCAAAACAACACACACACACACACACACACACACACACACACACACACACACACACACACACACACACACAAACACACATGACCGTGACTACAGGCCAGGTTAGGAGACAGATGGAGAGACTCCACCAGAGGAAGGCAGCAGGACCTGATGGCATCGGCCACAGGGTCCTGAGGACCTGCGCCAGCCAGCTGTCTTCTGTCATCCAACACCTCTACAACCTGAGCCTGAGTAAAGAGAGAGTCCCAGTGCTGTGGAAGACGTCCTGTCTCGTTCCTGTCCCAAAGAAGTCGACTCCATCTGACCTCAATGACTACCGACCAGTTGCCCTAACATCCCATCTGATGAAGGTGCTGGAGAGGTTGGTCTTGGCCCACCTGAGGCCGCAGGTGAAGGAGCTCTTAGATCCTCTACAGTTTGCCTACCAGCCCCATTTGGGAGTTGATGATGCTGTCACGTACCTGCTGCAACAAGCTCATTTGCATCTGGATGGTGGTGGCAGCACTGTGAGAATAGCCTTCTTTGATTTCTCCAGTACTTTTAACACCATCCAGCCATTGCTGTTGGGTGAGAAGCTGCAGGTGATGGATGTCGACACCTCCATTGTCTCCTGGATCACTGACTACCTGACAGACAGGCCACAGGTTGTCTGTCTGGGCAGTGTTCTGCCTGATGTGGTGGTCAGTGATGCTGGAGCCCCACAGGGGACTGTGCTGTCCCCTTTCCTTTTCACCTTGTACACCACTGACTTTCAGCACAACTCCAAGTCATGCCACCTACAGAAATTTTCGGATGACTCGGCTGTTGTTGGGTGTGAAAGCGAGGGAAGGGATGGGGAGTACAGAGCAGTGGTGGATAACTTTGTGGAGTAGGCTGGACGCAGTCACCTGAGGCTGAATGTCACCAAGACCAGAGAGATGGTCATCAACTTCAGGAAGAAGAGGATGGCTTCACAGCCGCTGTGCATCCTGGGAGAAGATGTGGAGGAGGTGGAGGTCTACAAGTACCTGGGCGTCTATATCAACAACAGACTGGACTGGAAATCCAACACCGACGCTGTCTACAAGAAGGGGATGAGCAGACTCTACTTCCTGAGGAAGCTGAGATCCTTCAACGTGTGCAGCAAGATGTTGGAGATGTTCTACCAGTCTGTGGTGGCCAGCGTACTTTTCTTTGCCGTGGTTTGTTGGGGGAGCAGCATCCAAGCCAGTGTCACCAACAGACTCAACAAACTGATCAGGAAAGCTGGCTCCGTGATTGGCTGCAAACAGGACACTGTGCAGGCTGTGGTGGAGAGGAGGACACTGAACAAACTGTTATCCATCACGGATAACCCTGACCACCATCTCCACCTCACTCTGGGAAGACAGCGGAGCTCCTTCTCCAACAGACTGTTGCAGCTTCGCTGTCGAAGGGACAGATACAGGAAATCTTTCCTGTCAGACAGGGACTCACATCTGTCTGCTGTATAGTCCATTTTTAAAACTCCTACCACATCACATTACTGAGCACCTTAATTTGTCTGTTTATTTATCATCCCATCTGTATATTTCGCATTTCATATTTATTACTCATTTCATATTTATTACTCATTTCAATAGCCCACTTTCTTCGTATCTCACATTACGAGTATATTTAGTCTGTATTTATTGTATATACTTAGTATTTTTAGTCTGTATTGTACTTACTTTTTATATTTAATTTTTTTTTTCTGGTGTAACTTGAATTTCCCAATTTGGGATCAATAAAGTATATCTATCTATCTATCTATGTATCTATCTATCTATCTGATGTTTGTTTTTTTGTCTGTTTTTGTTGCTTTCTGTGATTGGTTGTTGATGTTTGTTTCTTTTTTTTGTTGTTGTTTGTTTACTGTTGTTGTTGTCGGTGCGTTTCAGGGTCCTAAGGCTCTGTGGAAAGGGATGGGAAGCACCTTCATTGTCCATGGTATCTCATTGGGCGCTGAGGGCATCATCAGTGAGCTCACACCGTTACCACGGTAACCATCAACCCTGTCATGTTGCAGAAAAGAAACAAAAAATGAGTCTGTAGCATGGTTCTCTGACTGAAGTGGTTTTGTTTTTTGTTTTTTGGACTGCAATGGTGTTGTTGTTGTTTGTGGGACTGTAACGTTGTTGTTGTTGTTTGTTTGACTGTAATGTTGTTGTTTGTTTGACTGTAATGTTGTTGTTTTGTTGTGGTTTGTTTGACTATAATGTCACTGTTGTTTGTGGGACTGTAATGTTGTTGTTGTTTGCGGGACTGTAATGTTGTTGTTGTTGTTGTTTGTGGCACTGTAATGTTGTTGTTGTTGTTTGTCAGACATTGTTGTTACTGTTGTTTTTTCGGACTCTAACGTTGTTGTTTGTCGGACTGTAACGTTGTTGTATGTTGAACTGTAAGGTTGTTTTTGTCGTCAGATTGTAACTTTGTTGTTGTTGTTCTCGTCAGACTGTAACTTTGTTGTTGTTATTGTTGTTGTCAGACTGTAACATTGTTGTTGTTTGTCAGACTGTAACGTTGTTTTTTTTTTCGTTGTCGTTGTCAGGGAGCTCCCTCACAGGTGGAGTTGGAATCAGCTGGCCGGTCATCTTTTGCTTAAAGGGTCAGTTTCCGTTTTTTCTTCCTGGTTTGTTTTTTCTTCTTCTGAAACTTTCTGTTAAACTCGACCCTGTCTGTCTGTCTGTCTGTCTCTCTTTCTCTTTCTCTCTCTCTCTCTCTCTCTTTTTCTCTCTCTGTATCTCTCTTTCTCTTCTGCCCCCTGCAGGTTAACAGCTGTAGTGGCTCTTCCTTTTTACTGCGCCAGTCTGATTGAGACCGTTCAGGTTTGTAATAAATAAATAACTGCTGTTGTTGTCAGTGATATATGGTTGTTTGTCCTGATGATCAAAAGATGGCATCTAACTGAAGTGTCCTTCCTCCTCTCCTCTCCTCTCCTCCCCCTCCTCCTCCTCCTCTCTCTCTCTCTACTTCTCTTTCCTCCTCCTATCTCTTTCTCCTCATCTCTCTCCTCCTCTCTCTCTCCTCCTCCCCTCTTTCTCCTCTCTCCTCCTCCTCCTCTTCCTCTTCCTTTTCCTCTCTCTCCTCCTCCCGTCTCCTCAGAGTGAGATTGTTCGTGACGAGGCGTCGTCAGGATTACTCGATTGTCTCCGTGAAGGACTGACTCGTCTGTTGGGTGTCGGCGCTCCTCACAGCCGCCGTCTTCTTCCTCTCAGCTCTCTGCTCCTTCCTGCCGCCCTTCACTCCATCATGCGCTACGCCATCGCCGCCTCTGTCCAGCGGGCAGCGCTGTGGCTGCACCAGCGAAGCGACAAACAGCGTATGGACCCCTCCAACCCGCTGGACGCATACTTCCCAGAGCTGGCTGCGGCGTGGGCAGGCTCTCTGGTGGCTGATGTGGTGCTGTTTCCTCTGGAGACGGCGCTGCACCGCCTCGGCTTGCAGGGCACACGCACCATCATTGATGCGACTGATGGTGTGGTTGCCGTGGGAAATGGAGGCAGTCCGCTGGTTCTGCCCGTCAACACGCAGTATGACGGCTTCTCCGACTGCCTCCATTCTATTCACCGCAAAGAGGGCAGGGCCGGGTTCTACCGCGGCTTTGGAGCGCTGGTGGCGCAGTACGCGCTGCACGGTGCGCTGCTCGCTGCAGCCAGGACACTGCTGAGGCTTCTGCTGCTGGAGAGCAGGGCGCGCTAGAGGCTTTACCATGGAGACACAGACGCAGCTCCTGCTCAGAGGTCAGAGGACAGTTCGTCAAGATTATAGATGTAAACCTGTCAGAACCTTTAATTAATCAACACAAACGAACTGACAGACAGACCGTCACCATGGCAGCCACAGGAAGCAAAACACTCTTATAACACCATAGCAACCACATGTCAGGTTCACCATAGCAACCAAACATCTGTGAGGTTAGTTGAGTTTAACGTAACGACGTGAAACCTCACGCTAACTCTGAAAGTTTGTGTCACTTCCTGACGTCGCTTCCTGATGTCACTTCCTGATGTCACTTCCTGTCATGTGTCATGAGTGTCATGTTGGTCATTTTTTGCCATGGGGACTTATGTTGACCTCCTGTTCCAGCATGAAAGCATGACCTCTTAAACCCGTGATCACATTAATAATAATAAAACCTTTAGGATGAAATGCTGAAATCTGATTGGTCCTCAGCCTGAGTAATGGTCAGTGGGCGGAGCTTCTGTGTTTGTAAAAATCTGTAAAATAAAAGAAAAAAATCTCTGTGAGTATAAAGAGTTATAAAGATATATTAAATATTCTGTTTTCAGTGTTTAAATGTTTCGTAAAAGTTAAAATAGAAAAATCAGATCAAAGTTTTTTTTTGTTTATTTAAGGTTACAGTCTTTTTTCTGCTGTTTGGTCATGAACGTCACCGTGAAACTTTGTGTGTTAATAAAGACAAGCGACACAAACAGATTTAATTTCACAAACTCAGTCTGCTGCCTCTGTAAATAAATGTGATTAAAAATGAATCAATAAACATAAATAAATAAACAGACTTACAGAGAACAAAGTGTGTGTTAATCATGTCTTAATCGTGTTAATTAATGAGTCTTAATCATGTTAATTTATGGTCACATTAAATAAAAAAATGAAACCTGTGTGTTTCTTAGTTTAATAGAATAAATGTATTTTTAAATGTTTTCATGACGATGTGTTACCCTTTAAATCTGTAATATTATTTACCTCAATATTTAATATTTAAGTAACCGCTTTTTAAGGAACTTTCGATTTATTATCAGGTTATCATTTTTTAAATTTAAATCAAATATTTTTTCTTTTTCTAGTTTCACTTTATTTAAAAATGTAAAAATTAAAATTTTCACCTTCTTGGGACATATAATTAATTTTTACTTTTATTTCCATTTCTTTTTCGAATTATTCGTTTAATTAATTTTTACTTTTTTTTCTTTTCCTTATGTGGTTTCACCGACCGGAACCGGAAGAGGCTTATTCAGGTCGGAACCATCATGTAAGTAATTCCAGTCGGACTATGATTTCGTGCGCTCCTCCATGTGTTTTTCTCTCTCGGTCCCTCGCTGCTGTCTGTTCAGTACTGTTCATTTCTCTTCGGGTTTTCTCCGGTAAATTCTCCGTTATTACCGGGCATGTCGGGCGGCGGCAGTTCTTTGTTCTCCGGGTTCCGGGTTCTGGGACTTTATTCCAACCACGTGCCGCACGCGCTTCGGTACCACCAGAAACACCGCGAGTTCTACCTGGTGACGTCAGTCGGTAAATGTTTCCACACCTACAACGTAAGAAAAGAGAGATTTCTTTTATTTATTTATATTGTTATTATTATTGTTGTTGTTGTTCGGGTCGGTTCTGTTGTTCCTTGTGAGGCTTTCCAGGTTCTCGGTTCTGTTGGTCCGTTCTGATCCCGGTTCTTGCCCCCCCCCCCCCCCGATCATGAATCAGTTTGTTCCAGAACCAGGACTGTGAGACTTACCCTTCTTACCAAGGGGGTCCATGATGGTCCTCTGGAGAACTTAACCCTGATGGACCAGACTGAGAGCTCCTGATCCAGTCCCATCAGAACCAGGGTCCACTCAGACCCACAGAGATCAGCTGATGACTGTGTCTGTCCTTAAATACAGAAATTCATGTTTTTATCAATTATAGATTAGATTAGATTTGTATACTAGATTATAATCTATTACATTATTATAGATTATTATAAATGTCCTAAAAGAACATTTTCACAGTTACTCCAAAATTCAGCTGCACAGATGTTAACAAGGACCAGAAAGAGAGATCGCATTACACTGATTTGAAGGTCTCTGCATTGGCTCCCTGTCTCTTTTAGAATTTAGATTTTAAGGTCGTTTTATTGGTTTTTAAAGCTCTTCATGGCTTTGGTCCGTCTTATTTATCTTATGAGTCAGGTAGAGTCATCAGGTCTTCAGGAAGTTCTCTGTTAACATTACCTAAAGTTAAAACCAAGACACACGGTGAGGAACCTTTTTATCACTACGATCCCCATCCGTGGAACAGTTTACCTGAAGACCTGAGGACTAAAACTAATCTGAATAACTTTATAACCAAACTGAAAACATACCTTTTTAGTCTTAACTAAGTTTGATATCATTAACTTTAAGTGTTTTATCATTTATCTCTTTCTAGTTTTAATGTCAGGATCAGCTTTTATTGAGCTATTTCGGTGCTCTTATTTTAGTCTCTTTTACTGTTGTTTTTATTTCATTTTATTCATTATTTCTTGAATTTTATTTTATGTTGCTTTGTTTTTAGATTTTAAACCTCTAGTGTTTTCTTATCTTGAGTTTTAAAGTGAAGTTTCCTTATTGCGCACATTAAAGTTCTTTTTAAGTTTATGTATTTAAATAAATGTTTCTTTTTAGGTGGTGGGAATTAAGGGTTGGGTTGGGGTGAATTTAGGTTTTCTTTGTTTCTTTTATTCCTTTTCCTGTGTAAAACACTTTGTGATACATGGCCATGTATGAAAAGTGTTATATCCATAGACTGTATATACTATGGACAACTTGGTTCCGCCTTCTGCCTGTATACGGATTTGAAGCCAAATAGCTCTCTGTATTTCCGGGATTTTTCTTCATTTCCTGAAACCAGCGCTGTGCAGAAGCGATGCGCACATTCGGACGCGCAGTCGCCAAGAGTCGCTGTGATGGCGCTCAGCTCAAACAGCGTATCCCACGGGAGAGCTACGCAATCCCTGTACTCCCATAGGCTGTATCAAGTGTCAGTCATAGAAAACATGAACCCCCTAATAACTTTTAAAAACAGAGCTTCACAGAAAAAAGAGGACTTGAGCACAAACCAGTCTGACAGTAGCTACATGTCAACATCGCAAGCAGGGGGGAGAAAAATGTATGTTCTGTGTAATAAATTTGTAACGTTTCTCCACATCCCCATAAGCTTTGCTGGTGGAGGTGGGATTTATGACCTATACTGCAGCCCATCAACAGAGGGTGCTGTTCTCGGAGTGGCTTCACCCAGAGAGGAGGCAGACTCTGTCCATTCTTTATACAGTCTGTGGTTATATCAGTAAAGATTGATTGATTGGTTGGTTGGTTGATTGATCGATCACCTGGTTCTGGTTTGTTTCAGGTGAACCGGTTGGGAATCGTCGCTGTCAGTAAGTAGTTTTAAATAAAGTTTTTTTCAGACCTGCTCTCTGATTGGCTATCAGGTGTAATGTAATGACATATGGTTGTCCAGGTAACAGTCTGCCAGATGACATCAGCTGTTTGGCGGCTGACAGGATGTTGGTGTTCGCCGCAGCAGGACGGGAAATCAGCGCCTTCGCCAAGAACAAAGAGGTACGAAAACTTTAGTTAAATACAGCTCATGAACAGTTTTAACCTTAAAAACTTTATTTAAAAACAGCTCATGAAGTCTTTTTTTAAGTATGAATTTGAAATTAAACTTAAACTGTTTAAATAAAAAAAGTGGTTTTGATGAGTCGTGACCTTTGACCTGTAGGTGGTGATGTGTTACCATGGACACAAACAGGAAGTCCACTTGCTGCTTCCTTTGGGTGATCAGCTGATCTCTTCTGACATTGGTGGTGATGTTATCGTCTGGGACTTCCCAGGTGGCGGTGAGGGGGCGGAGCTTTGCTGAATGTCATCTGCATTTAAATCACCTGCCCTGTTACCTATCATTCTTTGCTTTCTTTCACTGTTAGAGGTCTACCTGCGTCTACAGTTTGACCCCGCCTCCTTTAACGTGTCGGCCATGATGCACCCCAGTACCTACCTGAACAAGGTGCTGCTGGGGAGTTCCCAGGGTGCACTGCAGCTCTGGAACATCAAGACCAGGTGACAATATGTGCTGTGTCCGAATTGCCCGCTCACATACTACATGCTACTGCAACATACTACTGCTAGATCCTACTCCTACATACTAAACACATTGGCCCAATTCGGACACACAAGACGAGCGGTGGGGAAAGACGACCCCCGCAGGCTGAGAGTAGGTACTGCGCCCGTTTTAGACTCTTTGAATGGTGATTGTGCAAGTGATGGATGCTGCTGTATTATATTCCTGCACTGCTTTAGAAATTCACAAAGTAGCTTTTCCATTACTTTTAGCCTTCATTCACTCACGTGGTGATTGTTTGTTCAATGAGATCTGCCTGATTACTGCAGCTGTGCAGTTTAATGATGGAATAAGTGAGCTTTACCACCATGATGTCGCCACATATTTGCTCATAAAATGATTACTTGGGCAAATATGACACCATGACATGACAAAGAGATACAACCGCACATTTTTTAGGACAGTGTGCGAAGTTACATGAAACTTACATCTGTACTGCTGCAGTCCTGCCCCCTGCTGCTGCTGCTGCTGCTGCTCCGCCATGGTGTGCGCTGCTGTGGCCAGCCGGCGTTCGCGACGCATCTAAATAGGCAGCAGCTGGTGGCGCTAGCATCACATGCGCTTCTACAACTTTTAAGAGGACAAAGAATTTTTGTAGTCATCTCTCAGTGAGAGCCAACACTCTTGACCGCGCTAGCAACACAAAAGAACTACAACAGTGGTTTGACTTCCTGTCAGCTAGGAGCACGGCTGTGCATTTCTACCCTTCAAGCCAGGAGCGAGGAAACGTAATTTTGTGACATTCTGTAGTTTTTCAATCATTTCTGGAGTCGTGGCGAATCAAATCACCTTACCTGTCTGCCCCTGATAGGCGAATAAAGCGCTCCGGTCTTGCTACGTGCTTCAAGAGTAAAGTAAACAGCGATGGAGGCAGAGAGCAGCTTTGGAGGAGAAACATCCAGCAGTGTAAACCACCTCTACAAAAGAGCCCTAAAGACCTACCTTTTTAATAAAGCCTTTGGTTAGCTTTCCTCTATGCTTTCACTACCTTGCCTCTTACATTGCAACTCTATATTCTTTATTTTTTGTATTCTTTTATGCTTTTTTTATGCCAATCTGTGACTCTCATTCTATTGCTTTTTTTATTGTTGCTGCTCTTTTTTTACTGTGTACTGTAGCACTTTGAGATTTTTTGTAAATGTAAAGTGCATTACAAATTAAATTTATTATTATTATTATTATTATTATGGAGTGCTTTGGCTCACACTATCGGCGTTTTCTGTGAGTGTTGCATAACTTTGGGTGAGCACAGACATGAACGCACTTCAGCCACGTATTTATTTATTCATTTTTCTAGTTTTAAGTGCTGGTCTTGTACTGGCACTGTACTAGGGCAGCTGTATACACTTTAATTTTTCATAGAACTGAAAGCATACCATAGCTATATCGTGGTATATCGTTATCGTGATATAAAATGATCCATATCGTGATATTCATTTTTTTCCATATCGCCCAGCACTACTACATACTACTTCGACTACTACTTGGCAATTCGGACGCAGCAATAGACTTACTCACCTGTGGTCGACTGACCAATCAGAGCTCTTTACATCATTCACACTCTGCTGGGTGGAGTCTGAAGGGGAGGGAGGGGTCAGGATGGTGTTCAGCTAGCAATGTATGAATCAGGAGGGTTCATTTTCATTCATTCATTCATTCATTCACTCATTCATTCATTAGGAAGTTATCATATAATAATATAATGTAATAATCATGTTATTATGGAATGATATAATGTAATAATAACATAATTTAATAATCATGTTATTTCTGACTCAGTCTGTTTGTTCTTCTGTGTTTCAGTAAATTGTTGTTCACCTTCCCAGGCTGGTCAGCAGGGGTCACTGTCCTACAACAGGTCTGTCTGTCAGTCTGTCTGTTTTTTTGTTTGTCTGTCTGTCTGTTTGTCTGTTTGTTTGTTTGTCCGTTTGTTTGTTTGTTCTTCAGTCTGATCAGATTTATGTTTTACTTTGGTGCTCTTGTCCTGAAAAACCACCCCATGCTGTCATGTGACTTGTCAAATTTGTTTTGAGGAGAACAGAGGCCTATACTACGAAGCTGGATTTGGTCTTAGCGAGATACCTCCTGGATAACTTCTGGGTTTTCTGTACTACGAAAGTGGATCTCTTTTTATCCGGGTCTGTTGCCCCGGTAACTTGCACGGAACGCCAAACCTGCTCCGGAGCAGGTTATGTTTGAGGATAAGAGCTCAGCGGGTATAAAAGACCGCCCACTGACCAATCGGTTCTCTTGGAAAATGGCCTGCCCACTTTTGCCGTATCCTGTGGACGTCGGTGCTCGGATTGTTAGAGAAGCGCTTCACCGTGAGCGCTATTTTCGTGATCGCTCGAATCCATTTGATTTACCAGATGACGTTCTGTACGAGCGTTACAGGTTTTCTTTTGAGGGGCTGCGGTATAATAATAATATCACATAATATCACAGGACCTCGTTTATCATCATCCTACAGCTGAGACATTGTGAGGAAATCGCTGTGTACATGCTGAAATACTGTATGTACAAATACAATCTGCCAATAAACCTACTAACCACTCTGAAGGATGTTTTTATATTTATTTTGAATTTGCTCCCACGTTCTTTTTTCCCCACTGCTGCTGCATCTGAAATCATGAGGTCGATGATGATGATGATGATGGTGATCAAACACTGAATGACAACACATTTGGGGACCATAAATTAATGAACGCACAAATGTAGCGACATCTATCCGTGCCATTGTGATGGCACATTAATATCTTCATCGTATTGACTTACGCATTAACACAATAGGCGATTTTTTTGCCAGCAGTCCCTCCAGCTTCTGGCGGCTACGGCTGTGTTGCTCCTCGCTGTGATTGTATCACGGAACTCCTCGTATTTACGCAGGATAATATCCTGTTCCTCAGCTGTGAAATACAATGCTTTCGCTGTTTTGTCCATTGTGGAAAATGGTCCAGTGCCGCTAACCCCGCCCCTTTTATGTGTGCGCGCACAGATCTGAAGTGGCCACACCTGGATTGAGTTATCGAGTTGATAACTGACTTCGTAGTACAGCTGATTGGAATCGCGGAGATCCAGTGAAGTTGAGCGAGTTGTCGCAGAGTTATCCTGGATGTGTTAATCCAGCTTCGTAGTACAGGCCTCTGATCACCTCTGTGGGGCTTTTATTTTGAAGGAACTCTAAGAGTGTGTTAATGTTTGTACATTGAAAACTTCATTTCCCAGAGTCCTGCAGTGGATGTAGTCGGTATTGGCTTGGCATCTGGTCGCATCATCATCCACAACATCCGATTGGACAAGACGCTCATGAGCTTCACACAAGACTGGGGACCAATCAGCTCACTCGCTTTCAGAACAGGTACAGGTTACGCCCCCCAGGGCTGCTAGCATTAGCATGCTAACGCTGTAACAAACACTCTCGGCCAGTTTCAGAGTTAATGTTAACTTTGAGCCGAACAACAGCGACAGCCGCTCACCAAAACTGACTTTACTGCCCACCTCTTTCTGACTGTTTTCCTGTTTCTGACTGTTTTCCCGCCTCTTTCTGACTGTTTTCCTGGATTTGAAACTTTAACTATTAGTTACTAGAATAAGTCGTATTGGTTATTAGGAGTTACCAGCAGGAGTTATGAAGATCCAAAACTGCGTTCATCTGATCCACACGTGAATGCTGCCCAACATCCTGATAAACTGACCAATCAAACGACTGATCATAATGTCGTGTTGCCCCCCCCCCCCCCCCCCCCCCAAGATGGTCCTCCCATCATGGCCTCCGGCAGCCCTCAGGGCCACATTGCATTCTGGGATCTGGAGCGCCGTCAGCTTGTCACCCAACAGAGACACGCCCACAGCACAACCATCGCTGCTGCGACCTTCTTGCACGGAGAGCCGCTGTTGGTTACAAACGGGGCCGACAACGCCATCAAGGTAAACAAACAAACAAACAAACTAACAAACATAAGTAATAAATTAACAAAGAAACTGATGAATAAACAAACAAACTAATATTTAAACAAACAAACTGATACTTATAAATAAACAAACTGATAAATAAACAGAATAATAAATAAACAAACAAACTAAAAAAACAAACTGATAAATAAAAAAACAAACAAACTGATAAATACACAAACAGTTAAATCAACAAACATGTAAATAAACAGAAACTGATAAATAAACTAACTGATAAATAAATAAATTAACGAACAAACTGATGAATAAACAAACTTACTTATAAATAAACAAACAAACTGATAATTAACAATTGATTAACGGCTAAACTCTTCTTTTTTAAACTGATTGGTTGGTCTGTTGTGCAGGTGTGGATATTTGATCAGGAGGGGGGTGGAGCCAGGTTGCTAAGGAGTCGTCAGGGCCACAGTGCCCCTCCCACCACCATCTGTCACCATGGCAACGATGGAAAAAACATCCTCAGTGCAGGTAACCACAGCTGTAATGGTGGGGTTGGGGTTCGGACTAGAGGGTGACATTTTTTGGGAATTCCCATGGGTCACATTTTTCGGGATTAATGTGGGTCAAGTGATTCCCGCGGGAATCCCACAGGATGGGAGTCATTTTTTAGTTAATCTCTTAATCGGCTGAAAATAATCATCTATTAATGTAGTTCCCGCTCCTGCCCACTCCGGTTGCTTTTTTTCCGTCCCAATCACGGGATTCATTTAAAAATGACTCCCATCCAGTGGGATTCCTGTGGGAATCACGTGACCCATGGGAATTCCCGAACAATGTCATCCTCTAGTTCGGACCTCCATGATGTTTTTTTTATTTCATGATTTTGAACATGGTGCTGTTTGCGACCCCTGTAGGTCAGGACGGGACATTGCAGTCTTTTTCCACTGTCCATGAACGCTTCAACAAGAACCTGGGTCACGGTCAGTTTCAGACTCTAAACTCTGTTTACAAACCTGATTTTACTGAAACGCACTGATACTGTGGTACAATATTTAGTTTCTATGGTAACAGTAACACGTCAATTATTACAGCAACCAGGGGCCTATTCGAAGCAGGATTACTGCTTAGCGAGGCAACTTCAAGGGTAATTCAGGGTTTCCTGTTCCACGAGGCGGGTTCACTTCTTAGAGAGGCGAGTCTCCATGGCAACGTACGCTGAACGGCTAACCTGCTCCAGGGCAGGTTAGGTTCCAGATTGAACTCACAGAGTATAAAAACCCCGCCCACTGACCAATGAGCTCTCTCGAAAAATGGCTCGTTCTTGGAGGATCCTATAGACCTCGGTGCTCCCACTCCGGCGCGCAAGAGTTTTCAGGGACCACACGGACCTACTTACTTTTCCGGATGACCACCTTTATGAAAGGCTCATATGGCCTTCTTATAACACCAAAAATGTAAACATGATAAGAATGAACAAATGAATGAATTCATCTTGGAAACAAATTAGACATGTCTGGTGCATGTTAAAAGCGCATGTTGGACAGTGCTATTTCAGGGTGATAATGGCATCAAAGATTTTTTGCGCACTATACTTACGCATTGAGACTGTCTGCAATTTTCTGCCAGCATTCCTTCTGTGCTTTTGCAGCAGCGACGGTGTTGCTTTTGAGTTTAATGTTAGATTTGAATTCTTCATACTTTCTCATGATCGTCTCCTGCTCCTGGTTTGTAAAGTACGCACTCCTTTGCTCTCCGGCCTGCTCTGATGCTCCAAACCGGTCCATGTTCGTGATTGGTCAGATGCAACGGGCTCCACCTTATGTGCGTGCACACGCTCATAGCAAAGCTGGATCCACTTACGGGGTTGATAACCAGTGTCGTAAGACCGTTTAGCGAGACCGCTGGCTACCGCGCTAAGTTGAGCGAGGTAGCTCCAAGGCTACCTCGCTAGGTCGAACTTGCTTCGTAGAACAGGTCACTACCAGAGGACTCAGGTTTACGGGTTTACAGGAACAAGTTAGACCGTCAGCGTCACCCAAGACTGCTTTGGTCTAATCCACATGTCCTCGTCGACTGTTGTAGGACATAATTTCATGAAAGTGTGTGTGTATGTGTGTGTGTGTACATGTCTGTTGTGTGTCTGTGTGTGTGTGTACATGTCTGTTGTGTGTCTGTGTACGTGTGTACATGTCTGGTGTGTGTGTGTGTACATGTCTGTTGTGTGTGTGTACGTGTGTACATGTCTGGTGTGTGTGTGTACGTGTGTACATGTCTGTTGTGTGTGTGTACGTGTGTACTAAGGGTGTGGAAAATAATCTACGGATTTGCAAAGAAAGACAGAAAGCTCGAAAAAACGTCCGTCATTTGCAAAGAATGCCGCGTTAAGAAGCCGTACAACGGCAGCACGACAAACATGCAGACCCACTTAGAAAGAGTACACCACATCACCGACAAGTCTAACGCCACCTCCCCTCCCTTAACATTGATTGCACTGTTGAAAGTGTCACTTTAGGTTACTCATTTAGAGTGTTTTGTGGTTGCTGTTTACTGTACTTTTTACAGCAGTAATTATTGTGTAATTGTTTTAGTCTTTTATTATTGCAGAACTCACTCAAATCACTGATTTTCAGTGGCCAGTTAGAAAGTCAACTCTAGCACATTGTTTTGGCAGACAGTAGTATGGCCATTGAATGGTCTATTTGCACCATGTTAGGCAGTGCATTAGTTGTTTAATAATGTGTACTGTAATATTACCGAACAAGTATAGAGCACTTGTGTGATGTAGGGTTGGGATTGGAATCCTTTTTTTTATTTTTTTATTTTTTATTTTATTGATTCAGATTCCTTAACAGTTGCAGGAGGTCTGTCTAATCTGTGTAACTGTACAAAATGGAACCCAAAGGAGCATAGAAAAAAGCACTTTTGTTGAATTAACTGCTAAGTGCCTTTAAGGAATAAAGCCAAATCATTTTTGTAGTACCATACTGAATTCCATCTTTTATTTTTATTTCTTTTTTTCTTTACTTATTTGCATCACGTTGAATTGCATCATATCGCAACAAATTGCATCATATCGTATCGGATTGCATTGATTTGAACTAAATGATTATCGTATCGTATCGCATCATGAAGAGGGTGAATCGTATTGCATCGTATCGCCAGAAAATTCCATGTATCGTTAAAGTATCGTATCGCTGGCAGTGCATCGAGATGCATACGAATCGTCCTCAGTGCTGAGATTCACACCCCTAGTGTGTGCATGTCTGCTGTGTACGTGTGAACATGTCTGTTGTGTGTGTGCGTGCGTGTGTACATGTCTGCTGTGTGTGTGTGTGTACATGTCTGTTGTGTGTGTGTGTGGGTGGGTGTGTGTGCGTGTATATGTCTGTTGTGTGTGTATGTGTGTCTGTTGTGTGTGTGTTGTTGTTGCTCTGTTTTGTCGTCTGTCGTTGTCGAGGACATTTATTTAACTAAAGTTCGGCGTTGCGTTCAGGTTCCGTCAGTAAGAAGAAGGAGCAGAATAATAAGAAGAGGAAAGGTTCGTCATCGTTGTACGAGGAACTTCGTCTTTCTGCGATCACGACCTTCTCTTCAGGTAGGCGCTCTGACACGGACTGAGCATGCTCAGAGTTCTTAACAGACTGTTTACCGTGATTAGCTGACCTTTCTGTTGATTGACAGCTACTGCCCGTCAGTCGGACTGGGACAGCGTCGTCGCCTGTCATCGCGGTCGCCTAGCAGCAACAACGTGGAACTACCAACGGTGCACCATGGGAGTCCACCACCTGCAGCCGCCAAACACTCCCAGGAGTGCTGTCGCCACGGTAACACCATCACCCCCCCTCTGTGCCCCCCCCCGGCTTTCCCTGGTGGTCATGTGACGTCTGTTTGTTTCCAGGCTGTCAGCATCACTTCCTGTGGAAACTTTGCTGTGATTGGTTCGTCCTGTGGTCGCGTCGACGTCTACAACCTGCAGTCTGGTCTGCACCGCGGTTGCTATGGTGACAAAGAGAAAGGTGTGTTTTTTCTGTCCTGGTCTGTCATTGGTTGTTTCTGTCTTTGCATGTTATTGACTCTGCCCCCTTCTCCTCCAGCTCATGACGGGACGGTGCGAGGCGTTGCAACGGATGCCCTGAACCAGCTGACATTAACCGCAGGCTCTGATTGGCTGCTCAAATTCTGGCGCTTTAAGAGCAGGAAACAGGAAGAGCAACTAAAGCTTAACGTAGCGCCAGCTAGCATGCTGCTACACAGAGACAGGTAGCTAACAGTTAGCATTTTAAAAGTTAGCGTAATATTTTAGACGGGAAGCTAACAATTAGCATTTTAAAAGTTAGCGTAGAATTTCACGCGGGTAGCTAACAGTGTTTCTATCTGTTCCATGTTAGCGGGATGCTAGCATTAGCGCTGGATGACTTCACACTGCTGGTGGTTGACATAGAAACCAGAAGAGTCGTCAGGAAGTTTTCAGGTCACCACGGCAACATCAACGACATGGTGGGTGTGGGAAAGCTAACACATTGTTAGATGTCTGATCTCCTGAAAGCTAACTGTTTTTTAAAACTTTATTGAATCTCTTTACTCAGACGTTCAGCCCTGATGGCCGCTGGCTGGTTACCGTGGCGATGGATTGCACCATTCGTACCTGGGATCTCCCCTCTGGATGGTGAGTGATGGTTCAGAAGGTCTGTTGGAACAGCTGTACCTGTCAGGTGGCGCTCAATCCTGAATAAAGTTCTGGTTTCGTTTGGTTCCTGTGGAAACGTCAGAGAAGCTTTTGTCACTGTCCTGACTCGACTGTTTCAATAAAGTTTTCTTTCTCTTCTCTTTCTCGCTCCAGTCTTGTAGATTGTTTCCTGGTTGCCATGGCGCCGGTGGGCGTGTCCTTGTCACCGACTGGCGACTTCCTGGCAACGGCTCATGTTGGCAGTCTGGGCGTGTACCTCTGGTCTGAACCAATCAGCTCTCAGCATTCCATTAAACTAGACACATGTCTCTGCACTAACCCCGACTCATGTTAGCAGCCAATCAGATTGGGCCTTAATGCATGATATCACAGGTCTGCTTATAGAAATAACCAAAGTTCAAAGGTCAACTCTCCATTAAACTGGACCAGAGTCCCTCTGGGATCTGGACACAGAGGGTTCCGCCCTTCTTCACCTCTGATTGGCTAGAATTGCTGGGCTCGGATTGGTTATTCCTTATGGCTGTAAAACGTCGGCATCTGTCTTCAGAATTATGATAATGTTCTGTTGGATGTACAGAGCAGATGGTCCATGCTCGACTTGAGAGTGTGATGACGTTTGACAGCCAATCAGAGGCGAAGGAGGCGTGACCTTCCCCTACCATCCTATGAAAAATATTGCGACAAGGAGAGTTGTTGACTGACATCGCATCACCTAACTGTGTCATTACATCACCTGACTTCCTGTTCCTGTTTCTTTACCCTGATCTCTGGTGTCTTTCTGAGCGAAAATGAGGCGGTTAATATTAGGAGGAAAAAACACCCCTGACCCTGACCATGACCCAAACCATGACCCTGACCCTGACCCTGACTCAACCCTGACTCAAACCCTGACCCTGTCCTGAACCCTGACCCAAACCCTGACTCTCACCCTGACCATGACCATGACCATGACCCTGACCCTGTTAGGCTGTATTGGCTGAGTGAGATCGTATTGGTTCATTCCACTTTAGTGGGGCAACATAAACTGATTCATAAAATAGCTCTATTGATAGTAAGTACTAAAAAAAATATCTACTCATGCCATCCAGTCGATTTTTAGTAATCAGTGTTTCAGTGTCAAACTTTTTCCTTTCTGCGGCGTACTGATACTTGCACACGCGCAATCGAATATGCAGAGGGGTGAAGCGATTTTTGTCACGTGGACCAAAAGGAGTCGAGTCTCGTTGTCAAGTATCAGAAATACATAAACAAGCGTGGTAGCAATTTGATTGACTTTCAGCCATTTATGGCCATGATGTGCTGTTTATATTTTATGGCTTTTGTCATTTTTATGTATGAAACATAAACTTTTAGCTAAATTTACTGTATATATTTCATTGTGCTGGGTGCAAATCACTTGAGTTGAGACGTTTTCTTCAAGAAATTTGCGACATTTAATAATCTGAATTCACTTACGCGTATACTAAGACACCAATAACTGTTTCAGATGTTAGGTAGATGTATTTATGACATTTGAGAAAGATTTTGTCTTGCCAGAATCAACATAGCAGTTTCTACAAGCAAAAACAGCAGCACCATATAATTGTTTTTTGGGTTACTCACATATATGTACATTTCTGGCTGGTGACAAAAGTCGGACCGATAGTCTGAGTAGATATTTTAACCCAAAGTCCAGAATGGTATTGTCTATGCAAAAAATGCATTGAACAAGTAGCACCATCGTAGTTGAACAAAATTCACTTTCTCTGCACTTTTTCCTTTGTCCCAATACAGCCTATGACCTTGAGCGAAGTTACTTTTGCAGAGTTTCAGATGCCGTGGACGTGGATGCTTTGGCGATGCTGCCTGAAGGGTTTGACTGACCCGCGGCTGCATTACGTTCTTGTTTCTCAAATGCCTTTTGCAAATAAATCGTTTCTGCAAGGTCCTTTGTCTCACCCTGTAGAGGAAGCTACTTTCTAAAACTAGTTCTGTAAGTTTCCCAATGTGTCCTTGTAAAGTCGAGAACGTCTTCACTCTGGACAGATGATAGATTCATATAGCATCATTTCGTTCCTTTTTTTATGCACTTTTGAAGGCTGTTTTCTTTTTTTCCTTTTCTTTTCTTCCTCTTCGCTTGTCTCGCTGCTAGATGCGCTCGTCGCCATGTTTGTGTATTTCTGATACTATTGCAACGACACTCGGCTCCTATTGGTCCACGTCACAAAAATCGCTTCACCCCTTTGAATATTCGATTGCGCATGTGCAAGTATCACTACGCCACAGAAACGAAAAAGTTTGCCACCGAAACACTGATTACTAAAAATCGACTGGATGGCATGAGTAGATTTTTTTTTAAGTACTAACTATCAATAGAGCTATTTTATGAATCAAAGTTTATGTTGCCCCACTAAAGTGGAATGACATTCACTTTCTAGGCACTCTATGTCCCAAACCCTGACCCTGACCAAGACCCTGACCGAAACCCTCACCCTCACCTTTACCCTGACCCTGACCCTGAACCAAACCCTGACCCTGACCCTGACCCAAACCCTGACCTGGTAACCTGAAAGCTCTCAGCTCACCTATAAATGGACCACAGGAAAAGATGGACGTGACCAGGACTGAAACAACCTAAGCAGAGAAGTCTCTAGGAGTCTCTGTTGGTCTCTTGTGGTCTATGATGACGTGTCTAAATCAAATAATGATCATATGAGGAGGAACTGATCCACATGAATTAGAGACTGTTCATAACAGAAAGCTGAGTCAGCGACGAACCCGGGATTTCCACTGCATCCAGAACGGCGGCGATTTTCACCGTCCACCAATTCCTACCAGATCCGTTTGTGAGCCGGATATTTTATTTTGTGTCTGTGCCCGACTTTCTTTCCACCATGGGTTAATCTGTGCTGAATTTATCGGGCATGCTCTGGCGTCCAGAAAAAATAGAACCCTTGGGATCAGCTGTGGAGTTTGGTGATCCGCATAGGAACAGACAGAAGTCGGTGGAAATTGACACGTTAACTTGAATAGTTACCATCAGCTACGATTGGAGGATACAACCTTTTAGTAGCTGTTCAGGATGAGGTGGAAATTGGGGGTAAAGCCAATCACTCCTGCATTACTGTCCTGTACAGACCTGACTCCGGTCAAAGGTCACAGGTTATGTCAGGTGAAACCGTCTCTGGTCCGGTTTGATGGAGACTGACTCTCATAGAATCTTTGATCCGGGTCCTGATGGTTCTGCCTTTTACCCTTTACTAACCCGGCTCAGCATGAACGAAGACTCTCAGTGTAAACTCACCAACAGTTAGGATGGACAGCTGTCAGTCAAAGGGGGCGGGGCAAAAGCTTAAAGTTGTAGCACTGTGATAAAATGATTTCATTGTTTTTACACTAGCTGATTGTGTCAGCCAATCACAGTGCAGCTCTCCTCCCTTAGGACCAATAAGAGTCTGTGTGGGCTTGTGGGGCTCCGCCCCCTCCCAGCTGACTACCAACCAGCTGGGGAGACACTGCCTGGGGTTACAGCAGAGCAGTCTGAACAGGAAGTGACATCAGAGGAGGTGGATGATGAGTACAAGTCAGCTGAACAGTTGGGGGCGGAGCTTGTGACCTTGTCTCTGCTTCCAGAGTCTCGCTGGAAGAGTCTGCTGCACCTGGACCTTATCAAGGTGAGTCTTACCCTGGGGGGCCTCCAGCCCATCAGTCTGTCAGTCAAACGGGTCAGAACAGGAAACAGAATCAAGAGTTCAGGTTGTGACATCACTGACCTCCGTTGATGTTATCAGAGCAGGACCGTTAATTCAAATAGATGCCATAGCTGTTCTCTGACCACACTGTCCAACACTCAGAGCTCCCCCTGCTGACTGTCTGCAGTCATGGATCATAAGCCCCGCCCCCTCTTTGTCACCTGACAGGTTAGATAATCTTCCTTCAGTCAGTTTGGCGTGTTTATGTCCCAGAGTCCGCTTTGATTCGTTTTTAGGCTGACTGACTCGAGAAACAGTGCCATGATTGACAGCTCTGTGGATCAATTAGGCTCCTTCAGCACTGGGCCCAGATTATCAGAGAGGAGACTCAACAAACAGCCAGATCACTCCAATATGAGATTATATCAACAAACGTGTGAATGAGTGAATGTTTTTTTTTAATGTCCGTCTGAACTTTCCACAGAGGAGGAATAAACCTATAGTGCCCCCTGCTGCTCCACCTGCTGCACCTTTCTACCTGCCTACAGTTCCAGGTCTCACGCCACGCTTCACGTTGCCCATGACAACCGAACAGGAAGGACAGGTAGTGCTACTCCACCTGGAAGTCTTTCTGCTCACCTGCACATCTGATAGAGAACTTTTATTTTGATGATGAAGATGGTAATGATGATGATGATTATGATGATATTGATGATGATGATGATAGCGATGATAATGTGATGAAAATAATAGTGATGGTGATAATAATGGTGGTGATGATGATACCGATAGTGATGATGATAATAATGATGATGATAGTGATGATGATGATAATGATAGTGGTGATGATGATAATGATAGTGTTGATGATGATGGCGGTCATCAAGATGGCGCCCGGAGGAGACGCCCTGGTGTTCTGGTGCTCGTTGTTTGGTCTGTTTTTGTGCGTTAACCGTGTGTCATCGTGCTCCTACACCCGTGAGGAGCTTCTAAACATCAGATCAACAACACCCACGGACATTGCACCAGTTTTTTTGGCATCTGCTGCTGAACTGGTCCACTTTTTGGCCAAAAGAGTGAGACGCCGGCGAAGAGGAAAGCGAGATGGGGTGCTCGCACGTCCCAGACAGCGAGGCACGCGTACACCCTTACCTCGGATTTTCCTCTCCAACGTCCGCTCAATTAGCAACAAGATGGATGAGCTGGCACTGCTGATGAAGAAGAATAGAGACTTCTCCTCTTCTTGTGTTCTGTGCTTCACGGAGACGTGGTTAAACGCACAGACACAGGACTGCGCCATACAACTGGAGGGTTTTCAGCTCCTCCGCGCAGACAGAGATCGTGTACTCTCCGGTGGGAAAACAAAAGGAGTCTGCTTCTACATCAACAACGCCTGGTGCTCCGACGTGACAGTGGTCTCCCAACACTGTTCTCCTTCTCTGGAATATCTCTTCATAAACTGCAAACCGTTCTACTCTTCAGAACCGTTCTAGTTTGTCTCATTCATACTCTGCTCTGTTTACATTCCACCGAGTGCGGACGTGCACGCGAAACAGGTTATGAGCGTAGAGAGGAACTTTCCGGACTCCTTAGTTATAATCCTCAGTGATTTTAACAAAGGAAATCTCAGTCAGGAACTACCAAAATACAAACAGTTTGTAACATGCCCGACCACAGAGGGGAACACATTAGATCGCTGTTACACTACAGTAAGTGGTGCTTATTGTGCTGTGGCTCGCGCAGCTATGGGACTCTCAGATCACGCCATGGTTCACCTGATCCCTGCATACAGACAGAGACTAAAACTCTGTAAACCTGTAGTGAGGACATCCAAAGTGTGGACCAGTGAAGCTGTGGAGGAGCTACGCATGTGCTTGGACACCACGGACTGGGATATGTTTAAGGCTTCTACAGACAGTCTAGATGATTACACAGTCTAGATGATTACACAGACAAAAACTAAAACTAGCCAACGACCTGAACGACTTCTATTCACGCTTCGAAGTCATGGACTCACATCCCCTCACCCCCCACACAACTGGAAATTCAACCCCTCTGGTCCTCCCCTCGCTGCCCTTTCAGTCCATGAAGAAGAAGTAGACAGACTGTTTAAGCGGCCATCATTGAGTCCATCCTCAGCTCCTCCATCACAGTGTGGCACGCCGGGGCCACTGCTAGGGACAGACACAGACTGCAGCGCATTGTGGGCTCTGCTGAGAAGGTGATCGGCTGTAGCCTTCCATCTCTCCATGACCTGTACGTCTCAATGACTCGGGACCGAGCAGGTCGGATCGCAGCTGACCCTTCTCACCCTGCACACGGACTATTTGAGACACTCCCCTCAGGTAGGAGGCGATGGTCCATTCGGACCAGAACCTCCCGCCATAAGAACAGTTTCATCCCCTCTGCCGTTGGACTCATGAACACTTTATAACTCAGTCACTTTAAGTCTGTCACTTTATCAATGGTCACTTAAATTAAATGTACCTTGGTTTTTTAATTGCACTCCTCCCACTTACTGTGCATAGCATTGTACATAGCCTTTTATACTTTATATATGTCCTGCATGCTCTTATTATTTTCTGTTCTAGTATTTTATATTTTATTCTCCGTTTAATGTTGCACCATCACTGCGTAAAAAATTCCTAGTCTGTGAATCCTGTTCATTGACAATAGCATAAAACCCATTCTGATTCTGATTCTGATGATAATAGGGATGATAACGTCATGATAATAATAGTGATAATGGTGGTTGTCATGTTTTTTGTTGTCAGTGTGTTTGTTTTCCTGCATTAATTGTGTTTTCATTGTTGTTTCGTTTGTTTGTTATTGATGTTTGTTGTTGTTTCAGTCAAAGGTGCTGGACTGGGGCGTGCTGGCTCAGAGGTCAGAGGTTGGCTGTGCTCTGGAGGAATCTCTCCAGTCTGGATGCTGTAAGTTATTGATTAATGAGTCTGACTGTTATTGATTAATGAGTCTGACTGTTATTGATTAATGAGTCTGACTATTATTCATTAATGAGTCTGACTGTTTTTGATTAATGAGATTGACTGTTTTTGATTAATGAGTCTCACTGCTATTGATTAATGAGTTTGACTGTTATTGATTAATGAGTTTGACTGTTATTGATTAATGAGTTTGGAGCTTTTCTCTCAATTTTATAATGTCTCTCTCTCTCACCCCCTCCTCTCTCCCCCTTGCACCCCCCTCCTCTCTCCCCCTTGCACCCCCCCCCCCCCCGCAGTTGACCGTCCAATCAGGCTCCTAAAGGATTGTGGGCCGGCGGTACTCTCTGTCGAGTTCACTAATCTGACATCACAGGGGGGCGGAGCCAGCAGCCTGCTGCTAGCCTTCATTAAAATGATTGAACACATGTTGGCGAGTGGGCGGAACTTTGATCTGGCCCATGCTTACCTGGGGCTCTTCCTGAAGGTCAGCCAATCAGAGTGCAGCAGAGTCACCTTACCCTCTAATGAGAAATGAGGAGTCTTTTATTGTGAAAATCACACCTCAGTTTCCTGTTTGCTGTTTGTTTTTAGCTCAACCTCCATTCGCTGTCAGAGGACCCCGCTGCGATGGACGCGTTGGTCCGCCTCTCCTCACGGCTGGAGGCAGGGTGGGCGGAGCTACAGACATCATTCAACCAATCACTGTGTCTGCTGACATACACCAAGAGTGCAGTGCTGTGACACACACACTCACACACACTCGCCCTCTCTTGTTCTCTGCCCCCCCCCCCAATGTTTTGTACTAAAGGTCTCTTACCTGGCCAGCAGGTGTGTGTGTGTTTTGTGTTATAAAGTGTGTTTGACCTTTGACCCTGTCATCAGCCCAGAGTTTGATCAAGTTTCAGTGATTAAACTGATTAAAGTGAAATCAGTGTGTGATTGCATCAGTGAGGTTCAGCAGAGGTCTGTTAGAACTCTCTAAAGTCCTGATCCGGGTTTAGTCAGGTTTTGATCAAGAGTCTGTCTCCTCTGACCTTTAACCTCTGTCCACTTTTCTAAAATAAACCCTGACTAAGAAAAGATGGACGTTAAGACAGTCAAGAAGAAAATACAAGAAAACTTGTATTTTGGGTCAGATAATTCTGTCATTCATTCATCAGACTACAGCGGGGTGACGCAGCTCAAGGAAGAACATTTATGATCATTTCTTCATGGAAATACAATCAGACCGAGAAGCTAAGTTAGAGAAACTATCGCGTCTGCAATGAAAAATGATTAATATGGTGATTATTACTTCAAGGAAAAGAAATGATCATAAATGTTCTTCCTTGAGCTGCATCACCCCACTGTAGTCCGTAATGGACTGGCCCGAGGTCTCTCTACAAACCATCAGCTGCTGGAAGAGAGTAGGTGAGTTGTGTTTAGTCTCTTTGCTAAGGAAATCAGGCAAAGTTAAAAAGATGTTAGCGACGTGTGATACTCTTAAGCTAATTATGATATTAACTTTCATCATGTGTCCAAAGACATTAGTGTCTCAGAGCTGAATAACTCTGATTTTACCTGATACTTCTACAACACCGACAGTGTTCAGCTGCAAGCTAGCATGAAGAGCAGCGCTGACTCCGCCCACGACTCAGAGGTGAATTACTAATGAGCTAGTGGAGCTCAGCAAAAGAAAAATCCTTAAAAATTACAAAAGTCACATGATTTAGTCTATAAATATAATTGCAACTTGAAGACCTCTGAGAACACTTTAAATAGTTAAAGACTAATGAGTTAAAGCTGTTGGAAATCCTCCAGGTTCAGTTTTCTCCTCTGTTTACCCACAGTCAGCTGTTTGTCCTCCCTTTTTAACCGGGTCAGTGACTTCTTTTCCTGTTAATGTGGATCTGTTTCCTGATCCAGTTCAGTCTCAGTCCTCTGAGGTTTCACTGCTCTGATAACGAGGCTCTTATTTTCTCATCTTTCTCCTATGTTCTCCTCTTTTTCTCTCTTTACTCCTCTTTTCTTTTATTTTCTCCTCTTTTCTCCTCTTTTTCTCCCCTTTTCTCCTCTTTTCTCCTCGAATTTTCTTCTCTTTTCTCAGTTTCTCTCTGTTCATGTTATCAGCTGTGGATGTAAATCTGATTTCAAAGTCTAAATTCATGTTCAGTTTTAAGTTTTGTTTTTACTCAGAGTTTTAGTTTAACATTTTTAAACATTAGTTTGAATATTAAAGTTAAATCACAGATGTTTATCCTGTTTTATTTTCTTTCATTTATTTCTTACTTTTATTTTTCCTTCGTGTTTTTTGTTTTCTATGCAGATTTTATTTTGAAAGGACTCTTAAAGTTCCTATTTGTCTCCTAAGGGGATACAACCAGACTATAACAATATAATTTACACCTTTTGTGCCTTAAATAATCTGATTGACTATTGGAGAATGTCAAATCCTACCACAAAAAGATATACATGGATAAGTCCGGCTGACTCCAACCTATGCTCACGATTAAACTATTGGCTGGTGTCACAAACTCTAGCAAACTATGTAACAAAATGTGATATTCAAATGTCACCACTTACTGATCATTGTATTATTGATCTCTCACTGTCTTTTGTAACTAAAAAACAGAAATCTGATTTGTTTATAATGTTTGGAAATTCAAAAATGCATTATTACTAAAAAAAGAATTTTGTGAACAAGTGAAATCAATACTCAATAAAATAACTGAGATGGATACTTCAAATATTAGTAATTGGGAACGGTTTAAATTTTGGGTTAAACAACAAGCAATCGAATCAGGGAAAAAAATCACTGATGCTTGTAAAATGAAACATAAAGAACTAGCTGGAAAAATTCACTCTGTGAAAAGCCCAACTTAACAGGAGAAGGCAAGGTAATACTACATTCTTTTCAAAATCAACTAGATGAGCTTTATTTAGTGAAGGTAAAAGGCGCCTTTGTAAGATCAAAAGCCAAATGGATTGAACAAGGGGGAAAAAAATCCTATTTTTACAGTCTTGAGAAAAGAAGACAAACTAAGAAGAATATCACTAAGTTAAATAAAAATGGTATCATCATGAAAGACTGCACAAATAACAAGAAATAACTAAATTCTATAGCAACTTATATAAGAAAATGTTGTTAAAGAAGAATATGAAATTTTTATGAACACAGTTAAAGACAACATTAATAAATTACCAAATGAAGACAAGTCATTACTAGAAGAGGATATAAGTATCCAAGAGATGGAAACTGCTTTGACACAAACATTATTGAATGCATATGTAGATTGTATAAATAATGGCCAATTATCCCCAACAATAATAACTCTGCTACCCAAACCAAACAAGGATCTTTTAAAATTAGATAATTGGAGACCTATAACTTTATTATGTAATGATTATAAATTATTAGCTCTTGTTTATGCCAATAGGATCAAAGGTGTTTTGAGTAAATTAGTTGACAAATTTCAGTCAGCTTTTATTAAAGGGAGACTTATACAAAACAATGTTAGGTTAATCTTAGATATGTTAGACTATCACACCCTTACAAATTCAGAAAACTTAATATTGTTTATTGATTTTTTCAAGGCATTTGATTCCACTGAGCATGATTTTTTACTTTAATCACTACATATGTTTGGTTTTGGTGACAAATTTTGCCAAATAATTAAAATGTTTTATAATGAAATTTATAGTTATGTTTCAGTACATCCTGGCATCACCACAAGGAATTATTACTCTTGTGGAATACGCCAAGGTTGCCCAATTTCCACAAAACTATTTATTCTCTGCACACAACTAATGGCTTATCTCATAACAAATAATTAAGATCTGGAAGGAATTTAAATGTTTGATAAGTCAGTATGCTGATGATACTGTCATTTTTTTGAAAAATTTTGAAAAAAGTTCTCAAGAAAGCCTTGGAAGTAATCTTGGTTTTCTCTTGGGCATCAGGGTTTGTCTTAACCTCAAAAAATGTGAACTGTTTCCACTTTACAATTGCAATGATAATGAACTTGAGTCAATCCCTGTAAAAAATTAAATTAAATACTTGGGAATTCAACTATCCAGGGAGGTCGAAATTTATCCTAAAATTTTAACGAAAAAATTGAAGAAATGACAAGAAGTCTTTATCACTGGTTAACAAGAGATCTAGCTATTTTTGGTCGAAATTTATTATCTAAATCTGAATTGATCTCCAAATTGATATATCCAAGCTATTCACTATATATTACCCCACAAAATATCTAAAAAACAAATAGAATATCATATCAATTTATTGGTGAAATAAAACTCATTATATTAAAAAATCACTACTTCTTTAAGATTTTAATAAAGGAGGTTTAAAAACTATTGACTTTGAATGTATGGTTGGTGTTTTCAGAGTTAATTGGATCAAATCAATTTTAGCTAACCCTGACTCCGAATGGTTTGCTATCCCCAAAGGTATTTTTGATCAAGTGGGAGGACTAGATTTTCTTTTGAGATATGATTTTGAAATATCCAAATTGCCTGTAAAATTATCTGAATACCACAAACAGATTCTCCACTATTGGAAGATGGTGTTTACTCATAACTTTTCTCCACATGGCTTCACCTTATGGAATAACAGAGCTATTACATCTAACAGAAAAACTATTCATTCAAAGTTGGTATGAAAAACACATCATTTTTATCACAGACATACTAGATGGTCATGGTCAGATTCTTAGCTTCACTGAGTTCAAAACCAAATATAACATTCAAAGTTCAAATAGAGAGTACCAAAAGGTTTGCAAAGCAATACCTATTGCTTTACTAAATTTAATTCAAAATTACATGCATTACTCTACAGGAACAATAACCTTGCCTAAAATACAGTTAAACCAAGTTGCACACCTGAAATTGGAACAAGTGCTGTATGGAAATTACAACATGCCAAACAAATTTTTCAATATTTGCAATATAATAATAATTATAGGTAAATACCACATTGAGAGTTGTGTAAATTGTTGAATATGTTAATAAACAAAAAAAAAACACACACACACAAAAAAAGTGAGAGGTGACCAGATGCAGCGCAAGATGGCGGACCCAAAGATAGAAAACCACATTTACAAAACGCAATAAGTTTCCGCATTACCTCCGATTGGCGGACCCAAATCAATTACTTCCGGTGGAAAGGCTTTCTCGTTGGCGGACTTCCGGCGCCGAAATACTTCAGGTAGTCGGATTTAGTCGCCGGATCCTTTTTTTTTGCTCCGTTCATTCCATAAGAATCGAATTAAATTTATTATTGAGCTAAAAATCAAAATAAAACGTTTATGTATTAACTATGACTACTGTTTTGTTCTGATTTAATTCTGAAGTTTACAGTAATATGTATATATAGCCTGATGTCCTCATATTCTGATAATTTGTCAGAATAGGTAAATGTATGTAGAAGTTATCATCTTACTCAAATTCTTTTGTAAGAGTTTGCTACAAGTATGGACTGTTTTAACCTCTCGTTACACATCATATAACAGTGTTTTCTAACTTTTCTCTCCAATAGCTTTATTACACAGCACATCAATGTTTCTTAACTTCTCTGTGACCTTGTTTCTCCACTCCTATTAGGACCTCGTTTAATGTCAACAATGTTGCCCTGACCCTCACATATTTTCTGTTGTTCATAATTATGTTTTATGAGAGTGCTTATGTTGCTGCACAAATTTACTCCCCCCATCCCCTAGTAACATTGTGTAACCAGGGACATCATTTATGAAATGGTGTGCTTCCTGGTGAACCTCTTCAGGATTGCTTGACTGTGCAAAATCCAAGTATACAATAGTTGTAGAGACAAGTCACATGATCTCTTTAAGGTTCAGAAGAGCCATATAGCAAAAACAATTGAATAGCGATATCATTACAGACTGTGTAAAGAAATGGGAAATTGTCATACAACTGCTTTGAAGATTTCTTTAATTTTTTCCAAACAAAATTGTGAACAGTAAAAAAATATATATATATATACAAAATTCAGCACTGCCGTCGGTGTGGTGGGGGGCTTAAAACACGTTGCCACAGGCCATCATCAGCTCTGCTCTGAACCGGTTGATGCCATGCTCCTTCAGTGCTTTGATCAAAAGCTGAAAAACAGTCAAATAATGTGAACAATTGAAGTTATGCAGTATGGGTTAATTGTTGTTCTTGAGCTTTCCAAATGAATAAGAACAACCTCTTAACAATATCATCAATTTTCAAAGCAAGCTATATAGTTTGATCTACTCACCTCTGGGAGCATGACGTCAAAAACGAAATCAAGCAGATAAATCTCGCCTCTCTTTATTTTTTTAGAAATGTTTGTTGCCACCTCAATGAACCGCAGGAGCTCGAACATCTATTGAAGAAAAACACAGAAAGTAAACACCTTTCAAATGTAACACCCCTGAGAGTAAAAATACTCATGATGGATGGCATTTTTACTTACGCGCTGCTCACTCCAACTTAGTGTCCTTATCTTAAGATGCTGCTTTAGTCGGAGTGAGGTGGCGGGATTCCTCCAAAGGAACATTCTGTTGGAGCGGATCTTTCCAGACAGTAGATCATCGTGTAATGTCTGAAACCAAAGAGCAAGAGACAAAAATGTAATCATCTGAAAAAGAAACGGTGGCTTTAACAACTGATAGTGCATTCAAAAGCAACCTTGATCTGTGTCTTAGAAAAGACAGCATGAATTCCTCAACTGTCAACAGCATCCTTGATCCTGCAGAGAAATAAGAAAAGAGCAAGCCCTCATTTTTTCATCCTTTGAGCCTCGTATTTTTGACTGATACTATGTTTCCTTGATAAATTATGTTACACCGAGGATGCTCAATGGAGTCCTCGCACCCGCAGTCAAACGGCTCCATTTCAATCCCAGCACAATCCTGATGCAGCCAGCCCCTGCACGTCTTGCACTGGACCCATTTTATGACGTTTACCTCAGGGTAAAGCAATCTGATCAAATGAGAGACAAACATAATATTAAACAAACACGCTGTCCAATTGATTATACCTCTGCAGCACATTTGAATGTATAAATAATTTTCCTGCATGATTCGTGCATTTAAACTATATGTAAAAGTGGTCACTTCATGGAAAATCACTGAATAGGCCCCGATAATTGCATTTATTAAATTGAGTCTGCAACACACCTCTCTCCTGTGTTGTTCGATGTCTGGTAGACACAGAATTGCATTGAATCTGCCATGCACATTCTTTGGACATCCGATACCGTCTGCGTCATGGTTTCCTTGACAAGGCAATTTGAAAAGTAACATCAATTACCAAATACATCGAGACAATGTTGATCCATACAACTGTGTGCATTTTGAAGGACTCCCACTGAGATAATACTGTTTTTACAAGGCAATTTTCTAACCTCTATGTCCTGCTGCTCTGCCTTCCTCTTTAGACTGAAGACCGGAGTATGCTTTCCAGCAATGAGCTCTTGACATTCTTTGGTCCAGTGGGCGAAGATTTTCCCACAACTGTAATGACAATATGTCTTTAAGTACAATATATTGATTGTCTTCCAGTTAATTAGGACATCTAGTTTACTTAAACTGTCTACCTGTTCAAAGAATTGTTCTCCAGGAGCAACAGGCACCACCATCGCCGCCAAACAGGCATGTCATGCTGAAATTGTTGTTTGTATTTCATTTTAGTGCACAATACAAAATACAATCTTGAGGATGACACTGCGTGTTGAAAAGTACTTACAACTGAGTAGTCAAACTGTGACTCCATAACGATGTACATGGCAGACTTTAAAAAAAAATTATGAGACAACATGTGAGATAACTTTAAAAAAGTCCATGTTGGAAAGTTATTCTAGATACAATATTTGTGCATTACAGCTCGTTATGACCTACCATCAACATGAATATGCCACAGTCTGAGCCGAAGTCCTGGCTGGGGAAGCCCTGATTTAACAAAAGCAAACGTTAATCATCTTGTCACATACACTTTGTAGGAGCCAGATTGGGGTTTTGCAGTTTATTGTTATGTATTTTTTGTGCCAGCAGATGGTGCTATTGTGCCTGTCTATTTAATGGGTGGGTTGATTAGGAGAGGTGCGCACATAAAATGATGAATGAGTAAATAAATCAAAACAACAGAAAATGTGTGTGACATGTGACATTATTCCACCTGCGGGCACGCATCAACTCAAGCAAAAAGGTGTTCGCCACAAGTAACAGCATTGGAAAGCTGTTATACACTTTTCAACTGTAATATAGAGCATGCACAAATACCTCCAAATCTCTGCCCGTTTTCTCAGTCCATTGCCCAGGACATATCTTCTGCGCAATGTTCCTGTTAATTTGAGAGCGTCACTTAGATTTCCCATGATGGAAACAATGGAATGCAGGGTTAGGGTTAGTTTGAGTGGTCGGATGTGAGATTGAATGAATGCGGACGGCTTGCTTCTTTTCAAACTTCCTGAGAGTTCTTCTTCTTCTGTAAATTTTGCCGTCAGAAAGTGTAGGTACATACCGCCACCTACTGTTCTGGCATCGCAAAGCAGAAGTTCAAAGTTCATGTTTTGGGTCCGCCAATCGGAGGTAATGCGGAAACTTATTGCGTTTTGTAAATGTGGTTTTCTATCTTTGGGTCCGCCATCTTGGCGCTGCATCTGGGTACTCTTGAAAAAAGTTCCTATTTGTTTACTCTGACATCTGACCGGAAACGCTGATCCGAAAGAGCTGAGTCAGCTCAACCAAACCGGAAGCAAAACAATGGCAGTGCGCAGACGCAGCAGCAGCAGCAGGCTGAGCTCACGCTGCAGAGTGAATGACACACAGAGAAACTTTAAAAAACTTTATTTTAACAATTTAAATTTTTTTAAATAAATTTTTTTTTCACGGGAACCGGACGACCGGAGCGCGTGAGAGAGAGCACGAGACACAGCGGAGTGCTCGGGAACCTGCAGCTGTTCGACCAACGCGGAAGTAAGAAATTTTGCCTGCGCTCACCTGAGAAGAAACGTCTTTATTTACGTTTATTTGTGTTTATTTAAGTTTATTCATGTTTATTTATGTTTATATTTCAGACGCAGCAGCTGTTCTGGGTTTAATTCTCATAAAATCTCATTTAAATCGTTTAAAGTTTCTCAGATTTCTCAGGAGGACAGGTGGAAATTACCGCACAGGTGAGTCAGATTATAACCCTAACCCTGGAGACAGTTTGATTAAAAACTCCGTTTACGAATAGTCTGGATTATTTAGGATAAATGTTCACAGGATATCAGAAAGAGAAGAAGGAGGAGAATTATATTATATTGTATTATATTATATTATATTATATTATATCATATACAGATTTAAAAGAACATTTATTAGTCAAACAGCTCCTAATTTAGATGAAGATACTTTGTAGAATCAGCCAGTGTTTGTCTGATTTACTTATCTGAAGTCTGAAGTATTGGGTATTGTTTCTGTAGCTCAATTCAGTTATGTGGAATATAAGTTGATATTTGAACATCTGATTATTTCAGAACTATAACTACACTGTAAAAATAAGCTTCACTAATATGTGTATGTTGTTTGTATTGTTGTATTGTTTGTCTTTGTGTTTGTGGTGTGATGTTTTTTTGTGTCTTTGCACTGAGATGGAGAGTTAACTGTATATATAGACTCTAGTAAGAATAGTGATGGCCCTAGCTGAAGCTGATGGAGATCTAAATAAATGAAATTAAAAAGAGCTGAGAGAGAATAGACTGAACCCTGAGATGGATGTTAAATCACTGAAATTGTCCTCCTCACACCCTAAAACACGACAGCCTGTAACCTTCACACCCAGACCCTTTAAAACCCGAACCCTTCAACTTTTACCTAGTTAACCTGAAATCTGAATATTTCTGCAGGTTAATAAGAAACAGAGACAGAAACAAACAGATGTCTGCGGCTGTTTCTCTCAGACTGTCACAGGTCATAGACTCTGTTAGGGATTAATTAAGACAGGAAGACATAACAGTTTAACGTAATCATCAGTCTGTTTTTAAGAATTAGCAGAGCAATAAACTGTTAACACAGAAACTCTCTAAGGTCGCTGCTTCGCTGTCTCTTCACTGTGGCTCCTACATTTCCCATGATGCACCCTGACACTGTGAGACATGTTTATTCTTCTTCTCAGTGATGAAGAGGGGTCAGTTGCTGTCTGTGTTGGTGGGCGGAGTTTTCTGCTTGGCTGTGCTGTCACTTTATCGTATGCTGGAGCTGATGCAAGGGGCGGAGCTTCAGCGCAGCAGGGAGAGACCAGAGGTGAGCGAGGTCAGTATCATCATCAGTGGACTTTCAAAATAAAAGCTGAAGGCGTCAGAGTGGAAATGTTTAATGTTTTTATCGCCCCACTTGTGTTCAGGATTTGTCCCGCCTCCAGCAGAAGATTGACAGGTTGGAGCGTCTCCTAAACAACAACAACCACCTGGTTGCTACGCTACGTGATTCTCTGCTTCACCGCAAGGCATCATGGGAGAGGGAAAATAGAGAGCAACAGGTCAATGTGAGCTCAGACTCCGTCCACAGCCAAGCTGACGGGCTGCCAGGCTGCCGATTGGCTGAAGAGATTAAAGATGGAACGAATGGGGTGCAGGTTAGTTAATCATGCTAACATGTGACAGCTGAAATAAATGTTTGAATATCTGTGTATGTCACTAAAAACATGTTAAATATATGTTAGTGTGTCAGACAGAGGAGACTGTGATGGTCATGTGTTTGTGTCAGCGTCTGTCTGTTGTTGTTGAAGCTGAAGATTTAAAAGTTTTTTAGTCGGAAATGTCGTCGTCGTCATCGTTTTCTTCCGCTTCATCCGGGTCACGGGGGCAGCAGCTTCAGGAGGGAAGCCCAGACGGCCCTCACCCCGGCCACTTCCACCAGCTTCTCCGGGGGGATTCCCAGGCGCTCCCAGGCCAGGCGAGAGATATAATCCCTCCACCTGGTCCTGGGCCGGCCACGAGGTCTCCTCCCGGTGGGACATGTCTGGAACACCTCTAACGGGAGGCGTCCAGAAGGCATCCTAACCAGATGCCCGAGCCACCTCAGCTGACTCCTCTCGACGTGAAGGAGTAGCGGTTCTACTCTGAGCACCTCCCAAGTGTCTGAGCTCCTTGCCCTATCTCTAAGGCTGAGCCTGGCCACCCTGCGAAGGAAACCCATTTCGGCCACTTGTATCCGCGATCTTGTTCTTTCGGTCATTACCCACAGTTCATGGCCATAGGTGAGAGTCGGCACGTAGATCGACCGGTAAATCGAGAATTTTGCCTTACGGCTCAGCTCTTTCTTCACCACGACTGATCGGTTAAGCGTCTGCATCACTGCTGATGCCGCTCCGATCTGCCTGTCGATCTCCCATTCCATCTACCCTCACTTGTGAACAAGATCCCGAGATACTTGAACTCCTCCACTTGAGGCAGGACCGCTCCTCCGACCTGGAGAAGGCAATCTACCTTTTTCCGACTGAGAACCATGGCCTCGGACTTGGAGGTGCTGATTCGCATCCCAGCCGCTTCACATTTGGCTGCGAACCGCCCCAACAAGAGCTGAAGGTCACTGCTCAACGAAGCTAGAAGCACCACATCATCCGCAAAAAGCAGCGACGCGATTCTCTGCCTGCCGAACTGGACACCCTCCACCCCCCGGCTGCGCCTAGAAATTCTGTCCATAAAGGTTATGAACAGAACCGGTGACAAAGGGCAGCCCTAGCGGAGTCCAACCCTTACTGGAAACAAGTCCGACTTAGAACCAGCTACACGGACCAAGCTCGTGCTCTAAAGGGACTGGAAGGCCCTTAATATGGAGCCCTCCACCCCGTACTACCAGAGCACCCCCCACAGGATTCCCCTAGGGACCCAGTCGTAGGCCTTCTCCAAGTCCACAAAACACATGTGGACTGGTTGGGCAAACTCCCATCTCCCCTCAAGAACCCGAGCGAGGGTGAAGAGCTGATCCGTCGTTCCACTAGCTCGGCGACTTCTACCCCAGTGATTGGACAGTCCACCTCCAGGTCCCCTGACTCTGTTTCTCCTTGGGAATGCATGAGAGTGGGATTGAGGAGCTCCTCAAAGTATTCCTTCCACCGCCAGAGAATTGCCCCAGGTGACGTCAGCAACTCCCCACCCCCGTCTAGAATGGTGTGGGCAAGTTGCCGTCTGCTGCCCCTGAGGCGCCGGACAGTTTGCCAGAACCTTTTTGGAGCCGACCGAAAGTCTTACTCCATGGCCTCACCAAACTCCTCCCACGCCCGAGTTTTGCCTCCGCAACTGCCCCGGCTGCGGACCGCTTAGCCAACCGGTACCGTTCAGCTGATTCCGGAGACCTGAAGGCTATCCATGACCTGTAGGCCTCCTTCTTCAGCCTGATGGCTCCCCTCACCTCTGGTGTCCACCACTGAGTTTGGGGATTACCGCCACGACCAGCACCAGCGACCTTGCAGCCACAGCTCGCAACTGCTGCTTCGACAATGGCAGAGCGGAACAAAGCCTATTCGGACTCAATGTCCCCCTCTGCCCCCGGGATGCAGTTGAAGCTCCATCGGAGGTGGGAGTTGAAAGCCAACCTGACGGGTTCTTCCACCAGGTGTTCCCAACAGACCCTCACAATACGTTTGGGCCTGCCAGGTCTGCGTGGTGGCCTCCCCCGCCACCTGACCCATCTCACCACCAGGTAGTGATCAGTTGACAGCTCTGCACCTCTCTTAACCCGAGTGTCCAAAACATGTGGCCGCAGGTCAGCTGATATGACTAGTCGATCATTGACCTACGGCCTACGCCGTCATGGTGCCAGGAGCACCGATGAGCAACCTTATGCTCAAACATGGTGTTTGTTATGGACATACTGCGACTTGCACAGAAGTCCAAATACTGAACACCACTCGAGTTCAGACCAGGCAGACCGTTCCTCCCAATCACGCCGCTCCAGGTCTTGCTGTCATTGGCCACGTGAGTGTTGAAGTCCCCCAGCAGAACAATGGAGTCCCCAGTCGGGGCGCTGTCAAGCGTCCGTCCTAGGGCCTCCAAAAAGGGTGGGTACTCTGAACTGTTATTCGGTGCATACGCACAGACGACAGTCAGGACCCGGAGGCGCAGAGAAGCAACCCTTTCGTCCAGCCGAGAAAACCCCAGCGTCCCCGCAGCAAGCTTTGGGGCGAGCAAGAAACCCACCCCCGCTCTCCGCCTCTCACCCTGAGCAACTCCAGCGTGGAAGAGTGTCCAACTCCTCTCAAGGACTTGGGTTCCAGAACCAATGCTATGCGTAGAGGTGAGCCCGACTATATCTAGACGGTAGCGCTCAACCTCCCCCACAAGCTCCAGCTCTTTCCCCGCTAGAGAGGTGACGTTCCACGTTCCAAGAGCCAGTTTCCACAACCGAGGATCAGACCGCCAAGGCCCCCGCCTTGGTCTTCCGCCCAATCCGTCAAGCACCGGACCCTTCAAGTTCCTCCTGCGGGTGGTGGGTCCACAGGAGGCAGTGCCCATGTGGCTCGTTCGGGCTGAGCCTGGCCGGGCCCCATGGGTGCAGGCCCGACCACCAGGCGCTCGCTGGCGAGCCCCAACCCCGGGCCTGGCTCCAGGGTGGGGCCCCGGTGTCCCTCCGGGCCGGGTACTCTGTTTCCCTTTTTTGTATTCCATTAGGGTCTTCTGAACTGTTCTTAGTCTGACCCTTTGCCTAGGACCAATCTGCCTTGGGAGACCCTACCAGGGGCAAAAAGCCCCGGACAGCATAGCCCCTAGGTTCATTAGAGCACGCAAACTCCTCCACCACGGTAAGGTGACAGTTCTTGGAGGAGTCAGAAATGTAAGGAAAAAAAAAAATGTAATTCGGAAATGTAAAAAACACAAAAATGTTCAAGACAAGAAACTGAATAAAATCGAACATTTCTGAAATCTCTGTTTTTGTGTTTCAGCTGCTGGACGTTTACGATCTCCTGCCTTTCGATAACCCTGACGGCGGCGCCTGGAAACAGGGATTTGAGATCAGTTACCATGACAACGAGTGGGACCAACAGTCCCTGGAGGTGTTCCTGGTTCCTCACTCACACAATGACCCAGGTGAGACGGTGGCAGAGGGCATGTCCAGGTGATCCTGAGCAGGGTACGAATTAATGAGACAAGTAACAACAAATGTGAACATGAGGCAAAGCAACTGATTGGTTTCTGCTACAGAGCTCCGAAATATGGGAAGAGCCAATCAAAGCTTAGATCTTGGGAGTGACATCTGGGCTAGCCAGTCAGATTTGAAGATGAGCCTGTTCCAGCTTTGACGATGACAGTGTCATCTTTATAACTGAATATGTTTGTGTGTGTGTGTGTGTGTGTGTGTGTGTGTGTGTCAGGCTGGTTGAAGACCTTTGACAGTTATTATCAGGATCAGACGAGACACATTTTGGACAACATGCTGATCAAGCTGAGCGAGGACTCCAGGTGAAGCCCCGCCCCCTCTGTTTAATATTCGTATTTTAACATATAGTCAACACATATAAGTGTGTGTGTGTGTGTTTGTGTGTGTGTGTGTGTGTGTGTGTGTGCTCAGGAGGAGGATGATCTGGGCGGAGATTAGTTATTTCTCTAAGTGGTGGGCGGAGCTTGATGATCAAAAAAGGCAGATGGTCAAACGGTAAATTCACACATTTTCTTCTCAAAGGTGAAAGAGGAACGAAAAGTTTTTATTTCGGTAAAACAGGAACTAAAAGCTTTTATTTTGGTAAAACAGGAACTAAAAGCTTTTACTTTTTAACTCACACTCTCCTCTCATGCTCTCCCTTCATGCTGCTCTGTGATTGGCCAGCCTGTTAAAGGCGGGGCAGCTGGAGCTGGTGACGGGTGGCTGGGTGATGGCGGATGAGGCGAACTCTCATTACTTTGCTCTCCTCGATCAGCTGATGGAAGGACACCTCTGGATGCAGCGACACCTGGGTGAGTGACTCTGCCCTCTCCTGTATGACCCCATACTACCCATCAGCCCCTCTTCAGGTGTGACATCACAGCTTTCCCCTTTCTGTCCAGGTGTGCAGCCGAGCAGTGGCTGGGCCATTGATCCCTTTGGCCACTCCCCCTCCATGACCTACCTGCTGAAGGGGGCAGGGCTTCAAAATATGGTTATCCAACGTGTTCACTATGCTGTGAAAAAACACTTCGCCCGGCAACAGACGCTGGAGTTTCTATGGCGACAGAGCTGGGGTAAGAGGAGAGGACAAAATTTCATGTAGACTTTTATTTTGAAAAAACTGAAGTTAAAAACATCACAGAAGAAGAAAGGAGCGAAGAAATGAGTGAAATTAATTTAAATATAAAAAACTTAATACAAAGAAACAACAGTCTGAAACAAACCGACCACGACAATTTAATCTGAGAGACTGAAGTCAGTTCATGATTATTACGATAACCACAAACATCATTGGGAAAACCTACATTTAAACCCTGAACCCTGAATCATTCAAATTGATCTTTGGCTTATAGTTACTCTAAAATAAAATTAAAAAAATAAAATAAAATTTAAAAAAATTGACCTTTACTTAGAAAAATTAAGAAACAGTAAAAAAGAATAAAGCCAACGTTATTCAAAATAATCCAAACAGATTTAAACACAGACAGAAACAACAAGCTTAAACGGGCAGTTTTTCTAAGGGGATTTGGTGCTGTGCTCTACCACTCAATCTAACCTTAGATTTCCCATCATGATAAAAACGCTGTGACACAACAAACCTGTCATTTAACCTCGAATGACATCAGTGAACCCTGCTGTTAAGACGCTGTCTCGCCATGCCGTGTTTGAGTGGAGTAACAGGAAGTGACCCTGTGACCCGCATGTCTCTGGTTGGTGGATTGAGCTCTCTAAGTGAGACTGGCGTTTTGTCAGGATACGGTTTCAGCTCTGAGACTCCAAACCAATCATCACTAGCCAGAGATCAATAACTGCATGGATTAGGATTTAAAAATAATTTAATCTAACTCCGCCCACTCTCCTATGTGTTTTAGACTCCTCCCCCCGCAGTGACATTACCTGTCACATGATGCCTTTCTACAGCTATGACGTGCCACATACGTGTGGACCGAACCCCGCCGTCTGCTGTCAGTTTGATTTCCACCGCCTGCCTGGGAGGCGGGTCGTCTGTCCATGGAGGATTTCGCCTCAGCCAATCACAGAGCAGAACATCAAAGAAAGGTAAACAGGGGGCGGGGCAAAGAGAGGTTATATTTCATATTCCTGTCAGCCGAGACCAGGACCCTGAGGTTCACACAGGCTCACCAGAACCGGACTCTCGAGAAACCTGGTTCTGATGAGTCCGGGTTTCAGCTGGTGGATCAGGAAGGATCCGTGAGGACAAACATCTCTGAGGAAGATTTTCACACCTTATTAAAGTTCTAATACCAAGAATTAAGACGGTTCTGAGGGGATCCAACCCAGAACTAGTGAGGTGTACCTAATAAAGTGGCCGGGGGTGTAATCTCTAGAAGACAGACGCATGAGAATGAAGTGATAATTTGATGAGAATAATGAGGTTGTAAAGTTCTCATGAGAATAAAGTTCTGGTTCTGGTCGTCTCAGGGCGCTCCTCCTCCTGGATCAGTACCGTCAGAAGTCTCATCTCTTCAGATCGCCGGTCCTCCTGGTTCCGCTCGGTGACGACTTCCGCTTCGTAGAGTCCAGTGAGTGGGACGTTCAGTTCCAGAACTACCAGAAACTCTTCGACTACTTCGACCAGCATCCTGAGCTGCACGTCAAGGTGAGCCGCACACACCTGGGAGGGGGCGGGGCCTGAAAGCAGGATGACTTGGAGTCAGAGCGTCTTAGTTCAGACGTTTCTTCCTCTGTGGTGTCTGCAGATGTAATCAGTCCCTCTGTGGTTCCTGTCCTTCAGGCTCGGTTCGGGACTCTCTCCGAATACTTCCGGACTCTTCAGGACCATCTCAGCACCGCTGGGACCAATCTGCCTACGCTGCGCGGCGACTTCTTTACCTACGCCGACCGTGATGACCATTACTGGAGCGGGTACTTCACGTCCCGCCCCTTTTACAAACGCCTGGACCGGATCCTGGAGGCCACGCTAAGGTACTCCTTCACACGCACACCTGTGGGACACACGTGGGCGATGGTGCTGTTACCGTGGTAACCACCAAGAATCAGGCGGTTCATCTCTGGTGTTTCTGACTGTTTATTCTCTTTGTCACCTTCAGAGCGACTGAAGTCCTCTTCAGTCTCATGCTGGCTGAAATGCGGCATTTTCATGGCAACGGTCAACTGGCTGCTGATTTCCCAGCTGTTGATCACTTTCTGCATCTGACAGCGGCCAGGCGAAACCTGGGTCTGTTCCAGCATCACGATGCCGTCACGGGTACCGCCCGCGACCCCGTCGTGGTGGACTATGGCACCAGGTAGCAACTTCCTGTTAGCATGCTAGCATGTTAGCTTCAGTCAGGAGTGGAATTTCGCACATTAGCAGGTTAGCGTCTTTGTGGTCCTGATGTCAGAAGGCGGGAACAGGAAACGCGGCGGCTACAGTCGGGGGGGGGGTTAATTCTAGCAGCATTGTAATACTATAAAAATATTACAATATTATAAACAAAGAGCACACCTACAACAAACAGTTGTTTTGTTTAAGTAGACGTCTACAAATCTCCTTTTTTTTTTTTTTACCTCTCCTATTGACTTCAATGTATAATCTAGCCAGAGTTTTTTACAACTTAAGTCGCTAAAAATTTGTAATCCTTCCTCCTTTGTTAGCGTTCATTACGCTCACTGTGTTCACTACACTCACTGCGCTTCACCATGTTAAGGGTTTATTTCGACCCGTGGTTTTAATCAGCAGCAAATTTCACTAAAAACAATAATTTATCCTCCAGTTTGGTTCTCCTCTCTCGGTTACCTTTTTCGGCTTCATTATCCATAAAAATATTTATTATAATAGTTTTTGTTGTGGTCCTCTGCTTCACAAAGACATCTGTACTGAACTGATCTCACATGTCTGGACATGCAGAGAAAATGAGAATTTCCTGAATCTCGGATCTGACTGTCAGTGCACTTATAATTTCAGTTTTTGCTCTAATTATTGACTTTTAATCTAAACGGGTCGACAGTGACCCAATCAAGACAAGCGGCATAATTTTAACCAGAGCATTTTATAATTAACTTAATTAATATTTTTATTTTTGTTCTGTTGAAATAGAGGTTTCTGACAAAGTCAAAAAGTCTTGATGCAAAAAAAAAACAATTTTATGTGGTTCTCTTATTCATTTAAAACCAAAAACGGGCTGGTGCAGACCCGAACACAGGAGGAGGGATACAACAGAGAAAAGTTATGGCACACCGATGCTGATCAGATCGAACATTTTAATTTGTCCTACAACTCTTTAAGCTGAGGGACAAATTTGTCTGTAAGAGGATGAAAAGAAAATTGTCAGTTTAACGATCGTGTTTCTGTTTGTAATCTTTATCCTAATTAGATTCAGGGACAAAGAGGTTAAAAAAAGGAAAAAAAATAAGGAAAAAACATGAAAGGAGGAAGAGGTAAAAGAGAAAAATATGGTTATAGTGGATTATGATGGATGGATTTATCTTTACTGCTGTAACTCTTTATTTTTTTGTTTTTCTGTTTCTGTTTTTTTTTTTTTTTTTTTTGTCAGTTTTTCAGTTTCAGTCACTGTTAGTGTCGTAACTCCCTGGTTGTCTTTAGCGTTAGCTTGTTTTGTCTCATTTGTCCCTCCATGCTCTCCTTTGGAGGACCAGGACCAGGAACAGACCAGGTACCAGGTCCCGCCTCACTTAGCTTTAGCACTAGCCTCTGCTGTAACTTTTCCTTTTAGTAGGGTCTGTTAACTTGAAAAAATGGCCAAATCGTTACGCGGTGGATAAAAGCACAACATTCGGATCCATTAAATGCCTTTTCAAGGGGAAAATCCAAAATGGCCGCCAGAAATGAACCATAATTCATAAGATGTGGTCTAATTCTGAAATTTTGGCTTAATCTGCCAATTATAGATTTTCATTTATAGTAAATAGACCAATAATAAAGGATTTGGCCAAAGCCACCCAATAAAATATGTGTAAAATATGTTTTAAAGACCTTTAAACGAGAATAAATTGGCTTAAAATGTACTCTGAAAGACATGACTTTACACATTAATCCTTCTGTGAATGATATATTGTTGATGCCAGATACAAAATTGTTTTTCAGAAAACTACTAGTAGGCCCTATGAATGATTATATATAGGTAATATATTGTGACAACTTTATATGACCATAGATCCAGCACTCATATACTGTATAGGCACAACTTATTTTTAAGCCGAGACATAGCAGGTGACTAGTGTAAAAAATTAACCAACAGCTATCACAATTAAACTTCACAGATGGTTACTTACATTAAGACTAAGATTTTTTGTATTTTTTTCTGAAATGATATGCTTGAATATGCAAATTGGGCAATATATGTACTAATTTGCGTTCATTTGAATATATTTCATAAATATGAAGTTTGGGTAAAAAAGCCACTTTATATATTTTTTTAAATCATTGGAGCCAAGAATATGTGTATAAACACTCAACAGATGATTACTTTAACTAAATTATAAATAGTATTGACTGTTGCTTGGGGACTGCGGAAGCGGACAGGTTCTCGTGCTTAAAATGAAACAATGTTGCAACTTTTTGTGGGAAAAGCAGGCTTTCCCGCGATCTCTCTCTCTTTCTCTCTCTCTCTCTCTCTCTTTCTCTCTCTCTCCACACACACACGCACACACACACACACACACGCACACACACACACTTGGACTGCAGGAGCGGACAGGTTCTCGTGCTTAAAATTAAACAATGTTCTAACTTTTTGCGAGAAAGGCAGGCTTTTCCCATGCCAGGAATCAAAGACATTTGCATTACTGGAAAGATACACCTGTGTTCTGTACGACAAGACAACTGACATTGAAAATGTCAATGACCTAAGGAAGGACCTGTTTTCTAAGAAATCTCTGTCAATGGAAAACATTCCTCCGACACAGGATGCATTGCTACAGCATGCACATCGAGCAGTTTATCAGTCTAGGATTTGGTTCAACAGCTTAAAGCTATCCAGTCTCTACCATCTTCTGACAAATTTGGATGGACCAAAGTCAATGATTTGTGGAGACCGCTATGGACACGATTGCCAGAGGCTGCCAAAGTTTGCAGAGAACTCCTTAAGTGTGGCTGCAAAGCTGAGCCCCTCTGTTCTCGGAAGTGTCGTGCCGGGATGCTGGATTACCTTGTACAGTTTTATGCCAATGTGCTGGTAAATGTAAATGAGTCACTTGGCAAAAAGAAAGAATAAAAGACGAAAAGAGGGGAAAAAGACAAAACAACAGACAGACAGACAGACAGTAGCATGCCCACTCAGGATGGATTGAGATGGGTGGAGAGATGGAGAGATATGATGACAGACAGACAGACAGACATGAAGATGGATGGATGGATGGATGGATGATGGACGGATGATGGATGGATGGATCCAGCCTCAATGGGACACGATTCAGATAGATAGATAGATAGATAGATAGATATGAAGATGCATAGACATGAAGATAGATAAGATACATAGATTAGATAGATAGATTAGATACAGTAGATTAGTAGGTGGATGGATGGATGGATGGATAAATGAATGCAGCCTCAGTGGGACACAAGCCAGTGTTCTACTTGTGCCGGTCCCAAGCCCAGGGAAATGCAGAGCGTTGTAATTCAAATAGTTTTGTATGCATTTATAGGGTTTTGAAAAATAATGCCTGCACCGTGAGCGTCATCTCCCTTTCTTTCTGCCCCTTCATTTGCATCATCTATCAATTTTATCAATAACTCACTTCCTGTTTCAGATTATTTTGGGCACCCTTTCTAGGGTGTTTAGGATAACACAAGGTACGCATGTGAGATGTTATAGTTTTATGAGATTCTTTAGATGGCTTTTGAGTCAATCAACAACACTGTAGGCCATTTTCAATTTAGTCAATGACTCACTTCCTGTTTCAGATTATTTTGGGCACCCCTTCTAGGATGTATTAGGATGACCCTAGGGACATATGTGCCAAATAGTATGCTTCTCTGAAATTCAATAGGCTATTTGAATCAATCGGCAACACTTTAGGCGGCCATTTTGAATTTCGTCAATAATCCACTTCCTGTTTTTGGCCACTATATCTAGGATGTCTCAGGATGACCCAAGGGTCACGTGTGCCAAACTTTATGATTTTTGGACATCCTTGAGGTGTTTTTTGAGTAAACTGTCACCTGTTTAGGCGGCCATTTTGAATTTTGTCAATAACTCACTTCCTGTTTGACATTTTTTTAGGCACCCCTTCTAGGATGTTTTGGGATGACCTAAGGGACATATGTGCCAAATTTCATGCTTTTATCCACCGTGTAACGATTTTTCACCCAACAGACCCTACTATTTAGCATTAGTATTAGCGTCTAACATCAGTTACCGTCTTTCAGTTTATTTAATTTATGATATTTAACGATGACGTTAATCAGCTGATTTTATGTCTGATTTTAGTTTAATTAAAGTGTGATTGTTTTTTTTAATTTAAATTAACTCTGTTTACAAATGAAAATAATTAACTTTAAACTCGCTTAACAAACAAACTTCTTTTTTTCAGACTGTTTCACTCCATCCTGAACCTGCGTCAGGTGCTGCAGAGCTCTGCCCACTGGCTCCTCCTATCTGACAAGAGCCAGTACCACCACGACCAATCAAAACCCTTCTTGCTCATGGTGACCTCTGACCCCACCTAATGATTTTGTCCTGAATTGTATTTTTGATAATTATTAAGTTATTGATTATTTTTTAATGACTCTGTAATTATAATCAAATGTTGTTTCACCAGGATGACGTGATTGCAGCTCACGACGCTTTGCCGCAGAAGACCCCGCTCACACTCAGTGACAAGCCAAGGTGAGGGGGCGGGGCTTACATATTTTCATCAGTTTATATAAAAACTCTTTAAAAGTCTGTTGGAAAAAAATGGAATAACAAACACATGTTTACAGGAAGTAGCATCACATTCGGACATTTTTCGCTGTTCACGTGTAAATCATCATTTACATTTCTAAACTGAAACGCACAGTAATAAATAACGATGTTGATTTTGGTAATTTTAGCATTTTTAATTTTTCAATGGCAGACATTTTAAAAGTTCATATTAACGTCTTTATGTCATTATTTTTCTTCTCTACACGAAACGGTAAGCTTTAACATGCTAACGTTAGCTTAGCCTGTCAGCTAACAGCGTGCTAAAGTTAGCTTAGCCTGTCAGCTAACATCATGCTAATGTTAGCCTAGTCTGTCAGCTAAGAGCATGCTTACGTTAGCTTAGTCTCTTTGTAACATTAGCTTTGTCTTCTGATTATGTTAGCTTATTCTGTCGGCCATCTTTGTGTTTCCGTCAGTGTGAACCTACATCAAACACTGATGTTAGCATGAAGCTAGCTTTGACCTGTAGACGTTTGTGTTTCCATCAGACTGAACAAACAGCTGTTTCCTGTTTATAATGAATGAGCTATTAGCCAAATGCTAACGCGCTAACATACTAACATGCTAAACTGCAAACATCGTTAAAAAACCTGCCTGAGTGATCTTTGCTTAGATAAGCATCTTAGCATCGTCACTGTGAGTGTAGTAGCATGATGTTAGCATGTTGCCATGACAACACTTCCTGTTAATTGCTGAGTAGTTAACCCATTGTCGATGATGTCACCAGGTTGCTGGTCGTTTTTTACCCAACGCGCTGCTCCGATCATCGGTCATTAGTGTCGTGGTCGACACCCTGGACGCTCTTGTTGTTGATGCAGAAATCGGTCGACCAACGTTAGCTTATTCTGTCGGCCATCTTTGTGTTTCCGTCAGTGTGAACCTACACTAACACTGATGTTTGCATGAAGCTAGCTTTGACCTGTAGATGTTTGTGTTTCCGTCAGACTGAACAAACAGCTGTTTCCTGTTTATAGTGAATGAGCTATTAGCCAAATGCTAACGCGCTATCATACTAACATGCTAAACTGCGAACATCGTTAAAAAACCTGCCTGAGTGATTTTTGCTTAGATTAGCATCTTAGCATCGTCACTGTTAGCGTAGTAGCATGATGTTGGCATGTTGCCATGACAACACTTCCTGTTAGTTGCTGAGTAGCTAACCCGTTGTCGATTGATGTCACCAGGTTGCTGGTCGTTTTTAACCCGTCGGCGCAGCTCAGATCATCGGTCATTAGTGTCGTGGTCGACACTCTGGACGCTCGTGTTGTTGATGCAGAAACCGGTCGACCAATGGCTGCGCAGATCTCTGCTGTGTGGGAGGAGCCAAGCAGAGCATCTTCAGAAGCTTTCCAGGTGATCAGTGATCATCCAATAAGAGCAGAGCTTCAGAGTGAGGTCACAGAAGGATGTGGGACTTATGAATTTATTCTCTTTCAGCTCGACTTCGTGGCTGAACTTCCTCCTCTTTCACTCGTCATTTATCATGTGACCAAAGCTTCTGTTGGCTCCGCCCATCGGGTTCAGTACACCATCAGTCGTCATGGCGACCCATCAGCTGTTAAGTCTAAACACTTCCAAGTGTCTGAAGCTGAGGTCGACGCCCCCCTGTCACTAAGCAACAAACACATCCAAATATGGAGTTCCTCAGAGAGCGGCCTGCTGCAGGTCAGTTTTCAAAATAAAAGTCTGTCAATGGAGACTGTGAGGTGAGTGAGTGTTGGATTTTCAAAATAAAAGTCTGTTAATGATAATTGTGAGGTCAGTGAGTGTTGATATTTCAATTTTAAAGTCTGTCAATGATGACTGTGAGGTCAATGAGTGTTGGATTTTCAAAATAAAGTCTGTTAATGATGACTGTGAGGTCAATGAGTGTTGAATTGTTGAAGTAAACTTCTTTAACAAGAAAAAAAAAAACTTTTATATTGAAATGCAGAAGCTCTGTCTGCTCCAGTCTGGTCTGGTTCATAAAGTCCAGGTCCAGTTCCTGTGGTACGGGACCACAACCAAGCAGGACAAGAGTGGAGCGTACCTGTTCCTGCCAGGACCTGAGGAGGCTCAGGTGAGACCAGAACCCGAACCAAGTCTGCACCAGAACCTTCAGACCAGGACTAACTACCCTTACCCCCCCACAGCTCTATTCGTCCTCTGAACCCCCACTGATCCGGGTCACCAGGGGTCCTGTCTTCTCTGACATCACTTCCCGTTTCAAACATTTCACACACAGAGTCCGACTCTACCACCTGGAAGGTAAGAGAGAGAGTTGCCCTGAGTTCAGTCTGTCAGGCTGTCCTGACTTCAGGCTGCCCTGAGTTCAGTCTGTCAGGCTGCCTTCATGAACTTTAAATTTTAGGTGAGTACTGAGCATTCTCAGTGACGTCTCTGTGACTCGGCCTTCTTACCTACATTTCTCTAAAATGTTTTTAATTAAATTTTTTTAAAAATAACTAAAAGTTTCAAAATATTTTTTTTTTTTTAAATTGTGTGTTCTGCCCCAGGGCATGCTGGGAGATCCCTGGAGATTTCTAACATTGTGGACATAAGGTCAGAGGTCAACCGTGAGCTTGTTATGCGGATCACCAGTGATGTTGCCAATGGCAACCGCTTCTTCTCTGACCTTAACGGTTTTCAGGTTCATTCACTGTCAAGTCATGATTGTTGATAACGTTGTTTATGATTGGTCGGTTTATTGGTTATTGATTGGTTATCGGTGCAGATGCAGCAGCGGCGGACTCTGGCAAAGCTCCCTCTGCAGGCGAACTTTTACCCAATGACCTCGGCTGCGTTTGTTCAGGACTCGTCATCTCGTCTGTCTCTGCTGGCGGCTCAGAGTCAGGCGGTGGCGTCCCTCAGACCAGGTGAGTCTGTTCACCTGCCGAGCGTTTTCTCCGTTATCGAGTCGTCATTACCTCAGAACCAAACTCGGTCCTTCACCTGTACAGGTGAGCTGGAGGTGGTGTTGGACCGGCGGCTGCAGCAGGACGATAACCGCGGTCTGGGTCAGGGCGTCACTGACAACAAGCTGACCGCCAGTCTCTATCAGCTGCTGTTGGAGGACAGAAGGGGTGGAGCTCAGGTGAGGGGGCAGGGCTTCAGACATTTCTTGTTTGCCACCTGGCCAAAGACAACACAGGTGTGATTCCCATCATTCAGGTGTGGGCGGGCTCATGAGCGCCCCCTAACTATGTTTAAAGGAACAGCCTCATCCACCAGCCTCAGACTTACATAAATGTTCTGTGACAGGAAGTCCTTTATTTTAAAAAAACCTGCTCTGGTCCAGGGTTCTTGGTGTATTCTGGGGTTCTTTAAGGTTCTTCTCCTCCCGGGGTTTTCTGACCCGCTCCAAACTGAGCAGGGAAACAGACCACAGTGTCATTTTCTGCTCCTCTAATTTTACAGGAAGTGGGAGGGGCATCAGTGGAACACCTGTCCCTGCTGGCGCACATGACCTCGCTCTTCCTCTGCCATCCACCGCACACCATGGTTACCTCTAGCAACAGCCAGCTGCCAAGGCTACGCCCCTTCCTGCCGCTGCGCTCATCTCTGCCGTGTGATGTTCACCTGCTGAACCTCAGAACGCTGGAAGACACTCAGGTGAGGAAACGTCTGAACACTGTAGGCTGGTAGGGGAAGGCCCGCCTTCCTTCGCCTCTGATTTGCTAGAAGTGCTGGGCTCTGATTGGTTATTCCTTATGGCTGTGAAACCTCATTGTCTGTTGGGTTAGGAGATTCAGACCTGTGATAATGTTCTGTAAAGTTATGTTCGATGTACAGAGCCGACAGCCCGCACTCGGCTTGAGCGTGTGATGACGTTTAACAGCCAATCAGAGGCAAAGGAGGCCTTCCCCTACCATCCTGCGAAAAAAAAATCGCCTCCCTCAGACGTTGTTGGAGTCAGGCCATTACACTTTGCCTGAAGCTAGGATGAACCAATGAGGAGAGACGATAAGGCTGACGTAGGAATTTTTGTAAATCTCGCACATAAACGACGATGACAAACATGTTAACCTCGTGATTTCAAACTTTAACATCAGTAGTTTGAACACCGAACTCAGGCCCGAACTACACGAATGCGGATATATTTCAAATCGCACATATTTATGTCCGATTAGGCCTTCCTACCACACCAAAACGGGAGTTTGCAGCACTCAAACCGGATAAATCTGAATCCGGAAAAACAAGTGGAGAAATAAAAAAATATCCGTATCCCGTATCCGTAGTGGATTCGTGTGGTTGGACTTTTACGGATCGATGACGTCAAACCGCAGCTCGTGCATGCGAATTAAAAAGAAAAACAACAACAACGATGGCGGACAGACAGGGTATTCTTTACATTTATTTTGCCCTTTTGGGGCTAATTTGAGCCTTGCAAGTGAACCTTGTTTTATACAATTACATCCACCAGTCAGCCAGCTCACAGACGCATCTGCTGCGGCCAATACTTTTATTGGTCACATGGTCCGTCACATGGACCCGACGCACTAGCGGAGCTTCTGCAAACAATGCATGACGCATCACGCTGTTATGATTCATCGGCCAATCAGTTAGCTTTGTTCCTGAATTTTTTTTAAGCGGCACCAGATAGGATTGAGTTTGAAGGCTACGTGTGGACGCAGATATTTTTGAGAACTAACACGTGTGGACAGATACATTTATTTAGACGGGAGTACAAAAATATCCTGATAAATAAATATCCATATACGTGTAGTTTGGGCCTTAGTTACTTTTAGTTTTTGTTGTAAATGTGAAAAAGCATGAACCCCCAACGGTTGTCGGGGGTTCATGCTTTGAACGGGGTTGACGGTTCAGACAGAATCACTAACAGCTATATTTTTTTGTCTGTTTTGTTTTGTTTGTTTTGTTTGTTTGTTTGTTTGTGTTTAACAGGAAGCTGACACTCCCTCACAGGAAGTTGCCCTGCTTCTCCACAGAAAAGGGTTTGATTGTAGCTCTGCCCCCCAACCATCGTTGCCGTGCACATGGAGTCCAAACGAGGAGGTTCTTTATTATTATTATTTATAAATATCTATATTATATTATTATTTTAGGAGTTTAAACCAGTTTGATCTTTTTTTCAGTTTGTTTTGATTCATTAATTTGTGTTTTTACTCATTTTTATTTGTTTCTTTTTTTTTTCAGGTGGACATGGATGATCTTTTCTCTCCTCTCCAGTTTCGTTCACTCCGTCGCTCTGGTCTTACTCTGTTGCGAGAACACGATGAACCAGAATCTGCCTGGCAACAGCAGCAATCACGCATCACCCAGCTTCGGCCAATGGAAATCAGTGCTTTTCGAGCGGTGATAGAATGAAGAACAGATTTTAAAACGAATTTATCAAAAATTTTGTCACAAACAGTAAATATAAAAACTCAAAAAGGATAAGAGAAGCAGCCAATCAGAGAGACCCTTCAGGGAAAAAAAACAACCTCTGTGAGAAGAAAAGAAAGACAAAAAAGGAGGAAAAATGAGAAAAAATGAGTGTTGAAAAATGTTCAAAGTGGGGAAGAGCAGAGAAAAAATGAGCCGACAATTCAGAGTGAGATTGTGAGACAGAAAAGATTTCAACTGTTACAGAAAAACAAACAAAACAATAAAAAACAAACAAACAAAAACAATCAATAAAAACAAACAAATCAATAAAACAAACAAACAATGAAACAATCAATTAACAAACTTAGAATAAAAACAAACAAACCCATCAGATTAAAAAGAGGTTAATATCTGCTGTTTGAACCTGTTTAATTTTATTCGGTTTAAAATTATTTTTTAATATGACACCTGTTCAGGTGGTCAGGCTCTAAGGTCAGCTACACATGTCATTAAGAAAAGGTCAGTACATTCAAGGTCAAAGGTCACAGACAGAAATAACATGGAGAGGTCAGGTTTCTATGGCAGCAAAGGGACCAAATGATTGTGTGTGTGTGTGTGTGTGTGTTTCCATGGTGACATCGGTGTGCGTATCAAAGTCTGTTCCTGCTGATTGGTCGTTTGTGTTTATTACGAGTGTTGCATTATGGGTAATCTGTAGATCAGCTGTAATTTGTTTAAATTATTGATTTTTTTTGACTTAGTGTTGTGGGTGGAGCTGCAGCTGTTTGTGTATGTGTTTGTGTGTATTTTATAAATGCACATACATTGGTGTGTCTGCGCTGAACGATAATTTCACTGTAAAAAAAAAAAGGGAAAACTTTTAAATCTTTTGTGTTTTATTTTGTAATTAAATGATTAGCTGTTCTAAGTTTATTAAAGAAAAGTTTAAATTTCTTTTTTTTTAAATCAAATAAATTATTTTTTAATCGTTCTTTATGTTGGTTCACACTTTTTAAGGAGCAGTTTTTGTCTGAAACATCAGAGCTCTTCTTCTACCACACCTGCTCAATCTCAGGTAGAGCTGGGGGCGGAGTCACACCTGGACCAGGTAGAGCTGGGGTCGGAGTCACACCTGGACCACCTGTCAAAGGAACTTTAGAGACCAGAAGACCATGAACCAGTGACAAAAACGGTCTTTAAACTGTAGAAGGAAACTAAATTCACAGAGGGGGTCCAGGTGAGATCTCCCGACTCTGTCCCGGGTCAAACTAGACCACCCTATTATAAATGTTGGTCCAAAGCTCTTAGCGAGGCGTGGAGGACTTCGGATTGAGGGGAGAGGATACAAGAGATCGTCACTTACTGATTGGCTGCTGCAGCTTACCTGACCTCACTGACACATCCAATCACTGGAGATCTCAAGAGGAAGTTTTTAGACACCAGACTTCCTCTCTGATTCTGATTCAATATCGATCCAGAGGAGATCAGCTGATCTCCTGCAGGAGTGTTGGGAACTAAAAAAACAAAATCGAACATTATTAATTCTGATTAAATGTTTTTTTATTCATTTGAAGTGGAGTCAAACTCTCTGTGAGTCCAGTCCACCTCTTTATTATGACCTCATTCTAACTACAGGAGCCTGTAAAGGACAAGAGTCCAGCAGATCGGAGGTTCTGAAGGTCAGAATCTTTGTTGGTCATGTGATCAGCAGGTAGAAACAGGTGAGCTGCTCACAAACAGGATCATAAATCTGATTAAATATTATCAAACACAAGACTTCCTGTTCAGGTATGTTCACCTGCAGCTGATCAAACAGGTAAGAAGATCGTCTTCTTCAAGAAAACTGGTGGTGTGTGTGTGTGTGTGTTGACTCTCCTGGGTCATTCAGCTGCGAAAGATACATGATCCTGATCGGTCAACACTGAGGATGGGAACTAAGGCTATGTTCACACTGCAGGTTCTGATGCACAATTTTGATTTTTTGTTAAATCCGATCTTTTTGTGTGGCATCCAGTGTGAACGGAATGCATCTGTGAAGTTCACCGCATGCGCACAAAGCACAAATTGCGCCTGTTTGTGTTGTTGAACAATGGTGACGTTTGTCGCATATTGATGACGTATAGGTTGTATGAACACGACCTGAGCGTCCACACTGCAGTCACATCGGATACATATCCGGTTTATATCCACATACTAAAGAGGCCTGGGTTGGATTTGAAAAAATCAAAATTGCACTGTTCACACTTACATGAAAAAATCAGATATTTGTCACATATGGTTAAACAAATCGGAATTGACCTGCAGTGTGAATATAGCCTTACGTCGCTTTCACACCTGACCAAGCGGACGTGGTTCGATTGGGGAGCTGAAAGTCGCAACATTGTTCCATTTATCACTTGTTTCAGATCTGCTTTCACACTGTGATTTCTAAAGCGCACCAAACTTTCCGAGCAGCATCAAGTGGTTGAAAGGGGCGCTCATCGATTGGACAAAGTTGGAGGGGTATGTAACCTCACGGATTACAAACAGGGCTGGACTAGCTGTCTTGTATTGTGCTTCGTCATATTATTTTATGGAATGCTACATTGTTAGTGGACACAACTGTTCCTATAATGCTTTCGTAGCTTGTCAGGGATTGATCCTGTTATTTTTCTAACTTTGACGATCTAACGTGACAACATATGAGCTCAGAGTTTAAGGACTGTGACTGTTGGTAGTTGTGATTTGATTTTGTTTAAATATGGTCAGTGGTCACTTGTTGCCATAGCAACAAGCGATGCCATGCTTCCTCTACCCAAGATGCACTGCGTATGCACTGCAGATAGCGTCATTACGTACATTTGGTCCTGTGTTTGGTTCGGTGAGCTTTCACACTGCATATGAACCAAACCAGGGTTCACTTGCAAGCGAACCGAGACCCACGTTTTCAGCTGGACCAGAGTTCGCTTGTTTGGTCCGCACCAGAGTTCGGATGAGCTTTCACACCTGCCCAAACGAAGCGGAGTATCCGAGGAAACAAACTCTGGTCCATTTAACAGTTCTGGTGTGAAAGCAACCTTAGAACGGGTCCCAGACCAGAACCAGGTCTTAGCAGTTCGAGCTACAGTCATCATTCGTGTAAACGATTAAAGGGATATTCCGGTGTAATATTAAGTTAGGGTCAAATACACCATAACACCGAGTTAGACTCCCCCTCCAGAGATGAATGTTGCTGACCACTTGCTTCTCTAGTCATACCAACTTTAGTAACAACCGCACAATAGCAATACACAGTGGCCTGAGGAGCCATAAACAAACCTCAACCAAAATAGCACTTTATAGCCACACATAATGCTCAGAACAGCACCTAACTTCATCAACAGTACATGTAGGGTCCCAGCCGTAGTACTATATTCAGAGTTGTTCTAACTCCTACGAAAATATAAACTTAAGCGGAGGTAAAGGTGTTTTTATTAAGCAGAATTATTAACAAAATCATGATTTTGTTAACATGTATGGATATATGTGCTGTCAAGTTAATATAGTTGAACAAGAGCACAGTAAAGTTAAATCAGCTAATTTTCCAATGAGGTTCTGTTACTGAACGGAACTACACCATGATCTACTGAGGTTAGTACAAATAGGGTCCCAGCCATAGTACTAGCCACCAAACATCTTTTTAACTTTGACTAATTTCTTTAGCAAAGAGACTAAACACAACTCACCTACTTTCTTCCAGCAGCCGCTTGTTTGTAGCGAGACCTCAGGCCAGTCCATTACGGACTACAGTGGGGTGACGCAGCTCAAGGAAGAACATTTATGATAATTTCTTTATCATTTCCTTGAAGTAATAATCATCATATTAATCATTTTGAACTGCAGATGCGGTAGTTCTTCTGTCTTACTGCCTTGGTCTGATTGTATTTCCATGAAGAAATGATCATAAATGTTCTTCCTTGAGCTGCGTCACCCCGCTGTAGTCATAAGAGTTTCTATGAACGGACTTGTAGTCCATATTGAGTTGATCACCTGTTTTCATCAGCTGACTGAGGGTCACATGATTACCTGTGTTTCCACAGAGATGTGGACCAGGACTCTGTAGAACTTGGATCTGACTGCAGGAGGAAGAGGAGCGAGGAGACGAAGAAGGAGGCGGAGCAGACCCCCCGCCCCCCCCGACCTGTCTCTGTTACTGAAGAGTCTGATCAAACACGCGACGTCCTCCACGTCATCCAGATGTTTGACCATCAGGAGCCGCTGATGAGGCGGACAGTGGGGGGGGGGGGGGTTTGAGAAGGTGGGGGACAGAGTCAGGGCGCTGAGGGACCGGACCGACAGCAGATCTGAACCTGCAGCTGCTGGAGGAGCCGGACTCCTGGTCTGCGCGGTTGGAGTTTTTGCAGCTTGGGTATCTGGGGGGTGGAGCTGGGCCGTGGTTGCCACGGTAATAGGAACAGCGGTGTTTGGAGGAGCTGCTGGTTTCAGGGTGGCCACAAACTGGTTCAGATCCTTCTCAGAGGGAGAGAACCAGAACCAGGTCCAAGAGCTGATGGAGATGGTCCAGTGTCTGAAGAAGGACATGGAGGAGATCCAGCAGACCTACAGGAAGGTGGAGCTGACGGCTGGAGCTCAGGCTGCCCATGTTCTGAAGGAGGTGGAGGAGTTTCAGAAGATTTACAGAGTCCTGACTGAACAGAGACCCACGAGTCTAGGAGGTCTGAGGGGACCTGGAGCTGTCCTGGACCTGATAGGAGTCACTTCCACCATCAACAACCATGAACACCACCTGGACCACATCCTCCAGTCAGCTGATCAGGGTCAGAAGGTCATGGACGCCCTCTACAAGATGAGAGAGGAACTGAAGAACTTACAGATGGACAAGATGATGGAGAAGAAGGAGGAGGAGGAGAGGGAGGAGGAGGAGGAGGAGGAGGAGGAGTGGAAGGAGGAGGAGGAGGAGAAGAAGCCACGCTGAGACCTGAGAGACTGGACCTGCAGGCTCACAGGGGACCAACCCTCACCTGAATCCTCACCTGCTCCTCCACCACCAGAAATAAAGGAGGGATGCAGGGAAGAGGAGCAGAAAGAGGAACAAGGAGAAGACTATTGATCCTGGATCAGCTGATCGTCCCTGAATTTGAACTTGAATTTATTGAAGGATAACTCCTTTTGATGTAGAATCATAAACAAACATAAACACAGAACTAAGGACACATTAACATACATAAACATATAACAAATACAGACACTCTACTCCCAAATACAACCAGCATACTCCTAAAACAGACAAAACTTATGAACAAGGAAAAATAATGTAAACATAAATGTAAAAAAATAAAGAAAATCAATCAGAAACAGTTTGTTTTGAGATGAGAGTACAGTGCCATTCTAAAGTGATAAAAAGAAATAATAGAATGTAAATAAAAAGGTTATTCTGATCTAACGAGGCTTTATACTGAAACGATCTTTTACCAACTTCTTTAAAGATTCTAGAAACAAAGAAAAATGGGAGGTTCATATGTCTAAGAGAGTATTGGGGAGTTATATTGGATTAATAGTTCTTTTAAAAATGAAGGTCAATGGAAATAAATAAATTTAAAAAGGAAAAATGAAATGATCATCTTGATTTGGGTTTTAACCAGTTCAGTGAGTCAAACATAAAACAGTGATGAGTCAAAAGAAATCTACATAAAGGGTTATATGAAACGGTCAGAGGTTTGAGATGAAAGTCAGATGTGTAATGGTAATCTATATCAGAATAATCAATAAGTGGTAAAATCAATTGTGATATTAGTCTTTTTCTGACATTTAAAGTAAGACTATTAAACGATACAGGGATGGAGGACACCCATATTACTTTATTTTAAATAGAATCAATATGAGTTTAAAGGTCAATTATGGATCAATCCAAAGTCCACAGTCCTGCTGACTCACAGGTGGGTCTGGTCTCTGGGTTCTGGTCCTGGAGGTCAGCTCCCTCATGATTTAGTCTCTCTGATGTTTCATTTATCATTTGTTTCTTGGACTTTTCTGACCCTTTTGTTTCAAACTCTGACTGATTTTCTTTAATAGATTGAAGAAACACAGGACGAGTTGGAATTATTCTTTAGGTGCCAGCGTGTACTAAGATATGCCAATGGGAATGAAACAGAGGGGTTATCAAGCGGGCACCCCCTTCATCAGCATTTCATTGATTTAAGCCCAGTACACCTCCGAAAGGCTCAACGGTAACCCCAGGCATCCCTGAAGTACCCCACTCTGTGTCATTCCTGGCTGCCACTTGAGGCCCAGCAGGTGTGCTTACATTTCAGCCAAAGCCATTGGCTACTCCCTTCAGCTGCTTCTGACAGTGCCTTGATGGCATGACGCAGGCCTTGGCCTCTTACTCCCATATCCTTGAGCAGTCTGGTGGTAGACGACACCACAAAGCCTCTGCATCCCACCTCCACAGGGCGTACCACGCCTCCGCAGCAAGGTCAGCATACCGTAGATTTTTTCGCTCGTATGCCTCCTCTACAGACTCCTCCCAAGGCACAGTCAGCTCGATGATAAAGACCTTCTTAGCAGCTTGTGACCAAAGTACTAAGTCAGGTCTAAGAGTGGTGGCAGCTTTCTCAGGAGGAAAGGCAAGGCGTTGACCAACATCTGCCAGCATTTTCCAGTCACAAGCCGAGTGTTACTGGCAATGCTGTACTGTTGCGAGTGCACTGTGATTTCCCTTTGCATTTGTGTGTACAAATGCGACTGCAGGCAGGGAGTTGAGCCTTACAGGTGTTGCTGAGTTGAATGCTGTTCGTCTGTTCTCCAAAGTGGCAGCAAGTTCTTTCAAAACCTGGTTGTGATGCCAGGTATAGCGCCCCTGGGCAAGACTCACTTTGCACCCTGTGAGAATATGCCTAAAGGATGCCGGCTTGGAACAGAGTGTACAGCCTGGATCTTCTCGCCACTGCTGGAGATTCATGGGTGTGGGGAGAACGTCATATGAGTGCCCTGAGAGTGGCAGCAAGTCACAGCAGCTCCTCACAGACTTAACGTTTTCGCCTTTTTATTGTTGTTTTTTGCACCTTATTTGTCTTTCTTTTTAATAAGCAGAGTTGTGTTTTGCATACTTCAACCATGGATGTGCATTTCATGACTCTAGCACTTTGTTTTTTTCAAATTTTCGCTGGCATTTAAATTGTGTATATTGTAGATAGTTTTATTTTTCTTCTCTCTTTTTCCTTTCTCTAAATTTTTTCTTAATTATTACATTTATTTAAGTTCTTAATATTAGGATCTTTATTTTTATAATTGCATTTTTGCACTCTTTGGGCTCTATTTTCGTGCCTCGCCGGAGATGTGCCACAAGCGCGGCGTCAGTCAGATCCGCCGCGCTGACAAGGCATTCCCAAGCACATTTTGGTATTTCGGTGAGCCGCGCAGCCCGGCGTAAGTATCCCCCCTCCCTAACTCAGCTCCTCCCAGCAGCTTAAGTCGTAGCGAGGGAGGAGATAGGGCGTAGAGTGGGTTTAACACAGCCGAGACCTGTTTTCACCAATCACACAAGCTCCTCTCCTTGCCTTTGAATCCGCCACAGGCGAGGCGTATTACTATTTTCATGAAGTAGTTAAAGAGATCAAGAGATGTCTTAAGACAGTAATGCCACAAGATGGCGACAGAGGGCAGCTCCTCAACAAGTGTCACTGTAAGCGCTGCATTGGGCGTCTTCCACACTCTCTCATATAAGCACAGATGGATTTGGTGTGTGTAATGTTGGACCCACTGGTAAGACAAACACCATTTTCCACAAATAAAGACACTCACATAAAGTTTCATATATTCAAACCTCACGTGACAAAGGTGGGTTGTGCGCACAGATCACAACATTAACTCCAAAAATGGCATTAAAATTGGAACCATCAGTGCGTAAATGACGCATCGCGCTCCGTGGCCGGGCTCTTTCTTTCATAGATGTTGGCATATAAAATAAATTTGGCCCACAAAACTGAATATTATAATATCTGTATATAGGCTGAAAGTAGATAACGCATCTGAGCACTGAAACAAATCATCTGTTCAGCCGCAGCAGCAGCAAGATGGACAGAGGACACGGAGACGTGTCCAGGTCGAGCTGTGCGAGAAATAAGAGGAAGAGGAAGAAAGAAAAGGAGGGAGACGAATTACATATCTTGTTAACTTCATCATGTGTGTTTATTTACTAGATATTTAATTTAATTTAATGCAGTTTCAGCTGTGTTGATTCGGTCAGGTTGTGTGTCCAAACGCGCTCATCAGATCAGATCTAGATCAGAATATATCGATATAGATCTAAATGTATGTGCTGACTCAGATTAATAGTTGTTGATGATTATTTATTGCACTGAAATGTGCCTGACACTGTGGAAACCTGCCGGTGAGGCATCAGTGACGTATGTCGATACGCCGCAGGTCTACCAAAATACTACTAGACCAGCTGCGCTCCGCCATGCGCTGAAAGCTGACCAGGTTTGAATCGGCGAGCTTTCAGCGCACTTTACATGCCAGTGCAAGCACGAAAATGTCACTGCGCCTGCTGATTCTGTCGACACCTCCCCCTGCCACGCCACCATGCCCAGCTTGGCGGATCTCGGCTCGCCTCCGTGCGGCTCAGTCCATGAAAATACCAAACTGGCCGTACGCCGGGCTCCGCCAGACGAAAATACAACTGCGCAGGGTCCGCCACCCTCCGTCGCCTCACCGGGGCGCACAAAAATAGAGCCCTTTGTCTGTGATGCTGCTGTGACAAAAAAATTTCCCCCATGGGAGATCAATAAAGGAATATTCTATTCTATTCTATGATAAAACTGAGTCGCTTTGACTCCATACTCCAAAGGTCTTTCTAGCTCATTTTCCTTCCCTCCACACTGTCCCACTTTGTCCACTTTCCCTGCTTACCAAGTGCCACCATCTTGGCCCTCCTGATGCCTTCCTCCTGGTTTTTCACCTCCTCCATGATCATCCTCCTCCTTTCAGCAGCTGAGGCTTTTCTCCAGGCTGGATGATGAGCAGTTAGTCCCAAACCTCCTCTTCCATGCTGGACATGTCCCACAACGTCTGCATGCTTGAGGGCTGTCACTGCCTCCTCAACTGCTTGTGCTGGTCTCCATTTGCGGCCTGCTGTGATGGCTGGGGCATTCTTGCTCACCATTAAGTCTTTGGACTCAGTCAGTGTCACCTGGAGTCTTGTCTTGGCGCACTTGAATTCCTCCGTAAGACTGGTGAGTGGCAGTCTGAGGAGGCAATCTCCATAGAGGGCGGTGGATGTCAAGCAGCATAAATAAAATGACTCAATGACCTTTAATAAGTCCAGTCCACTCACAACCCTGAGCCTGAAGGAGGAGGACTCTGACTGATCCCCTGTCTCTGTGCTAATGGTTCTGGTCTATGAGATCCGGACCATGAGGATCTTTTATGGCGTAGACCATAATGTAATCTTGATCTCAGAAAATCCTGATCATCACTCAGGCTGAGACCTGTTTAACTCAGTGTTGTGGCCACATTTTTTAGAGTACAGATATGAAAACCACATCATTGTGTTCATGAGGGGCGGAGGATTCATACAATGTTCTTATTTTTATTCTGGGATTTAAGGAAATCACGCTATGTAAAGAAGTACGGAGGCCCTAAATACACTGCAGTTAGGCAGCTTCTCCTGGGGCTGGGGCTGCTGCTTGGCCTGAAAACTGGGAGCCTGGGGCTGCTGCTTGGCCTGAAAACTGGGAGCCTGGGGCTTGTACACAGGAAGCTGGGGCCTAGGCTTGGGTTGGTACACGGGAAGCTGGGGCCTAGGCTTGGGTTGGTACACGGGAAGCTGGGGCCTAGGCTTGGGTTGGTACATGGGAAGCTGAGGCCTAGGCTTGGGCTGGTACACGGGAAGCTGGGGCTGATGGTCAAAGACTACTGCGCAGCGGAGCAGGAAACCTCTGCAGCCCCCAATCTCCCCAGCATACGGCTCAG